AGAATGGAAGAGGTAACATAAGGGGAGGGGGGGGGGGGGGGGGGGGGATATGTCAACTTAAGGGGTGGATAATAATCACCATTGCTACTTCTCTATCGGTGTAACCTTTTGAAGTTATAAAAAAGGAAAAATATTCGAGGGAATTCCTTTCTGTGGTGTTGTGTTCATAAAAGGGAAATATACATACCACACAGATATGCATAATGGTGCGATAGATCCACATAAATAAGTATGACACTTTAATTCCCAATTTTGAAACAGCACATGAAATGATCGATCAAAGTTTGTAACAGTTGGATACAGTTCGGTATGAGCAATCCACCAACATCATCACGTAATCTTCCGGAAAATATTATCAAAAAAAAAAAAAAAAAAAAAAAAAAAAAAAAAAATATGCAGTTTCTGGGAAGGTCCTCCCATAGCTAAAACATCTACACATCTTGTCACACAATATACCATTGTATGCATAGACAAAGAGTACATAATTAAATTTTTATTCCCTTAAGTCCATTTTATATGACTTCAATATTTACATTCTATGATTACAGGAAGAATATGAGAGTATCATGTCGTATTATTTTGCGGATTCTATTAGTCTGGTTCATATTTTAACAAAAGCCTTTTCTTTTCGCCCATCTGTAAATTTACAGGTGCATGTTATCCGTAGCAGTTTGCAAGTGTCAGATGAATTGTTAATAACACATCTTTTTTCATATTTTTCATATTTTTCATATTTTTCATATTTTTCATATTTTTCATATTTTTCATATTTTTCATACTTTTCATACTTTTTATACTTTTCATGTTCTTGGTATTTTTGTCATTTTCCGTGTTAATGGTATTTTCCCCATTTTTTTTTTTTTTTTTTTCATTACTCCCCCCCCCTAATTTTCCACGCCCTTGAACGCTTTAGACATACACACAAAAAATGATAAAAAAATGATAAAAAGATGACACAAAAATGACACAAAAATGATACAAAAATAATACGAAATTGACAAGTGAAATCCGAGTAATGTGAGTAACATTCGTGATATTCAGGAAAAATAACACATAGTGATAAAAAAAAAAAAAAAAAAAAAAAAGTGGGAAAAGCAATACTACTGCTATATGTGAGAAAGGCTAGAGGAAAAAAAAAAAAAAAAAAAAAAAAAAAACACATGAAAAATTGCACAAAAGAGGTCCCCAATTCAACATGGCAATAAATGCAACAGTATTTCCCTTTTGACGATATTTCTAATGTTATGAGCTGTGAAGTGTTAGCTTCGAAGTGTGGACTTTGAACGGCAAATTGCAGATTGTAAATTACAAACTGCAAATGCGAGGTGTCAGTGGAACGGCACCCAAGGGAAATGAAGACAATGTAAGTAGTAGAACGAGTCATCTAACTCAAAAAGCACAAAGGCATAGGAAAAACAAAACACATGAGAGGGATGGGAGTGTAAAGAAATGTGTATGTGAAACCGAAGTTTTATTCGCTATACTTTAACATTTGATGCATGTAAGATGAAACAAATGGTTCATCTTACGCTAAAGGTTCGTGTAAAGGGCACTTTGAAGCGCATTTTTTTTTTTTTTTTTTTTTTTTTTGCACATATTAGATATATATATATATATGTACATGTACATGTATGTATCCCCCGTATGAACGCTCAAGCCATGTCCCTCCTTGCGAGTGGACACACTAATATGAGGAGCCTCTACGTGAGCACCCTTATCACATAACCACAAGTGCGAGAGTTCATGATCGGGAGTTTATGCATTCGCATGTTCCAGCACATTCACCAAACTCCTCCCAATACACACACACACGCGCGTGCATATGTATATATGTATATGTATATATATATATGTATATATATGGACGGACGCACACACACACTCCGTTGGGAGGGCTTCAAATATGTCCATGTACATGTAGAAAAATCCCAAAAAATATAAAAATAAAAAAAAAATAAAAAAAGCTAGGGGACCCTTATAAGCATCAAAGTTGCACATCTTTAGCATAAAATTCACAAAATATGAATAGACATATAAAAGGAAATAATAATGTAGGTCTAAACAATATTGAAAAAAAAAATACGAAGAGCTGTCCAAACGATCACGTAACATATGGAAGTGATGCTAACAAAAGGTACCAATATGAATCAGTAAATTTGGATAGCGGTAGGAATATAAACTCTACTAAATTTACGACTCACGTTTCTAAAGTTGTTACTACTGCTGCTGTCACGACTAGCAGTAGGAACGTGGAAAATGAACAAAGGGCCCTTGTTAACAAATCAACTAACCTCATAAGTGCACGTAAACATGTGCCATCAGGCACCGCTTTAAATTTAGGTAAAGAAAATCAAAATAGTAAATTTAACTTAATTTCCAGAGGGAGAAGAGATGATTCTGCAAATGAAGGCTCTAGAAACAAGGTAGAGGGAAGAGATACGCAAAGGGTTGTCAAAAGCATATTCAGTGATATGAGCAAGAGAAGTGAAAGAAACATTTGCAAAGATGATCATCCGAGGAGGGAAGAAACCCCAATGGAAAATCGCGTGAGCAGTTCAGATAAAAAAATAGAACAAATTCAAAACATTCGTACATATTTAACATACAAAAAGGATGACAACGTAAGACGAAATCAAAATTACAGCTGGGATTCAGCTTCTAAAAGAAAAGTAGAACGAGATCACTCAAATGAGAATAACAATAAAAAAAAAAAATCAACTCATTCATATGATAAAGGTAATTATCCTTCTGACATTTCTTTTTCCTATGGTGACACGGAAGATGTTAAGACACATCATAAGACTAAGGAATTCAAAAGTTTTGAAAAGAAGGAAATTCTCCATTACAACCAGCTCGATGTGGAAGGCTCACTACCTACAAACTACCACAGATTGAACTCTGAAAAAAATTCCAAAAAAAATGATGCAATGATGAAGACGAATCAACAAAATTGGAACCCACAGTGCAGGAAAAAAATAAATGATGAAATGATACAAAGAAATAGAAGAATCAGTGCCAACATCAGTGGGACGTGTAGCATGACTAGGAACATTAATACGTCAAATAATGAACTAATTGAAGGGAACGATGGAATAATACAAAATGATAGTGCGGATAAATTTTATGACGAAGGGAGAAAGGGGAAAGTATACATAGGAGAGAAGGAAAATGAAAGAATCAATTGCATAATTCGGAAGGGAGGAGAGAAGGAAAATGAAAGAACCAATTGCATAATTCGGAAGGGAGGAGAGAAGGAAAATGAAAGAACCAATTGCATAATTCGGAAGGGAGGAGAGAAGGAAAATGAAAGAACCAATTGCATAATTCGGAAGGGAGGAGAGAAGGAAAATGAAAGAACCAATTGCATAATTCGGAAGGGAGGAGAGAAGGAAAATGAAAGAACCAATTGCATAATTCGGAAGGGAGGAGAGAAGGAAAATGAAAGAATCAATTGTATAATTCGGAAGGGAGAAGAAAGCGAAGTAGACAAGAAGGGAGACAAATCGTATCAAAACCTCCCAAAGACATTCCTAGAAGATAAGTTACAAAAACGAGGAATAGAACACACGTGGAATGTTCAATCACTCTCAAGGGAACATCACACACATGCTTCATATTTGGATAAGAAACCCCAAATGGAAATAACAAGCGACAATACAAATAATGTGGTTAGAAGAACCCCCTTGTGTGATTTCTCTAACGACGACGAAGAGAATTTTACAAAATGCATTAAACGAGTACGTGAAGGTAGAGTAATAAATTCGGAAAGGCTATATAAGGCACGTATGAACATGGGCATACGAATGGGTGAAATGGAAATAGGTGACAGAGCTGATATAGAGGACAGATCTGGTATAGAGGCCGGATCTAGTATAGAGGCCGGATCTGGTATAGAGGCCGGATCCGGTATAGAGGACGGAGGGAAGCAAGTAAGCCATTCAGATGATGAGAAAGATTTCACACTTCTTCATGTGAACAAAGGTCTGAACGAAAGAAGGATGGGAGAAAGTATTACTGATATGATTAGAGAAAGGGGCAGCATATCCCCTAGCTGTGTTAACCGATATACTAGAGAAGAGCTATTCTGTGTAGATAAGCAAAAGCCAATAGAAAGAAAAAAGGAATCGAGAGATTTTCATCTTTTTAGCGAAATTCATAATACGTATAAGAAAAGTATATCCGAAAAAGTGCATGAAAATTTGTTGAATAATAAGTTACCTAACCAGAGAAATGAGTTCTTATGTAAGCAGCACAGTTCTAAATTATCCGAACATAAATTTAGATGCGATGAGAGGTTCGAAGGGAAGCAGAGCAGAATGTGTAGAAGTGAGGGAAACGATGATCAGGGGTGCACAAGAAGGGACGAAGCAAACAAATCTGAGGAAGAAAATGAAGAGAAGAAAAAGTATGAATCAGCAGATGGCAAGGCAAAAGTTTTGAACTCGGAAAAATTGAACACAGAAGAAGACGCATCACCTGGATACATGAAACATGAACTTCACGCAGAGGATGACACAAAATTGTTTAAAAAAGTTACCATGGATCATCATGGCATCACATTAGCTGAAAAATTGCATACCGGGGTGCTAACTTCAAAGTCACGTGTGGAGGCCCCGCCTTCTAGAAGACATTTTGCAGCTCCAACCGTGTCCTCAGACAGAAAAAACATAAACACAACAAAGAAAGAGTTTAAAGAATTACATAGAAAGGGGAATTTATTCAATCAAAAAATAAGTGCAGTTAGTCGATTAGCAATTACAAAGTTGACTAAGACCAATATGAGGGAAAAAGGAAATAACATAAGTAGGAAAAATAATAAAAATGATGCAAAAATTAACACATCTAATAGCGAAAATGAAGACAAAAAAAATGTATGTCTATCGTATACCATTGGTATTAAGGAAAAAATAGATGAATCCGTAGGCACAGCTAGCCAAATATCAATTCAAGGCAGTAAAACAGATGTAGACATGTCAAAAAAGAAAAAAAAACAATTGCAAAGTTTTGAGCAGCTCAGGTTAAATAAAATGTTATCTACTCAAAATAGGAATGTGACAAAGGAGATGGGAAATCAGACAAGTAAATTAGGTTCTCACTTGAGTGGAAATCAAACAAGTAAATTAGGTTCTCACTTGAGTGGAAATCAAACAAGTAAGTTGGGTTCTCACTTGAGTAGAAATCAAACAAGTAAGTTGGGTTCTCACTTGAGTGGAAATCAAACAAGTAAGTTGGGTTCTCACGTGAGTGGAAATCAAACAAGTAATTTAGGTTCCTACTTGAAGGGAATTCAAAACAATGTCGATGAAAGTTTAAACTGTTCGGAATGTGAACAGATGAAGCAAGACACTGATAAAATAGCCCATCCACTGGGGGAAGCCTGTTCTCTGAAATATCATAGCAATAATGTGATCTACAAAGATGAGGTAGATGCAGAAGGAGACGCATCGAGTAGTTGTAATTATGTTCATAATGAGAAAAATAATTTTTGCGATAAGGAAGGAACCACAACTAGGGATGTCAAAGATAATAAAGAAGAAGAAGAGGAAGAAGAGGAAGAAGAAGAAGAAGAAGAAGGAAAAACAAAACAAAACAAAATGAGTTACTCTGGATTTAAAGGAGAGAGTTTTAGGAAGGATAACAACAGCAATAGGAGTAATTCGTTAAAAACTTCAAAAATATCCACAAATGAAAAATGGAAGAATGTCCCAAGACAGTTACACAACACAAAAGAAAAGTATAAAACTACGCAATGGACAGGTACAGATGCAAGAGGAGGAAGCAAATGGATGAAAAGAAATCACAGCAGTAGTAACAATAGCTCAGTGTCGAATAATAATAAAATTTTTAAAAATATTACCTATAGGAAAAACGAACTAAGTAAAAAGAAGCCAGTTGTTGCTATTTCTAATCATAGATTTAACACACATGGCATAGTTGTAAATGGAAAGGGTGGAGAAAGAATTGGTTTTAATATAGAATCAAAGAATAATGCGACGAAAAGTGGGACGAAAAATGGGACGAAAAATGGGACGAAAAGTGGGACGAAAAGTGGGACGAAAAGTGGGACGAAAAGTGGGACGAAAAATGCGACGAATAGTGCAACGAATAGTGCAACGAATAATGCGACGAAAAATGAAGCAAATAAAGAGAAGGGTAACAATGTACTAATCCAAAAAAGAATTACCCATTTTAATAACTCCAAGAGAGGTACTAGTAATAGTAAGGATAATTACAAAGATATCATAAATGAAGAAATGGAAAAGCACAAAATGAGTCGGAAAAAACAAAATAAAAATATAAAAAGCAATTCCATTCCTCCTAGAAATATGAACAAGAGGATTAGGAGTGGAAATTCAAATAATATATTTTTGAATAAAACCAAAAAGGAGAGCGACCAAGAAGAATGCGACAGGGAAGTAAGACATACAGAAGAAGAGAAACCAGTGGAAAACATATCCTCTGTGTTGGTAAAACGAGGCGATAGTTACGATGAGAATGGGAAGTACTCCAAAAGAAGTAATAGCTATGATGGTAGAGGGGAACGTTCTAAAGGTGGTAGATGTGGTATCGAGAGGCAGGTGGATTCCATAGATGCTATCAGACGTCACGTGAAGGAGAGTTCATCAAAGGGGAATACATCAGGGAATGGTTCAGAAAGGACGATGCTGGGAGAAAAGTCTCAAACAGAAAATTCTAGCACCCCAGCTAGCCATCTTGAGAAGAAGGAAATATCGTACTTTGAGTGGTTGGCCAGAGAAAAAAAAAGAAAAGATAGTGCAGAAAAAGGAGAAGCGCGAGAAGTAACACCCAAAGTTGTGTCAGAAGTAGTGTCAGAAGTAGTGTCAGACGCAGTATCAGACGCAGCACCGGATGAGAAACGAAGAGGTGAAAGGAGAAAGGGAGAATGTGGCAAGGAAAGCATTATGGACGCTCTGGAGGAAGAAGAGTACCATCTGATGCTGCAACCACTAAGCGCATTTAACTTGAAACAAAATGAAATAAAATATGAACAAGATGATTTTGTAGTAGATAAGAACCCAATAGGAAATGGCAGAACAGGGCTAGTTTTTAAAGCCATCATAAAAAATGAAAATGAGTATGTTGCATTAAAAGTAATGGCAAAGGATACCATCTCATCATTAAATATCGAAAGACAAGTATTAAAAGAAATAATAATTCAGGCTAGCTTAAATCATATGAACATTTTGCAATTGATAGCATATTTTGAAGATAGAACCCGTTTGTTCCTGATCCTAGAATTAGCAAATGGTGGATCAATCAGAAATAAAATGAAATTAGATGCACAACCTTTGAAAGAAGAACAAGTAGCTTTATATGTGTATCAAATTGCAGATGCACTAGCTTACCTACACAAATATAATATCATACATAGAGATTTAAAACCAGATAACATATTACTTCATTACACTCATGAATATAGAAATAAAAATGTATACAAATATGGAATTGTAAAAATCGCAGATTTCGGGTTCTCTTGCCAATTGAAAAATAAAAGACAGAAGAGAAGCACATTTTGTGGTACTCTTGATTATATGCCACCAGAAATTATCAACCAGATACCTTACGATTGCAATGTCGATTTGTGGTGTTTGGGAATTGTCATCTTTGAGCTCCTCGTCGGATTTCCTCCATTTACAGACGATACACAGGTGCATGTGGGGGACGTCCGGGAACGATGCCACGCCTCTTTTTGAGGGATCACCATATGTATACACACGCACATACATACGTACATAAATGTACATGCATGCATCCCCGTTTGCACATTGTTTCCCCTTGTTTTCAAAACGTAGGAACGCATATTCAACCAAATTAAAGAATTGAATTTTCACTTCCCGAAGGCAATTTCTTTGCAGGCGCGAGATCTCATACTGAAGGTGAGTTATGTTCCGTTTAGAGGCATTTCCTTTTTCTTTTTTTTTTTTTTTTTTTTTTTTTTTTTTTTTTTCATGTCTTTGGTCCATTTTTGCTTATGTAGCCTCCACAAGCATTTACATATACATGCATGTATAGATCTCTATACCTTCACAAGCTCGTTTACGTATTTCTTATACCTCCGTACGTTCATATATGCACTTCTTACACCTCCGTACGTTCACATATGCACTTCTTACACCTCCGTACGTTCATATATGCACTTCTTACACCTCCTTACGTTCACATATGCACTTTTTACACCTCCGTACGTTCATATATGCACTTCTTACACCTCCGTACGTTCATATATGCACTTCTTACACCTCCGTACGTTCATATATGCACTTCTTACACCTCCGTACGTTCATATATGCACTTCTTACACCTCCGTACGTTCATATATGCACTTCTTACACCTCCGTACGTTCATATATGCACTTCTGTTTTAATTTTTCAATGTTTCTTTCCACGGGACCGTGAACTCTCAGCTATGTAGTAGAACGGCAGAAGAACGGATCTCTGCAGAAGATGTGAAATCACATCCATGGGTGAAGCAGTTCCTGTAGAATTATGGTTTTATTTGTTTATCTATGAGAAATCAACATTCCATTAGTAATTAACACTTGTGTGCGAATGTTTCCAATATTTTGAAGAATATAATGTTCGTTCTGGATTCACTCCGATAATTAACACAACTTTACCGTTCAGTTTTTTTCCACATAGATATATGTTTTTACACTTTGGTCCCTACCTAGATTTTTCGATTAACTGCGTTTGTTCATTTATTCTTTTGCTCATTCGTTTGGTTATTTATTTTTTTTATTTTTATTTTTCTGTATTTTTCTGTATTTTTCTGTATTTTTCTGTATTTTTCTATATTTTTCTTTCTTTTTCTTTATTTTATTTTTTTTTTTTTTTTTGTACATACACATAATTTCCTTTACATAGGAAAGTTTTGACATTTTTAAGGACCAAATTTTTTTTTTTTTTTTTTCCTTCCTTTTTTTACATCTATTTATTAAACGAGCATATTTTACATGTCTCAAAGAACTACAACACGAGATTAACCCTTTTGCAGTTTTTTTGAATTTTATTATTTTATTATTATATTATTATATTATTTTATTATTTCATTATTATTTATTATTATTTTTTATTATTTATTATTATTTTTTATTATTTATTATTATTTTTTATTATTTTTTATTATTTTTTATTATTTATTATTATTTTTTTTTTTTTCTCAAATCTTAAAAATGAAACGACATCATCCATTCCACTTTTTTCTCATTTTTTTACTTGTAAACTGTGCAAGGGGAAAACTGACAAATGACGACAGTGTCGCTAGTTCACAATCTCGCGATTTTGGAAAAGATATGGACGAACTAGATTTGAGTGGTTTAGAAAATGATATTGAAAGTGAGTTCTTATTGTAACACTGTCTTTAGTGTTAAATGAGTGCATTAGAAGTGTTCTTTTTTTTTTTTCCCTTTTTTGTTTTGCCTTGATAAATTAAGGAATACGCAATTTATAGAAAGTTTTCAATATGTATGAATCCATTATGTAATTACTCTTTCCTCCAAAAGATGTTTGCACTTCTTATACCTACTAAAAATGGATTTTTGTGTAGATATTGAGGAAATCGCTTACAGTGATAGGAACTACCAGTTTGTAACTCAAATGTATGTTTATGTTCGTGTGGATACAAAATATGTAAGATTAATTTGCACTTTCCCCCACCCACACATACACACATGAGAGCCGTTTGCATGTTTTTCATTTTCTGTCTGTATGTCTGATTCTTTGTTTGTCTATTTCTTTGCTTGTTTGTTGCAATTTTGTCTGCATGTATGTTTTCTTGCTTGCTTTTCTGTGGAGGTATCTTTTCCGTTAGGGGAGGATGCACATTCTTGATTCGAATTTGTCCATTTGTAGAGACAAAGATACAATAGAATAGCAACTTTAAGAAATATAATAATTTAATTTACACTTTGTACAAAAAAAAAAAAAAAAAAAAAAAAAAAAATTCCTTCAAATCACATTACAGAAAAAATATTTGAATCACCTTCAACTCATAAGCCTTGGAGAGAAATACATGACTCTACTACAAAATGCAATGATGCATGTCCAAATTAAAAAGACAGGAGTTGGAGTATTTACATGTTTTTATCAAGACAAAGGTAAAAACCGTGTGTAATGAAGTAATACCTCCTGACATATTTTTCCTTCCAAGTCCCTCGTGCTTTCTATATCAGTATACGTTTGTGTACTTATGTTTATTAGTGCTTACGTATGTTGTGTATCTTCACATCTATTTCCAACTCTCTCCTCCACCCACCACCCACCCTCCCTATTGGCAGCCATTAAGGAAAACTTAGTTACATATTTCTTATTGCAGAAAGAAGTGGATTTTGTTGAAGTTGGGTTTGACACAAAATTCCCAGGTTTGTACCTCCACATGGTTGCACAGATGCACATTTGTCTGGATACATTTTTATTTATACCTATTTGTTCGTTCACCAGAGTGCATATTTCCTGATTCACTCATTTTATGGTTTCCATATTTACTGATTTGCACTTTTGTATTTTGCTTTTGCATGGCAAAGAAGGAAGAGACTCTCCGATCACTGATGCGGACAGAAGGATGGCATTGCAGGGCCAAACAAATGACGAGTTGTGAGTTAAGGGAAAAAAAAGAAAAAAAAACGAAAAAGAAAAAGAAGCTACATCAGAAGTTGTCAGATGTCAGAAGTTGTGTAATAACTTAATAATCCCTTTTTTTTTTTTTTTTTTTTTCTTTTTTTATGTGTATTCAAATGGGGAATTTTACATACCCCTTCCTTCATTTTTAAAAAAATAAACACATGTTATATAAAAAAAGAAAAATTAACAAACATGGATTAATGAGTGCAGATTAATGGATGCAGATTTATGGATGCAGATTTATGGATGCAGATTTATGGATGCAGATTTATGGATGCAGATTAATGGGTAAGGATTATCGAACAAAAGGGAAAAATGTTCCTACAACTTGCAAACAGTCTTTATATATATATTATGTCTTCAAATGGACAGCATGAATTGATTTACTCAGCTAGGGTTCACTTTCATTCGATCCACATTGGACTCGTTAATCTGGTGGGAAGAAAAGATGTGTGTACATATTTACATTTCCATGGAATGATAATCTAAATATGTTTTTGTCAAGGATGTTTATTCACTTATGTCTTACGAACACAAAAAAAAAAAACACACACATGGGGGTAGGCCCTGAAATGTGGTTGTACGCAAGATGTACACAAAATAAATATTTTCATTTTAATCACAAACCATGAAAGCTGGAATTTGTAAATATCCACATGAACAACATATTCCACTCCATGACCATTTTCCTAATTTTGCGTTGCACTGAAAATGGTGAAAATAGGAAGAACAATGAGATCGAGGGGAGAAAAAAAAAAAAAAAAAAAAAAAAAAAAAAAAAAAAAAAAACAAATCATCTGTATGTATGTATTCAATTCTGTAAGAGAAAAGTACACTTGTATTCATATTCAGATATATCCAATGTCCACTGTTCAAATGCATAAAATATACATGAACAAATAAATATGATATATAGACTCCTACGATTAAAAACAAGTCATAAGTATAAGTTATGAGACATGTGTATTACATTTTTTTGCGGACAATTCAATACTCCTTTCATTTTGCTCTCAGTTAATAGCCACTCCTTCTTCTCGATAAAAATACTCGTGCAAGAACTTCCGTACTGTTTGAAGAAGAGAAAAAAAAAAAAAAAAAAAAAAACATGACAAGTGTGACAGCATGACCAGGGTAGCAACAAGACCAGGGTAGCAACAAGACCAATGTGGAAACATGACGACGTGGCAAAAGCATAGGGAGTATATATCACGAACCGCATGAAGGTGCATGGGCAATTCACTCCCGTTTTGTTCATATCTTACATTTTTCTTTATCTTGCAGTTTTTCAAATCGTGCTGTATAATGTCGTTGTCTGTGAAGAGGGTGAATCTGCAAAATCTAAGAAATGGAAGTTATATACATATGTATATACAAACATGTCCATTTTTGTGAAAAAAAAAAAATAAAATAAAATAATTGCGACACAGTGCAGGATAGTGAAATATATATATATATATGAAAACCCATCTCCAGTAGAAAAAAATAAATGAACGAGTGCATTATCTTGTAAAAGTTGGTATTTGTTTCAAAGAACCACTAAGTGGTATATGCCAGGAGCACACTCATGCTAACTTACTTGCATCTAAACTTGTACGTTGCATCTGGTGCATTTTTCAGGTTCAAGCATTTAAGCTGCTCTAGATATGCGCGACCACATTTTATCTCTTCATAGATGCGATGGAATTCGTTAGGTCCCTTTAAAAAAAAAAAAAAAAAACGAAGATGAATAGAGATGCTAATTCAGATGGAAAAGTTGAACGTAGGAAAAATTAAAAGGGGCACGATAGCCACAAAAACATGGAAAAAAAAATGGTGAAAAAAAATGGAGAAAAAAAATGGTAAAAAAAAATGGAGAAAAAAAATGGTAAAAAAAAATGGTAAAAAAAAGTGGTAAAAAAAAATGGTAAAAAAAAATGGTAAAAAAAAATGGTAAAAAAAAGTGGTAAAAAAAAATGGTAAAAAAAAATGGTAAAAAAAAATGGTAAAAAAAAAATGGTAAAAAAAAATGGTAAAAAAAAATTGTTGAAAATGTGGTAGAAAATAAGACAAAAGTGGAGAAAACAAAAAGATAGTACTACAATAAACGCAGAAACACAAAGCACACCATAAACAAAAATTACGAAGGAGCCAACGCACTCGTGATCTCATTTTTGTTATTCCACTTTTTTTGTCGTTACATCCGTTGAATAGTTCATCTTCTCGTACAGTAGGAGTTGCCTGTAAAAATTTTCATTTGGATGTGCAAAAGGATATCGGGACTTGAGGGTCGCGAAATTGTCAGCAATCGTTTTTCCATTTTTCTTAGAAATATAAGACAATATTATGGATGAACATCTGGAAATGCCTGCCATACAATGAACTAACACATTCTTATTATCCTTGATTATATCATCTATAAAGGAATGAGCATGGTGTACATGTTTAAGTATGTTTTCATCAAAAGTATCCAATATGTCTAAATACATATGTTTCATTTTGTATACATTATTTGGTGATATGGTTTTGTTTTTTTCCACTCTTAAGGTTTTATTCAATTCACACACTGTTTGTATTTTCCCTTGTTCTATTTGTTTATTCGAGTATTTTTTTTTGCAATCTTGCCCTTGTAGAAGTGTCTTTTCAGTTTCTACATCATGTATTTCTAAATGCATTTCTAAATTTTCAGAGCTTTGGGAAGTATTATTACATGAGTATTCTTCTCTCTCCTTTCGATTAGAACCCATTTTTTCAGATACAATATGTTTATCATCCATGCTACTACTTCTATGTGTCATTTCCTTCTTTTCGCTTTCATTTGATTGTTGTGTATTATCTGCATCTAGGGGGGTAGTATGTAGTGAAGTGCCTTTTGTGGGTTCTGTCTGTTCACCACAAATATTGTTTTTTGTCGTTTCAGTCAATGATGACATGCTCTCATTTTGAAATGTTCCAAAACAATCAACTTCGACATCATCGGGCAATAGCACCATTCCTTTTATATAATCATCGATTCTATCTTTGGAAAGTTTTTTCTCTATAACTTCGTATGGATATATCACATGATCATAGTGTGCATATGGTTTTGAAAATATATCGTCGCAATTCTGTTCTAGATAGCACTCTTTAGATGTATCACCATTTTCTTCTATGGCTTCTTCGACTCTGTTCCTAGATATGTCTATGTTTGTGTACATGTTAGAAGTACAATAACTTCCTGCTTCAACAGAATCTTTAAAAGTTTTTCCTGAAGGTGATACTCCTTGTTGCACATGCAACAAACCACACTTCTTTACATCTCTAGGAAGTTCCTTTTTGCAATTTAGAAATTTATCTTTATAAAAAATTTTTCCATTTTCCTTAGGGTTATGGTAACACCATTCGATGCTCATGCATCTGAAGCAAGTCAGAACCCCCCCGATGTTCAGGTTAATTAAATGATAAATGTCGTTAGCATTGTAAACATTACTAATGTATATGTTATCAAATACTTTCACAATCATCTTTGCACATTGATTTAATTAAATATGTGTTTTTTTTTTTTTTTTTTTTTTTGCTGTGTGTGTTCTTTAACTATGCCACAAATGCATTCATACGTAGAAGTGTATGTTTTTGTGCACATATTTTAGTGATATTTCCTGCTGACATGGGGGGTCAGGTGAATTATTCCCAAGACTTTTCTTCTCTTCTTCTCTCTTTTCTAGTGAACTTTGCTGAAGGAGGTAAAAGCGTCCTTACGAATTGACTGAAAAAAGGAGAAAAAAAAAAAACTGACGATTTTCCAATCGTTGCTTCGTTAATCTGGATGCTGCGCTAAGAGCGCGTTTCAACTTTTGGCACTTGGTAGAGACATATGGATGTTCATTCGAAGGGAACACACATGTACAATGTGTTTGTAGCGTGCCTGTAGTTTGCAACATGTTTGTAGTGTGCACATAGTTCATAACTCATTTGTAACACATCCAGAACAGTACGTGTCACGACGTGAGGCTAGTTTCTCCTACCCACCCAACATCAATTGAAAATTTCGATAGGTCAAGCAAATGTAAAGTTTCACCCTTCACAGGAATTGAAAAAGTAGTATGAGTAAAAAATATGCACAAAATAACTACACCCTGAATTTTTTTCCTAGGATACTTCTATTTCTAGTAAAATTTCCTCTTTAATATAACATAACAAAATTGAGACGATAAATTTGAGCTATGTGTTGAAGCGTATATGTATAATGATGCACCTTATTCTCAATCTGATATTTTTTTTTTTTTTTTTTTTTTTCCTTTTTGCATACTTTTTTCTACATTTTTGAAATCGTTTTTTTTTTTTTTTTTTTTTTTTTTTTTTTTTTTTTTTTTTTTTTTTTTTTTTTTTTTTTTTTTTTTTTTTTTTTTTTTTTTTTTTTTTTTTTTTTTTTTTTTTTTTTTTTTTTTTATTTTTTTTTTTTTTTTTTTTTTTTCCCTTGTTTCATACTTTTTTCTCCTTTTATGGATAGAGATTGTATATACCATAATTTGCTTTTTAATTATTTTTTTGGAGAAAATGTTTTTTTTTTTTACATTATTACTTGAAGAGTTTATAACTTTCATTGTTAAATTTTTATGATTTTATTTTACAAGTGCCAAATTCTTTTCCTTAACTTGTTCTTCAGTTTGAGTTATGCTTACTCTTCAGCGTGAACCCTTATTTAAGTGTTAATTTTTTTTTCTCTCTTTTTCCTTCTTGAAACGTGCAACAAACGAGAGGAATAAATGTAACATTATATATATATATATATATATATCCCTTTTTGCAGGACTGCTAAGCTCCTCATGCTTTATTTACTTGGTGTTCCCACGTGAATAGTATATTATAATGTGGTAGTAACTTGAGATGTTGCTTCGTTTGCAAATGTGCTACATAATAAAAAAGGTGTGTTAATTCTTGGATGACGCTATTCTTTTACTAGCATATGAACAGAAATAAAAATATACATAATTATATATTTTTTTTCACAAACTCTTCACATCTGCATACTTCTGTAGTTACATATAATACTAGCACGACATATGAGGTGTTCATATAATTTATGACTCCCCCCCCCCCCCCCATCTGAGCAAAGCCCCCCATCTGAGCAAAGTACCAAGTGGTACTGGAAATTTTTATATACTCCATTTGAAAGAATAGCAATTCTGTGTGGGATTGTAAAAAAAAAAAAAAAAAAAGGAAAAAGATTTCCATCTGAACCGTACATCTACATGTACCAATTTAATTATAACAACGAGAAATTTTTTAGCAAAGAAAATTAAAGTGCATTGGAGATATTTTCCAGTTGAGAGAGAGGATAAAATTGGAATGTTGTGAAGCGTGCGCATGTTTGTGCATGTATTTTTGTGGGAGTGTATGGGAAAATCCTTACAAGGTAGGAAAAACCAGGAAGACAGCTAGCCAAACAAGTAATCCATAGAGGTTATTCAGACATATTTTTCAGAGAAGGGCAGTAACTGATCTTTGTTCGTTATCATTCCTTTTGTTTTATTTCACCTCCCATTTTAGCACACGTGACTCCGGAGAAGGGACATCTAATGGGGGGCAGTAGAAGAAACGAATATGACACAGAGAAAAAGGAAGGAATGAAAAAGGGCAATTTTGGAAGTGAAGAAATGAATGGAGATATGAGAGGTGGATTAGTAGGAGGAGGTGGAGGTATTCAATATGATTTAGAAATTGAACCCATTTTGAACGATGAGGATTCGATGAATCAGATGCATGGTAAACGAGATGGACATAACAATGTAAACATTAACAAATTAAAAAATGAAATTATTCAAAATGATCTGTTAAGTAATGAAGAAATAGATGATCAGAGTCTAGGATTGGTAAAAGATAAATCTATAAAAAGACGAGAAAATGAATTTCAAAGAAAAAAATATGAATACATGCTATCTCCAGAAAGGGCTGATCCCTTTGCTGAGAAGAGTCCATCTCCAGGAGAGAGAACATATGCAGATGTTATGATGGATATTAATAATGAAAATCACAAATTGAAGCTTATAAATAATGTTACTAGCGGTGGTACATCATCCTCGGCTAGCCAAACTAAAAATAGGAAACTGAGGTGGAGTGTTGTGGAAAATGATTCCACAGATAAACAACGTGCAGATCCTGCACTACTAGGATCTTCCACATCTATCACGTCAAACAAAACTACAGAAGCAAGCAAAAAGGATCATGCTAAAAGTAAATGGGATTTTGTAAGCGAAGAGGAAAATAAATCCTCGAGCTTTGGATACATGCCAACTCCTGCTCCATCCAAATGGGTTGACACTCCTTTTATAATAAGTGGTTCTGTGACGTCCAGTGCAGCAACAAACACTGAGATTGCAAAGGAGGTTGCAAAGGAGGTTGCAGCTGGGGTAGGAACTTCCTCCTCTATGGCAGCTACCCCAAGTGGTAATATGAAAAAGAAAAGAATTTCGAGATGGGACAAAGTGGGTGAAGGTATAAATGCATCAACAGCAGATCATGCTGCACATCTTGATATGATGAAAACACCAAAGGCGTCCATGGTGGTGGATTCAATTGGAAGTGCTGCTGCCTCTGGATCAACCAGCTCTATGTTGAAAACACCATATCTTATGATACCCGGAACAGGAAATTTTATTAACACGCCATTTGTAATGAATCCAATTGGTAATAATGTGGTGAATGGGAAAATGTTCAACACTCCTATGACCCCTGGATTAGCTTCTATAGCTACTGATTCGATCATTAAAATGAAAATAAGGAATGAAATGGAAATCAGAAATAGACCGTTAACTGATGAGGATTTGAATGAGCTATTACCATCTGAAGGATATGAGATTGTGAAGCCACCAGAGGAATATGAAGCGATAAGGAAAAATAAATTGAAACAGTTTTTTAAAAATACTGTTAGTAGTACTACTAGTGTAGCAACTCCACTTGCATTTATTGGTGGCAGCGTACCACTTGGAATGACAGGTTCACTTGCAAATGATGGAAGTACAAATCTGAAGATTCCATTGATGAGTGGGCTAGTTAGTAGAGCTCCTGTCACAAATCAAGATGATGAAGGAAATGAAAATACAGGATTACAAACTCCATACATAAATAACAATTTGCTGCAGAGTACATTAATTAGTGGAACACCATTTTATGATATTCCAACAGCGAACAATAACATGTTGAAAGAAATAGAGGGAGATCCTAATTTGCTTCTACAAAACAAACAATTTGAAATTAATAACCCACAATTGTTAAGTGAGTTAAAATATGTACAATTAAAAAATGAAGACTTCATATATTTTAATAAATTATTTCAAAATGTAGATGAAAGTGATTTATCACAAGATGAACTGAAAGAACGTAAGTTTATGATACTTTTATTAAAGATAAAAAATGGAACCCCTTCCATAAGACGTGCAGCATTAAGAAGTATAACAGATAAGGTAAAAGAATTAGGTCCTGATATTTTATTCAATTTGATTTTACCATTAATGATGCAAAACACTTTGGAAGATCAAGAAAGACATTTATTGGTAAAAGTGATTGATAGAATTTTATTCAAGTTGGATGATTTAGTAAGACCTTATGTTCATAAAATTTTGGTTGTCATTGAACCTTTGTTAATTGATGAAGATTATTATGCAAGAGTAGAAGGTAGAGAAATTATTAGTAATCTAGCAAAAGCAGCTGGTCTTGCTACAATGATTGGAATAATGAGACCAGATATTGATCACCCAGATGAGTATGTACGTAATACTACTGCAAGAGCATTTGCTGTTGTTGCTTCAGCACTTGGTATTCCATCTTTAATTTTATTTTTAAAAGCTGTTTGTCAATCAAAGAAAAATTGGGAAGCTAGACATACAGGAATTAAAATTGTTCAGCAAATTGCAATTCTTATGGGATGTGCTGTTTTGCCACATCTAAAACAACTTGTTTCAATTGTATCTCATGGTTTACATGATGATCAACAGAAAGTGAAAACAATTACTGCATTAGCTATAGCTGCTTTAGCTGAAGCAGCAGCACCATATGGAATTGAAGCATTTGATTCTGTTTTGAGACCACTATGGAAAGGTATAACAGAACACAGAGGTAAAGTTTTAGCAGCATTTTTAAAAGCTATTGGATTAATTATTCCACTTATGGATCCATATCATGCAAACTATTACACAAAAGAAGTGATGATAATTCTTATTAACGAGTTTAATACTCCTGATGAAGAGATGAAAAAGATTGTTCTTAAATGTGTTAAGCAATGTATACAAACAGAAGGTATTGATAAAGATTACATCAACCAAGAAGTGGTGAACCCATTTTTTGAAAAATTTTGGGTTCTAAGAAGTAGTGGTGATAAAAGAAATTTACATCTAATAGTAGAAACTACTGTAGAAATCGCAAACAAAATTGGAGGAGCACTTGTCATAGCTAGACTTGTAGATGATTTAAAAGATCCTTCAGAACAATTCAGAAAAATGGTCATGCAAACAATTCAAAGCATTGTAAATAATCAAGGTGTAGATGACATTGATCAAAAATTAGAAGAACAACTTATTGATGGAATTCTATACGCATTTCAAGAACAAGCATCTGATGATTATTACATTTTGTTAAATTCTTTTGATACAATTGTAAACAAATTGCAACTACGAATGAAACCATATTTACCTCAAATTGCTGGTATAATAAGATGGAGATTGAATACACCTTTACCCAAAATAAGACAACAAAGTGCAGAACTTATTTCTAGAATTGCTAACCTTATGAATATATGTCAAGAACATCAAATGTTAGGTCATTTAGCTTTATACCTTTATGAATATTTAGGAGAAGAATATCCAGAAGTGTTAGGAAATATTATAGGTGCTCTTAAATCCATTGTAGTTGTTTTGGGTGTCCAGAATATGACGCCACCGATAAAGGATCTTTTACCAAGAATAACACCAATTTTAAAAAATAGACATGAAAAAGTACAAGAAAATGTTATAGATTTGTTGGGTATAATTGCTGACAAGGGAGGAGATTTAGTTTCTCCAAAAGAATGGGATCGTATATGTTTCGATTTAATTGAATTATTAAAATCTAATAAAAAATTGATTAGACGTGCAACAATTCAGACCTTTGGATATATAGCTCGTACAATTGGGCCATTTGAAGTTTTAACTGTTCTTTTAAATAATTTACGGGTTCAGGAAAGACAACTCAGAGTATGTACCACGGTTGCTATTGCTATTGTAGCTGATACATGTCTTCCATATTCAGTATTAGCAGCACTTATGAATGAATATAAAACTCAAGATCTTAATGTTCAAAATGGTGTACTCAAAGCTTTATCATTTATGTTTGAATATATAGGAGAAATAGCTAAAGATTATGTATATGCAGTTGTGCCACTTCTAGAACATGCTCTAATGGATAGAGATTTGGTTCATAGACAAATAGCTACTTGGGCTTGTAAGCACCTAGCATTAGGTTGTTTTGGCTTAAATCGTGAAGATGCACTCATCCACTTGTTAAATTATGTGTGGCCAAATATTTTTGAAACTTCTCCACATTTAATCCAAGCTGTCATTGATTCCCTTGACGGATTCAGAGTTGCTTTGGGACCTGCCATTATCTTTCAATACCTTGTTCAGGGAATATTTCATCCATCAAGAAAAGTTAGAGAAATATATTGGAAAATATATAACAATGTATACATTGGTCATCAAGATAGTCTCATCCCAATATACCCTCCTTTTGAGAGGTTGAACGATAGCAATTTTCTGAGGGATGAATTACGATACACGTTGTAGGAAATTTAATTGTGTGCATTAGAACAGACGTATCCAGATGTAACTCAGTGCAGTGGTGGTGGTGGTAATTCTTGGCCTACATACATATATATATATATATATGAAGATATGTTAATATGTGCTTTCTTCGCGGATAGAGAAACAAAGACAGGTAATGCTTCTTTGAGCCTCTGTCTTGCTTGTAAAAATATCTTCCTGAACACCACAAGCGTAGTATCTTTTGGAAGGGTAAACCGTTCAGATTTCCCCTTGTTTATTTTTACCATCTTTTTTTTTTTTGTATCTCTTGTTTCAGCTGCTTTACTCGCGTGAGTAGGAAAGTGGCACGCATGCATATGTGCGCATAGATATATGGTACTCATGCATATATATTATTTTGAATGAGATAGGTTACACCCGTTTGTTGTCATCGCTGCCGTCACGACCATTAAGGCGTTTCTTTTTCTTCGACCCATGATCAAAACAAAGAACCGTTCGTACGTATCCGGTATTATGTCTAAGTCTGATTCGTTGATCCTTTAATTTTGAGGCCCATATTTTTATGGGGAATTTTTTTTTTTTTTTTTTTTTTTTTTTTATATATTGCTTTCCAGTTGCAAACATGTAAAAAGTTTTATATTTTAACGGTGTTGAAAAAATGGATTTTTTTTTTTTTTTTTTTTTTTTTTAATTTTTTTGTTTATCGATGGAAATTTCCCAGTGCATAGTGATTGCTTTTCCTCAACTTGATGAGTGAGTTGCTTTTGTAAGTACAAATTGGTTAGTACAACAAGACAAACGTGTAAATGGATGTAGTGATGGCTAAACTGCTTATCATGATAGAGGTTTTTTTTTTTTTTTTTTTTTTTTTTTCTGGCCCCTCGAATCTATTTTCTGGTATGTAATATATATATATATATATGTATATGCACGAAACTAGAATGGACATCTTTCAGTCTTGGAACTCCACTCGATGTGACTTCAAATTCTGGAAGTTCCCGCGGTATTGGTTATTTCTATTTTTAACTAACGGTGATAGGCATTTTTTCGGCGGATCATATCCTTCGATTTTCAGCGGGGGAATTTTCACCTGCGTTAGGGGTTTGTGTGGCGGTTGTTCAAAATGGGATGTTAAAAAGTGGGTCATGAGAATTGGTTGGTTAAGTGGCTGCCAAAATGGATGCTCAAGGGGCTACTGAATTGGCCAAACTAACTGCTATATATTTTGGTTAAGCGGGTTAACTGGTTTGCCTAGCACGTACCTGACCCTTGTCCCATATCAAGGTACCCTTCTTTATGGCCTTTATGTACCTTTTCCGAATTGGCAGACGATTGTAAAACTGCTGTAGAATTGATACTGAGTTGATGTGGCTCTTGTGTCTCTTCTGGCTCAGAAGGCTTGGGTAACATATACTTCTTCCCACCTTGAAAATGAAGAATTTTAGCATGTTCATAATTTGAAATGTTCGATAGAAGTGGGGTGTATAATTCAAGGATGAGCTATTCAGAGGGGAAGGGATGGTGGGGTATACACAACGTATGAATGTGCATGTATATTACATATACATGTATATGTATATGTTTCTACTTTTTTTTTTTTTTTTTTTTTTTTTTTTTTGCAGAACTCGGTTTGTACTAATAGCTATATAGTTCAACCCTTCTTTCCGCTTCGCTAGCTTTTCTCTCCAGTAATTTGCACTTTGCGCTACACAACATTTTGCATTTCAAGTTTTCCAAATCGTTGAAGCAGCTACTCCGGGTGTGAGAGAAACGTAAAAAAAAAAAAATAAATAATAAAATAAATAAATAAATAAATAATAAAATAAATAAATAAATAAATAATAAAATAAATAAATAAATATATAAATATGTGTATATACATCCATACGTTTGCACACATATACGTATATACATATATATATGTATATATTTTTCACCCTTAAGCATATCACTTTGCAATGAGCCTGTCACACCTTCTCTCTCCTGTATGTGCACCCACGAACGCTTAATCCGTAAGCATGCTTTGCTTTAGTAATTATACCTTTCAACGCTTTGGAGTTTTTCTACCGAAAAGTACAAATGTTGGCATTCACATATGATGACTTGTTCTCATGTACTTGTGCACAGAAAATATGTCCACGTGGCAGAATTTCCCCTGACTTAAGAAGGGTTACACAGAAAACTGACACGACAAAAAAAAAAAAAACATGGTACTACGGTAATGCTATTTTTTAACTTTTCTAATTACGAAAGATCAAAAGGGAAATTTTCTTCTAATCAGAGAATTTGTAAGAAAAATGTGATTTTATTAAATACCTTTCTCAAAAAAATAACATGAAAATAAGTAAATAAATGCACCTTTTCCCATACCCCCCACACCCCTTTTATTTTATTTTATTTTTTTTTTTTTCAAAAATGAACAAAAGTAGACCTCTTACGAGGCAATCTTTTTGTTCGTCACAACTGAGTTAAATCTATCTTTTCTTTTTTTTTTTTTTTTTTTTTTAATTTCCTTTTTTTGAAGTACTAATTTTGAAAAATGCAATTTCATGTATTTACATGAAAGAGGTCTTAAACGGATTTATTACACTTATCTATACGACCTCATAAATGGGAAAAGTAATTATTTCGGGAAAAAAAAAAAAAAAAAATAAAGAATTAGCAAAAGGGGCTCATATATAGTGTATCAAATGGAGTATATACCACCAAATGGAACATAACCATTTGATGAAATGACGATAAATAGAAAACATATGAAATTGATATTCAAATGAACGTCGAAACTGCAAAAGTGTGTAAACGTAAAAACATATAATAAATGTTAGACGTGTCGATCCCGTCTTATGTTATCTGTTCATCATTTGATATATGCCATATATATATATATATATAGTAAACTTTTTTAAATATCCCAAATAATAGTTCACATGTATAAGCCTCACCAAAAAAAAAAAAAAAAAAAAAAAACAGTGTGGTGTTCCATGGGGATTGGGAAATGGCTTAATTATTTATTTCTGTTTGAAATGGAGCTTCTGCTGACGATGCTTACTAAAGATAAGGATATGTGTATGCATAAATGTGCATAAATGTGCATAAACGTACAGAACATACATAAAAAAAAACACATGCCAACGTGAAATTAGGGGGGGTAGGAGGGGAGGGTTTGCTTTTTCGCGCCATTCCAAAGAAACCCAGGAGAAGAGAATTTGAACCCTTACAAAGCATTCCGTGTCTCCATCCTATATCCACCCTTAGGTAAGTTTGCCCTCAGTTTTAATATATGTAACTTTTTTTCCAAGGCCTCTATTCTTTTCTTGTTTAACATTGCTTCGTTGTGCAGTTGTGAATATGTCACGACGAGGTGATTCCTAATATCGTCTTCGTTATGGAGACTCGGTTTTCTAAGATGCTGCGTGAGGAGGGGAGGAAAAGAAATATATACATAGGGATATACATAAGTAGGATAGCGCGAACGGAATTACATGAACGAGATCACGAGCACATGATTACGCGATTACACGATTACGCCCCTTGAGTTTACACGCATGGATATATATAGACATACACACAGGGCGCGACGTCATCAGTGGACCTTGCCATGGAACAGTAATTCTCTGAAATTACACTTTTCACTCGAGACATATAAACACTTCTTCAGTTAGATGCTAAAAGCGTGTTTTTTTTTTTTTTTTTTTTTTTTTTTTTTTTTCCCTAATTCCGTCTTTCACCATTCTGATGTGTTTTTCTTCCACTTGGGTTCCGGCTAGCTTACCATTGGTACCAGGTTATGAATCCAAAATCGGTTGTCCGGGTTCTCGTATTTTCTTTCAAATTTGGAAGTCAGATTCTGGGCCTTGAAGCTCGCATCTGCACATTTATTTTTTAAGCTTGTTAGAAGCTCGGAAATTTGACCAACATGATCGTATTCACTTTCGAAAGCATTTACTTTTTTAATGTTTCGCTTGTCCCCCGAGTATTTCAAGTCCGAGTGATACTTTTCCCTTTTATCTCTGGATCGATGGATACCCTCTGCGTAGTAATAGTCAGGTGATATAGTTTGATATGAAAAAGAGCTAGAATTATTTAACTCATCATTATAATGCAGAAAAGGGAGTCTTTGAGGTAATTCCCTCTTTTTATAACAATATTTTGTTTGAACAGAGTCAGAAATGTTTTTTTCGCCATATTTTAAAATGTTTATTCTTTCTTCTATATCGTAATGATCCAAGGAATAAACGTTGGAATAGTAGGACAGTAGGCTGCTCTTTATATCATCTATGTTGACTTTTATTTCTCCTATTCTTGGTTGGTGTAAGTTTAACTTTGATTCTGATGGATTTTTCCCCTTACAATGGGATGTGCTTGGATTGCTTTTTTGGTTACCATCACGTATAGTTACGTTCCCTCCATAATTAGCAGCATAAATAGAGTCCCTGTTTTTATCTTTTTCATTGACTTCATTAGCTTCACCCACTTCATTGACTTCACCCACTTCATTAGCTTCACCTGCTTCATTGTGTCCGCTTTTTTTTTCACAAAAATGGGAGTGATTTCGCCTAATCGAATACGAGCTTTTCGCCTCCGGGGGTGGAGGTGACACAGGCACAAAATCGCGCACATCCACATTAAACAATTCCCTTTGCATTTCCTTAACATTCTGAGAACTTCTTAACACATTTCTTAGCATTTCATTTTGAAAAATTAATTCCTTTTCCATTCCTAATTGGTTGAGATTGAGAACGTTTCTTGTATGTGTTTTATTCTTATGATCGTTGTCACCTTCGATCTTAGTTAAACTTTCGTACGGGAATATGTCTTCCCTCACTTGACCACGAAACTCTGCACTCTGTAATTCGTGTGTTTCATGGTTTGGGGAATGGTCATATTCATACGTGCTCTCGCAGGCCGTGTTTTCGTTTGTCTGCAAAGTTGGGGGAAAGTTTTGGGGGGGTTCCCACAATTTCGCACTTATGCTGTTACGCGTTTATGCAGTTAAGCAGTTATGTAGTTGTGCAATTGAGCAGTTGCGCGTTTTTCCGCATTTTTGATATTTTCAACACATTCGGCACGCCTTGCACTGGTCAGGTAACTTTTGCCATTCTTTTGCGCCCACCTGTAGATAATTCCAGTTTGCACACTTCGAGAATTCATTCAGTTGATTTTTGTTCTTTATACTGAACTCTGCTGAAGGATCAATCACTTCGAAATGTTCGTTCTCACGTGTAATTCCCTGCAAAATGTACAATGTTGGAATGCCTATTTTTCAGAAATGTCCCTTAAGAGTGTTGCATAACTATATGTGCGTTCATGCAAAATAGACAATACTCAGGGGTAATGTGCAGCTATTTTTTTTTTTTTTTTTTTTTTTTTTTTTTTTTTGTCTTGTTAAGAATAATGACGCAAAAACATATGCACCACTGGGTAGAAATAACCAATCGTGTGTGTAGCAATGATGAGTTATCAGTAATTCATCACTGTATAAATTATGAACATTCATAATTTTGCGTCTAAAGAATTGGAAAAATTACGGTATTCTAAGCAGAATTAGGAAAAAAAAAATAATAATAATAAATAAAAAAAAAAAAAATATGAACATGCAGGCAAAGTAGATAACAAACTTGCAAACATTTTCAGGAAAAAAAAAAAAAAAACAACATGTGAACGAAAGGGCACAAGATGTATACCCAAATTACAAAAGAAGAAAAAAAAAAATAAGCAAATGTTACCATGAGTATCATCTACATTGTAAGAGGAAGTTTTTATCGTACAATATGATAAGTCATTTTCATCCCCTATTTTATGAGTCACAAAATTGTGAAACAACTAAATTATGCTGTGGTGTATAATTTACCTGCATGGTTTCATTTCACCGATTTGACATATTTTGTTGTCGAAGAAACATGCACTATTTTACTAATCTTCGCCGTAAAGAAAGAATGTGCTACTACCTCTTTTATGAAGCTTTTCATAAAAGAGATGTGGTTCCGGTTTAGGTTAGAACAATAAGGTGAACAGAAACGTATGATCCAAATTTGGTGGTTCTGCGAAAAAAATCATCTAAAAGGGGTATAAAACAAAATAACAGACGTGTGATGAACACACGGGGATTTTTGTTTTTTCGTCTAACACACATGCGTACGCACTCGAGTATGAGTAGTTCTTCAGTGATTGTAGCATTAAAAACGTACACTTGCAATGTAAAGCAAATGCGAACATTAATGGTACGGTACGTTGTGTTCCGCTTCCTGTGCTTATTCCTTTTTGTCAAAATCAGATTAACTAAAAAAAGGTAATGAAATATTTTAATATACACGTAAGATTTTTTTAGATGTTTTATGAACGTAATTATTTCACCGATTTGATACTTTTTTTTTTTTTTTTTTTTTTTTTCTTATTTTCGCTCATAAGAATTTGGAACATAATGGAAAAAAAAAAAAAAAAAAAAAAAAACTAATCCTAACAGCGTTTACGTTTTGAAGTTAAACGTATGTAACAATGAATATTAAAATGTTCAGGTGGAAAATTAAAAGTAGAAAAAAAAAAAAAAAAAAAAAATTACTTTATAACCGTGCAACATTAACCATCAATTGTCAGTTTACACGAACGCAGTACAAAAAATGAGTTATTTTAACACACACACGAAAAGTGTAAACCAAAAAAAAAAAAAAAAAAAAGCAACAAAAGGGAGATTATTCATTTCACAAAAATTGACATGATAAAAAAGTGTGTGCGAAAAAATGCAGGAATAAATAAGTGATGTTGTCTAATTTATAGTCACCTTAAAATGTTCTGTTTAACGAACAGTAGATGAATACCCAAGTGGAGGTGTTACAAAATATATCAAAAATATTGTAACTTATCATTACTGAACTATACAAAAAAAGGGGACCCCCCTCTAAAACGTGAAGCTACATGCACACCAACCAGGGTCCCAAGATGACAAAACATGGATGTTGGATTAGTTAAAAATATGGACCTTTGATGTATCCTATATGATAATTTGTGAAGAAACAAGAAAATTGTGGTGGATAGGGGGTGAAAAGTTCATCTCTTTTTGGTCGAAAAAAAAGAAGAAGTATTTAAGATGTTCCCATGTTGTACATACGGTAAATTGTATTTCTTTTTTCCAGCAGCGCTGGATATTTTTTTTTTTCTCTGTCTTTTCGACGGTATAAAATTTTGAAATGCATAGTGTATAGCTACGAAAGAATGGCTTGGTGACCAATTAGATTTAATGATTCGCGTGTAAGGAGGGAACTTGTATGGAGGATAAAAAAATGAAAAAACAGACGTGATAAAGTGGTCCTTAGAAAATAAACGAGACAAAACAGACCTGAGAAAATAAACGAAACAAAAAACACACTCGACAAAATAGAGGGGAAAATATAACCATAACATATACGACAAGATAAAGGTAGTAATAGCACTGAAGAGGATATTATTAAATAGATGGAATCCAATTTGAAACAAAGGTGGGTAAAAAATCCAAAGGGATCGGAGATGAAACGGATGTTGTCTACGTGTGTATATATGCACAGAGGATCTACAAATACATTAATTAACCGGGAGGGGGGGGGGTAGGGAAAAAAAAAAAAAAAAAAAAAAAAAGTGATCAAAATGAGACAATTTTTGTATACAGTAATATTTCGTCTTCATAGTACATTAAAACAATGTAAATTATGTTATATTTGTGTTAATTCCACACTTTAATTGTCTTGTCCATCGAACTCGAAAGCAAGTATGCGGTTCTGCTACCGAAACAAGTATGTGTAACTGTATCTGTGTGGGATGACAGTGTAGTAATATGGCTAGCTTGTGTCTTTGTCTCAAAGTTGTATATTTGTATATCATTTGCTACAGCTAAGGATAGATATTTTCCAGAATAATCAAAATCAATAAATTTTGGTGCTTGATCTACATCTATAGTTTGGAAACATTGTGCCTTTCGGAGGTCCCAAAGTTTAACAGTATTATCTTTTGAACAAGAAGCTAAGTAATATCCATTTTCACTAAACGAGATGCAATTTACAACATCTGCATGACCTGTTAGAGAGGCTTTATATTCTTGACTCTTAATATCATAAATATGTATATTCGAATCATCTGATGCTGTACCAATCATCATTCCATCTGGGTGAATAGAAAGATGTTTAAACGGGCTTGGGTTCATTTTACATATTTTAATAGTTTTGGAAGTTTCTATATCATTTAAAATCCATAGATTATCTTTAGATGAACTAATAAAGTAATTTTCCAATGGATGTAATGATAAGGAAGTTATATGATCCTTATGTTTGGTAATCACATGGGCTGTTACAAATTCATTGGTGTCTGAATCCCCTTTCCATATTCTAACAGTTTTGTCATTTGATCCAGAAATACATAAGGAGTTAGATGGATGTGCTATAATAGCACTTATTTTTTTAAAATGTCCTTGTAGCTTTGCTAATATTTTATTTTCTGAAATGGACACATAATATATATTTCCATCATTCCCTCCAGAAAAGAAATTATGATTTTTATGGTTGTCATAATAATTGTATTTAAACTTGTTGATGTCTAAAGCTAAACATGTAACTCCAGGATATACAGATGAGTGAATATCAAATTCGTTTGTATTTGTAAACTTCTTCCATTCATCAGTTGAAGAGACATTTTCAATTTTTCTTTTCTTTCTATTAATTAATAAATCTTTTGCAATCCTTTGCATTTCATTTAGTAATTCTTCACTTAGTCCTATTTCAAATTCGTTTAAATCATTTCCACTTTTTAAATTTAAAATTTGCTTCTTCAAATTATCAATTTCTTCTTTATAATTATTCTTTTCTTTTAACAATTTTGCAATTACCCTCGTTGCAGCATCATATTGATATAAACTATGGCTAAGTTGATTCCTGATATCATTTACATGTGTTCTAAGAGTGAACATTTCAGATATTATTGAATCCCATTCCGTTTGAAGAATGGATAATAATCCAGGAATACTACTAGCTGTTATTGGTCTTGGTTTTACAATTTTCTCATTTTTTAGAGGATACAAGTCTTCCAATGTAAGTACTTCTCCACTAACCGGACATATTCCATAATTCAAAATGTGTTTTTCAATTAATCTCTTTTCAAAGATGTACCCAGTTTTGCTTACAACAGGTTCTTCGGGCGTCTGCCCGCTGATGGTGCATAGAATAGACATCTCGGGGCTGTGAAGGGGGGCAAGCGCAAAGAGTAGCGTATTAAACTTTTCCCTAGTTTCCTTTCTACAAATGTGTGAATATGTGCAAGCCTATGTGCCTATGTATGCATGTGTGTATATATTTTATGTACGCATGCACGCACGTCTGTACGTGTGCGCTCGCAAGGTGTGGCAGCTTCTGCCTTACGTGTCCCCTCGGGGCAACGGTCGTAACTTTATAGCGCTGCTTGTCCTGTGGGGGTTGGGAGTTTATTCAAGCTCCTTCTTTTCCACTTTTCGAGTGCTGAAAATGAATACGCAAAAAAAATAAGTACATATAAATATACATGTGCATACGCATACGTACATATATATATATATAACGGGGTAGGGACATTGTATATGCACGTTTTTTTTTTTTTTTTTTTTTTTTTTTTTCCCCTTCTACCATATGATAAGGATATCTTGGGGGGCAACGAATGATGTTGATTTGAAATAGAAAAAGAGAGAAGACTAAATGATGGTTAATTTGTGTTCCTTTTACATGTTATCTTTTTAAAAGTGTATGGGAAATGGCCTTTTTTGGGATTTTCCTCTTTTCAAAATTTCCCACTTTTTCTGAAGACTAACTTTGCCTCACTATTTTTTTATATTTTTTATTTATTATAATTTTTTTTTTATTTTATATATTATAACTTTTTTATTTATTTATTTTTTTTTTTTTTTTTTTTTTCTCCTCGGTTGACAAGATTAATAAGCCCAGAAATAAACAGCAAATTGTGAGGCACCATATGTCACGTGACAATTTTCTGCCACACGACAATTTTGAAAATGGAAGCATGGGGCTACAGTGAAAAAAAAAAAAAAAAAAAAAAAAAAAACAAAAACAAAAGAAAAAAATTAAATTAATTTAAACCAAGTTCATCGAAATTAAGTTAAATGAAAAGCCATGAAATAGTATTTTTCCATTTGGTCAATTTCCCCTCTTCTGCTTTTTTTTTTTTTTTTTTTTTTTTTTTTTTTTTTCCTTTTTTAAAGTCTTAAAAAAGCCATCATGAGAAGAGACGAAGTGGCCTAGGGCACAGTTTTGTTATGTGAAGGGAATGTCCACAAAAATGAAGAAATAAAAAATAGCAAGAGGAAGTAATGTTACACATGAATGCACCAAATCAACATTTCTACCCGAATTCGATGATATATGATTCCTAACAATTTTTGTGTTTTCCCTTTAGAAATGGAATTCCTTTATTTAAGATCATATTACAATGACATTATGTTTTTTATTTTACTCTGTGTTTACTAGTTTTTTTGTGCTACACGTTTTAACCATTTTAATATCTTTTATGTGGAGAGTCTTATTCAAGAGATTCATTCGCACAACAGAACATTAAGGGAGCTATAAGAGCAATTTGTGGCAATTTCACAATTGAAATTCAAATTTTGGAAAAAATATAAACTTTTTTTTTTTTTTTTTCAAATGTTGAGGACTGTTTTAAGGGGCGTGTGTGTGGGTGGGTGGGTGAATCCCTTGGAAGATTTATGAACAAGTAGACGAATGAGGTAACTATATCATGTAAGGAGAGGAACATACCTATTATGCAACACAGAGAGATGCTAATCTATGGATGTTAAAAAATGAATTCATTTTTTTATCATCTGAACAATGCAGAGTAATATGGAAAAATGTTATACTACCATATATCTTTGTAACGAAGTAAATATTTGCGTGTATAATTTTGGTTTTTTCTAGTATTCTTCAAGTTCAAAATAAAATAAAACAACTGTTAGAGGTTCTCATCAGGTGTATACATTGAAAGGTGTTCTTCATTCAAGGAAACGAATAAAAAAACGAAAAAAAAAGAATGAAAATGTATATCTAGCTCCATGCAAGTGGTATATGTGCATGTGCACCTTAAACGGCTTAAAACCATTTTTACTGGGACTTATTCTAATTAAAGAACAGAATTGCTCAAACTGAAGAGGTGTAGAACACTCCTTTTGTCTTTTTTGCATACTCTTCATGTTTTAGTTAAAAAAATAACGAGATATTTCTTCTCCTACACAAGCTTATGTATGTGCATGTGTATACAATCCTAATTTTTTAGTGTGACCAAGACAAGGTTCTTTTTTCTTCAAATAAACGTGTGGTGGGTGGGTTCCTAATTGGGTTCGTAAGTACCTGCACGAGCCGTTTCTTCCTCTGTCTACTTTTTCTTAGGATAACCTAATATCACTTCTATATTGTGTAGGAAATTCTCTGTCCATCCATTTCTGCATCGTTCTAGTACTCCCCCTGTGAATAATTTTAAATAAAATGAAATGCCACAACATTGTAATGTGATCTATGAAAACATCAACTAATCATTTTGGGCAATGTTCATGTAGAGAAATGGTGAAACGCAGCAAAATGATGCTGTTCATACAGAAAATGAACAGAAAATCGGTGCACAAAAAAATTACACAAGGATTCTTAATTTATGGCATTGCTAAAAAGTTACATATTTGCATGTACAAATATGCAAGCACCTCAAACAAATGCAAGTGGCGCAAACATGCATGAGGGTTTTTGAACATCTCGACACTTGCATGAATACATCCTCTCTTCATGGTGCACTATAAAACACACAATTTGGATCCTCCACTCTAGGGGAGGAAAAACACCATGTAACTTGGAAAGACTGGTCTCCTACCCCCCAAGAGGGAACAATAAAAAGATATAAAAAAAAAAAAAAAAAGAAAAAGAAAAAGAAAAAGAAAAAAAAAAAGAAAAAGAAGAAAAAAAAAGAAAAAGAAGAAAAAAAAAGGAAGTAATAATTAATAAATCCTTTTTCATATATTACCTTCGTTATACTTATTTGTGATGGGAATATTTTCCTGTGTCACTTTAAGCAAAGTGTGATTTTCTTTGATACTCATGAATTCTAGTGTTACTTTGCTATAATCCTCATCGCACCAGTCGCGAAATTTCCACTTTTGAACTATTTTTTGGGGTTTTTCAATCTGAACAAATTCTCCATAAATGCTCCCATCAAATAAAGAGAATTTTCCTCCAACTTTGGGTTCCTATAAAAAAGTAGAAGAAAAAAATAAAGTTCACAAAATATATATATGTGTATCTTCTTAAAGTACAGACATATATATATATATATATAAAACGGGAGGGGGGAGGTTCGTTTATTTGGGAAAAATACAACATATGATATGACTCTATGTAGAAGAGAAATCGAACATGATATGAAAAACATAAATGAGTTTCTTCATCCAGAGAGGGAAAGAAAAGAGGGTGAGGTCATATAAAACACATCAGATGTTTCTTTGACCTTTCTCTACTCATGATATAACCGTTTCAGCAGGAGAACCCCTGGAAAGTCTCGTCAAAGTGTAAGAATCTGTGAAGGCATTGAACAAAACCTCTGGAGGGACGTAATATTCTTGCTCAATACTGAAACTCATGTTATTCGGATCGAGAACAGTCGATGTGGATTTTTCACGCGTGAAGGTTAAAGTTATCAGAAGCAAAAAAGGGATGGAAATGAAGATACAAATGTGGAAAAATATCACTACTTTTATAAGGACAAATGCTCAACGTTCACGTGTATGTATATATATTCATATGGATATATGAAATATGTGCTGTTTTGTAGAAATTCTTCGAGGCAATGGCCCCCTAAACATGGCTCTAGAACAAAAAAAGTGAATGAGTAAATAAAGAAACAGGTAAAAAAAAGTGACGTCGTGTTTGCCTCTTAAAGGATATTCATAAAAAGTAATCAAGCAAAAATAAACAAAATAAACAAAATAAACAAAATAAACAAAATAAATAAGTTAAAAAAAAAAAAAAAAAAAAAAAAACTGCCAAATCAACCCGTATGCTATTTCTTTTTCTTTGTACGAAAACCTTTTTGAACGCATCCCCAATGCTTTCATTTTTAAGTTCTGTTAATCTGAAGAGAAAAAAATAGAAAAAAACATCACCCCCATATTGTGAATTTGATGAACAACATTAACGCAGTGTTTGTTAAAATTTGCAGAAGATTGTAAAGGTTTCCCAGGATTTTACAAAAGTTAGCAAGGAGCGTTTAATAAAAGAGGAAGGGAGTGTGATGGGGGAGTGCTCTCCCAGTGCACTTTTTGTCCATTAATATTTATAGAATTTTTTTTCAATTGCAAGTGCGTGACTTGAAGTGAAATAATATGCCACTTGGAGTATAGTAACAGAGCATTCACTCGATGCAGGTGATTATTTTTTTTTTTTTTTTTTTTTTTTTTCACTTACTTTACTTGCAAAGAAAAACAGCTTTAGATACAGACATAAAATATATTTATATAGACCTGTACAAGAATACCAAAAAATTGCTCCCAGGCTTATTAGAGTAAGAGGCATTTTACACATACACACATATATAAATAATGTGTATACATAGGCATGCATACCGATGGGGTCATCCATACTCAATAAATAAAATGCTTCTTTTTCACCTAAGTTTTGTTTAAATAAGATTTGATGAAAAACAAAATGATTAAAAATCGTTTCTGAATAGTTGAGAAAGCATGTACTTTTTCTGTATTCGCTTATAACGAGAAGCATGAAAAAAAAAAAAAAAAAAAAAAAAAAGAGAGTAACAAAAAAATGATTAACCATTTTCATATAGGAAAAACCATATACTTATAAAAACAAAAAGAAAAAATGTGGTACCCCCCCCCATATCTATATATATATCGCACACTAGCAGTTTTCCCCCCACAACCCTTTTTTTTTTTTTTTTTTTTTTTTTTTTAGCAACAACGGAATGTGTTATGAATAAATATTCAAAGTATTGGCAATATGAAAGCATTTGGGGATTTACAAAATAGTTCTTTCTGGAAATTTCTTTTTGTATATTCCTAACTGAAATAAATTTTACTTTAAAAGAATTTATCAGACTAGCCTTTACATCCAGTTATGGAGTTTAAAAAAAAATCAATTCATTACACACACACATGTTTTATGGGGCCTTAAATTTTAACGCAATTCTCCTTTGTGGGGTGTACACTCTCTACCATGATTTTGTGTCACAATAATATGTCACACCTTCTTACCAGTTATTGCTAAGGGCGTGAAAAGATATATGGTACTATGCAGTGAGCGCAAATCTTTTTTCTTTTTACACCAGTTGAAACCTTAAATCTGGTAATATCAATATATATATATATATATATATATATATATATATATATATATATATATTGATGTTTTACATACATACATAAAAGTTCACATTTTTTTTTAATCTCCAACGGGAAATATGCTATGAAAACATTTTTTCATAAAAGAGGTGTTGCTTTTTATTTATTAAACGAAACAGAATATTATATTTATGTGTATATAAATAGGCAAACTTTCATGTGTTTTTTATGCAAAAAAAATAAGTTCATAAGTTACCCTAACAGCGTAAAGTGGATAAATCCCTCGATCTTCCCCCCCTATCCCCTAAATCAAACATAATTACCATAAAAGCTCAACTGAACAGTATTTAAATTTATATTTTTTATACTGAGGTGAAAATAAATACCTTGGGGGGAGCAAATGCAAAATTTTTTTATATAAAAGGGGAAAAAATAAAATACAGTTTTTTTCTTCTTTGCACTTGTATGTAATTTTACATATTTATTATATATATTATGTTAATGCATATTATTTATTGTTATTGTATATAAACGCACAAATTGTGTTGCTGAAAAATTATAGTAATACATAAAAATATATACTCCCCCGATAACACTTCGAAAATTTTGACAAATAAAAAAAAAAAAAAAAAAAAAAAAAGCCGGAGGAAATTAAAAAATAAATATATAGAAAGATTTGTTAAAAGGTCTAAAAACTATAAAAATCTATATAATGAAAGAAAACACACAAAAACATTTTGCCTCACAAGCCATTTCTGTTTGTACACGTAAAAATTAGTTCACTAAAAACACACTTTTCTAAGTTATGAAAATATGTTCATATCTCATAGGGTAATAATCCTCTCATCACTTTACTATAAAAAGAATATAATAAAATAAAAAAGATTATATAATATTCCATACATAAACAACATAGGAAAAAAATAATAAGCCTAGGAAAGATGATGCATTACGATTCCCATATTCCTCTTTTGAATAGCGTTCATTTCATTTCATACTTTGTTAAATATATATATATTATATTTGTACAATTTTATGAGATGAGAAAAACATGAAAAAAAAATAACAAAGTTACTAATTTTTCTTCTTCTCAATAACGTCTATATACTAATTCTGAGTGGATGAAAAATATTGATAAATTAAAAATTGTTTTGCCTTTATATACAAAGGCTACAAAAATTGCTCTCTGCTTTTTCAAGCATCGAGACGGGAATTGGAGTAGTTTTCAACTAGCAATAATCGCGTATCCGTTAGTCGTCATTTACAGCGATAATGCCCCTCCCGCAAAGATGCCATTATTTGTTTTTTTTCTCAGTATGTATTTTTTTCAATATCAAAAATGTACCTATATAAATTGCTTAAATTTTTTTATTTTCACATGCCTGTGAAGAAAAACGACAAAAAATTTTTCAAAAAATTGGCAAAAAAAAAGTCATAAGAGTGTAAAATGGGGTACACATATAGGGTACCATATTTTTCCCCTTGTTTTTTTTAATGTAATTTTTTATGCCCCTTCGTAAACATAAGTGTAGTTTATTTTTTCTTCTTTAAAATTAAAAACTTTAACCCCTTCCCTATAATGAATCAACATTCAGCTTAATGTTTCATTTTAATATTTCCCACTTAATTAGTTCATTCCTAGGGTTGATCAAATTCCCTCCTTAATGCAAATGCCTCATAAGTACTTTTTTTTTTTTTTTTTATTTTCTCATAAATAAGCATCAACTTATTAATCAGCCATTTTTGTCATACCTCAATTTGATTATGAATTAAAATGCATGAATTGATTGCAAGTGAAGACGTAGACTTTCGGTTGCTACATGCCAACTTATTTGACCGTTCCTCCCGTGTAAAGAAAAAATTCTCCACTTTTTTACATTAACATAAAACACAATAACTATGGGGAAATTGTTTTATGCCGCAATAGTTACAGGCATGTAACTTTCACGTTCAGCCCATTTTTACCTGAACATGTCAGGTAAAAGTGCGAGTAATTATTACTTTTTTCGAAATTTACCTGACCCGTGTGTCACGGTCAGTCTATGTGTAAAAATTTATCATAAGAATACTTTCCCCTTTTAAAATGCCCAAAGGATGTAAATGTGTACAAATATATTTACTCACACAGTGGTGGGCTAATACGCATATATGTGTTCTTATATTTACATGTATATATATATATATATATATATATATATATATATATATATATATTTACATACACATTTATACACACGTATTTGTATATATTTATATACACATATTTATATATATTATGTTTTTTTTTTTTTGAGGGGGGAGTGGCTTATACGGGTTCCCCCTCCTTTTTTCGCAGTTGTGGTTTTAGCAAAGGGTATTGCACATCGGTTGGTTAAGAAGATGCGGATATATTTTTTCAAAGTTTATATGATGTAAACATTTTTAAGCACTCAATATATGTGATAAAGCACTGTAAAAGAAAGGGAAAAAAAAAAAAAAAAAAAAAAAAAATTACTATTGCAACTGCAATTACTGCCATTGTTATAATTTCTCTATAATTTGGCGTTTCATTTTCTGTCACATTAACAACCCGTTTTTGTTCTAATCATTTTCCTTATTTTAATTAAAAAAAGAAAAAAAAAAAAAAAAAAAATCCAGGGGAGATATTTTGTTCTGATGAATTTTGCTTCTTTTCTGTACCTCGGCAACAATAAATAAAATTTAACAAGAACAAAATTGTTAAAAAGGAAGTTTTTGTGGAAGGCAAATTATTTTATATGCCCTTTTTTTTGCAATTGTCGATTTTTTTTATAGTAGTAACAATATTCTAAGGGGGGGTACTACCTTTTTAATTCATTGCAACCATGTTTTTTTTTTTTTTTCTTGATTGTTCTTCTCCCATTTCCCCCATATTTAATTCATTTATTCTCCGTAACACAATACACTATATAAATGACTATCGGATGTGAATGCACAACATCACTGTTCATTGTATAGTCTTTTAAAAAGAAATTCAGTTATATTTTTTGCCTTCGTCCACTGGCTTTTTTTTTTTTTTTTTTTTAAAGGATATTTATATTTGCGACGATGAGCTTTTTTTTTTTTTTTTTTTTGAAGTGTGTGTAGGAAAAGAATTCCTTTTCTCCCGTCAGCGAAAATGCTTATGTGTGAAGAGGGTTTACACATAAGGTTAATATAATAATAAGAAAGCATCGATCTTTGAAAGATAATTCCTGTTTATTAGTAACCCTAATTTTTTTAAAATAATAAAATTCGATGATAACAAACTTATCAAAGCGTTTACATATGTGGGCTATTTTGTATGAACAACATTTTTGTCGTCCACTCTTCCTCTGTCATTACGTGATTTTGTCTCTTTTCATTTTTCGGCTGTTTTGAGTGTGTTCAGAGGGCAGCTTACCCCTTCTTTGAGGTTTCAACCGGAGTTGTGTGAGCAAAGGGGTAAAAATTATGCACATGCGTGAATATGCCCGTGTAATACACTCGTGTGTAATATGCTCATGTGTAGTATGCCTATGCATTACACATGCGTATGTATGCATAGTACTATCCAATCGGTAGATGCCAGGTTTTCATGTAACCACATCCTACCCACCCACCCACACACAACTGTTTTTGTGCTCACGCATGGTTTTGACAATCATAGGAAATTTTATTTCATAAAGTCATATTTGCAATTTATGCATCACTGAAATGTGCATATTTTTTCGTGTCACCAGTGTACTTGTTTTCACTCTCCATAAATTGAATGGCCCTTTCTTTTGTGCATATTTGTGAAGAACATTGTTAAATACTTGCTGTTTTGCTGCTTTGTTATTTCGCAACTTTACCAATTTAGTACTTTCCACATTAGTACTTACCATTTGACTACTGTACTGCTTTGTTGTCATTTCCATTTCCCCAGCTAGATAATTCTCTTGGGATTTATTTTACATTATGGCTAGTCGTTTGACGTCCCTGTTGTGCAGTGTCGGGAAGTTGCCTTGTGATGGTGGAGAGTTCAGTCCTCGAAAATGCTCATATGGAAATATAAATTTGTGTAGTTTAGGTTCCGTAAGTCTAAACAAAGGAAGACCATTAAACGAAACTTTGAATACAAGTAACACTGAAGACGTGTATAACTGTCAAAACAGTCGCGACATGTATAACTGTCAAAACAGTCCCGACATGTATAACTGTCAAAATAGTCCCGACATGTATAACTGTCAAAATAGTCCCGATGTGTATAATTATCAATATACTTCCGACGTGCATAACTATAAATATAGCCCCGACGTGCATAACTATGAATATAGCCCCGACGTGCATAACTATGAATATAGCCCCGACGTGCATAACTATGAATATAGCCCCGACGTGCATAACTATGAATATAGCCCCGACGTGCATAACTATGAATATAGCCCCGACGTGCATAACTATGAATATAGCCCCGACGTGCATAAGTGCCAAAACAGTTCCAATACAGTCAATTTATGTTTTAACAGGTGCATTAAAAAAGACCTAACGTGCAACATAGAAAGGTATAACATAAACGTAGGGAAAATATGTCCTGGTTTTTCAGATGGCTTGTCACAAAATAATTGTCAGCAGGAAGAAGAGGATACTGGTGATGTTATTGAATTAGATGATGAAGTGCTCATAGGTAACTTCCCGTATGGTTGTTTACAAGAAGCTGTAGAAAATTCCTTGATAACTTTGGAAGATGGAACTTATCGTGTTATTAGTGATGCTAATTTAATGACTAATCAGAAGGATTCAAATTTGTCAATACATAACATAAAAATAAGTGGAAAAAATCCAAGTCATTTATATAACGAAATAGTGAAACCTAAGTTGGATATGAATCAAAATTCAATAGGTAAAGAATCAATCGAAATGGATTTTACACATAAAACAAATGAATGTAACATGACAATCGGGGATAGTGCAGAAAGAAAAATGAAGAAAAAAAAAAAAAAAAACCATAATAATACAAAGAAAAAAAACGTGAACGAAAGCTTAAGGAACAGAATTTTACACTCTATGTTTGGTTCGCGCACTAAGGGGGAACGTTCAGCTTCAAATTCGTCTCTTTCGTGTAGAGAAAAACCTTCAGATGCGTCGTCAGAATTTCTGTCTGTTATTAGTGGCATGAAGGGGTAATACTTGATTTGGAGCATGAAGTTTGGCGTTTGATTTGGAACTCCTTGGAGAGTTGATGATGCAAAAACATTGATTTTAGAATGGATAGACAGAAGGAATATTTTAACTATGTCCCATTTATAGGAAACAAATGAAATGTTGATAAAGGAGTGAAAGAAAAAAAAAAAAGAAAATGTAATATACATAAATATGTAAGGAACAAATAGAGGACATAAAGGTGAATTTATTATTATTATTATTTTTTTTTTTTTTATTGTTTTTTTTCCGTTTCAAACCTGATCTGTTCAGGTGTAAAAAGTTGATGTGGCGATTACACAAAAAAGCAGAACCATTTATTACTACATTATGTTATGTTATGTTTTCTTTTGTTCTGTTTTGTTTTGTTTTTTTCGATTTTTTTGAGTTCATTTTCGTGTTAGGTCACGTGTGAGTCTTTCACATGTGAAAAACCTGAATGCGAATTTTCCATGTTGGGCCACCATTTTAAAATTATTCACTTTTGCATGTATGACTAACCCATTACTCCAACTGACCGACCCCATTTTATGTATGTGTGTATGTGTGTATGTTTGTATGTGTGTATGTGTGTATGTTTGTATGTGTGTATGTGTGTATGTTTGTATGTGTGTATGTGTGTATGTTTGTATGTGTGTATGTTTGTATGTGTGTATGTGTGTATGTGTGTATGTGTGTATGTGAGTGTGTAAGTATCCGTGTATGTATGTTTGTATGTACATACATAACTTGTTTTTCTCCTGTGGCCAGTTGATATTTATTCCTAATTTTGAAGCACTAGTCACCTTAAATTTTATAAACGTATTAACTTTCTTTCACCTCTTTTCATATCTTTTCTAATAGCCCATGTCAAAATAACATTATCAACACAAAATATTTTCTCCTACATTATTGGTTAGTTTTTAATTTTATATATAAATACCTTGTGTTCAGCCCATTTTTAAATAAAAAAATATGAATCCAAAAATGTTTAAGTTATAGGTAGATACGGTGGGGGATTGGGGGAAATATTAAAAATATTTTACTTTATTATTAAACGCGTTCTCACTAAAGAAATGATTTTTTCTTTGTTTTTTTTATCCCTATTTTATTGTCCCCTCTTTTTTTTTCTTTTGAGTCCAAGTTCGCATAAGCATAAAAAGGGAAAGACATGCAAACAGGAGATGATGATGATTATATGTACTTATGTAACTACAAAAAGTAGTGACATATTTTTATGTGTATTTATTTTGTTTCTACTTAAGTGTATATTCTTCTTTAATTTTTTTTTTTTTTTTTTTTTTTTTTTTTTAACGTCCTTAAGGATTACAAGTCCTCACTTCACCTATTCACGAATTTTGGGAAAAACACAATCAGTGTATTATTATACGCATAAATTGTAAGTATCGAAAAAAGGGACACCCCGACACAGCTTTACACATGCAGGAGAAAAATATTAAGGTGGGCATTTTTTGGATTTCCCAACTGTAGCTCTTTTTTTTTTTTTTTTTTTTTTACATTTGACTTAATTTTTTTGTGATTTCTTTCTTTTTTTTTCTTCCTCTATCACACCCCATTCAGAAAAAGAAATAAGTGCAACGGAAACAAAAATAGGAGATTTGTGCATGATAACATAATGGCCCTTTGAAAGGATGTAATATATATATATATATATATACATATTATTTTTTTTTTCGTTTGAGGTTTCTTCATTTCACTCCTCCCTTTTTCTTATTTTTATTTTATTTTTTTTTTTTATCTTATTTTTATCATTATTCAATTTAGCTAAATGCAAGAATAAATACTGTGCCACGCTCTTGTTTTTCATGTTCTACTTTTTTGTATGTTGCGAAGATTTTTCGCTCTACATAAAACCTACGGCTGATTTTGCAGCGGCCAAGCCGGTGAATAGAAAGGAGAAAAGAAAAGAAGTAAAAAGAAAAGAAGTGAAAAGAAAAGAAGTGAAAAGAAAAGAAGTGAAAAGAAAAGAAGTGAAAAGAAAAGAAGTGAAAAGAAAAGAAGTGAAAAGAAAAGAAGTGAAAAGAAAAGAAGTGAAAAGAAAAGAAGTATACAGCAAAGAAGTGAAAAGAAAAGAAGTGAAAAGAAAAGAAGTGAAAAGAAAAGAAGTGAAAAGAAAAGAAGTGAAAAGAAAAAGATTTAAAAAAAGAGCAAGATAAAGAAACCAAGCCGTGAGCACATAAGGGCATACACACTAGACGTTGCAGAACGGTATCAGTTTTTTTTTACCTTTGCACGCGTTGCATTTTTCTGCCAAGGTCACTGAGGAAAATATAAAATTCTTCCAAATTTTTTCAAAATAACAGTACGTCAACTTGTATACACATTTTTTCCCGCCGTCCCCCAAGTTGTTGTAACAGTTCCCTTAAAACAAAATGAGTCACCTGATGGTATGTCCCTTTAATCTCCTAAAAGGGGAGAAGAAAAATGAGAAAAAAAAAAAAAAAAATAGGAGTGATAATTACTCGACTTTCATGTCATTAGAGAGGGAGAAAGTTCTTTAAGAAGTGTTCATGCTGCTTGCCCATTCAATTGTTACAAAATGTAATTGCAGGTGTAGCTTTTTAGGTGTCGTACTTTTGAAGGTCTATGTAATCGACCTGCTTTTTTTTTTTTTTTTTTTTTTTTTTTTTTTGCACACGCGTGTTTTTCACAATTGTGTTATATATATGTATATGTATATATGTATATACATGTATGTATATAAAATATGGCTATGATTTTTTTTTGTCCCTTTTTTACATCTCCATTATCCCACTTTTGATGCGCAGTCTTTACCAATTGTCCTGTTGAAGGAAGGAACAGATAAAGCACAAGGAAAGAGTCAAATAATTCGAAACATTAATGCTTGTCAAATTATAGTTGACATAATAAAAACTACTCTAGGCCCAAGAGGTATGGATAAGTTGATATATAATGAAAAAGATGTAACAATAACAAATGATGGTGCTACTGTGATGAATTTGTTAAATATATCTCACCCAGCTGCTTCTATACTTGTGGATATTGCAAAATCTCAAGATGAAGAAGTTGGGGATGGTACTACATCTGTGGTAGTAGTAGCTGGAGAACTGTTAAATGAAGCAAAAGGGTTACTAAATGATGGAATAGAACCCAATATGATTATTGATGGGTTCAGAAATGCATGCAATGTTGCAATAAACAAATTAAATGAATTGAGTTTAAATTTTGTAAGTAAAAGTGAAGAAGAAAAAAAAAGTATACTGATAAAATGTGCTCAAACTGCATTAAATTCTAAGTTAGTTTCTAATCATAAAGGTTTCTTTAGCCAATTGGTTGTAAATGCTGTATACAAATTAGGAGATAATTTGGACAAATCAAATATAGGAATAAAAAAAGTTACTGGAGGTTCATGTTTAGATACACAATTAATTTACGGAGTTGCATTTAAAAAAACATTCTCGTATGCAGGTTTTGAACAACAACCAAAAAAATTTCAGAACCCCAAAATTTTACTTCTAAATGTAGAACTAGAATTAAAGGCAGAAAAAGAAAACGCAGAAGTAAGAATCGATAATCCAAATGAATATAATTCTATTGTTCAAGCAGAATGGGATATTATATTTAAAAAATTAAATTTAATAAAAGATAGTGGAACAAACATAGTTCTCTCGAGACTTCCAATTGGAGATATTGCAACTCAATTTTTTGCTGATAATGATATTTTCTGTGCAGGGAGAGTAGAAGATGCAGATTTAAAAAGAACTGCAAATGCTACAGGTGCTGTTGTACAAACATCTCTATTCAATTTAAATGAAAACATATTAGGAAATTGTGGAATATTTGAAGAAGTGCAAATAGGAAATGAAAGATACAATATTTTTAAAGAATGTTTAAAAACTAAAACTGTAACTATAATTTTAAGAGGGGGTGCTAACCAATTTATAGAAGAAGTAGAAAGATCAATTAATGATGCAATTATGATTGTACTTCGATGTATTGGCAATTCAGAAATTGTTCCAGGAGCTGGTTCAATCGAAATGCAATTATCCAAGTATCTCAGAATTTATAGTAGATCAATATGTAATAAGGAACAAATTGTTTTATACTCATTTGCAAAAGCTCTTGAGTCTATCCCTCGACATTTAGCACACAATGCTGGATATGATTCCACAGATATTTTAAACAAATTAAGGAAAAAACACTCAGAAGAAACTAGTGATATCTGGTATGGAGTTGATTGCCAAGAGGGAGATATCATTAATGCATATGATAATTGTATTTTTGAAGTAACAAAAATTAAAAGAAATGTTATTTACAGTGCCACGGAAGCAGCATGTCTAATTCTTTCCATTGATGAAACCATCAAGAATCCGAGCAGCAGTGCTGACAAGGGGCCAAGAAATCCATATGCTTGATGAGAGAAGAGTGTACTCTTTTGGAAATTAGAAAAAGAAGGAGAAAAAAAATAAAATAAAATAAAAATAAAGAAAAAAAGATGAATCTGCTGCAGCACTGAAAAAGGAATTTTGTAGCATTCATAAAAAAGGCATTTTCCAGAGTTGACCGGCCCTCCATAAACCGTCAAAATGACACATAAAGAGAGACATGTATATATACATGTGAATGTATGCAGACCCTTTTTGTATGTATCCATCATGGTAATGACTCATCATATGAAAAAGCAATTTATAATATGCTAAGAATAGTAGTGTGCACCTCTCGCCCCCGTATATGGACGACATTTCTCAAAAATGTATACATCACCTTTGGGAAAATACATGTATAACTAGCTTAGCCATTTGGCGAGCTCTCATAACAAATCTATACTAATTAATTTTTTTATTTTTATGCCACTTTTTTTATGCCACTTTTTTTATGCCACTTTTTTTATGCCACTTTTTTTATGCCATTTTTTTATGCCATTTTTTTATGCCACTTTTTTTATGCCACTTTTTTTATGCCATTTTTTTATGCCATTTTTTTATGCCATTTTTTTAATCCAAATTGTGTTAACACTTATGCTCAGTATTATATACATGTGGGAATATATTTTACCAAATGTGCATAGGTGCAAAAACACCGCATACATAAAGAGTAATACTAATTTATAACATCCCATTTTGATATGAACATCCATGCCTTAAGGCGATAGAAGTATCATGTTATCTTCATATGCATCAAATGGTTATAATAGACACTTCACCCGCAGTATTGCAGGGTGTGTGTGTGTGTTTACAAAAAAAAATTAACACAAATTATGGATTACAAAATTTTGGCGAAAATAAAAAAAAAAGGAAAAAAAAAAAAAAGCTGCACAAGTCAGAAAAAAGTAGAAAAAAAATGTATTCTTAAATTGCATGCACATGAATAAAAATTTTGGTAAAAAAAAAATAAAAGAGTCTATATAACGGGAGAGGAGAAATATCCTCCCCCTCCCACTTGCACACATTAGACGGAAGATGTAAACTTGTGGGGAATAAAGTCCATGGAGAATAACTTAACTGACACTGGATATGTACATCCTTAGAAGGGTCATGTGCAAAGTATTTGAGGCAACTGTTATGAAAATTGGAATATCGTGTATGCAACAGAAGGGGGTTGTTGTGAGGGGAGCCAAAACAAAAAAAAAAATATATATATATATATATATATATATATATACATACCTTGTGTACATGTATATATGCACATATATGTGCTCACATGTGCATGCATTTTTCCATGTCCCTTAAGAACCAAACTTTTTATTCCCTATTTGATTGAGCACGCATTTTATCACACATGCAGGGATGTTATCATTTGATGTATCACCCTCGTCATTTGATTTGACATGAGCACCCGTGCTGTTATGCGTGCTTTTATTTCTGCTTTCGCTACCATTTTTATCACCACACCTAAGTACAGTTCCATTCTGAATTCCACAATTTCTCTTCCGTTTTGGGGGAGGTATTTTGTGCTTTTCTCCAAGTTCTAGCTTAAACCGCTCCGTCTTGTTTTTTATTTTTCCACTAAAATATTGGACCCCTCCAATGATTTTCGTGGGTCCATTAATGAGAAAAGATGTAGACCTTACAAGTGTTTTTTGATTATTAAACATAACCAAATGGTTTTTACAATTATTCTGCTTTTTTACCTCTACTGATAAGTTATCACCTATTTCATTTTTTTGTGAATACGAATCACCTTCCTTATATATTTTCTCATCATGAATCTTTTGATTTACCTTATCACATATTTCCATCTGATTTCGATCCATATCTTCATTCTTATCAGAATTGATGTTTAAATAACAAGTGTTTTTCTTCCATTGAGGTTCATTTAGAGAACCAACGTTCATCTCTTCTCTCCTATTTGTTTTACCCTTTTGGGGATTTTCCATATCTATCGCCCCTTCTCCACTTTTATGACTCCGAATAATGAGTTTACTATGACAGATAGCTATTTTACCATCAGATTCAGTAAAACAGTAGTCTCCTTTTTCTGAACTCATCCTTTGGTTGGAAATGTCCACTTGTGTTGAATTTTTTACATTGTGTTCTTCACATCTAATCAAGGAAGAACCTTCTGAATCAGAACATGGATTGGTATTTTTTTCCCTCGCATGTGTACCACAAAATGGTTTCACTTCACTTGAATTTTCCAAGATCGAGTAACTTAACGCTTTCCTATTCCTACTGTGCAAAGGGATTCCACTGCAACTAGCGCTACTATTGCCACCACTATTGTCACCACTATTGTCACCACTATTGTCACCACTATTGTCACCACTATTGCCACCACTATTGTCACCACTATTGTCACCACTATTGCCACCACTATTGCCACCACTATTGCCACTACTATTGCCACCACTATTGCCACTACTATTGCCACTACTATTGCCACTACTATTGCCACTACTATTGTCACCACTACTAGTACTAACCTTCTTGATATGAGAGGCGCAAATCTGCTGAACGTGTTCAGAATTTACCCTTTTGTTAAGGTTCATGTAGGACCTTCTGTTCATACAATTAGGAGCACTAGTTATTTGTGATTCTTCAGTTGCACTGTTCTTTGTTATCCCCTCTTGGCTGTAAAACGGCACGTCATTTTTCCCTACATGACCCTTCTTTTTTTCTGTCTCCCTCAGATTACACTTTTGGTGCATATTATTTTTGCATTGAATTTTTGTTTCCTTCTGATTAGTGTCTTCCAAATTAGAGGAATAATGATTTGTGTTATGTGATAAATTTATTTTATCCAAAAAATTCTGAACTTCATCAATTCTGAATAATTCTCCAGTTTTCATGTGTATCTCTTCTAAACCATCGGAAGTATTGCTTTCCCTCTTATATTCCCCTTCTGTATATCTGATTAACTGCTTATCATAATTAACTTCCTCCATTGTTGTAAGATTTTTCAACGTTGTGTTTTTAAGAACCTGCATATTTTTCGAATGGTACATTTTGTTATCCGTTTCATGTGGAGAAGTTTCTTCTTTGCTATTCTCTTTGTCTATGTAAGTTATATAATCAGAGTCCTTTTCCCCCTCCTTTTTTCTGCTATTCCTTTTTGAGAAATCATTTTCTAGACATTCTGTGGCAATTCCCACGATGTGTTTGTTCCAATTATTGCAATTTTCCTTTTGTTTATCATATGTGTTCGCGTGGGTGCCACTTCCACTTCCATTGCAGTCTCTACCATGCTTTTTTCCTTCTCCGATGATTGCTTCATTTTTGGTTTCCCCCATTTCGATTGCTTCGATTTCGATTGCTTCACTTGGTTCTACACCTGAATCAGGGGAAAAAACGTCATTGCACATCGTCGACAAATTTTTATTTAGATCTTCTTTCTTCTGTATTTTTTGTCCATACAATGGGCCACTGATTGGATTATCACGGGAGAAGGAATTGGGAATGGAAGAAGTAGGGCTAGAAGTCTGAGTGGAGGAATTGAGAGCGCATGAATTGGGAATGGAAGAAGTAGGGTCGGAGGGGAGAGGAGAAAATTTGGCTTGATCTCTTTTCCTCTTGTCTGTATTTTCATTTTCAAGTTTCCCGTTTCTCTCCCAACCCATCTCGTCCATAGATTTTACAGATATCCCTTTTGTGTCTTCATCATTAGTCCGTACCCCATGCACACTGTTGCTGTCTGCGTCCAGTGAATAATTTCCATGTGGAAATTTCCAATCCATATTTAATGAGAGAAAATGCTTTTCCTCATGAACCAGATTATGGTTCACAGCATCAATGTGTACATCTGGTGGATATACGTTCCATTTTTCAGGAGTTTTTACTAGGGTGCGTAACATGGCTCCTTTATTTTTCCCTTCTCTTCCTGAGCCATGTTCATTTGAAACACTTTCATTTTCCTTTTTAAGTTTATAATTTTCGTAATGGTTTTTGTTCATTTGCACATTTATCCTTTCACTTTCGTTATGCGGATTCGGGTTCAGATTCGGGTTCAGACTCGGATTCAAGGTTAGCTTTTTAGATTTTCCTTCCACTTGTGCGTTAAGTGCTAAATGTGCTGATAATGTTTTTTCCCATGCATCTTTTTGTGGCGAAAAGGGATTCAAAGATTCCAAGCTTTGGGATTCTTCCTGCAGATTCTTTTTGATTTCTGCTAATGTGTTTTCATCTATAGATTCTGATAAGTTTATCTGATCAGTAATAAAATCATCAATTTCATATCTCTTAACATTTTTATAAAATTCGGAGCTCTTTATACCATCATAATAATATAACAAGCTCGAATCTCTCATCAATCTGTCGTATTCATAATTGCTTGTATCGCTACTTAGTAAAGTTTCTATACTACCATCTTGTCTAATTTGATGAATAGGGTTCAAGTTGTTTGTTTGATTCTTATTACTAACTTGGGAATTATCCTTCGTGTGATACATAAATGGATGTTCTACTAAATTCGAGGCAAAATGTTTATATATTGTATTTACATTGTCATAATTAAATTGAAACATTGAATTGTGCATATTTATTTTAGGATGAAACGAAGGAACAAGAGCTGATGATTTGTTTTCTTTTTTTATATTCATAAGTATATTAAAAAGTTCATTTATTTCGTTTTCATTTTTTTTTGTTAATAACCAATAACCAATTAAGTCTTTTTTTTCATTGTATTCTGTGATCTCTATACCGTATGGGTAATTTCGTTTTTCTAATGTGGTTATATTTGTTATATCAGAATTTGTAAACAATTTGATGCTTACATTAGCAATACTTATGATGGATTCAATATCATTGCTGAAGTTGTTTATTATATTTTTTGATATGAAGTGGCTGCTTCCACATGGCTCATTATTTGAAGTGTCATTCTCATGGTTCTTGGGATTGGGGATTTCTTCCTGCCCATCCTTGCACATTTCCTTATCGGCACCAAAGTGCATCTCCCCATCAGCACCAGTAGGGCCCACAGAGTGAACCAAATGTGCGTGCGTGTGTATGCACAAATATATGGAACGAAGAGAAACTGTTCTGCTTTCCCATCTCTGATGTAAGGAATCTTTCCTCCAAAACTGTTGCTGATATATTATGTCCATGTTCATATACAAATCTGTAAATGGTAGGACATGGAAATATTTTTGCCTCCTCTTTGCATCACTAGTTACTGGTGGTAACCTGTCTTTGTTGTAGATCCTTTTCTGTATAAACTTTTTAAAATGTGAAGGATACATAGGAACTTCAGTGTCACAATTGAGGAGTTTCTGAAATTCCTTCTGAATTCGATCAGATATATCATTAACATTTTTTTTCGTTTTTCCAATTTCTAATTTCATATTTTCAGTTAATGAAGGTAAATATTCTGATTTTATTTTGGAATGCGGAATTTCCAGTTTTTCTTTGATGTCTATTAGATTATCTTTTGTAAAGAATAGACACTTAAATGATTCCAATTTTTGTACATAATAATCTAGGGAGAGCCCTGCATTTCTGTTACTTAATTTTACCATGTGTTGAATTTCATTTTTTTTTTTTTCTAAATAGTTATGATAATTCATTCTTTGTTCATCTAGCTTTTTTAAAAAATTTGTGCTTCTATCTTGTATCAATTTTAAGCGTTCATGCATTTCCATTTTTTTTTTTTCTAAAAAGTTGTTTGTAATTGTGAAGGAAGCTCTTATAGATCTCTTATTATTTTTGCATGTGATTTTTCCATACTTATATATATTCTTTAGAGATGGTATTGCATTCTTAACAATTAGCGATTTCTTACATAATATGTCTAATTTGTCATTTAATTCTTTTTTAATTTCGTTTTTTGCATCTATTAAAGTGTATATTTCATGACTCCCACGGATTAATTTGAACCCAGGTTTTAGATTAATTATATCGTTCTCGTTTATACCTGGATTGTTCGTTGTTGTTTCTCCTATTTCATTAGATTCCGATTTATTGATTCTGACAATAACTTGTTTTTTTTCTCCTTCCCTAATGGGATTACCTTGATCAGGATGATGTGTAGAATGAGTGCAGTTCATTTGATTACTCTTTTTTGGTTCCACTTCTGGACATGTACTATAATCAGTTGGGGATGCAACACGTTCGTTTTTATTATTAGGAACTACGCACGTAGTACCAGATTTGCAGCTTGTCTCATTCATGGTTTCAATATCCCCTCCAGCTTCGACACTTCCTTTTTTGTTTTTTCCTTTTTCTACTTGTGTAATTTTCTGTACATGCACAGGATCGTTCAACAAGCAATCTGTACATAGAAGAGTATACATACATGTTTTACAAGTATATTTTACATATTCATTAGTGTGAATAGGACATTTTTCTTTAACTTTCATTGGAATATTACTGTCCATTTCGACTAACCATTTGTCTTTTTCCTTCAATATGATATGATTGTATGCGTAATTGTTTTCATATAATCCACTACTAGCGACATTTACGATATGGTTTTGAGTATCCTTATGCAATTTTATGTTACATATTGCACACAAAAATATGTTACATGTTTTACAAAACACAGTTGAAATGTTAAGAAAGCAATTCATACATGTTCTAAATTCACCTATACAAGGAGCAGTGTGATTAATATTTACATGCTTCAAATAATCGTTTAAGTTTTTATTGCTTTTATTTGTGTAACGAACATCGTACATATTATCCATAATGTTGTATTGTGTATTTATTTCTCCTTTTCTATAACACTGTATAACATTTTTTTGACAATTTGAATTAAAATTCAAGTCATTTCTGTTAACAAAACAGTTCATATTTTCCTTTTCGTTTAAATTCAGAGGATGTTGCGTGGTTGTCTCTTCACTATTTTGATTATGTTGCCATCTTTCACATTTCTTGTAAGGTAGGTTTATGTTTATATGATTCGTCAGATTTGCCTCATCCTTCCTTTCATTGTTAAAGGGGTTGTCTTGTTCATATTTTAGCACGTTGCTTTTGCACCCATTTGGTGCCACGAATAAAGGTTCTCGAATGACGATTTTGTCTTTCATTTTATACCTCTAGTAATGGCGGTCAGAGGAATTTTTGGCATCCTCTGACTAGCGTTCGTGTGCTTCTTCACAATTGAGTAATCTTGATTATGCGCGTACAATCATGTGTGTGTGTGTACTCAGGAGTATGTATATTTTTTTCCTTGTCTGTCTATAGTTCACACTTCAACGCAAAAAAAAAAAAAAAGAAAAAAAAGGGGCCACGTTTCAATCATTAGGCACACTTGTATGAACATCAACATGCATACTTGCATAGATACATGTATACTCACATTTTTCCAATTTCAAAAAAATTACAAAAAAAAAAAAAAAGTCCTAAAAGAGATACGTGCTGTCCAACAGTTATTTTTGGAAAGGTGCATATAAAGAGAGTGTTACATGAATATTTTTCGTATATGTATCTGCTTTGTGTGTTTTTGCATGTAATAAATGCATATCAAAACAAACAGAGGGCCATTTGTCCCCATTTTAGTGAATGTAAAAACATTATGTTAACGAAATTGTAAATGATTTATTTTTTATTTATTTTATTTTTTTTTTTTTTTTTGCATTAACGCTGCAAAATAATACATGAACAGCAAGCAAGAAAATTTTTTTAACTTACACTACATTACCTCCTTTTGATATATTTTTTCAATCTGTCCACTTTTTTCTTTTATATAATTAATAGATAAATATTTGAGAATTCCTTTACTTTTTACGTTAAAAAGGAACATTCATTATGTAACTACTTTTGAACATTTTTTGCGAAAAAATAGATTTTACGTATGCTCAACAATGGTATTTTTTTTTTTTTCTTTTCCATCTTGTGCGTTAATGCAAAAAAAAAAAAAAAAAAAAAAAAAATCATGCATAGGCAAGAATTATTCTAATATGGGCAATAACATTATGAACTGTTCATATGTTTGCATTGTGCACATACGTAAATGTTATGTTGTGTTGTACTTGTGTATTTTTTTTTATTTTTTTTTTTTAAATTTTCCAAAATAGCTAGCTATGCCCTTTTTGACCAACAAAAATATATACCCCCTACTTTCATTTAAAATAAAAAAAGCAAAATGCCATTTTTTCCCCTAACGTGTAATTCGTAAAAATGTGCCATCCTGGTGGAGGAAAAAACACCTTTTTTGAATTTGCACCTGTCGTATATTTAATAAGGAACATGTGATTACTCTTTTAGAAAAATGAAACTTTAATAATATGAAGTTTGTTAAAAATGTGTGCTGATAAAAAAATAAAATAAATAAAAATAAAATAGTAATGATAAAATAAATGAGACACACGAAAAAGCAAATGTTCAAAGTGAACACATGACATGTCTGGGCATATCTTAAATTGGGGTGGCAAAAGGGAAAAAAAAAATACAAGCCAAAACGGGCCAAAATATAGACCAAAACATAGGCCAAAACATAGGCCAAAATATAGGCCAAAATATAGGCCAAAATATAGGCCAAAATATAGGCCAAAACATAGACCAAAACATAAGTAAAAACGCAAGTATTAGTGTACGTAAAAACATGAATGTAAACGTAACTATGGACATGAACATATACATGTGCAAAGTAAATTGCGTATATAATGGTAAGAGGGAGCGAACAAATTTCGTCAAAAAAAGATAATCGTTTGATTGTTAAAAAAAAAAACACGCGGTATGGGGCCTCGGACGAGACTTATGGATCGAAATTATTTTGCAAAAACGAAAATTGAAAGCACAGCATTAGATGCGTTGGTATCGTTCCTCCATCACTACTCAATGACTGCTTCATCACTTCTTCATCACCACATCATATGTCGAAGGACAAGGTTGTGTGTTCCATGTTTTTTATGTTGACTAGGAGAGCCTTCGGGGAGTGGTCGAAACTTGGGAGGCATACGAGCATGGGCAACTTTTTTTCCTCGTTCATGTATTGCACTTCCAATTGCGTGGAATTTCCGCTAACGAAAATGTGTGGATATTTGTCATCATTTTGTAAACAAAATGGGTCGTTTTGAATGAATGGGTAACAACCCAATGTATCAGGCGAAGTTGGAGATAAGATTCTACTCTGGGCTATTATTTTGAGTGCATCTAATTTTGAATTTTTGGAATAAGAAACAATGTTATTAACAGGTTCGCCAGACATGCAACAGATATTTACATTGTTGACTGAAAAAATGTACGGATTGGTAACACACTGAAAAGAATTATAATTTTTGGCCGTTTTGAAAAATAAATTAGGAAATGGCTGTTGTGGTAATATGGCATCACTTGGATCTTTTTCTCCTGGCATTATGTCAACATAAACAGATGAGCATAGAGAAGCAAGAAATAAGTCAATGGTGTTCATATCTTTTTCATCGTTATCGACATTTCGAAGAGAATTTCCAATAATAATTAGTCTGATTATGTTTTCAGATAAGTGCTTATCTCCATATAATCCTAAAATGAAATCTTTTAATAATGAAGCCTTATTACCATTTTCATTGTTTTCATTGTTTTCACTTATGTACAGTCCTGAAACGAACATAATATATTTATCATCATTAGTAATACATTTTGGAATTTCCAATTTTGGTATATAAGAATAAATCAACTCATCTACATATAAAGATCCATTACTCATACCAGTTCCTTTAATAATTACTGTTAAACCTGTAACATAATAATCACTATTTATCTTTCCTTCAAGTTTTAACCTCGCTGTCTCATCTTCTAAAAATAAAATGTCTTCATCATGTGAATAATTTATGACAATATCATCCGATTCGTTAATTTCGCTTATATATTCATTTAAAATAGATGGCCTTAGTTCCATTTTTTTAAAAAGCGTTCCGATACAATAACAGCTTTCATTTGTTTTAATTTCTTTTAAATACTGTAACAGTTTGTATTCTTTTTCTTTTTTCGTGTCTACTTCCACCTCGTCTACGTTCTTCCCTTCGTATTTAACTTTGCAGCTGTTACTGGAACTACCATCCTCTATTAATTTCTTAACCGTTTTCATTAACAAACTTTTCATAGCTTTTATCCTAGCACTGTATATTTCACAAAATTGTTGTGTGTATGTTGCTTTACTCATTACAAAATCTTTTGATAGATTTTCATAATTGTGATGTTCTTTCTTTATTTTTTTATGAAGAGGAAATTCACAGTACTGATCACTGTCATTTTGATTAGCTCGTTTTGCTGATTCTTCTTTCATTATGTGCGAGATGCAAGGAAGGACTCAAAATTTTGTTAACTGCTTTTCTTACAAGGGGAGGAGAGAAGAAAAAGGGAAAAGAGGGCTTACAAGAGAGGATACAATTCTTCATTCGAATGACATTTTTTTTTTTTTTTTTTTTTTCCTTGTTAACTAGAATATATGTTAAAATCTTGAAACGACTTGAGAGAAAATTTCTTACGTAAGAAAAAAAAAAAAAAAAAAAAAAAAAAAAAAAAATCCGTTGTGCGGGCATGGGACAGATGTAAGTAGGAAGCAGGCGTAATTTTTTTTCTCACACTTTTGAGGCCTCCAAATGGTGCGCTTGTACATGTATGTATGTAGATATGTAAGTACGTGCATATATATATATATATACGTATGTGTGTATATATGCATATACTAAGCAGTGCACATATTTGAGTACACAGTTTTTTCTCTTTTAAGTGCGTCGCATTTTTTTGAGTACAGCGTGATGAGTATCGGTTAAGGAAAAGGAAAAAAATAAAACAAAAAAAAAATAAAATAAAGGGAAAAGAAGTAAAATAATGGGATGGTATGGTAAAAAAAATGAGGCGAAGAAATGGTAAAAAAAAATGAGGCGAAGAAATGGTAAAAAAAATGAGGCGAAGAAATGGTAAAAAAAATGAGGCGAAGAAATGGTAAAAAAAATGAGGCGAAGAAATGGTAAAAAAATATGAGGCAATGGAATGGTAAAAAAATGAAGATAATCGTCTTGACAATTATACAGGCTCCTGTACTAGCGCAACTTAACAATCAAACCAGACGAATGATATTTTATCTTTTCGAAAACAAGTGTATCTTAGACATAAGAATTTTTTTTTTTTTTTTTGCCACGCGTATGTAGAAAGAATGAATGGACGTATAAGATAACAGACAAGTAGAGGGTGGGGGAATATATCAAACACAAGGGAATTTAGGAAGTTCAATGTTGTGTCTATTTTACCATCTTGCACTGGATCGAATATTTTACATGTAAAGTTTGTCACCTATTTTGTGCATTAACAAAAGTATGCTTTATTTCTTCCTTCCAGCAGTGTGATTTATGTTTTTTTTTTTTTTTTTTTTTTTTTTAATCTACACATGTATATGGACACACAGTGCCTATTGCCAGCTGGAATTACACTTTTCTGTACACAGAACAATTTTTTGTATGTTTTTGCGTACCTTGATGAAAATTCTTATATGAACAGAAGCAAAATATTGTATTGTCAAAATGGTGACATGGGAATATATAAATCAATTTTGATGAAGGTTAAAAATTTTGAAATAACTCCAACAGGAGTCATCTATATAAAAAGGTAATGCACACACCTGAACGGATATATATATATATATATAGGTATATGTATAAATTCACATAGGAATGTATTCTGATGTACTGACAGGAAAAGGGAATTTATAATGTTAACCACTTTTGTGTTGTCATGTTCACATGCTCAGTTATTATTGTAAATAACACGATGCCATTATTACACAAACTTCTTTTTTTTTTTTCCATGAACAAATGAAAGTAATGACGAAGTGGTCTCTATTAAAGGGTTCATGTAATAACGTCAGTCTATACACAAGGGTATACATTTTTTTTCCTTTTTTTTCTTTTTTTTCTTTTTTTTCTTTTTTTTTTTCCTTACCATCTCGCATATGGGTAAAGGATGATTAAGTCATACTATCCAAAGGAGAGAAGAAACGACACTAAAAATAAAAAAAAAATAAAAAAAATAAAATAATAGCGACAATAAAGGGGATTACGAAATATAACAATAAAAAAAATAATTACATTTACAATTACAATTAAAATTGTAATAATTCCAAAGGGGCACTTACTTCAAGTGGCAGATATGTAGTGATTGATGAGATCAAAGGACTTGTGGGTACCACTAATGTAATGTTTTTCTAGTAGAAAAAAAAATGCACATTTTCAGGGGCTCCCCTATTACAGAAGAGGAACATCGGCAAGTCTAAATGATCACCTTCTTCTTCTATACATATGCATGCTCAGTTTAGTATGATACAAATACACTTTTGAATGTACATTTGCAATAGGACAATGGGAAAAAAAGAAAAAAAAAAAAAAAAAAAAAAAAAAAAAATCCATACCCGCACAAAATCGCTTGTCTAAAAATTTCTTCAACAATGTGTATATGTGTGCGTATGGGGCGGTGGGTACACATCTCCATGCACATCACGCGGAATTATTAGTTTATTTAAAATGTTCTTACATGCAATAACATATATATTGGGTATGTATGTATCTATCTATATATCTATGCATGCATGTATACATATGCATTACCCTTTCTACGTGAATGAAAATGGATAGGGCTCTTTTTCCTTAGTGTACCCCTTTTTTTTCACAAACAGGGTTACTTAGAAAAATGAATGGAAAAGAATGAGAGAAAAAAAAAAAAAAATTTGTATTTTGTGCATCCATTATGGATCCTGTATGATTAGGCGTGTAAAAACACATACATAGGAAGACTTGATTGTATAAATACAAAAAAAAAAAAAAAAAAAAAAAAAAAAAAAAAAGCATAGACAGAGAGGAAAATAAATGGATAGCACATAATCTTGGATTCAAGATCAGGTTTTCTTCCTCCTGCGTGTATTTTTGGCACATCTATAGCATCTTATATTATTTTTTTTTTCATATGCTATAGTTGCTTGCTTCATCAGGCACGTTTATCAGTCTGATAATTTGAATACTAAGAATGGAAGAAAAAGTGGATAAACTTTTTCCAAAGGATAGTGACATAAGTAATTTAAAAGAATATCAAAATCAAGGGGATTTAAATTTCGAAAATGAAGAGTTGAAAAGAGAAAGAGAAGATATAAAAAATGATCCTGTCTTTGTGAAATGTGTCAAAAATATATGGACAAATGTACTTAATAAACCTTTAGATGGAAAATTTAGTAAAGTAGAATATTTTAAAATAATGTTAAGAATATGTAAAGTATTGATACCAGAATTTGAAATTAAGGAAGTAATAAAAATTGTAACAGATGAATGGAATAATGATTCTAAAGGGAAGAAATACTTAGATTTTGATTCATTTTTCAATGCATTCTTTGAATTATCAGATATTTGGACACCAACTATAAATGCATATGACTATGCTCATTTCTTGAAAACACTTTTTTATAGAATTACATTTATCGAAATTAAAAAAAAAAATGGTGAAATTATAAAAAAGAAACCAATTATTATGATCAATTTTAAACGAAAAGAAGAGAGAAAAAAATTGTCTCTATATGATGATAATATTTTGGGTTCTAAAAATTTTGAAAAAAATGATAAAAGTAGTAGCTTTATTAAAAATATGAAATCAATAAAAAAATTATCTCTTCAATTAGAACAATTTAAAAAACAATTAACAAAAAGATTTAGTGATAATTATAAAATACAAGACTCATTCTTATATGATGATCTGGATGAGGAGGAAGATATGATGGGTAAAAATTTATTTGAAAATTTGCTGAACAATAGAAATAATGATTCCTATTTGCATAGAAATATAGTCCTTATGGATGTTGATGAAATAAACCCTTTAGAGTACCATGCAGAAGATGATATAGAAGATAAGAAATGTTACTCCACGGGGATAGGGGGGAAGGTTAGAAGCTCCTCTCAGGCCACATCTGATTTTAGTACTACATCTGGTAAGACAGTGAAGCGTCTTCATGAGAAATATGCATTCGTGTTATAAAGATGCATATCGAGGAAATTTTCATATTTTGTAAGAAGCACTTACGTCGCTTCGATCTAATGTCTACCCAAGATGTAATTCCACCTAAAACTTCTCCTACAGGCAAAGCAAAGACAAGTACAAATGTAGAACCCGCGAAGGGACAGACGAAGGAAGGACTGATAGAAGGAGCCGCAAAAAAGAAGACAGAATCTGCCGCAGTTTTAGATGCAGTTTTAGATGCAGTGTCAGATGCAGTGCCAGATGCAGTACCAGATGCAATGCCAGATGCAGCTCCCGACGCAGAGTTCGCTGCAGAACCTTCCAGAAAAATCATCGCAGAAGTGCAGAAGGAACATATGGAGGAAGGGGTGGATAAGTCACACTCCGACAAACAAAGTAACGTAACCAGGAGGAATGCATTCAGTTTCTCCCTGAAAACAAAGAATGAGAATGAGAAAGACAAATGGGCAGGAAACGGAAAGAGGAAGACTGAAGGGGATGTGGCAAATGAAATGTCCATGTTAACGCAAATTCAAGAAAGGAAAAAAATTCAGGGCAAGGGTGATGAAATCAGGGAAGCGAGAAAAAAAGGAGACACCATTGTAGAAGGGGAAAAAATGGATTCATTATCTTCTCTCCTCATTGATGGGATCAATTTCTCTGAGTTTACAAAGGAGTGCAAACTTGTCGATTTGAATGAACACAAGGATGGTAGTAGTGGCAATAGCAATGTTAGCGGCAGTAGCAGTGGTGCTACAGATAGGGAGGGGAAAAATATGACCATTATGAATGCATCTGACCATTTTATTCCATCAGACAAAAGGGATCTTTTACGCTTAGAATCGAGTGTTGATTTTGAAAAGGAGATGGCAGGAAAGAAGGAAAGAAGAAATTTTCCTGAAATGAACCAAGGGGATGATGTGATGAAATCGTATGTTAGTCATGAAGAGAAGTGTGGCGTGAAAAGTGACATGGAGAACCGGCTGAAGGGGGATGATTACACCCAGAGTAACATCTGCAAAGAGAGAAAAAGCTCCAAAAGAGACTCTGATAAGGAAGAATCAAAACAAGAAAAGAAAGCTGATACATCGATTGATAAACTTAATGAGGAAGATTTGTTGCATCAAAAGAAAATAAAAACATCAGTGGAGGAAGGAAAAAAATCAATGGATGAATTAAAAGAGGAATTTTCTAAATCATTGGAGAATAAAAAAGGGAAAACAGATGATAGCCCTAGTATATCTGCCACAGAAAAAGAAAAACTTAAGGGAAATCTTTACGGGTCAGACGAAGAATACATAGATGTGTTGAAAAACAATTTGGCAGATGCTGATTTGTATGAAGAGGAGAAAGAAAAAAAAAGTAAAGAAGACAAAGAAAGGAAATCAAATGATATGCTTAAAGCAAAAAATTATCTAGAAAATGAAAAAAGAACTTTAGAGGATTTACGATTAAAAGAAAAAGAAAAATTGAAAAATATGAACAAAAATGATAATTCCATGGATGAACTGCTCGATGAAAATAAAGTCCATTTGGAGAGTCAAGCTAGCATAACTGATAATTCTGATGCATCTAAAATGCGAAAGATTCATCAATCTAGTGTTACAAATGATTCCACTTTTAAAATAAAAGACATATCCTTTGATGACAAACTGGACAAGGAAATGAGGAATAAATCTGAAGAAGCCATGGACAGAGGTGCGGACAGGACGAAAGAACACATGAAATCTGTAATCCATAAGGGGGGGTTGGAACCATCCAAAGTGGTAGAAGCATCCAAAGTGGTAGAAGCATCCAAAGTGGTAGAAGCATCTCAAGTGGTAGAAGCATCCCAAATGACAGAACCATCCCAAATGACAGAACCATCCCAAATGACAGAACCATCCCAAATGACAGAACCATCCCAAATGACAGAAACACCAATCGTGCAAAATGATGCAGAAAATGAGGAGCTGAAACAACAGAGAGACCTCATTTTAACAGTGGACATGGGAGTGTCAGACAAATTGAAATCTTACAAAGATAACTTTGACATGTTCTTGAAGAAAATGAAAAGAGAGAGTAGCTCAAAAAGGAAAAGTGATACTGAAGAGGGAGTAATGCTGAACGCTGAACATGCTTCAAAGGAGAGAAAAGGAGAAGAAGGAAAAGATGTGCATGACGAAAAAGATCGAATAAGAAAAGCAAACGGAGAAAATTATTGTCGAGAGTGGTATGATAAATGGGAAAATGATGATGAAGTTTCCGAAATAGATTTTATGGAAAATGAATTGAGGAATGCAAATAGCCAAGGTGCGGATGTAGCAAATTCAAAAAAGAAAAATGAATTATTTGAAAATTTAGAAATAAAGAAGATCCACAATGAAAACAACAAAAATGATGAGAACGACAGATCCCAATTGGATTTAAATAAAACATTTGGAGAAATGAATAAAATATTAAACGATGTTATTATTAAAAGTGAACTAGCAGCATTGGATAAGGAGGAAAATCAAGATTTGTTGTCAAAATCAGATCCATTGAAAGATCAAGAAGAGTTGTTGTATGATAAAAATGAAGTAGTGAAGAATATACTGCAAAACCAAGATATTGTCAAAAATATTTTATTTGATGAAAAAGAAATCCAGGAACATGGATCGATTAAAGATGAGAAGAATTCTTATACATTGACTTTTTCCCCATTCAAAGAAAGAGAAAAAAATAATGCACTCACGAAAGAAATCAGCAGCAAGGAAAAAACATTCGATACATGCGTAGAAAAAGATTCGCTAGCTAATAAGCAAAACATCACAGGGCTTGTAGGAGACGGTGGAGAGAAAGACGTGGTGAGATATCTCGATGAAGAGAAACATAAATCATTCGTGTGGAATACTGAAAGAATGGGAGAAGTTAGAGATGATGGATTCAAGATCAATGCAAGAGACGAAAGTGGAATATGTGATAAGGATGAGAATGATATGAAAGATGAGCTGTGTGTTGTAAATAGTGAAAAGGGCGTTTCTCCTAAGCATGTCATAAAAAAAGGAGAATCACCTGACGAAATCATAGAAAAAGGCGAATTGCCTGAAGAAGGCATCACCGCAAGGGACGTTGCGCTTGGGCAAATCCAAACGGATGAGAGAACGGAAGACAGAATGGAAGCCAAAATGGAAGCCAAAATAAAAGATAGAATGGAAGCCAAAATGGAAGCCAAAATAAAAGATAGAATGGAAGCCAAAATAGAAGCCAAAATGGAAGCCAAAATAAAAGACAGAATGGAAGCCAAGAGGGACGATTCGGAAAAGAGCGCGATAGAGAAAATGAAATACCTATTCGTGGAGGACGTAAAAAAAATGAGGAGCTTCATAAAAATAAATAAAAAGAGTAAAAGAGAGAATTTCATAATAGTATCAAAAGATCAAGAAGAGTGTGTGTACAATTTGGTGAGAAAATTAAAGGTTGAATTAATCGAGCCATCTATGGTACTTAGAAAAAACATAAACCTTGAAAAAGAATTCTTGTCACCATTGGGAAGGTTAATTAATGCCGATTTGAGAAATGGAAAAAGTATTGATTTTAAGAAAATGATGGATTTAACATTGGAAAATATGAATACTATCATATCCAAAAATAATGGATACGTTTTATACTTCACTGGCGAATTTGTTGATTATTTAGAATATTTTCTGTACAAATTAAAAAAATTGTCTTCTTTAAATTACTTTAATTATATGAATTTTTTAAACATGAATTTTGTAAAAAATGCGATACACGAAGAAGGAATAAATATGGTCCAGTTTTTCTTGAAAGATCAAAATTTGATTATAGCGAACCCCTTCAAGGACTCTTTTCCCGTCTTTAGCATAATTCTAAAGAAGCATGCTAGTCCTAGGTAAATGGATTATATCGAATCTATTTTTTAGCTCCTCTTCTCTCGTCCAAATGGGGAACTTCATCTCTGGTCCAAACGAGGAACCTCATTACCGTTTCAAATGTTTTTTTTTTTTTTTTTTTTTTGACTTGCCATTATGACATAGGCTGCAGAAGCATTTCCTTCGTGTTATTTCATGAGAACTCACACTTTTTATGATCTCTTGGTTCAAGCTCACTTATTTTTCATTAATTCATCCTTTTGAATAGCTCTTTGTACCTTTCATTGATTTTCCTTCCTTTCACATTTTTCTGAATCCCATTGCAGATATGAGGAAAAAAACAGTGTGAAGAGAATCTACGAAATTCTGTTGAAGCTTTTTAAGGAACAAAGCATCCGAATCCCAAATTTGACAGACTCAGATGGAAAGAACCTACATTTAAGTGCCAAATATGATAAAAAAGAATATAAACTAGATAAAAAAATAAAAGCAGAAAAAGAAGATGCACATTCAGACACATTCAGTGAAAACTTATCTGGTACTGTTACAGAAAGGGATTCAAAAAATGAACAGTGGGATGAAGAAGATGAACATGTTCTGGAAGTGTTAGAGAGAGAGAAGAAAGTGGAAGTTGCAGATGTGCATTCAAGTGGTGACGAAGATCAGTATGCACATGAGGAATGTCTAACCATAGATTGTTCTGAGGAAAATTATGTCGAAGAGTGGTCAAATGAGGGAGATGCAAAAAAGGTGAAAGAGAGTGATGAAGGTGGAAGCGACGAGGGTGGAAGTGATGAAGATGTAAGTGACGAGGGTGGAAGAAGTGATGAAGGTGGAAGTGATGAAGGTGGAAGCGACGAGGGTGGAAGTGACGAGGGTGGAAGTGACGAGGGTGGAAGTGACGAGGGTGGAAGTGACGAAGAAGAGGAAGAACGAAAAACCACTCATCCCCATCAGAAACATAATAGCAAGAACACTTCCGCTGGGGTGATAGACATCGAAAATATAAGTGGAAAATACTTTAATTCAATGAATAAAGAAATGAATTATATATACAAGTGTGGCCACCCGGAGAAGTACTACCGAAGTTATTATAAAAGTTTGGAGGAGTCTGTCCACGGTATGAAGTTAGAGAGATACATTCGAAGCTTGATTTGGAAATTGAGCGAACTGGGAGAAGTGAAAGTTGGGGAAGCGAAGGAGGGGGAAGAAGAAATAGTAGCTCACGTACTAAGAAGAAAGTTTAACATCCAAAGTATCGACATAGATTTGGTTCCGGAGAGAAAGGGCAGCACTAACACACATGGAAGAAGCGGAAAGATTAGCGATTGCTCATCTCTTTGGAAAATATTTCACATCAACATGATCATGAATAGATACTCTTATTATTTGAAGAATAACTTCTTCCCGTGTAAGTATAAAAGGGAAAAAAGTGCAGGAAAAGAAGAAGAGAATGGATCTGGATGTTTGTTGGTAAAGCTTAAGAGGAAAATTCCTTTAAAGGAATGTCTATTCAGTTATGCTATACAAAGCGAAGAAGACGATAAGAATTCTGTTGTAATGTCAGATTATCGTGAAGTGAATGTCCTTCATGAGAAAGAAATAGAAGAAGGGATAACACAAATGAACTCTCAAAAAGGGAGAAAAATCCGAGGGGAAGAAGAGGAGGAACAGAATGTTCATATAGAAGACACAACAGATGAAGTAGAAGGAGGAGTGGCACAAAGAGAAGTAAAAGAAATATCTACTAAGGAAGTAAAAATGGAAAGGACAAAATCGAAACAAAGTGATATACATTACTACAGACTATGGAGCAGGTTCTATAAGTACTGTCCTGTGACTTACATAAATGAGAGAAGATTTGTAAAAGGGAAAAAAGAATTTTTGACAATTTACAAGAATAAAATATATGTACTAGAAAGTTATGAAAAAATGAGAGAATTTTTAAAATATCCCCAATTTTACTCTAGTAATAAAATAAAAGAGACCATCAACTTTTCCATGATCATTTATTTTACTAATACAGATATAAAAAATAAAGTTATGCACATTATCAAGTTCAATGAAAAAGTGGTGCATATTGACTTGGAAGAATATTTCCAGAAATTCTTCTTCATAAATATGAGTGAAGGGGAAAGCGTTGAAGAAGATGCTTGTGGAGGAGAGCATGTGAAAACCCAGAGAAAAAAATTCCTCAGCAATGTAGATACCTACATGTTCCAATTAAATCGACTTCTCCAAGGGAAAAAAATTTCTCCTCTGTTTATTGTTAGATACATATGCATGCGAATGGGGAAGACGCATTCGTTTAATGTGTATATAATGCGTGAAATAACGAAATTCCTTCATAAGCTCAGGGATCATTTCTCTTGCATGGTTAGTGATAGAGGGAAATTTGGTTTCTTGAATCGGGAACAATCATATGGTCAGTCTAGACGTGCAGCTGATTGGATAGGGAAAAGCAGGGCGGTAGAAGAGGAGAGATATGCAAAAGATGACATGGTGAATGAGGAGAATGCAGTGAAAATTTTCCCGAATATAGAAAAAATAGAATTCCTTCACAGCTTATTAATAACCCAGAGAAAGTGCGCTGAGAAGGAGTGTGAGTTCAGAACAATGATGAGGGGGATATTTTCCTGTCCTAGTTTGAGCAAGATAAACGAGACAATAGATAAACTGGTTGCAAACATTTCGAATAAGATAGAAGTAGAAGACGAGGTGCACACCCATCAATTGAGGAATAGCAATCAAGAAAGAGGAAGTCGCGACTTTATCTGGACCCATACGAGTTCTCCTCAGTTAGATGTAGAACCGGAAAAGGAAGCGCGTATAGAAGGGAGAATGGAATTAGCTGGGGAAGAACCAACGAATGGCATTCCCTATAGTACATTCCTGCAGAGCACCACATTTATCATAACGGGGCTTCCATTGAATAACATTATTTTCAAGTATTTGAAAAAATTGAATGTGCAGATAGACACCATTGTGGCTTTTAACGTGAATAAGCAGAAAAAGAAAATTCAAGAAAACATACAGAGGAACATTTTGCGAAAAACTGCAGCAAACGTGGGTTCAAGTGGAGGCTCAAGTGGAGGCTCAAGCGGGGGCTCAAGCAGGGGGTCAAATGGAATACAATGGAAGGATAACCCCATGTATATATACAACAAGAATTACAAGCGAAAGATTGAACGGTTGAAGAAAGAAAGCTGCCACGTCCACTTTGTAAGCATAGGGGTAGAAACGAATATATATAGTTATGCAAATGAAATAAGGAAGTTCATAAATCCATATATGCATACTTATTATAATTATGATGAAATACTGAAAAATGCTTCACTCGTAGATAAATTTAACAATTCTTACACGAATGTATACTGTCCATACGTATTGAAGAAATATAATTGGTTACACAAAAGCAAAAGTAATGTAAAACTAGTATATAATGAGAAAATTCATTATTTATCAAATTTATATAACGCTTTTCACTTTTGTCAAAATAGAGAATCTTATACTTCGAATTTTAAGGTGCCTCCGTTGAGAGTGCTACTCCTAGCAGATGAAGGATGCCATTTTGAAAAAGAAATAGAAATTATTGCATGCAAATTCTTTTTGAAATATTTAGACGTAGGAAAGGAGTTTACAAATGCATTCAGGTATGCCTGCATATATATATTGAAATATGTCTACTTCTTCAAATTATCAATGGATGTAAGGAGGAAGAAAATAAATAATGCGTTAAAAAGGTTCTCTTTCGATTCTAATTCGTTACTTGAAATTCAGAATCATGATCATACTATTTGCCTGAACAAGGTAGATGTGAATTATTTAGAAGACAATATAGAAAGTATAAACCCATTAGAGGAATACAACATGGAGCATGAACAAAAAATATATGATGTATTGTTTTCTCTAGTCCAACCTTTCAACCTAGTGTTAAACTTGGCCAAAATTGCTGCCATTCGATTTGTCTTACATGAACAATTAGAGAAGTGCATTATCAGATTTGATTCCACGAGGAAGAACCTTTTTAGCGCGACTTCACTTGCACAGGTGAGAAGTTGCATGGATGGAGTCCTAAGGGGAAGTAGATGTGATAAAAATGGGGGAGACAAAAATGGGGGAGACAAAAATGGGGGAGACAAAAATGGGGGAGACAAAAATGGGGGAGACAAAAATGGGGGAGACAAAAATGGGGGAGACAAAAATGAGAGAGACAAAAATGGGAATTCTCAAAGGAATGACACGTCCCTTCTACGCAGAAGCATCAAGGGGAAAGAAGAACCCATAATGTATGACGAAGACTCGACATCTAAAGGTGGAAGTTCTGAAGGGGGTTCTTCTAACTCAGAGGATGATGACTTCGCGTATGAAAAAAGTAATATAAAGTTGGAGCAAGTTGAAAGGATGTTTTTAAAACAAAACGAAAGGGAGCTACTAAACAGTAAATATATCTTTCTCGAAAAAAAGGTGTTAAATTCTTTTGAGAAAATTTTAAAATACTCATTTCGAGTGCCTGAACATGTAATATATCTGAAGTGTGGGTTTAAAACGTCTTGGGAAAAATCTGGATATTTCCATTCAGAATCAGAGGGAAAAAGCAAGAAATTGGACGATAAGAAAAATGAACAAACCAGAGGAAAGAATCACAAAAGGGAGGAAAGTAGTCTGACAAAACAACCATTCGTAGAAGGAGAAAAGAATATTCTAATAAAAATAAAAAGAACATCAAAGAAAAATAGACAAATAATTAACTGCTTAAAAGATAATACTAATGTGTGGTGCATTGATGTAGGGAGATTTCACAGCAAAAAAGTAAAGACATGGATTGAAAATAAATTCAGAAATGTATTTCAATATCGAAATAATTTATTTCATCAATTGAATATTAAAAGGGTAGATAAAATATGGGCCCAATTTTTGAAAAATAATAATTATGTAAAAATTTCAAATTTGTATTTTTACTCCCCTGTAAATATTGACAACATTGTAGATATCGACACGAACTACCTACTGCTATACAATTCCTTTTTATTTTATTTTAGAACAGAAGAAGAATTAAACATATTTAGCAAAAAACCAATTCATTATTTGTCACAAATGAAACCAGATCCTTCATTTATCTTACCATTCATACTTATCTATTCAGATGTAAACATAGATGATTTGTGTGATGAGCTCATCAAAAGTACAAAATGTGCAGTGATTAATATCCAGAATTTGCTATCATTTGCTTCCAATATCGACAAGTTCAAGCAACTGATTCAGAGTGATCGTTTGGATGATTCTCATATTATGGAACTCCTTCGAATCAGGCTAAATCAGTATGACACACTTGCTCATGGATGTATTCTCTGTAACATACCTTACAACAAATTTCAACTTGAACATCTGATAGGGAATCAAAAAAAAATACCACATTTGGTTTTTTTGGTTCAAAAAGGAGAAGAGAAATTTAAAATGGGTGAGGGTTCAGAATGCATGAAGCAGAACATGCACATGACCAAAAACTCCGAATTGAAGACAAAAAAGAAGGTGCAAGACATAGGGGGGAAGCAGGGCAACGAAGGGTTGCTATTTCCACATTTTTACAATTTCGTGAAGGGAATAAAAGAAACCTTCAGTGAAAAATATAAAAATGTAATAAATATAGAACACACAAATGTGTGGAAAATGAAATGCAAAATAACGGAAGATATAGAGGAGAATATAAAAAATTATCAACGGTATAGGAGGTACAAGTACAACAACAGAACAGCCTATTTTAAAGGGTTCAATATTTATGAAAAAGAAAATTATGAAAAAGAGATAAAATTTGACAAGTACTGTCTAGTTACGTATAAGAAAAAGAACATTTTAAAAAAGTGTAACATATTCGACAATTATACATTGTATCATAATGGGTACTACTACCTAGTAAACAGTTTTGAAGATGTTGTAGAGTTTGAAAAAAATGCTACAGAATTTATTAACTTGGAAGAACCATCTTCTAAATTTGAAAAAGTTGAACAAGTAGAGGAAAATACAGAAATAGAAAATGAGGGATTCTGTTTGGTAAGCTTGAGAGATCAGAACAATTTCGTTAAAGGAAATAAGCAATGTTGTATAAAATATGAAGAAAAATTTTATCTGTTCGAAAATGCGGAAAAAATGCAAAAGTTTGTAAATAATTATAATGACTACTTAAACAACCAAAACATTTTTGAAATAATTTTAGAAAAAATGAAAAATCAAAATGATGTTACAACATTGGTTTATTTGAAAACATTCTTGTATGACATTTTGTGTGAATCTTTGTATGCCTTAGGGAAGCATAGGCCACTATATCCTGGACTCACCACAAAGCTTAGTGCAATTAAATTTCTTGCCCTGTTCTTTTACAAGGAGAATAAATTATTTTCAGAACCCCTCAGAAGGTCTTATGAACACAATTTTCGCTCCTTTCTAAATGATTGTGAAATACCAATAAACATCCAAAAATTGACACAAAAATTTGAAACCAATTGCACTAGCAAAAATCAGAACATAAAAAAACCCACCAAAAAGTGGACAAAACGGGACATTGAAACGTATGAAAAATACGTGAGTCTGTACGATAAAATATTGTACTCTCAAAATAGGGGGAACAAATAGTTCATATGTGTGAGAAACCCCATGCTTTCTCTTCCAGCGAATGGGCTTTTCTTCCCGAGACGTTTACATGGGGGCATTTTAAATCTTTGGCAGAATTAGTAGGCTGCGTCTACTTGGGGCTCCACGCAGTTGTCTCCTTTATTTTGCACATTTTTCACATTTTCCACATTTTTCACATTTTTCACATTTTTCACATTTTTCACATTTTTCACATTTTTCACATTTTTCACATTTTTCACATTTTTCACATTTTTCACATTTTTCACATTTTCCACATTTCGTGCATTTCTTTTATTTTATGAACGGCAAGGAGTTTACGAAATCGCAAAAAATTACACGCACAAAAAAAAAAAAAAAAAAAAAAAAAAAAAATGAACATAATAGGAATAAAGACAAAATTTGGGGGAATCTATAGAGAAGGTATGCTAAAAAGGAATAATGGTCCATGTGTGATGGGATACCCCATGCTCCAACATTTTGGCTATATTTTTTTTTTTTTTTTTGAAAAAGAAATGTACATATTTGTAATAATATCTATAATAACATGTATTAATGTTCATGTAAATGTTTCCTTTTTTTGTGTGCAGTTGCAGTGGCTAGTTTTGTGTGTTGAAGTACATTTTTTCGTTCATTTTGTCAGTTTTGCCCATTTTGTGAAGTTTGCCCATTTTGTGAAGTTTGCCCATTTTGTGAAGTTTGCCCATTTTGTGAAGTTTGCCCATTTTGTGAAGTTTGCCCATTTTGTGAAGTTTGCCCATTTTGTGAAGTTTGCCCATTTTGTGAAGTTTGCCCATTTTGTGAAGTTTGCCCATTTTGTCAGGTTTGCCTATTTTGTCAATTTTTCCCATTTTGAGAATTTTTTTTTTTTTTTTTTTTTTTTGCACACCTTTGGCAAAGATTTTCCACCGTTCATTCAAATATCCGCCTTAGATATGCCATACTCGGAAAACGTGCCAAATCCGCGTAAGTCAAAGAGAATCGTCTCGTTTCGCTTGAAGGAAGTTATTTTTTCATTTTCAAACAGGGTGTGAAACATATTTTTTTCGATTAAGTATTTGTAAGCGGGTAGGCCATATAATTCAATGATATTTCCCTTGAAAAAGATGATGTCGTACGAGCCAAAATTTTTTTGAAATGCTTTTAGACAGAACTCAATTGGTTTTCCATACGTGACAATATTATTCAATGCAACAATTTGATCTCCATGACGAAAATTTTTTTTACTAGCTTTTCCTTCTTCAATTATGTAAGACACGTAACAACCACCAATTGAATCTGGATTTTTATTTAACACAATTCCAATATTTTTTTTAATTATGATATTGTTTGCACTGTTCATATTTTCTTTCAATAAATGTACATTTTTTAAAGCACTCGTGGTTAATTTATTTAATTCTTCCTTTATTTCTTCAAAATTTTCTCCTTTATCATCTTTATACCCTAAATATATTGCTATGTCATAAAAATTTTTTGCTTGCCAAAATTTGCGAAAACTTCTGTATGCATCCCCTAAGCATTTCCATGCTGCTGCATGCTTAGGTTCGTACTTTATTGATTTTAAAGAAAAATTAAATGTCCCTTGTATATCATTTGTGTAATAGCACAGCATAGATATACTTGAACATATATGCGAGAGGAAATATCCGTAATATTTACACGGGAGCATATTATAAGCTAATTTTAAATCATGTAATGTAATTTCATAATTCTGTGTGTACAATTTTTGTGTGCATTTTTCTATCAACTTTAAAGAGGATTCGATACTCATCTGCAAATTCTTTTTTGAAACATCCGTGATGATCCTTTGTTTTTTGCTTTTCTCAAGTATTTTCTTAAAACGTTTGTTTATATATGTGATTTCTTCATTTTCTTTATCATTATATGCTGCTTTAATCTTTTCGTTCAGTAATTTTTGCAAATGATGCGAAAAATCAATTAGGTCTCCTACACATGTCACTAAGACTTTGTAACTGTTTTTTTCAAAATTGTGTGAAACGGATATATTTTTCTCCATCGGAATGATAAACGTTTCAATTTGAATTTCAAAAAAATCAATGAATGCACTGTCCATTGACGCGTGGAATAAGTAATACAACTGATCTTTCATCATTTCACATTTTATTTTATTTTCTTCTGAGGAGTATAAATTGATCTTTACAATTTCTCGTTCGCGTTCCGATTTCCCTTTTGCAATGTACTCAATGGTGGTGCTCTTTTCTTTTTTATTTGAGTATGGATCTTTCTGTGCTGATTCGTGTTGTGCACCCGTTGTTGATGTTTCAAGCGTGACTTCCTTGGTACCATCATGCGAGGTAGTGCTTTTCTCCTCAGAATGGGATTCTTCCCCTTCATATGGCACTGCAATATCTCTTTCTGTTTGATAATCTCCCTCCTCGATGGATTCATCCTCCTCCTTCTCTTCCTGCTCTTCCTCATTGTCGTGCACCCCAGTCGGCATGTTGAAAGTTGTTTTTCCAAAATTTTTCTTCGCATCGTCATCTTCATCATAACTGAGAAAATCGTTATCATTTAATTTGTCATCATAAAGGTCAATGATGCTTTCCTCCTTTTCTTCCGCTTCTTCCCTATCTTCATCACTTGACCTGTATGGATCTGGAGGAAATTTTTTTTTTTTTTTTTCTAAGTGATCAAAAGGGTATAGATAACCCGACTCGAGTATATCTCGTTCTTTTTTGTTTTTGTAAAATAGCTTCACGTTTTTCTTCAACTCATTTTTGAGAAATGGTCTATGGTTTGCACTTGCAATATTCCTACCATCACTTTTCGTTACTTTTCCTTTTTTGTATTGAAGCGGGAACCCTTTCGTTACCGCGTCTGAGTACCCTTTTCTCCTACAGAAAACACCTCTTTTGCAATAATTCTGTAACTTGAATGCTAGACAAACGTGCAAAATTATGTAGAAAGTGCAAATGAAATTCCAAAATTTATTCATTAAAAAGGGATCTCGGTGCTTATGCGTGGGGTGCCTACATGTGTGCAGCGTGGCACTTCACACTGCATTGCATAACTTTATTTTGTTGCTCTTCTGCTTCGTTACACCACTGCTTCATTACTTTGCATCTTCTCAGATGTGCAAAAATAAATGGGAAATGAATTATCCATTTTGCTTCATCTCATCCTCTCTTTTATTCCTTTTTCCTTCTTCCTTCTTTTTGTCTATAATCTACGTCGTGTGTTTGTCAAGAAAATGGGGGTACAGTTGTTAACTAATATTTGATGTGACGAACTTTCTCAGCTTGACAATCGTGGCAACAAGCAGAGGCAGAAGCAGAAGCAACGGAGACGGAACTGATTAATAAAAATAAAGAATATGCATGTGGCATGTTCGTCTTAAAATCCATAAAGAACTAGTTGCATAATTTTATATCATTAGCAGCATAGCATTTTAATAAATTAAAGATGGAGTTTAAAAAAAAATTGCACTGTTCTTTTAAGGCGTATTATTCTGGTGGGACGAATTCGTTAAGCCGCATTTTATTATTATGAATAATTAGTCATAAGAAAAATGATATGACTGCTTAATCCGTTTTTATGCACATATGTTGTGTGAAAAAGAGGAAAAAAAAAAAAAAAAACAAAAAAAAAAACAATTTTTACTATTTTCGCATTTAAGGTTTTATCTTTTTTTTTATTTATTATAAATATATATATATATATATATATATATATATATGTTTTTTTTTTTTTTTTACAGCTTCCATATTTTACAGCAATTTCGACCCTCTTATATGCCCCACTTGAAATTGAATCACCTTCGCTTCTCAAACACCTTGACAAGGATATAATACTTCCCTTCACATTTTTGCAAACGATACAGAGATATGATAAAAGTCTCCCATAAGTACACATGTAAGGAAAATTAAGTATGCACTTCCATTCTCCAAACCCCCTCTCCTTCCAAATATTAAATATAGAGGTGGGTAGGAAGAAATTCTTTTCATTTATCCAATATATTGTATATGTGATTTATGCAAGTAGAGAAACACAAGAGAGATATAAGATGGACAATGTAAATCCTAGAATAATTTTATACAACAGCTTATGTTTGCAGTGTTGAAGAGAAGAGACAAAAAAAAAAAAAAAACCTCCTGCATGTGTTAACTATGAAAAAAATAATTTTCAGAATTTTTTTTTTAACTTTATTATGTTTCCCCTAGGAATCTCGCAGTAGTCATAAAAGCAAAACTTTCGACAACAGTATAATGGTCGTTTGTCCATTTTGCTATTACACCGTTTGGATAAAGCTTTCTGGTACATTGTTTTTTTTTTATTTTCTGTTGCTTTTTTTTTTTTTTTTTTTTTCTACACTGAAGGGTTAAATATGTTCTCATAGCGCATGCGAAATTATGCATGTCCTGGAGGGGGAAAAAAAAAAAAAAAAAAAAAAAAAAAAAAAAAAGAGCAAAGGAGCAAATAAAGGAAAAGTTAAAAAAGAACAGAGAAGTTTTCAAAATAATTAAATAAAGAATAAATCCATATATGGGAAGGGGAAAAAAAAAAAAAAAAAAAAAATTCAAAATGTGTAAAAATAAGCACATCGAAAGGAATGCTATTATTTCAAGAGGTGCAAATTTTAAACACACATGTGCATGAATTCGATGCGAATTGTATGTCACACATTCCCCTATAAGGAAAATCATCCACGGAAAAATATATCACATAAGTGTATGCAAATACACGAGTGTATTATATAAATACAATTATACATATATGTATATATGTGCATGGAAAATTCCCTCATACATGTGCACGAAAACATACACCACCCGCATTTATTGAAATTATCAAATTTTGTATACATGTTCCTTTCCTTTCCGTTTCATTTTTTTTTTTTTTTTTATTTTCGCGTGGAACAAAATATGTATACACATATATATTTATGTGAGAATGAATGGTACAAAAGAGGGGAAATGCTCCTTAAGGCTTGTGTATGATTTAAAATTTTAACAGTTTTTTTTTTTTTTTTTTTCCTCCTTTTTTTGTCCTTATTTCGTCCATATTTCGTCATATTTTTTCCTCATTTTTCCTCATTTTTCCTCATTTTATTCCACCCCGTTTTTGTTTGAACTTCCCGACCCATACTTGCCTAATATCACATCACAGTTTGAATTTTGTCAAGATATTATGCATTGCCTCTGCGTTTTCATTTCACTTTATCCCATTCATTTGAAGTGTATACATATATATATATTAAAACACACCAAAGTCAAAAAAAAAAGGAATGAAACAAAAGTGGGAAAGATAACCTTGTCAGAAGTTTTTTTTTTCTTTTCCTTTTTCTTTTCCTTTTTTTTTTCCTTTTTCTTTTCCTTTTTTTTTTTCCTTTTTCTTTTCCTTTTTTTTTTCCTTTTTTTCTTCTTTATTTTTTTTTTCACCCGAATGCTATAAGAGAGAGATTTCGTATTTTTGTTTTTGTTATTCCTAAGGGGGACATGTATGTATGCAAGAAAAAAAAAAAAGAAAAAAAAGTTATGAAATCATAAAAGGAAACACAAATGTGCATATATTGATGTGGATGAGGCGAATCGTCGACTCTGTTGACCCGTAGCAGCAGAATTATTTTTGCACAAGGACAATTTTAACACAAGATTGATTTTTGAACAAAGACAATTTTAACACAAGATTGATTTTTGAACAAGATTAATTTTAGCACAAGATTGATTTTTAAACAAGATTAATTTTAGCACAAGATTGATTTTTAAACAAGATTAATTTTAGCACAAGATTGATTTTTGAACAAGATTAATTTTAGCGAAAGATTGATTTTTAAACAAGATTAATTTTAGCACAAGATTGATTTTTAAACAAGATTAATTTTAGCACAAGATTGATTTTTTTTTTTTTTTTTTTTTTCTCTTTGCTTCCATATCCATTCGCCTCCTTGAAAAACATACAAATATTTTTGTCACCAATCCATAATCGAGTATGGAAATCTGTCTCCATTGTTGAACCAACAAACTGTGTCAAAAAAAAAAAAAAAAAGAAGAAGCTAATATCGAGTTTATCATTTGTCTGCTTCATTTATCCCATCCAATTCAAAGCAAAGAAGATCTTTTTTTTTTTTTTTTTTTTTTTTTTTTACAATTATGAATGATGAAAAGAAATCCGAATTTGTAAGTAAATTATGAAAAGTCGTATTCATTCATTAGTTCGTTCGTTTGTTCATGCATTTTTTTTTTTTTTTTTTTTTTAAATATACAAATAGTGAGGGTAGGCATGCGTGTGTTACGCGGGAACAATAAGAATCCATCTGTGTATTATTACTTCGTTTGTTAACTTTTCTTGTGTTATTGTGGTGAATTGAACACGTATCTTTCATCCTTTATCTAAATTAAATGCAGAACATGTGTGTATGCATGCACCAGGTATCTCTCGCTTTTTCATAATAACTCCTCATTCGTACTTCACACTTTTTGCAGATTCTCGATCAGTCGACAGTTAGCAATGGATTATTTACCATCATAGAGAGGAAACCGCTTTCGTCATTGTAAGTGTGGAAACATGTTTATACCTCTGTTCCTTTTTAAGGAATGATATAACATCACTTATAATATCATAGTATGAAGTACACGTCGTGTATTTTGATCTCTGAAGTTTTATTTTTACTTTTTTTCTCAAGTAACTTATGTAAATGTTATATGCTTTTCTTAGAAAGACAATTTTGAATTCTTTGATCTCATACTTTACGCACATCTCCCCTTTTTTTCTCTCTAATCGATAGAGAAAACAATGAAAGCCTAAACATAAGCAATTTAAGCGACCCCCTAAGTAGTTCTCTAGACGAAATAAACAAGAAAAGAGACAAGAATACACAGAATGTAGATAACATTTGTGAGATTTATCGGTTAAATAGTTCACAACTTTTGAATGACCACTTAGAAAATACCGTTAGTAGAATTAGCTATGTAGATGATGATGTATCTTCATTTTATGATTCTGAGAAAGATGATGAGCTTTATTTTGATAATGACATTTCAACACTTGGTTCATGTTACTCTCTTCCAAGCCCAACAAAAAAAAGTAAAGGGAAAAATGCTAGAACTAGTATCGTTTCATCAGTTTCAAAAATGTACAGTAGTGGGAGGAGTAGTGCAGATGGGTGTAGCAGGGAGATTTCATTTGATTATTCGAATTTTGAAAATAATTCACCGATTAGTAATAAAAAAATAAGTAAATGCCATAGAAGTAAAGGTTCTAATAAATGTGCTGAAGAGCAGAACCCAAATGAGAAAAAAGGAATTTCAACGTCGGGCAGTTCGAAAGAGTTACATTTAAATAATGAAAATAGTCAAGAGGTAGATGATAATAAACAGCAATTGGAACTTAAACAGACCCATATGGATGAAAAAGCCATTCGATTGAATAAAAATATTTACAGAATTGTTAACATAAATAATTCTGAAGAGGATGATAATAAAGAGATTGTTATTAGAAAAATAGCTCAATTGAGAAAGAGCATGATGATGGAAAATGTTGAAGAAGAAAATCAAACAAAGCATGTTAATGCATCGGAAGAAAGAGATGATGACACATCCACCTTTAGTAATCCTGCGTGGGATGTGTCCAAGTTAAGGGATATTCATGCAGGGAAAATCATTCACACGAAATGGAATAGAAACTATAGTCGAATTAGTGAAGGATCATACTTAAAAAAAAAAAATAACAATTTTGTAAACAGTGGTGAGAGCAATATGCTAAGATATAATAGAGAGAAAAAGGAAAAATATGGAGAATTGAATGAAGAAGAAGGTGCAGAAAGTATTTACATGATGGAAAATCGAGATAATATCTACAATGGAAATAATTACGATGAAAAATTTAAGGAGTGTTATGAGAATACAGATGAAATAGAACCCAATGATAATGGAAAATTTAAGAAAAAAAAAAAAAAATACATGTTCTTATCAAAGGACTCAGAGGAGCCAGACAATACTGTTAATAGACAGAAATTTATGAATCATGATAAGGACGATCCAATGAGTTTATATTACATGGACGAAAATGATTATTATGAGAAAAAACGAACCAAAAGTAGTAGACCATTTGATAACCGTGCAGGTTATGTTATCTTAGAATCCAGTAGAAGAGGTGGTAGTGGTGAGGGGGCGCCCAGAAGAAATGCTACCCATTCGTGTAAAGGGAATGGAGAATTATTAATGGAAAATGATGATCCTAGAAGTGATCCTAGAGGTGATCCTAGAGGTGATCCTAGAGGTGATCCTAGAGGGGATGCAAATGTTGAACACCATTACAAGAATGTGTGCCACTTTGGACGAAAATATGAAGAACGATATGTAGACAGAAGAAAAATGAGAAAAGATAAAATAAATTATCGATATCGTTATGGAGTTGAAAAGGATAGATGCACGGAAAAGGAGTATCATCGCAGGGTTCTCATGAAAAGAGATGCAGACTTGAATCCAAATGGGAATATAGATCCAGGAGCAGATGATATATATAGCACTGATGAAGGTGTCGAGAACTCGAATTATTTGCACATGAATAAACGAATGCATCCCTTGGATGATAATATAAGTAGGGAAGAAAAGTTTTATACAGATGCATACACGCAGAGAAATGTACTGAGTAGTAATGCACATGCTAGTAATATACTTAGCAGTAATATGAATAGTGGGCCAAGAGAAAAATACTGTCACGCTAATTACCCATATGCAAATAGCGATGAATTATATGAAGATCAAATTGATCAGCCTCATGAGAAGAAGTATGAACCGCAGGAAGGAGATGATGACAGCTCATATACCATATTTTCCCGTAATAGAAGTTATAGGAATAAACATGATGAAAATGATCGTATGTATATGAATGACAATAAAATGGAAGAAGATCCAAATTATAATAAAAATAGTTCTTATCAAAATGGTTTATATACCAATGTGGTGATGAGTTCTTCGAATCAAGGAAATATAAACGACCATTATCACTCCAAGGAAAATGCATACACCAGTAACTACCGTGCAAGAATTAACTCCAATAACCAACATAATTATGATCGAATTGCACATCCCAATGATGAGAATGCATCATACCATCGTCGTCAGGATTCCTATGAAAATGGAATCAATAAATATACAAGCGATGATAATGTAATATATAATGAACATGGTGATGATTCTTGCTTGTATGGTGCAAGCGATTCTAAGTCAGAAGTAAATCACGAAAGTAATTATTACAATAATGAATATTCGAAGAAAAGATTAAGTGATCATAACAATATTCAAAATAATGGGAGGAAACAATTTAATAACAATATGTACAATCGTTTTTGTGAAAGGAATAGTTATGAAGAGGAGACAGAATATTACAACGAACAGTATAACCATCCGCATGAACATCCAACTGATCACACTGAATGTCGTAACAAAAGCGACATGTCATATGGAGATTATGAAGAACTGCAAAATGATGATGATCAGAGGAATATACTTTCAAAGAGGACTCCTCCAAACTGTCAAAATGTGAGCAAGTCATATTTTAACCAAGAGAAACAAGCCACATTTGATGAACAGAGGACTTATGACAATCTAACGGATGTACATGAAAAACATAAAGATGTTCCAAATGAGAAAGTTCATTTAACAATGATTAGTGATAATAAAGGAGATATTGAAAATGATCCACATTCTTTAGGTGATCCCAAGAAAAATGAAAATCTAATGGCTATGAGGAATTCAAGGAATTCCAGTGAAATGACACAGATTCCCAACTTTTCTGGAAACATGAAATTTCCTGATCAGGCTTTTAATAACATGAATAATGGGGTTACGGTTGCGAGTGTGTTACCACCTCAGGGTGCAGTTCCGAGTGCAGTTCCGGGTGTAGTTTCTGGTACAATTCTGAGTGCAGTTCCGGGTGTAGTTTCTGGTACAATCTCAGGTGCAATTGCGAATACTATTCAGGGAACGACGGGAACTGGAACCGGAACTGGAACCGGAGGAACTGTAGAAGCTGCGAATCAAGTAAACAAAGAACAACCAACTGTTGTAAAACGGAAGAGAGGTAGACCCAGATTAAAGAAAACAACACCACAGGAGATCCAGTCAAATGATGTTCAAAGCAATAATCCAAGCGCTCAAGCAATAATTCCCACAGCACAGATGAACAGCCAAAACATGAACGTAAACAATGATCAGAACCCATCTGCAGCACTTTACAGCAACATAGGTTCTGTAATTAATCCATCTTATAATAACCAGTTTCCAAATGTTAGTGCACACTTGAATTTTCCATTGGAACATACTTCAAATTATCCCCTAGGGAGTACTTCTCAGATACTGGGACAAGAGTCGGGAAATTCACTGGGTCATCGATTACCGCATGTATTGGTAGATGCACGGAATCCGATGACTCAATTGAACCCGTTGAGTGGGCAATTGAGTCAGCCGCTAGCTCAGCACATGGGATTAGTGCTTGGGCAACAGATGAATCAGCCTCTATCTCATCAGATGAATCAGCCTCTATCTAATCAGATGAATCAGCCTATATCTCATCAGATGAATCAGCCTCTATCTCAGCAGATGAATCAGCCTCTATCTCAGCAGATGCAGGTGCAAATGAGTCATCATCATATAAATCACCACTTGAATCATCACATGAACCCTTCATACAATGGGCACCCGTATGATAACTGCAACAAACAATCAACTCTCAACGCGTACATTATAGAAAATCCAACGAACAACAATTTCAATAGAAATATGAATGAAGATCAATATGTAGGGACGTATAATAACTTTGAACAAGATGTAGAAAATCATTTAAATCCAAATTTATTTAATAGAAATGTGGATCACATGAAAAACAAGAAAGAAAATTATTCGTATGAAGGAAATGAAGTAGAAGAAGAAGAAGAAGAAGAAGAAGGAGAAGGAGAAGGAGAAGAAGGAGAAGAAGAAGGTGAAGAAATTCATAGAAATAAAAAAAGGGCAACAAGATCGACTGTTAGTGGATCAGATGAAATGCATTCGGAAAAAGAAGCTAAAAAGGTTCATAAAAGACGTGGAAGAAGACGAAAAAATGAAATAGAACAGGAGGAAGATACATCTTATAAAAGAAGCAACAGTAGTAATCAAAGCTACACGAATAATATGGAAAATAAATCTGTAGACTCCTATAGAAACAAATCCAATGATGATAAAAATTCAAGAAGTGAACACAGGGTGGATCCTGGATACTCCACATTTGTTGACGAGAACAACAAGACCGTTTCGTATAGTACGCTTGGAAAAAAAAAAAAAAAAAAAAATCATAATGATAATATGGCAGCGTGAAATTTGGGAAAATAGTAGCATATATATATATGTATTTGTGCATGCGTGTAATTTTCTTCCATACATTCGTTTTCGCCGTTGCGTAGGATCCGTGTATAGTTGCACGTCCAGCAATCTTATCATGCACACACCCCATCTATACCCCATTTTGATTAATATAAATTTGTCTTTTTTTTTTTTTTTTAAAAGGGGTCTCTTACCATCCTGCAGATGCAGTTTGGGAAAAAATATCTGGTGTTAAGGTAATCGCACTATATTTTTTTTTTTTTTTTCTTGCCTTACGTGTGTATACAAAATCGGTACATATGCATATATTATTAAAAAATGATTGTACCACATATATATTTCATAATTTTTTTTTTTTTTACAGTTTGGACCTATGATATTGACAGCACAAAGTAGAACGACAAATGTTATTTTATCAAAAAAGAGATCCATAGAATTAGGGAACATACTTCACAATCTCATAGTAATTTTTAAAAAATACATATCATGCCACACGTGCAAGAAAAAAATAAAATAATATAATATTTGGAAGCTCATTTGTGGCATGTATATTTGGTCTGTGAGGGGATCGTATGTATATATATATATATATGTTTGTATGCATGGGTGATAATGATGTGCATATTTTTGCTCCAGCTTTCTCTTTTCTCTTGCTTTCTTTCCCCCTCGTTCCTTTTCTACTTTTACTACATTTCAAATGTTCCTGTTTTTTTTTTTTTTTTTTTTTTTTTTTCATTTCCTTGCAGTATGGTTACATATACAAAGGTGACAATGTTAGATTGACCATTGGAAAAGAATCCAAAAGTGTCAAGAGCGGCTCCCCTTTTTTCCTTCCTAGCTACAATGATTGTAGTATACATAATGATGATGAGTAAGTTTTGCATCACGTCAGATGATTACTCTTTTGCATAGATGCCCCATTTTTTAGCACGCGTAATATGTCCAAGGGAGACGTATCTCCCGTTTTTTGTAGCCACTCCCAATGATTATCTATCTGCACAAATGCCTGATTCTTGATCCCATTCTTGATCCCATTTTCGATTCCATTCTTGATCCCATTTTCGATTCCATTCTTGATCCCATTTTCGATCCCATTTTCGATCCCATTTTCGATCCCATTTTCGATCCCATTTTCGATCCCATTTTTGTAACTTTTCCTTTTTTCCTACAGCACGGGATCAGCCAAAATATTCCTATGTTTTGTTTATATGAATTGATAACCCACTCATCCAGATTGATCAAGATTTTCTTCATTTTGGCATAATTTTTTTTTTTTTTTTTTTTTTTTTCTCTCTTTCTTGTTCTTTTTTATGCATGCACAGTTATATGCTTCCCCAAAAGACTCATTTATCAAATATGAAAAAATAGAAAAATGATAATTTGGATAATTACCATTACCATACATAATAATAAAAAAAAAAAAAAAAAAAAAAAAAAAAGGGGGATATTTTCCTAAAGGGGTGGTTTTGGTGTAGTAATAAAATCGAAATTACATTTCTGTGTGAAACAGAATGTAAAGAAATTTAATTAGAATAATGACCTTTCTATATAGTGTCCACGGCACGTATCTTATGTTACATCCATGAGCATATAATTGCGAACACATGAATATGTGCAAAAGTGTGTAATGGCATCCTGAGATTTGAGAAGAGCAAATCGTAATATGTTTTTTCCTCTACGAGTTTTCTTGACGATGTCAATTTTTATGACACAATCAAACATGTTATAAATGAATTGAGGAACAGAAGTCTTATTTATATTATGTTTTTTATTGTGTAATAATGATGATAATGAATTTTTCTTTTCCTCATTTAATTGTAGTTGTAAAGTATCATCCACATGGATACTTAGATGTATATCTTCTTCATCTAACAGTTAGCAAGGGTCAGGAAATTCATACGATATGTAGTTGTCCGTACGTTCGGTTGCTTCATCAAGTTGGTCTGCCTCATCAAGTTGGTCTGCCTCATCACGTTCGTCTGCCTCATCACGTTCGTCTGCCTCATCAAGTTGGTCTTCCTCATCTCTTTTTTCTGTCTCATCAGTTGTGTCTTCATCCGTTTGATAATCCCCGTACGATTCAGACTCGTCTGATACCAGACTGCGATCAGCACTGTATTGGTCTTCATTGCATGGCGAGAATGCGTGTATTTGTTTTATCACTTTTTTATTATTCCCACTATTCATGCTATTCGTACAATTTTGTATATCATTTGTGAATGTGTATGTGCACTGTTCTTCTCCATCTAAGTGCCCAATTTGATTTTCCTTGACATAAGGACTGCATGTATTCATTTCTGCCCGCACCTCTGCCGACATCTCTCCCCTCGTTTTGCTATTTTCATACTTAAATTCGTGTTCTGTATTGATTGCTTCTAGCCCGTTTTCTTCTTCACGATGCATTTTCCTGTTCCAAATTGTACTTACCCCAACTGGGAATTTTGCATAATCGAAAATGAGAATGGGGATACTTAACATGATGGAAATTATTCTTAATTCTCGAACGAGGTAGAAATGTTCATTACAATTTTGCGTGGTTATATTTTTTAGCAAATTTGTAAAATTGTCTATTGCTATACATGCTAAATTGGCTAATTGATTGTTCATAAAGGATGGATATTTTTCCTTGGATTTTTCTTTTTTTTCATAATTGATTTTTCTAACATGTGATAAAAAGGAGACAAGTTCCCCCCAATTTTGAACTCTAAAAATGTAAAACTTGTTAAAAATATCATCTAAAGAATTATTTTTTCCCTTTTTTATCTTTTCTCTTAATATATTCTGAATTATTGTAATGTCGTTAATGTAGCTAAAATGTATGAATACGACAACAGAGTTCGGTTTGCCACGAATAGTTAAATCGAACAATAAGTTTATCGAGATGACTTTGTTTATTTTTACCTTCCTCCCGTAAAAGTAGAATATTTTTCCTCCTTCCAGCCGGGTGCCCAGTAGTTTGTTCAGTGCAAGGCTACCTGTTTTGGTTCTTTTGCATGTTTTGCCTCTGCTGCTTCTGCATCTCCTTCTATTTTCTCCCTTGGTTATGTTCGATCTGCTGGTGTTCATTAGAGTGCCTTTCATGAAATTAGAACATGACAAAAAATCCATCTCGAGTCTTGCCATTTCTCGAATATTCTTATGGTTCAATAAATTCTTTGTGTATCCAATTACTGTACTATTCACTGAAGTATTATTACACTTCAAGTGAATCCCTGAGTTTATACTTTTTATCTGAGAATATTCTCTTCTTCCATAATTTTTTGTGAAGCAAGTCCTATGAATGTCGCTCTCCAAATCACAGGAACTTGATACGCTTGACAAGTAAATCGATGTCGAAGAAGATGAAGACTCACACTCATCTCTAGCTTCATCATCACTACAATCAGACAAATTTTCTGCACTTGCATCTGCATCTGTATGTATCCCATTATTGCAGTATCTTTCTTGATCACTCACGGGGTGTTTATAATTAGAGAAGGTATCCCTAGATCTGTCTTGTTGTCCTTTTTCATTCCATTCATTTCGTGCAACCAGATCTCGCAAATGATAACTGAATAGTTCGTTCTGGGCTGTATTTATTTCCTGCATTGGGGAAAGGCAAAAAGAATTTCGCATTCACATGTGATAATAAGAAATGTGTTTAGCTTGATCATGTAAAATGTATTAGACATGATAATGTATTTCTCAATAAACTCATAAAAATTGAGCACTTCCACATTGGCGTCTTCTAAATAATTTGTACTTAGCTTTTCAACTAACGAGAAGAATAAAAAAAAAAAAAAGAAAAAAAAAAGAAGAAACTGTTGGTAAGGTGTTTCTACATATGTGAAGCTACTCTGTACAAAGAATATCATGCTAAATGAACTTATTATCGTGCATATATAGAAAAGGACAAATGTGTACATGTATGATTATATACATATAAATATTTACACCCATGTATATAAATATGCACGAGGGAGTAACAGGTTGTGTGCTGCGCAGGGAGAGAGTCATTTATCGATTACGAAAAAAAAAAAAAAAAAAAAAAAAAAGGCATACTTGTGTTTATATTAAGGGTATATAACTTTTTTTTTACTTTTTCTGAAATATTTAAATACTCTATATCGAATTTATCCATTGTTATAGGGTATCTTGGGTGTGTGCCATGCTTCCGTGCTCCTGGTGAATGTATATACATTTTTCATAACTTAGGGGAGAAGTAAAATGTAGAGGTGAAATATATTTTTTTTTTTTTTTTTTTTTCTTTTATTGATTCATTTTGAACATTTTAAATATACAAAAAAAGAAGAAAAAAAAAAAAAAAAAAAAGTATGGAAAAAAGGGGGGAAATCCCAATGCAACACACAAACATAAGAAAAGAAGGATACCATCAAGATCTGCATAAAAAAAAAAAAAAAAATGGTGAAGAATCTTAAAATTGTTAGAGTGAACAAAAGGGGTATTGCAGTTAAATTGTTAAACACACATGTCCATATATTATACATATATATGTGTGTATATATATATATATATATATATGTATGACTATGCATGAATTGGAATGGGACATTTATATGCCCCAGAGCATAGAACGTTTCAAACTTAATTTGGAAATGAATCTCTACTTTGTATTTCAACAATCGATAAAAGTTTGTGCCTTTTTCAGTGTAGGTATATGCACACATGTAGGTTATCCAGTAACTTTTTTTTCGTGCCTCTTTTTCGTGCCCTTTTTTCGTGCCCTTTTTTCGTGCCCTTTTTTCGTGCCCTTTTTTCGTGCCCCTTTTTCGTGCCCCTTTTTCGTGCCCCTTTTTCGTGCCTTTCTATTTCCCCTTTTTTTTTTATTTTATTTTTTTCGTGCACTATAGCCCCCACGCAACTGTCATAAAAAAATAATAAAAAAAATTGCTATTTTTCTTTACTTTTTACAATATTTTAGTTCTCCCCTACCTTGTGGTAGTAAGGAAAAACTTTCCTGTGTGTGTATGTGTGTTTTTTTTTTTTTTTTCTTACTTTGCATATTTTTGAAAAAAAAAAAAAAAAAACACATTTCCAGGCAGGAACCAACCTTTTGCAAGTGTATACTGTTCTCACGATATTTAAGTATACATAGTTCTTACATGTTTTATCTGATTTAAAATAAACATTTTTTTTTTTTTTTTTTTTTTTTTAAATAGTTATGCATGTTTTTCCATCGAAAAGGGTATTTCTCCAAAGGGTTCGCATATGTGTATACAGAAAATACATGCATGTCAACTTTGCATTTATATATGTGTTGTATATATATGGGAAATATATAGGTTTGTGTAACATTACACAGACGTCTGACAGTCATAAGCATAATAGAGAGGGATACAATGGAGCTATCAATAGATGCGCTTAAGGAAAAGGTGATTTTCAATTTGAGAAAAAAGAGAAAAAAAAAAAAAAAAAAAAAGGGAAAAGTTTGTGTGGTTATATGCACGTCCGTTCTATGTCAATTCTATTTCTTTAAAAATGCGTGCATTTTATTTTTAACATTACTTTGAATGATAAATTTCTAGAATATGCCATATATTGTGCATACATCCCCCCAATTCTCAGTTTCTCAACATGAACAGTGACATTGAGCTAATCGAGAGGAAGCTGAAGGATGAAATGTGTAAAATATATGAAGATGACATCAACCCCTTCCTAATTTTAAATGATTTTGAAAATATTAAAAATGAATTACACAGAATAAACAAAGAGTTAAATATTTTGTATGAACGAAAAAAAATGAGCATAAATTACATGCATAGACAAATGCAAAATTACAATTTCTTGTTAAACTTGGAAAATAATTTAAACATTACGTCCAAAGAGTTTACTAATTATCATAACTCAGAAATTATTTTGAATAATTTTTTTTATGACAATATAAAAAAGTTTTTATTGAATATAAATTATGATGAAATTAATGAAATGTTGCAGCTAGATTATCACCAAAAATGTGCACTAAGCCAAGAAGAACAAATAACTGCAAACTCGACTTCTATGGGAAATGAAGCAACGAATACCAAAAACCCTGTGTGTGATACGACAAATTATAAACATAATATAAGCAATAATGAATTAAAGTGCAGTGAAAAAAGTGTAATGAATAATGGAAATGTTATGGATGATAATAGAAATGAAAACATGAACAATAAAAATGGAAGTGATAAGGAGAGTTTATTTTGTCCTATCGACAATGCTACATTTCAGACTGTCCCAGCTCTTATTCGAAGGAGAGCAAAATTGGATGACATTAATTTAATATATAAGTCCTTGTATGACATGGCCATAAAAAAGGGAAGGTGTGTGTCTACCATTGTGCTTTTTCACATGCGTTTATGTATGTGTGTTCAGAAATGTCTACTCATGTACAAATTTGTGGAACATACATTTTTTCTTATATTTGTACATATTTACAATTCCTTTTAACTCGTGTTACCCTTTTCAGTTGCCTTCCCGTGGAAAAGTCCGAACTCACTCAAATGAATTTGCAGGTCTTTGGACAAACAGGTTTGTCACACCAGCGGAAAAAAAAACAAAAAAAAACTATCCCTTATATATGTCACTACGACGAATTTATTTCCTTTGCATTGATAACAATGATTACAGTACTAATTGTTATAATTAGTACTGTCACTGTTATTACTGTTACTTATTGCCAATGTTATTATTATCATTTTTGGCATTGCATTGTTATTATTATTATTTTTTTTTATTTTTTATGAACTGCTCAGAATTTTTTTTTTTTTTTTTTTTTTCCCCAACAGGTGAAGCCAAAATAGCTACCTTGCGATATCTAAAAATTATAGAAGTTATTAACAAGTAATAAAAAAAAAAAAAAGCTACCTTAAAACTTGAACCTCTCTTTGTTAATTTTATACTTTTATTCAACTGTTGATGCCGACATTCCCTATCCTCTTTTGCACGTTTTACACATTTTGTTACATTTATACACGCGCTTCATATTCATATTCATATCATTTTACTTTGTTTTATTTTTTTTTCCCTTCTTTCACCTTTCATCCTTCTGACACAATTCAGAACTGGCTCTGTGAAACTGTTAAATTGCGCAGGACTAAAAAAAAAAAGAAAGAGAAAAACATGCATGGCAAGGTAAAAAAAAAAAAAATAAAATAAATAACAAAAAATGGAAAATAACAATAAAGAAAAGAAAAAGTAAGAACAAAAACCGCACCGTATTTCATATTCAGTTTTGTTGAGTAATGTAGGGGATAAAGAAAAATGTGTATATAACACAAAACAAATGAAAATAACTAAATAAATGATCTACGAAGAATGAGACAGGTTTAATATAAGAGGGAGGAAATGCTTTAAGAAAAAAAAAAAAAAAAAAAAAAAAAAAAAAAAAATGAATCCCAAAAAGAAGAGGTGATAAGAGGATAGTGGGTATGTATATATATAGAGAGTGGGAAAGGAAAGAATTTGCATGTTGTTCATTTTGTGTCATCTTTGTAAAGAAGAAAAGAATAATTACTCATTCTTTCTATTTTTTTTTTTTTTTTTTTTGTAAATGTTTACCCGTTTGAACTGGTTCATTTTTCTCGTATTACATATGTATGCGTGAACCCTATTTTGTCCCATGTGAGTTGAAGGAGAAACACTCCAAAGACTTTTCTCCTCTTTTTCAGTATTTGTACATTCAATTTAGCAGGGATATACTTAGTGTGAAAATATGTTTATATGCACAGGAACAGGGGCATGTATATGTATGTGCACACTTGTAAAAATGCATTTACAGCTTTTTTCCCTACCTCCCCTTTTTTATTTCATTTTATCCTTTTTTTTTTTTTTTTTTTTTTTTTTTTTGCGAATTGTTTGCCAACATTTTTTAAAAATAAAACAGATGTTTTTAAATTTTTTAGTAGAATTCATTTGTTGCGTTCGTCACTTCTCAGAACCGTAGAAATGACATGTTTATTTTTGTTCCTATTTTTTATCCTACTAAAAAATACCAATAAAACGCACGCAAAAAAGATTGTAAAAAGGTTGAACATCATACCCTTCATACATTTTCCAAACGGAAGAGTTGCAAAACGGAAGTTGAATTTTATTCTTCAGAAGAATGCACACATCACACTAGTAAGCGCACGTAGGGAAACTGGCACATACAGTGGCTGCTGCATTAAATGGAGATCCCCCAATTCTCTGCCTCACCTGTTATTGGATAAGCAGGAAAATGTCACAAATGATGAAGAAATAGATTATGACAAAATATCCCGAAGTGAGATGTCTGGCAAGGGAATTAAAAATGTTAAAAATTGTGAAGGGCTCATCAATTCTTTTAAGGACTTGGATGATAATCCTGACGGTGCAGTACATTTTACTAGCATGACTAGTCCCCACGAGGTATTAACCACGTTAGAAGAGACACATAAAAGAATAGAGAAAAAAAAAAAAAAAAAAAATTACAAAAGAAAGGAGGAAAAACTCATTTCTGGGGTAGATCATATAAAAGATATAAAAAAAGATGTTAAATTATTTTTTTTTAAAAAAAGAATAATATATTTGACTGAAGAAATAAATAAAAAAACAGCTGATGAATTGATCAGCCAGTTATTATATTTAGATAATTTGAATCATGACGATATAAAAATATATATAAATTCCCCAGGAGGTTCCATAAATGAAGGACTCGCTATTTTGGACATTTTCAATTATATCAAATCAGATATACAAACAATATCCTTTGGTCTCGTTGCATCTATGGCTTCAGTAATCTTAGCTAGCGGGAAAATGGGAAAAAGAAAATCTCTACCGAATTGCAGAATTATGATACATCAACCACTTGGAAATGCTTTCGGTCATCCACATGATATCGAAATACAAACAAAAGAAATACTTTATCTTAAAAAACTTTTGTATAATTACCTGGCCAGTTTTACAAGACAAACAGTTGAAACAATTGAAAAAGATTCAGACAGGGATTACTACATGAATGCGTTCGAAGCAAAGAAATATGGAATTATCGATGAAGTCATAGAAACCAAGTTGCCTCACCCATATTTCTGTGAAGTATCAAATGAGTGAAAGCTTTTCTCTCCACGGCACACATGGCTGGCACATCTGCTATCGGTAAAAATGTAACGCACAATCAAATGCGTTGGATGAGTGATAAAATGTGTAGGATATGTTTTCTGTTTTTTTTTTTTTTTTTTTCTTTTTTTTTATGACATGCTTTTTTTTTTTTTTAGTTCTTACCAAAACATTAGAACATACTTATGTGTCTTTTAAATTTAAAAGAAAAAAAAAAAAAATGTAACATTTTTCTAAATGGTGATATACTTCTGATGTTATTCATTACATAACATCCTCGTGATGGACGCCTCGTAATGACACCATCGCAATGACATTCATCTTAGTGTTTATATTTTTCTGTTTTTACAACCCGTCCTTTGTTACCAAAGAGTAAAAAAAAAAAAAAAAAAAAAAAAAAAGTTAAAGTTTAAGTTAAGTTTAAGTTGATGTTGAAGTTTAAGTTAAAAGGTGGATAGCAAAATGGAATAATTTATGATATACTAAAAAAAAAAAAAAAAATGATAAAACCGAATAGAATGAAATACACGAGGAAAGGGGGGGGGGGGAGGTATGAAAGGACACAAGAATCTGAACGAATGAAATGTTCACATGTTCAGTTAAGCAACTGTTTCGAAGTATAACAAATTTGTAAGTAACTTTTCTTATTGGAAAGGGAAAGAAAAAGGACGAGAAGATGGCGAGGGAAAAAAAAAAAAAAAAAATAAAAAAAAAAGGTATCAAACAGGAATATTACTTTATATGAAAAGAGTAATAACATTTGTCATATACCAATTTTATGAGAAAACAATTTAAATAAATTAATTGATGAGACAAAATGTTTAAATTTGCATTGATTGGGAGATTTGCCCCGTTAAATGCGTGTGCGTGCAAATGTAGACATATGAGATGGTGTGTGTAGGATAAACACAAATGTGTGAAAACAATAACCTGTTCCAAATATTGCTAACGGGTGTGATAGAAGGGGTCGAAATTGGGAAATTTTTTAAATGCACTTGGATCATATATATATATATATATGTATGTACATATATATATGTGTGTATTTTTTTTTTTTTTTTTTTTTTTTTTTTTGTCTAGCCATTTATGGGCTTGTTGTTTTTCTTTTTTACAAAAAGCAGATATGAATGTCACCCTGTACTTTTCACTTTGCAATTTCCTATGGATAAATCACGGGAAAAAGGACACAAGTAAATTCCTAAGAACAATAGGCGGGAAAGTTTATCGAACTTTGCTGGTCATACTGGGTAGTACACTGAATTGTTTCGGGATTTTGAATGGAAGAAGTTGATATGGGAAAAGCGTGTGTGTTATATGCGTTATCGACATGCAACTCGGATATTTCATTGTCTCCATGAACATCAGCACCATCAACATCAACGTCAGTACCATCATCATCAGCACCATAGTCAACCTGGCCCTCATTGTCATCACTGATTTTACCCCCTAGGGGTACAGTTTTGTGGAAATAAGTATTTTCCCTAGCATAAATAATATGTTGTATATCGGTAATTAACAAAACATTGGCATCCGTTTGATTACAAAGTAGTTCTAAAAATCTTAACTTGTTGTAGTAGAAATTTTTTTGAAAAAGAAGAATTTTTTTTTCATTTTCTTCAACTTGTAATTTATTTAGTAATAACATAATTTCATTATTTTTTTTTTCTAATTCAGTTTTGTATCTATCATTTTGTACCTTTAATGATATATAATCTTTATTATTTTCCACAACTAGGTTATTTTTATTTTGATAATGGCAGTGTAAGGATGATGATGATGGTAAGGAGTTTTGAGAAGAAAGTTTATTTGATAATGATAATCTACTCTTCTCAGTATTAGTTAATGGAGTACTTAATCCAATGTTTGTTGTATTGCAAAAATTTCCTTTAGAAGTGTTGTTCATTTCTTTATATGAAGAGCGGTTTAAATTATTATCACCTGTTGTGTTGAGACATGCAGGTCTCATAACTGTTTTTATGATTTTTTTTTCACCATTTGCATAACATAAAGTAGTACCAGTACTGTTATTACTGGATGAAGTTGTCGCACGAATGGTAAAGGTAGGTGTATTATTGTCTTGATTTAAGCTAGATCTATAATCTTTTTTTTTTTTTGGAATATTATTAAGAAATTTATTTTCATTATGTATAATTTTATCCTTTGTTATGGGTATGTCTACCTTGGCCCAATTAGGAAGATGATTGTTTAGTAGTTTGTAGTCACCTCTATCTCCAAGTATGGATATTTTTCTTCTTTCAATGGGATCATAATTAATTATATTTTCATTATTGTAATCTACAATTCTTTCAAAGAATGCTTTAAACCATTGTAGGAATTCTAAATTATCCTGATGCTTTCCCTTAATAAGTTTATCTATATCCATATGTTTTTTAATACCCAATTTGTTAAAAACATTTTGGATCAATTTGTAATTGATAATACATTCATATTCTAATTTGGCGTTCCATTTCACTTTATGCAAAACTGACTTGTTTGGAAATAAAATATCCAATAGTTGCGTGTATATTGCACCATTCGAACACTGCTCAATTTTTGTTATGTTCAATTTCAGTGTTCTATTCACCCATTCTATGAGATCCTTCCGGCTCACAAACAGTGCTGCCTCCATGTTTTCCTAAACAGTGGATCCCTCTGTTAGCGGTTGTCTGTTAGCAGTTGTCTATTTGTGATTTTTGGCTTGCAATTTTTGGCTTGCAGTTTTTGGCTTGCAGTTTTTGGCTTGCAGTTTTTGGCTTGCAGTTTTTGGCTTGCAGTTTTTGGCTTGCAATTTTTGACTTCCTATTTTGGGCTTCCTATTTTGGGCTTCCTATTTTGGAGTTGTGATTTTATATTTGTTATTCTCAATTTTCAATTTGTGGTTACCAGTTGGCGACTCAAATGCTACGCGTCTACATGTGCAGATGTGCACCTGCACAGTGCAGGCTGCACGCCTTAGGAAATTGGCATAAAACGGGATCCCCGTTTTTCTCAAATAATCCTGTGCACTGTATATGTTTCTTTCTCTTTGGACAAGTGTTTTTCCTGCTCAGGGCAGAAGTAGTTGTACCGATGGGTTCTTATATTTGTTATGGGCGTGTCTACACATGTATAACTTAATAGATTTGTTAATGATTTAGCAACATTTCTTACTTTATTTTGTGTATTTTGTTTATTTTGCCTATTTTGCTTATTTTGCGTATTATGTTTGCCTTTTTTTTTTTTTTTTTTTTTAAAGCTAGCTCTTTGTTATTGTCAAGCAAGGGAGCTCCTCAAACATTACGCATAAAAAGGTTTCTTGGAAAAAAAAAATATATATATATACATATACACTCACATATATGTGAGTGTAACAAAGTGTAGGTTCTCTCGTTGCTTACGCGGCAAATGGGCTAATCGTTTCTTTTTTTCCATCTTGTGTGTTTTACTTTTGTTTGGCATAATAACCCTTCTGTGCAAAAAAAGAAAAATTGAAAAAATGTCATTTTCCCGCAGTCGTGCGTGCAAAAATAAAGTGCAATTATTGGGAGCGGGGGGGAGGAGAAAAAAAAAAAAAAAAAAAAAAATGCGCGAAATGTAGAAATGATTGAAACATAGAACTTTAAGAAAAGACAATAATAACCCCATGAGTAGTCTAAACAACTGGATAAGCTTAGGAACACCTTTTTATATATTAATTTGAACAATGTAAATTATATACTTGTCAAGGGTAATTTAAAAAAAAAAAAAAAAACTTTCTCTTTTGATGTAAGAAGTTAATGAATTAGCTTTATTTTTTTCACTTTGCAAGGTGTAAAATAGCAATACTACAAAACTTATCGTTGTTTGTGTGCGTGGGGGAACGACTTAATATATGCAAAAATTGTAGTTAAACATTTTGATTATTCTATATTATTAATATTTTTTTTTCTAATTTTTATTCTCTTTATCATTTTTTGTTGGTTAAAAAGGTGCATCCAAATGAGGAATTCAAATTGGGTTGAGGGAAATGAACATTTATCACTTCTTTATACGTATCACTAATCAATTTTAAGCCTTTCAGCACGAATGAGGGAAAAAAGAAAAGTAAAAAAAAAAAAAAAAAAAAAGAAGATACTACTACTACTTGGGAGAAATGGTTTGAGTTTCATTTCTTCTGTCGTATTTACAAAGCCAGGTGTTGCTTTTATTTTATTCTTCCCATTAAAATAATCCACCTAATGTCTTGTGGTTTGTGTGCGATTAGGGAGAGTGGGGGGGTTGGAATATATAATTTCCACATGAAATACACACAAGACTATTTAAATAAACATGTTTAGAGTTGGTATATGAATGGAACACTTTTAAAACAATGGTGTATGACATGTGTGCATAAGGTTATGTATGTTTGAATGGATGACCTTTCCCATCTTCGAAATTGACAAAAAAAATTAAAAAAAAATAAAATAATGTTGTATCACATCGCCACAAAAGTGTTTTGTGCCAGCATATTTCTTTCCACATATTTCGTTTACTTTGTTCTATTTTGTTTTTGTTTTACTTTGTCCTATTTTTATTTTTATTTTTATTATTATTATTTTTTTTTTTTTTTTTTTTTTTTTTTGCTATCCCCTTTTCCTAAAATGGGGAATTGGAAAGTAGTGTGTCTCATATTACAAAAGAGAAATTTTTAAAATGAATGAAAAGGTGATGTAATTATTGACGTGAGGATTTATATTGGTTATCATAAAATTTCACACTACTGTTGAGGGGCGGATGAAAAGCGGAGGAATGCTTGTGTGGGGAATCACAAAACTTTGTTAGTTCTACGCGTGCATAATTTTAGATATCTTTTGTGCAAAGACTTTTTTTATTTTTTATTTCCGTCCAATTTTAAACAACAAAAAAATATTTGTGCAGCAAAATTGGGGGGGGTGGGGGAGGGAAAGAAAAAAAAAATGTTAGAGAAATGGAAAAGAAGAAAAAAGAAGAAAAACTTCCTACTTTTACCATAATTAAAACATTTCATCATGCATGCGGAAATTTGTACCTTAAAAGGGTTGTATGTTTGTATGCGTGGGAAATAGGTAAAAGCATGGCCTGAATAAGTGTCATAAAAATGTGGCCTGAATAAGTGTCATAAAAATGTGGCCTGAATAAGTGCACATAAAAATACGGTCTGAAAAATTGCTCATGTATGCATATATAATACATGTATACAACTCCATAAATGAACCTTTTATTTGTTTACCACATTTCGCTAATGCAAATTTTGTTCACGTCCTAAACCACTATGTGTATGTCAATCTCCCTTGCTAAGCAGCATTTAAAACCCGCCACTTTTTTCTCTCTTCTCCTTTCCCTTTATATGCTACTCCCTTAAGTATAATTTTTTTTTTTTTTTTTTTCATGCGGGCATTGCACCTCTGCTGGTATGCGCACTCGAGGGGGATGGCAAGGCAAAAGCTTACAAAGTGGCACAAAAAAATATATTGTTCATGAAAAAAGGGAGGCTGATAAATTATAATATATAAATATATATATATATATATATATATATATATATATATGTATGTATATATATATGTATAGTGCACAATATAAAATTGCCAAAAAAAAAAAAAAAAAAAAAAAAACCAAGGGGAGAAGTGGGGATGTGGAGTAGGAGTTTTAATTTGTATGTATTTTTTCCTCTAAATTTCTTTTTTCTATTGAGATATATTGTGCTACGTGGGAATTGTGGTAAAAAAACCAACACTGTTTTACTACTTATTTTCTCCAACGCTTCAGATGAATATGTCACCATCCCTAATCTTACTGACTGCGTTCAGTCAGTGCCAGAATATGATCAAATGTATATATATATATATATATATATATATATATATATATATATACATATCATATGTACTGTTGTATGTGTATCGGGCATATGTACATATCATTTTACTGTTCCTATGTAGCATGTAATATGTGATCCACTATTTGAGCACTACCCCCCCGGAGTATCCCATCGCTACTGTGTAGCACTTAGATATTGTAAAAATTGTAATATTTTTTTTTTCTATTTAATCTTCTCCTTTTTTTCACATCTTACCTTTTGGAAAAATTTCATGAAAAATTGAAAAGCCATTTTTTTTTTTTTTTTTTTTTATTTTGTTTTACAAAAAGAGAAAAAGAAAAAAAAAGAATTACCAAATATGGCAAAGCTGTAAATTGGCAAATGGATAAATAAATTAAACAGCAAAAAATTTGGGAAAGTTCATAAAATTTTACAAGTAAAACAAAACGGAAAAAGAAAAAAAAAAGAAAAAAAAAAAAAAAAAAAGAAAAAAAATCGCTCTTTGTAAATATATAGGGATTTTTTCCCCACACGGTTTATAAATAATATCGATCAAACAGAAAAAAGCGAGGGAAAAAGCAAGAACAAAACATTCATTTTTATTTATAATTTTAAACAACAAAATTCAGAAGGAAATCATTCAATCATGGCAGTAAGCATATGAGAGATGCATTAGTTTTTTACCCATGTTCTGCATAGCCCACACCTCTATAAATCACATCAGATATATACATATACATGTATATATATATATATATATATATATATATATTTATGTATGTACATAATATTGGCTCATGCGAAAGCATGTATTTTTTTACATATGCGTATTCGTAACTGATGCTTTTGCTCATCCCACACAAAGGGACTGTGACGAAGTGACTATTACGAAGTGGCCCCATCAACCAAAAAAGGGACAAAAAAATCAACACAGAAGCATGTGCATATTCTTACGTACACATATATTTTCACCTGTACATATTGTGACATACGCCAAATTTCCCCTTTACTTTTTAACAGGATAGGTACGAAGATGAAAAAAAGGATGTTGGAAAGAACATGATAAGTTTGAGAAAAAAAAAACAAAAGAAGTGTTTGGAATTGAAGGAGAAGAATATGAAAAAAATAAAGGCACAAAAATTGGTAAGTTACAGATTAGCTGTACAAAAAAAAAAAAAAAAAAAAAAAAAGAAAAAAACTAGAAAAAAACGAATCTATAAATTTTATTCCTTGTAATACAAGTTGCATACATAATGAATGAGAAAAACAAAAGAGAGAAGAGGAGAACAGTTTTTCTTTGTGATATTCAACGTATTAGACCTTTTTAGAAATTTTTTGACATTGTTCGAAAGAGGAAATGGTTGTTGTTATGTGTTTTTTTTTTTTTTTTTTTTTTTTTTTTTAATGAGCTTTTTTACATTTGTATTATGTGCATGGGTATATTACGGCAAATTGTAGAAACGATAAGACCGCAATGACATTTGCAGTAACTTCATTTCACGCCACATCATTTCACTTGTTTCACTTCCCCTTTGTTTGACACTCCCATTTCTCGCAGATTAATAAGAAAAAACGAACCGATTTACGACTACGAACTTTGCGTTACGAAAAGGAATACGAAGAGGAACGGAAAAAAATTGCTGAATTGAAAAGAGAAGCAAGAAAAAATAACTGTTTTTACAGAGAAGCAGAAAAGAAAGTGGTTTTTGTGATAAGATTAAAGGGTGTAAATAAATTGTCACCAAAAGTTCGAAGTGTATTTCGTTTACTAAGACTGTTGCAAATACACAATGGAGTTTTTGTTAAGGTTAACAAGGCAACAAAGGAAATGTTAAAAATTGTGGAACCGTATATTACATATGGATACCCAACCATTTCGACCGTAAGAAAATTATTATATAAAAGAGGTTATATAAAAGTAGGAAAAGTAAGAAAATACGCCAGAAAAAAAATCCAAGATAATCATGAAATTTCAAAACATTTGGGTAAATATAATATTCATGGTATTGAAGATATGATATATCAAATTTATACCTGTGGCCCTGTTTTTAAAAAAGTTAACAATTTCTTATGGGCATTTAAATTAAAACCTCCCAAAAAAGGTTTCAAGGCAAAGAGACATGCATTTAATGAGCCAAGACCTGGTGATTGGGGAAATCGGGAGAACCACATAAATGAGTTGATTAAGCGAATGATATAAGTGGAAAAAATGAAAACTTCCGGCACTCTTCGGTGTGTCTAGACTGGATTTTTTTTTTTTTTTTTTTACATATTATACATTACGCAGAATAGGTTATGCACTACACATTATATATTATACATTATATATTACATATTACATGATATACATTTTATATTTTTTTTTTTTTTTTTTTTTTTTTTTCCCCATTTGTCAGCCATGTTTTACATGCATATGGATATGCGCTATGTGTGTGTGTATACAATTCTGTTTTCAGAGGCTTGGAGTTAAAAATTATACATTTACACGCCACCCATTCCATGCTTTTTTCCTATAAATCACGGGCCGTTTTATGTTTATAATGTAACTTCACGGGAATTATTTCCCCATAGCATTAACTTTTTTACTTTTTAAATCACCAAAAAATTTCAAAAATGTAAATATATATGAATGCTGCACAGGTGTTGTGTACACATGCAACAATTGAAAAAAAAAATTAAAAAAAAATAATGCAAACTTTGTGTATGCATAATGAGAGGTATTTGCTAATACTGATGCTTATTGAAATGTATTTTTTTATAAGAAAACAAAAAGGGACACAGTAGTTCACGATTTGCTTTATTTTCTCATGAATTTAGCAAGTTTTATTTTGTAATTTATTATAGGGGGGGGGAGGGGGGCTCCATTCTATTATGACCCACACATATGTATGATTATTTCTGTTATGGTATATATATATATATATATATATATACTCCTTGCACCCCTAACACCACTCCTTGTAGTCATAATAATAGCTTGCACTCATGGGAATATGTATTTTCTCCGCTATGCATATATATCTATTATATACATTATGAAGATACACTTTACAGGATTATACACCAATGAGATGTGCACGAAATAAAAAAAAAAAAAAAATATAGGAACATCGTGCTGATGGGAAAATATGTTTTGTTCTGACTTCTCCTAAAAGGACAATTTCTCATACACGTCTATAGAACAACTGAAGGAGAAAATACGTGTCGTTTTCAGGTTAAGAGAATGCAAAAAAAAAAAGGAAACTCAAAAAAAAAAATGAGCTTTATTCACATCCCATTCCCAACTTCTTATAGCATCCTTTGGTTTCAAAATAATACTCTATGGCAATTTACCTACATCCCCTCTCTCTCTTAGATTTTTTTTTTTTTTTTGTTTTCTAAGTAGGTATAAAAAATAAATGGCTTATTTTCATCGCACCTTTAAAATATACATAATATATATCTCCTTGTTCAATGGAGTTGATTACCCCGATGAAAATATGAGAGGGTTTTCTAATGAGAGGAAGAGTCCATCTATACACGTTGACAGTATGATAATAATATTCTTACTGCTCATGGATTTTTTTTTTTTTTTTTCTATTTTCATCCCTTCTTCATGAAGATTTAAAAAAAAAAAAAAAAAAAAATACGTATCATTGGGAAAGAAGCGTTGTACACTAGTGCATAATACATAAATATAGCCATGCTTTGTATATATAACATGAATATGTAATGCATATATGGAGTTACATGCATTTACCAGTAGAATGATTGTCGAGGGAAAGCAGCTCAGAAAGCCATAGTTGGCAATAAGGCCACTTTCAGCGCTCACTGACCCTTCCCCCCCAAAACAATATTATAAAAAGGTAAAAGAAGTATAATATATATATATATATATATACACATATTATATACATATATATATAAAACTGTTTTATTTTACTCGCGAAAATTTTCTAATGCATATTTACAAGTTTACATATGGACGTTTTGTTTTATTTTATTATTTTGTTTATTTATTTTTTTTTTTAATTGTAACTCCTTCGTTAATATTTTTATGCAGTTTTTTTGCTGACCTGTTAGGTATTTTTTTTTTTTTTTTTTTTTTTTTTTTTTTTTTTTTTTTTTTTTTTTTTTTTTTTTTTTTATTTTTTTTTTTTTTTTTTTTTTTTTCTTTTTTTTTTTTTTTTTTTTTTTTTTTTTTTTTTTTTTCTTTGCGTATTTTTATTTGATATACTGAACGAAGATAGCAAGCTTTATTAATTTAAAATTTTTTTAAACACTTTCGCGAACCTATTTGGAGAGCTACAATTAACAACAGTTTAGCAACTTGACCCTTTTTTTTCTGTTTTTCCACATTTTCCAATCTTTTAAAAATGACTGACGTCGAAAGTGTTGAGAACAACGTGGTAATCGAGGAGAATACCGTGTTTGACCAAACCACAGCAATACAGAAGGTAAGGGAAAAAAAAAAAAAAAAAATGACAAAAAAGAGGGAGTTTATTTTATTATACATTATTATTAGCGTTACAATATAAAGGAGGGCAGTATGAAAGAATATATTATATGAACATTAACGAATGAGTATTAGTTTTTTTTTTTTTTTTTTTTTTTTTTTTCCCCTTTTTTATACCGAATGATATCTTTTTGCGCCATGTTTAAATGTGTAGAGGGATACAATTTGTTTAAACGATTTTGGAATTTTTATAAATCACTATTTGCTGCACGAACTTTTTTACTACCCATATGCAGGTTTTAAAGAATGCGTTGGTTCACGATGGGCTAAAAATAGGAATACGGGAAGTCATCAAGTCTATCGAATCGAAGGAAGCAAAGGTTTGTTTCTTGTCTAACGTATGTTCTGAGCCAGCATATAAAAAATTAATTACTGCCTTATGTGCTGAAAAAAATATTCCCTTATTTATGATTGATAATGACAGCAAGGATTTAGGCCAATGGGTTGGTCTGTTCAAATTAGACAAAGAAGGAAATGCCAGAAAAATTATTGGTGCAAGTTCCGTTTCCATTATTGACTTTGGTGAAGAATCTGCAGAGAGAGACTTTTTAATGCAACAGAATCAGACACCAACCCCAGCCTAAGATGAACTGTAAGAGATATCATACCTGTGTGTTTTTGCTACAAATAATGAAGCTATCAATATAGCACTTATGTATGCATACGGGATCACATATGTCTTTATAAAAGGCAATATATATATATATATATATATACACTCTTTTGTGTAATTTTTTTTTTTTTTTTCAATTTTGCATGAATACTTACCTGTAGGAAATATGTCATTATTTATTGTTACCATGTATGGAGTTGTAAAGTGCCATTTTTTGTAACTAAAAATATGCTTCACATGTTTTCTTGCACTTCACATGTTTAATAGATAAAAGAAAGAAAAAAAAAAAAAAAAAAATTTTTAAATAAAACGTTTAACTGAATAAAAGCTAGTCATCCTTTTCTTGAAAATCGAGCGGAGGGGAGAAATAGATAAAGAGGATGATATAACATGCTTGGTATGATAGGAGGACACAATATTACACTTCCCTCAATTTTTCACATTCCACATGCGCCAAATATACATATCCAAATGTGTTGCAACTTAAGTGGTGCATAAACTTTTAAAAATTATAGATAAGCAAAATCGGTTTATATCGTAGGAACAACGGGGCTCTTCATGCAATTTGCCTTCTTTTAATCATTTGTGAATAATTTTAGAGAAGCCTATACAAAATATTTTCCATTTTATTTCACAACCCCTTCTATACACACACGTACTATACATTTAGAACTGTTACGAAAAATATAAAAAATGGGCTTGAAAATAGAATATTTCAATGGAGCGTTTTTTTTTTTTTGAACAGCCTTTTTTTCATGTGTGTTAGTTTTTTCATCTAGTGAAATATACTCAGTATAGGAAAAATATTTTTTCCAAAATTGCCATGAATGTAATATGTTTATACATTTCTTTATGAATATTTTTTCGTAATTCGCTTGTTTCTTTTTTTTTTTTTTTTTTATTTGTGCATGAATATATTTACTGATCATGCAGGAGCTCATAACTTTTATGTGAAAAAAATATAAAAAATAAAAAAAATGATATCAAACAATGATAAATATTAAAAATAAGAGAATAAAATAATATGTAATAATGAAAAGTTCACTTCATGTATACATAGTAGGTAACGCACATTTTTTTTTTTTTATTAAAAACAGGGAAACGATAAACCATGCGAGTGGATATTTATACACACAAAGGCGGAGAATTTTATCGTTATAATTCAGTGCAGAGGAAAAAAAAAAAAAAAATATATATATATATATATATATATATTATTTATAATCCTATCTATAGGTTTACAAATTATGATCTTGGTTTTTCTTTCTTTTCCTTAAAGAGAGCTAAGAGGGACACTCTGGCAACTTTAACTACTTTAAATTTAACACCTGGCAAATCACCGACTGAATGACCACTTCTACCAAATCCTGAAACTAACACTTCATCATTTTCATCTATAAAATTCAAACAACCATCACCAGGAACGAATGCTGTAATCTTCTTTCCGTTCTTAATTAATTGCACACGCACACATTTTCGGTAGGCGGAATTGGGCTGTAAAAATGAAGAGATGTATACAATGTATCCAGTGCAGTGAAAGAAGTGAAAGAAGTGAAAGAAGTGTAAGAAGTGTAAGAAGTGTAAGAAGTGTAAGAAGTAATGAGCTCTAAGGCTACAAAAAAGAAAAAAAAAAAAAAAAGGGAACAATAACAGAAAAATCACAAAAAAATAACGAGAAAATAACAAAATACTTGTTAGCAAGCATACGGATTTAATGGAATGTGCACAAATTTAATCATTCACTCGTTCACATGAATTGTCCAAAAAAAAATTTAACATATTTTTATGCATAAAAAAATCATAAAAACAAAAAAAGCGTTAATTTGATTTCAGAGTTTATTATATCCATTTTTTGACTCATGAGCTAGTTATACTATAGCCTCATGAAACACAAATGGAAATGGGGGGGGGGGCAGGGCGGAGCAGGTGTTATCATCATATCATAATAATCATCATAATCACTCTCCATCATCTCCCCTTTTGCCATTCTTCAGATTAGTTCTCGGTAATAAAACCACTATGTACTATAACTACCATTAGTTATTTCGTTTCGTTTACTTTCTTTCCGTTTTTTTACATGGACAAATCGAAACCACTTTTTTTTTTCTTTTTTTTTTTTTTTTTTTCTCTCTCCATTTTTTTTAACCTGTTTAGCTTCAATTGCCACTTTCTCTACAACAATACCCTTGGCATGTGAACTTCCTCTGAAAGGGTTGGACTTCCATCTAGTTCCTAAATGTGATTTTTTGTACCCTTTATCTGCCCATCTTTGGGTTCTCCTTCTTATTCGCAATTTTCTCGCTGCTCTATGTCCACGTGGTTTTCCTGTTCAGATTTGTAAATTGAATACAAGTATGTATGAGTAATGGATCCTATTGTATTGTGCGGGTCCAATATGTGTATACATAAAAATATGTTTATGTAACATGTATGAAGAGATTAAGGGAGGGTGTGGCTAAAAGAATTAACGGGCATATCATTATGTCACCATTCCTTGAAATGAAAATATATATTTATATGTACTCATGCTTCAATTCCTTCCATGGTAACATAATGACATGTCCATCAATTCTTTTAGCTCCCATCCCCCCATGATCCCTCCCCTTATGTACTACTTTTCCCATCCGTATACGCAGCAGAATGTCAATTATTACATTCATTGTACAGTCTCTCAAGATGTAACGATTTTGTTCGCATATATAAAGAAAAAAAAAAAAAAAAAAAACACGTAAAATAAGCATCGTGGGAGGTAATGGCTTTAAAAATAATCACATTTCACTCATGTCAAGTATGTATGATAAGGCGCATAAGTTTTACCTGATCCCATGTTTCCTTATGGTAATTTTAAAACTTATATATATATATATATATATGTACGTATATATATATGTGTTAATTTTTTGTAAAGGGGAAATATAGTTAATTCTTTTTATATTATCACTGTTTTTTTTTTTTTTTTTGTATAAAATAAAAAAAAAAAAAAAGTTTTAATGATTTTGTGAGAACAAAAAAAAAAAAAAAAAATTATATTTAAAAATGTTGACAATTTTTACATTTATATATATCTACAGGATAATGTGGATCATTTTTTTTTTTTTTTTTTTTTTATAAAAAAAAAAAAAAAAAAAGTTTTAATGATTTTGTGAGAAAAAAAAAAAAAAAAAAAAATTATATTGAAAAATGTTGACAATTTTTACATGTATATATATCTACAGGATAATGTGGATCATTTTTTTTTTTTTTTTTAATTTTGTCGTACGTGCTTCTTCCCCGGTTCTTGTTTGAGTATTTCCATTCCACTCTACTGTAACAAGGTATGTGCATAATATATATAAAATGGATTATGTAAATATATGTACATATATACGTATTTTTATATGTACATATATATGCATTTTTATATGTACATATATGCATATGTTAAACGGTTTGAGCCTGTGAGTTGAAGGTCAACACTTCCCCCTTGTGTACCTTTTCGCAAGTATGCTACTTCATACGAAATGTTACATATATATATAATATTATAGCACATAAAATGCTACCATTATCCACACTTTTTATTCTCGTCACCAGTATTATGTGCCCAGCAAAATGAGGCATAATAAATGTAATACTTATATATATTTATATGTATATGTATTTATACTAGTGCAAATTGCATATATAATATATGAGTAATAAGGGTACCAAAAAAGAGGTGGAAAAAAGCAGGCGCGTTAAGTGGTCCGGAAAAAAAAAAAAAATCTGCCTATTCATTTAGGGGTATATTTAAACATTTCGGTGGGAACTGTAATGTGGGATATTATTACATATTCGTGCATTTTCGCATTTAAAAGAAAAAAAAAAAATTCATATATATTCATATGCTGTTCTATATATATGTCACGAATTTGTGTCGTATGAATAATACGTATTGAAGCTTATGTAATGCGTGCCATATAGTATAGTCATTTATACATGCATACATATGTACATATATATATATATATCTACATTTGTTATATATTATAAGGTCCCCTTCCACATCAGGCCTTGCTAGAAAGGGACATAATATGCCTTAGCCTCTACTTTTTTCTTAAAAAACCCTTTTCCTTTTGAGTTGAAAAAAAAAAAAAAAATGAGCGCTACAATTAGGATTACATTTATTCGTTTACGGAGCTTGAGTAGTATATTTATGTAATTATAAGTATGCATACTCGAACAACAGCTAGGTATGTGAAACTGAGCAGAGATATGAGGGGAAGGTGATCTAAGGGGGGGAAGTGCATACAGGAATATATATGCATTATCGGAAATATTCAATGAAAAGTATATATAGGGAGAGATTGGTTGCTTTTTTCTTAGCACATAACTTCTAACTAGTCAACGGATTAATTCCTGAGGAAAGAGCACAAATATTGTTGTATATATTTTACACAAGACTGTGTAGGTCTTCCGAATATACATATATGTATATACACATATATATGTTTATGTGTCCAACGTGGGATTTTTTCCCTATTATTCATTTTGATTTTACACTACATTTCGGTCGAACCTATCACAATTTTATTGTTTACGTAATGATGTACACTCGATGTGTTTTCCCTTTTTTTTTTTTTTTTTTTTTTTGACATGAATTCACGTTTTTCCATTCTAAACTTTAATAGCATTATGAAAAAAAAAAAAAAAAAAAAAAAAAAAAAAAAAAATAATAATAAATGTATACATATATATATGTTATACATACAAGTATGTATGACTGTGCAGGTAAATTCTGTGTTCGTCCCATTTAGCTGTAACAAATTTATAAAGAGGAATTTTGGTTAAGAGGAAAAATGCATATATTTAGTTAAACGATGGATAAAGCTAGATAATAATACACATTTCCTATATGTTATTTAGTCATGCAGAAATGTGAAATTAGGTGTTCCTTAAAATATTCACGTTTATAATTGATACATAAAGTATACCCGGACCATGTTCCTTTATTTAATTATTTTTTTTTTTTTTTTATTCTGCACAACAGAATGATTGAAATTTATTTTCAGGTTAATATAATTTTTTGATTTTTCCGTATTTAAATATGTTCACAATTTAGTCTTCCCCTTTCCAAAAAAAAAAAAAAAAAAATGTGTTAAATTAAGAATATGTTCCTCATTTACACAATTACTTAAATTTCCTTAAAACTTATCAATTTGGAAGTAATAAAAAAAATATCTCTCCAAGTATATAGAACGTTTTCTTTTTAATTATGAACAAAATGAAAAGACAGATAAAGGGGGGTGGGGTGGTGGGAGAGTAATATTAATTCGGCTCAGTTTCTTCTCCCTACAACATCATCAGGGTAGGAAGATGTGTGCATATATGTAAGTTACATATGAGGCACAAAATTGGAAAGTAAAAAAAAAAAAAAAGAAACATAAAAAAAAAGGTCCCTATGCTCGCGCATGTTGGGTAAAATCCCTTAACCCAAGGCAGCACAATGTGTCAATGTCATTGTGTTATAAAATGTGTTAAAATAAAATAAAATAACTTCCTATGATTTGTGCTACTCACATATAAATGTTATGCATACGTATATGAAAAAATGTGTGCATGTGTTTATTTATAAGCACATATATATATGTACACAATATGTCGTGGTCTAATTTTTGCGCGCCACCCCCCCCTATTAGGCGAAGTAAAGCAAAGTATAAAATTTTCAAACCCTGTTTTGCTCTTTTCCAAAGAAGGGTGATAAAAGGTGACCACAAAAAAATGTAAAAAAAAAGAAGGAAAAGATGGCCACATATAGTATTATTAAACCGTAAAAACTGACATAGCAGAGTGTGGGTATCATCTCCATACCTCTCACCTTTTCTCCTACCTACACCTACACTCTACATGAAAAATATACATATATAAATGATATATTTGGTTGACATAATTTTTTATTAATTTTTTTTTTTTTTTTTTTTTTTTTTTTTTTTATTCTCTTTTTTCGCTTTATTCATTATTTTTCTTTTTATTCTTTTTTCTTCCACATTAGTATAGGGAGTAAAATTTAGCAATCGCCATAGAAGTGTCAAAAAAAAACGCTGCCTATTTATTGAATTACATGTTATCTGTTTGTTAATTTTATTTATTTCCCCTTTTTTTTTTTTTTTTTTTTTTTTTTTTATACACCCAGTTCTTGGACTATTTTTATTTACCCACCCTTGCTATCCCCTATTATGCATTTTTTTTTTTTTTTTTTATCCTCCACGTCGTCTCTCATAATTAATAAATAATCACTGCAGTTTGAAAATTCTTTCAAAATAGATTTTCTTATAACATGCACAAGAACACCTACAAGTTTCAAAAAGGCTGAGATCATTTCGTACACGACTCGTTCTTTTCCCTCTCCTGTCGTCAGTGGCACACATAAATATAAAGCCCATAAATATGTAACCCGTAAATACATAAATCCCAGAACAGATTAATATCAAAATATATAAACCTTAAAATATATAAATCTAGAAATATATAAATTTTGAAATATATACACAATCCTTAGCAAAGGTAAGCATATATATATAACGTACACTCGCAACCAGAGAATTTGTGTATGCTTATAATCATACACATGTGAATGAGCTCTGTCGACATGGAACTTGTAAAAGATTAGCAAAGAATGGTCAGGGCCTTGTTGTTTGCTCTGCATCTTCATGTGTATCTATTCCAAAGATTACATATGCATTACAAAATATGGAAACTTGCTTGTTGGGAAATGTTTCCGTATTAGACATGTACTTTCATGCGATATTATTCCTCCAGTGGAACAGCATAGTATTTTTAGAATCACATGCACACTGGCACAACAAGGACTGAGAGAGAGAAATGTATCTCCCGCATTAGCTGCCTCATTAGCTACCTCATTAGCTGCCTCATTAGCTACCTCATTAGCTACCTCACTAGCTGCCTCATTAGCTACCTCATTAGCTACCTCATTAGCTACCTCACTAGCTGCCTCATTAGCTACCTCATTAGCTGCCTCTTTAATTGCCTACACCCCTTCCTTTTCATGCTCCTTTTTCTTTTTTTTTTTTTTTCCCCCCCTGCCCATCCAAAACCCAGATGAACACCATCGTACCCGATATTCTAAAACAGGGAGCACAAGAGGACAAGGGAGAAATCGCGAGGTTGCAATATTTCGTTGGTGCAATTGCTGTTGGAGATTTAGTGAAAAGCACTCTAGGGCCACGTGGATTGGATAAAATATTAACTCCATTAAATATAGAAGGAGCGAGAAGTCATCAACATACAGTGACAAATGATGGAGCCACGATACTTAAATCAGTTTGGTTGGATAACCCAGTTTCTAAAATATTAGTAGATGTAAGTATGCAACAGGATAATAAATGTGGAGATGGAACAACAGGTGTGGTAGTGTTAGCTGCTGAGATGTTAAGAAATGCTGAGATATTGATTGAAAATAAAATTCATCCCCAAATTATTTGTGATGGATTTCGTATGGCATTACAAGCAGCAAGAGATGCTTTAGAAAGATCGTGTTTTAGTCATGATATGAATTCTGATTTGTTTAAAGAGGATATGCTTAAGATTGCAAGAACAACATTGTCATCTAAATTGTTGACTCATGAAAAGGAGCATTTTTCTAATTTAGCTGTAAATGCAATATTAAGAATAAAAGAAAATTTGAATTTAGATTTGATTCAGATTATTAAAAAAACAGGAGGGACTATAAAAGATTCTTATTTAGAAGATGGTTTCATATTGGAGAAAAAAATTGGAATAAATCAGCCGAAAAGTTTAACAAAATGTAATGTTATGATAGCTAATACTCCTATGGATACGGATAAAATAAAAATATATGGAACCAAGGTAAATGTAAACAGTTTCGAAGATATACAAGATTTAGAAAATGAAGAAAAATTAAAAATGAAAAAAAAGGTAGAAAATATTATCGCACATGGATGTAATGTTTTTATTAACAGACAATTAATTTATAATTATCCTGAACAAATTTTTCGAGAAAATAATGTTATGACTATTGAACACAGTGATTTTGATGGAATGGAAAGATTAGCTAGCTGTTTAGGAGCAGAAATTGCATCTACTTTTGAAAAAGATTTAAATATTCAACTAGGCTATTGTGAAAAAATTGAAGAAGTTATCATAGGAGAGGACAAATTAATTCGTTTCTCAGGTTGTAAAAAAAATGGTGCATGTACAATTATACTCAGAGGTGCATCAACTCATATTCTGGAAGAAAGTGAAAGATCATTACATGATGCATTAGCTGTTCTGGCTGAAACCATGAAAGATAATAGAGTTGTTCTCGGTGCTGGATGTGCTGAAATGCTTATGAGTAATGCTGTTGATAATTTAGCAAGAACAGTTGAAGGGAAGAGGAGTTTAGCCATTGAAGCATTTGCGAAGGCCTTGCGACAAATACCAACTTATATATTGGATAATGGAGGATTTGACAGCTCAGAAATTGTAAGCAAAATTAGAGCTCATCACACCAAAGGAAACACATACGCAGGAATCGATATTAACAATGGAGATGTGGGAAATGTAATGGAGTTGGGTATCTACGAATCTTACAATTCTAAGTTATCTCAGCTCACATCTGCGACTGAGGCAGTGGAGATGATTCTTAGAGTGGATGACATAATTAAGTGTGCTCCTAGAAAGAGGAGCGGCATCTAGATCACGCCATCACCCCATCGCAGGGACGAAACCATGAAGATTGGAATCTTCAAGATTGGAATCACCAAGGTTGGAATCCTCAAGATTGGAATCACCAAGGTTGGAATCCTCAAGATTGGAATCTTCAAGATTGGAGTCACCAAGGTTGCCTTATCAGCACGACTAATGCAAATCTCCACTTCTGCACCTCTGCATAATGTGGAATTCACCCCTCCGCCAACCTTATCAGTAATGATGTTCTCAATTGAAAATGCATTCCACATTGCACACACCTGGTACACATATGCTTTTTCATGAAGCGTAAGAATCAACTCACAGCACAAAAAAAAAGTTGCTTTTTGTGTGTATGTACTGTACATATAGGAAAGTATATACGTTTTGTTATGTTTATGGCTGTTTGAGGGAATGGCCTATTGTAGTCCCTATTGTGTGCATGCTACACGTATCTACATGTCACATGTACATATATAACCACGTATACACTTTTTTGCACTTTTTTTTTTTTTTTTTTTTTTTTTTCACGTTTATGTATGTGTATCCATGTTTTTATGCATGCTTATGCATGCTTACAGATTAATTAACGTGTTAAATTGATCAAAACTCACGGATAAAAAAAATAAATAAATAATAAATAAAGTCAAAAAAAAAAAAAATACAAATAATAAGGGATCGTAAAAATGGTAGTATAATATATACAAACCGTGTGTACGTGTTCCTATCGTTTAACCAAATTTCAGCTAAACATTTGGGAACAGAAAAAACACTCCTCATCAGGTGAGGTATATATATATATATATATCTGAAATAATGACTGAACGGTATGTGATAAAAAAAAAGGTTATGAATCAGCATTTTCACAGATAAACGTAGAAATATTTGCTTAACAATTTGTCCATTTTTTTTTTTTTTTTTTCCTGTCACACAAAGTCTCCGGTGGGTTTTGTCACACACACCCCACAAGTATAAGAGCAAAAGAATGTATATGCGTGTAAGTATCCTCCATATGTAACCGCTGCACAAACTTCAAATCGATTTAAGGAGGAAATCTTTTGCATAATTTTTTATAAAATGTTTTCTGTTAAAGCACGGGCGATAGCTTTTCCTCGCGTGTTTTTTGTCCCAATCACTGAAGTGGAAAAAAAAAAAAAAAAAAAAAAAAAAAAATAATAAAATAAAAAAAAATAAAATGGTGAAAAAAGTGAAGTCCTACGTGTGAAGTAGTGCGGACACGGACGTAGTAAATATAACATGGTTAGTACATGGAAGCAACAAAAATATGATAATAAGAAAAAAAGTAGACAACCCAACCCGCAAGCTACACACGGTAACCGCATAACTGTAGGTAGGTAAAAAAAAAAAGAAAAAAAAAATTCTTACTAATTGTCAAAGTTTGTAGATACATTATCGCTGATATTTTTGAAATTGAGAAACAATTTGCTTCCACCGTACATGGTCACCAAAGAGCACAAGAGAATCTGCGCGATGAGCTGCGAGGGAAAGTTCCACAAAACAATCGTAGAATATATTTGTACATATACATGTGTATACATGTAGTGAAACATTTTATATGTTTCGGGTATAGAGCGAGACAAACTGTGGACAAAATTATCTTTTTTTTTTTTTTTTTTTTTTTTTTTTGCTCATTTTTTTATTACTGTGTACGGTATGGTAAAATGATCAATGCTGTCGTTCTCCAACTTGAATTCGCTGAGGACTATTTCACGTGGTGTTGTATATATGGGAGAAATAAGAGTTTGCGATGGGTGGAGAGACATTAAAAGAGGTCTTGAGCACACCATGTGCATGGTATATGCATATGTATACATAACGTGCAAGAGTATGTACAAGTGCATGTGCAAGTGCATATTTATATGTTCATGAATTCATTAGCGTGCTATTGCTTAATGCTATAATGTGCTGAACTTACGTAGGTATACTGTGTGTCCACTTTTCGCAAGGGATGCTAAACCCAACAGTGTGATAGAAACTGATAATCCCCAAATCATCTTTTTTTTCTTTTTTTTTTCTTTTTTTTTTTCTCCGATCCTTTTATTCTCCTCGTTTAACTCCCTTCTTGTTCATACATAAAAAGTGTTTCGTGAGTATTACTCCTTTTGCAAATGGGCTCCCTTCCACCTCGATTGCAAAAGAGGAAAAATTTTCCTTTGCATGAATTCGGTATGTTATGGGTTATGCTTGGTACAAGAATGGAATATGCTTGGTACAAGAATGGAATATGTTTGGTACAAGAATGGAATATGTTTGGTACAAGAATGGAATATGTTTGGTACAAGAATGGAATATGTTTGGTACAAGAATGGAATATGTTTAATCTACGTTTCTGTCACGTTCTGTCACGTTCTGTCATGTTCTGTCATGTTCTGTCACGCTCTGTCACGCTCTGTCACGCTCTGTCACGTTTTGTCACGCTCTGTCACGTTTTGTCATGTTCTGTCACGTTTTGTCATGTTCTGTCACGTTTTGTCATGTTCTGTCACGTTTTGTCATGTTCTGTCAAGTTTCTGCTATGTTTGATTTCTTTACGTGTGTTTCTTTTCTTGAATGTCCATAAATCCTGAGTGCTACTATCTAGAGGTGGAGAAATAGGATACAAAAATGGTAAGCCAAGTTGAATTCAAAAAAAAAAAAAAAAAACTATCGTTAAAAACCTTTCACAGAACTTCCTCACTTTTTGCAAGTTAATTTTATCCAAATTTTTTCAGGTTTTATCAAAATTTTAATTGGCTTACCAAAAGGTAAAATTTTCACTAGTGTACAAATTAAGCGGATAAAAGAGAAAAAAAAAAAAAATAATATTCATACATCATTCCAAAAAAAAAAAAACACCGTTTTTCTGTATTAACATTTCTGTTTTATACCTCAAATGAATGGGGGATAAAAACATTTTGCAAAATGAGGTCAGAAAAAAAAATAAACAAATAATTGAACAAATAAATAAAACAATGTGAAATACCCAATATGATTACTTAATGAAAAAAATGTGTTTTTTTTTTTTTTTTTTTGAAAAATAGGAACTCTTATCAAAACAGAACATTTACCTGCCGCTTCTTCCTCTATGCATTTTAATAAACTAATACCAAACAAGCTTGTAAACTTTTTGCTTACATGGCTTAATTGCTACAACATTGTTTTTTGTTTTTTTTTTTTCTTTTTTGTAAAAACATGTGCATTGACAAGCGTTTTGCATAGGTTTAATTTGTGTAAGGGATTGAACTAAAACTTGTACTTTATATTTCTCCCACATTTTCAACATTGTGCATATATATATTATGTGTAAAGTACGTGTTTTATATTATGCTATGAAATTCTCAACCTTCCATTAGTCTTGCAAATACATAGACATAACAAATAGGAACTGTTTTTATCTAAGAGCATATAGACTATATTATTTTTACTTTTTGTTAGTTTAGGATTCAAATTTATTATTTTTTTTATGCATTCTTACGAGGAGCAAAAAATAAAATAATAAAAAAAAAAAAAAGGGACACCCACATATACGAACATATCTAAACATATTCTCGTATGTATTCACATGGGTTTCATAACGAAGCACAAGAGGGGTTATCCACTGAAGTAAATTTTTGAAAAAATTGAATAAAAAAAAATAAAAAAGTGAAAGAAACGGAATGGATATTACATCGTATTGCAAAAAGGGAGAACCCCCCCCCTAGGTTGGTCCTTTTTTTTTTTTTTTTTGACAGCTTGAAATACGCACAAAAAGAAGCATCTTTCTTTTTCCATATATTTACATCGGCATATATATATATATATATATATATATATATATATATATATATATACATGTGTGTACATGTGTGTACATGTGTGTACATGTGTGTACATGTGTGTACATGTGTGCACATGTGCGAATACATACGTGATGCATAAAATAGTCTCTTAATGTATTTTAGCATGATGTATCATATATAGTGGAAATAAAGTGGACGCTCGTTTTATGTAAGCATGTGTGTGTGCGTGGGGGGGGGGGGAGACCCGATTGGAAAAACGGTTACACCTTTAGTTTAAATCCAGTTGTATCCATACCTTCACATCATCTCATTGTGAAAACTTTAAACTGCTAATATTTCATGATTTTGTATAAGGATAAGTTTCCCTCAGAAGGGATTTCCAAAGAGCCAATTCCTATTGTTACAATATTTTCGAACTCGTCCCATTCTGTTTACTTTCTCATTTTGTAAATTAATTCTGTTATGTGGATAAAAAATTTCTTCACTCTCAACTGTATTCAACTTGATTTCATTTATTAGTACTTTAAAATTATTCCTTACATTTACGAAAAATATTGCTGGGAGTTGTGGGAGGTCCAACATCAACGTCAAGTTGGCGAATGCCAATCCTGGAGCAGATGTCATTTTTATCGTGAAAGATTGGCTCCACTTAAAATTGTTAAAAAAAAAAAAAAAAAAAAAAAAAGGGGAAGTAAAAGGAAAGAATGGATGTAAAATAATCTTCAGCTATATGTATCACCACTTTTCCATACATATCCTTCAATTTGTGAACCTATACACATTTGTAACTTTATTTATTTTATTACTGGCTATACATTTAATTATAAGTAATGTCTCTGAAAAAGGAACAAGAAAAAAAAAAAAAAAAAAAAAACGACTTAAATGAACTATCGAATTCGTACTTTTTTGGAATATGCTTTTAATGTAAAACTTTCTAGTATTGTATTGAAATTATCAATTGGGACTTGCAATTGGTATGAAATTTACCTCCCTTAGGGGAGTACCAATTTACAAATTCTGATTTTTTTGTAAAAAAAAATAGTTCACCAAAAAATTTTAATGTACGAAATGTATGTCATATACATTCCATTTTTTTTTTTTTTTTTTTTTTTTAATACACAAATTTAATTATTTTTTTTTTACCATATAATGGTGACATGTCAGGTTTTACACCTGCTCCCCTCCCCAATTTGGCTTATGCCCCGCAATGTGCACATCAGCTGTATCCATTTAAAAGAAAAAAAAAAAAAGATCGAGTGGAATGTTCGAGTGGAATGTTCGAGTGGTATATTCGAGTGGAATGTTCGAGAGAAATGCACTGTTAAATACTCATAGATTTTTTATTAGGAACCCTGGAAAAAACAAGTTAAAATCAATATTTTAATAAACTCAGTTTTTATGTTACATTTCCTTCACCCATCCACTGACCTCAGTAGAGTTACACTTTCTCCTGTTGCTTGAGGAGCGATAAACTGCACTAGTGTGAATTATCTGACAAGGAAAAGGGGGAGAAAAGTGAAGAATGAAAATAGTAATGAAAAACTGGAGAAAAGTAAAGAATAAAAATGGTAATGCAAAACTGGAGAAAAAAAGCAAATTTGTGGTGAAATGATGTAATTATTCACATTTTTTCACCTCGTTTCGTACACCACACACATACGCAAAAAAAAAAAAAAAAAAAAAAAAAAAAAAAAAAAACTTCAGCATTTGAAGCATCTTCTTTGAAAAAAAAAAAACAAACCAATCAGTTCAAACGAGTTAGTGCCAAAGTAGGAGAAGTGAATCAACGGCAAGGTGACAAAATTGAAGCCTCACATGTGACAGTCCAAAATGTTGCATAGTTTTACCAAGAACAGAATTGGAAGTGGACTCATAAAGTCAGCAAACTCGATAAGAGGAAATATCGGGTTTACAAATGGAAATTTCTCAAACGCATGGATACATAATCATGCAATTGGCATACACACAAAAGTGAGAAGGAGTTGCTTGAACAATATAATTAGAAGATTGAGTTCTCCCAGTTGTAGTATGACCCACACAAGAGGATTGCTAAGGACATGTAGAGAGATTGGAACTCTGAGTCGGAGAAACTTGGGAAAAGAAAATACTGATGAAAGCTTTTTCGAGGGAGAGCATTTAAATAGAAAGCTAGGAGGATATGGATATCCAATGATGTTTATTGTGACTTATGATAGACCAAGTTGGCAACCATTCTGGGAAAATGAATACGAAGTTATACCAAGAGATGAATTTGGAGTTCCTTCTAGCATTCCACCAGAGTTGTCAACTCAGATTAAACACACATATTATGTACCTCCCCAATTTTATACATTTTTAAAAAAATTAGGGGATGATACAGATGAGTTAAGACCATATATGACAAAATTGATCAAAGGAGAATTCACCTATGATGATTATCAAGAAATGTTTTATAAATTTGCAAAACCTTTAAAAATATTTAGAAGTAAAATACCATTACCATACAGATCACCGGAAGAAATATCCAAAGAGGAAGAAGTGAAATGGGAATCTGCATGGTACACATATCGACAGAAGGTTTTAGCAGAGTATAATGTGACAATGTGTTTAAGGGAATTTATATTGTATATGACTGTGGGTTTATACTTTGCTTACCTGTGGCTTGATGCCTTGAGGCAGTACCGTCTTGACATGAAGCTTTTTTATTTGGAGGCACCCGAGCACAAGATCAATTGGGTCAAGCCTCGCGGTGACTTGGTCTGACCCGGTGCAGAAGAGAAGCGATCAAGATAGGCAGTCAAGATAAGAAGTCAAGATAAGAAGTCACGGTAAGAAGTCAAGATAAGAAGTCAAGATAGGCAAATCAAGATAAGAAGTCAAGATAAGAAATCAAGATAAGAAGCCAAGATAAGAAGTCAAGATAAGAAGTCACGGTAAGAAGTCAAGATAAGAAGTCAAGATAAGAAGTCACGGTAAGAAGTCAAGATAAGAAATCAAGATAAGAAGCCAAGATAAGAAGCCAAGATAAGAAGCCAAAATAAGCGGTGGAGAGGTGGATTGCAAATCAGGCCAAGTGACAAAAAGTGGGACCCCGCCCCCGCAGGGATAAAAGGTCAATTCTCAGTTGTTTATCTCCTCCCCTTCCCCACTTCATCTGAACAGAATGTTTGGGCATTCATACATGCAATCGTGAAAGAATAGTTAAACAATATGTTCACGCACAATATAGGGAGAAGAAACCCCCACTTACACGAAGAATTTTTTTTTTCATTTTTTTCTTTATTTCTTTTTGCGACTGGGAACATTTTGTTTCATATAAGAATTATATGAATATGGTCTTTTTTTTTTTTTTTCGTCATTTGTTTTGGAAACATTACTTTTTTTTTTTTTTTTTTTTTTCCGTTATTTTTATTATAATACAACAAACGCTAGGACAGTTTAAGCATCAATCCCATCTCTATGGGAAATTTTCTTATCCCTCCTGGAATGGGGGATTTTTTTTTTTCGTTTTTTTCTTCTTTTTGTTCATAATTGAAGTGGATGAAGATGGCTAAAAATGGGAAACTCCCCTCAAAATAGACAATTTTTGAAAGGAAGGAAAATTTTCTTAAATTTTGTAAAAATGATTTTTCTACAAATTGTTTTTTCAATCCTTAAATTTATATTTATGCGTCTGGAAGAAACTTCGCATCGAAGTTATCTATATGTGTGTTTCATAACACATGGGGAGAGTTAACATTTTTGTGGATATACCACGGGGGAATTGTTAAAATGATAAAAAAAATGGTGCAAAAAAAAAAAAAAAAAAAAGGAGAAAAGCTCAGATTAGCTGCTGCAAATTTGTAAATGGGGATAACAAATTTCTATGCATGTAAAACATGTACTACACATATATTAATTTAAGTCGTGTGCTGAATTAACACCTGACATGATAATTTTTCATTCTTTTTCACATGCACGCACAATATAGGGAATAGTGAAAACGTGGTTATATGATAAATAATGAATAGAAGACGCTGGTTGAATATCCCTGAAGGTGTATATATATTTCTAAAGAAAACATACGAGGAATTGGAAAAGCATGATATGAGATGTCCCATGATAAGACGATGGAATTCTTTTTGTTACACATACAAATGGGGGAGGTAGACACAAAAATTAATATACGCAACGAGATCGAACATTTGTGTACGCAACGAGATCGAACATTTGTGTACGCAACGAGATCGAACATTTGTGTACGCAACGATATCGAACATTTGTGTACGCAACGAGATCGAATATTTGTGTACGCAACGAGATCGAACATTTGAGCACGCGGAATGGGTGCAAATATACATATGCAAAGATGGTGGCGACCGGTGCTTGTCGATTGTTCCCTTTTAATTCCCTGTCCGAAATTTCCAAAAAAAAAAAAAAAAAAAGGAAAAGCATCATTGGATGGCTTCCCCATTTTTTTTTCTTTTTTTTTTTTTTTTTTTCAAGCTTAGCAAACAAAAGTTAACTTGGCCCTGTGATGGAATTTTTCCAATTTTTCAGAAGAAGGAATTTGGTACTCACTCAAGAGACAAGGAACTGATATAAACTTTTGCATCTTGAACGTTTTGGTTCATCTGGTCACGGGACCAACTGAGTTCATCCTTCATAATATTTGCAATTTTTGAGATAACTTTATTGGCTACATCAGAATCAATGAAACCTAGCCTGAACCTTCGCCCAATGATATCCGAAACGGTTGAAGCAAATTCATACCTACTTGCATAGACCACTTCTGCTTCAATGTATGGTTTTGTTGGATCAATTTTGTTAAAGAGATTTAATTCATTGGCTAGGTCACATACTTTTTCGGAGAGATATCCATAATTAGAGACAAGATGGTGAGCGGTCTCGTAGTCAATTTTGTTGTATTTTTTGACAAGATTTTTACTCAACTTACTACTACCATATGTTAAATCATCCAAATTGTGATTGCCTTGATTATCACAGCTACCAATAATTTTCAAAAACTTTGTTCTACAATTATATTTCATTTTTACCTTATCACAATGTTTATTTGCTATATAATCTAATGTATCTTGTGCCATTTTTCTATATATAGTCCATTTCCCTCCTAAAATACTTATGAGTCCATTATCATCTTCAATAATTTCGTGACTCCTAGATATTTTGTGTGTAGTTATATGTCCCTTCTTCAATGATTTATCAGTAGATTGATCATTTTTTTCATTGATCACATGATTCTTCTTATTTTTGTTTTTATTATTATTATTATTATTTTCCATGACTAATGGTCTATAACCACACCATGCAGCTTGGATATCATTTTTAATTTCATCTGGGTTTACATTGATATATTTTGACAATTCATTTGCTAAGAATTCCGTATCTTTGGTTTGTATTTTTGGATTTTCTTCAAATTTTCTTTCTTCATCTGTTGTTCCAACAATAGTTGCATTTTCCCATGGTAAGAGAAAAAGTACTCGTCCGTCACTTGTCTTAGGTATAATCATTCCATTATTTTTTGATGAATACCATTTCGGTAGTATAAAATGGCATCCTGATGATAACTGAATCATTGGATTTGCATTTTCATCAGCTAGTTTTCTTACCATATCTCCATGAGGTCCAGTTGCATTGATTAAAATTTTTGCAAAAATTTCGATTTCTTTATTATTGATTTTATCTAATGCTCTTACACCAATAATTTTTTTATTTTCTTCATCTTTCAAAAAGCCAATCACTTCCATATGGTTACACACAGTTGAACCAACTTGACCTGGAATATAATCATCCATTGCACTTGTTAAAATGAGATTTAAATTCATTCTACTATCATTATGTTGCCCATCGAAATATATTAGAGAACCTTTTAATTCCTCTTTTTTCAACAATGGAAAACTATCCAAAGTATTTGAATGACGAATGTAACTTGAATTTGGTACACCTTTATCAAAATAACAGACTAAGTCTGCCAATAAATCATATACTTTTATATTATATGCAAAATATGGAACCTCCCAATACTTGTATATCGGCATAATTATAGGTACCGATCTTGACATAAATGGAGCGATTTTCATTGCATGAGCTCTCTCCCCTAGAGCTTCCCATACAAAATATAATTCTGTTAAATCTAATTTTTTTACTGCATTTTCTAAGTACCGTATACCTCCATGTAATAATTTCGTTGATTTGGAGGAAGTACCACTTGAAAAATCATCTTTTTCTATCAAAGCACATTTTATTCCTCTTGTTGCACAATCCAATGCCAGTCCTGCACCTGTGGCTCCTCCTCCGATTATTAAAACATCATATTGATTCTTTTTTAATTTGTTTATCATTTCTCTTCGGTTCTCTATGGGGCTATATTTGTACACTACATCTTTGTCAATCATGTTCTTGAGAAAATTCACCTTCAGAATGTATACACACCCCGCTCCAATCACTCCCAGGCCCCCGGATGCAGCAATGGCCTTTTTCAGCATCGTCTCAGTGAAGCGGTGCAAAATCGGGAAGAAGTGGTATAGAATCGGTGCAGAATTAGGAAGAAGTGGTATATTATCGGTGTAGAATTAGGGAGAAGTGGTATATTATCGGTGTAGAATTAGGGAGAAGTGGTATAGAATCGGTGCAGAATTAGGAAGAAGTGGTATAGAATCGGTGCAGAATTAGGAAGAAGTGGTATAGAATCGGTGTAGAATTAGGGAGAAGTGGTATAGAATCGGTGCAGAATTAGGAAGAAGTGGTATAGAATCGGTGCAGAATTAGGAAGAAGTGGTATAGAATCGGTGCAAAATTGAATCGATGGCGTGGGTCATGCGCGAACAGGGTTAAGAACACAAACACATCCGCTTAAATGTGTATGTATTATAAGCCAACTGTTTCTTAGGGTAACATCTCTCCTGATGAACCAAAAAAAAAAAAAAATAAAATAAAAAATACACAGTAGCAAAAATGTTCTCTCTCTCTCCCTCTTAATGTGTCCATGCAAATTTGCTGAACAGGCAAAGCTCTCTCATGACTTGGCTAATAAGTAATGTAAACTTCAAGCATATACTTCGCACGTAGAAGGAGGGGAGAAAAAAAAAAAAAAAAAAAAAAAAACTTATAAAAAATCAATTGTAAAAAGGCAACAAGTGTATAATTAAAAATTGGGTAAGGTAAAAGGGTTTGTTAAATGGGTCACAAATAGGCCAAATAAAAAAAGCCCGGGGTAAAAAAAGAAAAAAAATTGGTGGAACGAGAGTATGGGGTGAAGTGTAAACAAAAATATAGCAACGAAATCGTAGAGAGTCTAAATAAACTTGAAATATTCTTATGCATTTCCACGTTAATATTTTTTCTTATTTCATTAGATTGTATAAGATCTAAAAAAAAAAAAAAGAAAAGAAATAAAGAAAAATAAAAAAAAAGTAAAAAAAAAATACTTTATGCACAGTATTTTTTTTTTTTTTTTTTTTTTTTTTAAATTTTTTTTTAATTCATTATAAAATAATGGAAAAAAAATGAAAAAAAGTGTTTGCATTAATTCATCGCACATTTTGTTAAACTATATCCTTCATTTTCTTGCCTTGTGTTTATATTTGAGATTGAACCCAAGTACTTTTCTCACCTAATCATCAAAGGAATAATATATTTAAACATAGAATATTTATTTAACTCTCATTTACCATTATTTTTAACTTCCTAAGGGAGCATATTTCAAAGGAGTAAAAAAAAAAAAAAAAAAAAAAAAAAAAAAAAAATAAAGAAAAAATAAAAAAAAAGTAAAAAAAAAATACTTTATGCACAGTATTTTTTTTTTTTTTTTTTTTTTTTTTTAAATCTTTTTTTAATTCATTAGCAATAATGGAAAAAAAATGAAAAAAAGTGTTTGCATTAATTCATCGCACATTTTGTTAAACTATATCCTTCATTTTCTTGCCTTGTGTTTATATTTGAGATTGAACCCAAGTACTTTTCTCACCTAATCATCAAAGGAATAATATATTTAAACATAGAATATTTATTTAACTCTCATTTACCATTATTTTTAACTTCCTAAGGGAGCATATTTCAAAGGAGTAAAAAAAAAAAAAAAAAAAAAAAGCAACAAATCCTTTCACATGTAACATAAAAAATTGTGTGCATAGGACTCTACAAAGAATAGTTGTAGCAGAGACGTATTACACACCAACTATAACGCTATACATTTGTGTGAATTGTAACAAAATTGTGTACACACAAATACATAGTTATTCCATATGTTCATAAATTTTTGCCCGATTCGAGAAAAAAAAAAAAAAAAAAAAAAAGTCCCAACCTTTCAAAGTTATCCCTATTTTAAAAGAGCTGCGGAAACACACTTAACACACTCCCTTATATATGTGCAGGCAAATTTGAATATACCTAACTACGATATACACCTTTTTATTGCAAAGCAAAATGGCATACAACAATGAGGGAATTAAAAAATTTGTACAAAAAATTATAGACGAAAATGTCATTGCTGTGTTTTCAAAAACGTAAGAATGGAGATACGCCCCACAGATATACTTTTAAAATGAGGGGATAAAAGGAAAAACGAAAATGGAAAAAATTTTAAAGTATTCATAGCAGATTATACCATCCCTGATTCCCCCCATCCCGTCCCCTTTCACTTTCATGCTGAAACTGTTCTTTCTATTTTTTTTTTTTTTAGGGAATGCCCATACTGTATTAAGGCCATCTCCATTTTGAAAGGGTTTAATGTTAAGAATATGGTAAGAACATTCCTAATTGTTCTCAATATGATTATGGTATACGTGGGCAACAAGCTACATATAAAACTCATTGACATGTTAGTATAACACACATGTGCGATCTATAATGTACAAATACGAGAAGACGTTATAAATGAGGTTATTCTTTTACCCTTTTCCCCCCGTAGCATGTAGAACAAATTGAGAAGAATCCCAACATGGCAGATATTCAGGCATATTTAAAAGAACTAACAGGTAGGAAATGTAATATTTGCAAAGGAGTATATTTTTCAGTTTATAATGGCTGAACAATGTAAAATGTGTAAATTCTATCCTTTTTTGTTGTTTTTTTTTTCAGGAAAGAGTTCCGTTCCGCGGATATTCATAAATAAGGAATTTGTTGGAGGATGTGATGACTTGGTAAGTCGAGAGTGGGCGCAAATGTGAAAGAGTTGAGCAAAATGGGGAAAAAAATGAGAAAAAGGGAAAAAATATGAACAAAAGTGTACAATATGAACAAAATAGCTAGCTACGTCCAATACCACTCAAAAAAAAAAAAAAAAAAAAAAAAATGTGTAATTTTTTTGACTGCTCAGGTAAAAGAGAACGAAGAAGGAAAACTCCAAGAACGGTTAAAGAATGCTGGTATACTTAGTTAAATAGGAAATGAAAATGGAAAAAAAAAAAAAAAGAAAACCTGAGATGAAAAACTATTTTTTTTTTTTAAGACACCCTTGACTCTTATTTCACCTTTATGGTTTTGTCCAAGTTTAATTACAAAAGTAACAAATTTCATTTTGGAGTTTTATGTATATCATGCGATGTTCACGTGGCGTCTGCGTGTAGAATTTAGATCTGAACAAGTGCGAACGTTATATTGTAAGTATAAGTACGTATATTCGTACATACACATATATATATGTATATATGTTTTTACGTAAGTATATATGTATCTATATATGTATTTATGTATGTACATATGTGTATACCCACTTTGCACATAAATGAGAGAGCATTCTATCTATTTTTTTTTTTTTTTTTTCTTTTGAAAACAAACCGTTTGATCGTACACTTAAAAGGTCCATGAGTGAGCAATTAAAAAGAAATTAATTCACGCACATGTACAAACATATGCTGCACGGGTATACACGGAAAATACGTATAAATACGTGAAAAAAAACATATGCACCAGTTGAAACTATTTATCCTTCATCCTCGAAATAAAGCTATCTATTATTTTCTCTATTTGTGTTGGACCTTCTGTCTTTATCACTTCATTCATGGTGGAGTATTCAGCGTCGACATTGTCAAAAATGAAGTTAAATTTATACTTGGTTTGATCTTCAGAGGAAAAATCCGAAATGACTTCACTCACACTGACATGTCCCTTAGTTTCCATTTCAATTTCGCTGCTTTTGTTTTGTTTATAAGCTTTCCATTCACAATTAATTTTAAAGTCATAAATTAAAATTTTTTTTTTTTTTCGTATACTGGAAGAAGCTTCACCCTCAACTTCCGAAGAAAAGAATTGCAAAAAAATGTTATTACTTAATTCTATTTTTGAATTGTCCAGTATATTCTTTAATTCTTCCTTAGCCCATCTGGTTAAGCATTTCTCTTCCCAATGGTAATTGTTAATATTCCAAATGGAACCATCTTTTTTTTGTTCCTCTTCGTTTTCATGTGTGTGATTGGCATTATGCAAGATGTTTGGAATTACACCATATGGTTGATTCTGATGATTATTTTCCATTCCTACATTTTTCATTTTTTCTTCCTCCTCTGTCATCAACTTCAATTCTTTATTTGCTACAAATTTAAGAAGTGATCGGTTGTTAAGGGAAAAAAAAAAAAAAAAAAAAAAAAAAAAGGCGAAGAGGCATGTATTTATGTATGGCTATACATTCGTTTTGGTTAGCAGAGAGCCAACACAACATTATGTATATTCGTTCATAAAGTTGGAAAACTGGGTTCCAAAAAAAAAAAAAAAAAAAAATAGTGTGCACTGTGACAACATGCAGTAACGAGCACCCACTATCACACAATGTATGCATTTTCATATTTCCTTTTTGAGAATATTAAATTACATTCACTTGAGTCATGCTTTATTAGATTCGCTGGGAAATCCTTTAAGGTATCTTTTATTTTTTCCTTCCCCTCATTTCTTAGTATGGCATAAGCCCTTTTATACTCCTCCTTGTCTCCATCCAATTCGATATTAATTTCGTAGTCGTTGTCCTGCAGAGAAGAGGTGTGTGGGGATGGAGTTTGGTTTGTTTACTTGTGTCTCTGTGATTTCATTATTTTATTGTATTTTTTACGTTCCACTATTTATGTTCCACTTTTTATGTTATATTTTGTTATGCTAAACTTTCCCCACATGTATATGCATATATATAACCTCCACTGAACAGTTTGAAAAGTCCAGAATTTGGATGTTCCCGCCAACGCATTCCTTGTCTTGGCCCATTTTTGAAAAGTTCCAATTAAACTTGATGACATATTCGAACGAATTTATTTGTTTTCCTTTCCGGATATAAACCGAGGCCTATTGTTGGGGAAGCAGTGGGGAAAAAAAAAAAAAAAAAAAAAAAAAAAAAAAAAGGGCATAAATAGGGATAGGAAAAACTAGAGAGAGCAGGTGCATAAACAGACAAAAAAACGTAACAGTGGAAACATCCTACTACACAAACAGGCACAAAAACATATTGTCATATGTTGGTGTAAAAAACACTTCCATATGTTGGAGTAACAAGTATAGCCACATGTTGGAGTAGCACACAGAGTGCTGCTTTCATGTGTCGGGTAGGTGGCCGTGTTATCATAGGTATTTCCCGCCCCCTTTTCCTATGAAATTATTACATTTCCAGAAATGTCAAACGTATCAAAGTAGACATAAAATCCGTCCTTTTCAATTTTCAAATTGGATAATTTATTTTCTATATATGATTTACCCCATTTATTGTAGTTCTTTTCTTCCCTGCACTCAATTTAAAAAAAAAAAAAAAAAAAAGAGAATGGGCAACAAAAATAAAAGTGTTGTGATGAAGCTTTGTTTGCCCATTTTCCCTGGGAGAGATACGCAGACGGAGATTTTCCACGAGAGTATCTTTTTTTTACTTTTACATATTTCTTTGTGTATCCCTCCTTTTATGTCTTTCTTTTTTTTGTGCAACGTTTTTTACGTTACCAGTGCCAGCTATTGCTATTCCAAATTGACCCCGCCATCGATTCACCGATATTTCAATTTGTGTTATGCTCGTTTCAGAATTAAATTTGTTATATAATTTAAAAGGTAGCTCAAATATCTCTTTTACGTCTCTGGGTTATATTTTTCCTACGTATAATATAATATCACAATGCTTCAAAATTATGAAAAGGTTAAAAGTTCAAGTTATAATGTGTATTTATTCGTCTTCACAACAGTTTGATGTGTTTATTAATGGAGATGATGTAATAACTTGTCATGCATTAACCATATGAAATAAAAACACATGTCATAACGACGTTTTTTTCATAAGATAAAATTTGTTCCTTCTTTTGTATAAGAAAGCATAATTAAAAATATGAAGGCACTAACAGATGAGCCAAAAAAATAAATATTTTTTTTTTTTTTTTTTTTTTATTCAGGGTATCCCAACAATGGACAAGGTTGAATTAGGTTGGGTGAGGTTGAATGCGGATAAGCAAGTTTATAGAAATCTAAGTGCTTTTCGAAAAAGAAAAAATAAATAAAGAAAAAAAGATGAATGGATAGATAGAGAAAGAGAGAGAGTGAGAGAGAGAGAGAGAGAGAAGGGGAGGTATAGAAAAACTACAACGTAGCAAAATCAGAAAAATATGAAGAATTCGAATTTATGAAAATTTTGAAAAGTCCCCAAATGTGCAAGAAGTTATCATTTTTTGTTTTAAACTAATCATAAAATAACAAATCATAATGTGAAATGGATTTTCGAAAAAGTTACTCTCAACCTTAACCAACAATGTGAAAGAACCATACAAATATATAATAAATATTTTAAAACAGAAACTTTACAAGACTATGTATGAGATGCAAATAAAGAGGTGAAGCTGGTGAAGCCCCGCCCTACTCACCAAAGAAAAAAAAAAAAAAGATCCTAATTTGTATGCCCAATGAATAGCATATCCAATGGAGTGAAAAATGGAAATCCCAAACAAGGATAAAAAAAAAAAAAAAAAAAAATGAAAAAAAAGATGGGAGAAAGGAACATAAGAAATTTCATAAAATTGCCATGTGCTTAAGTTAAAAAAAAATAAGAGATTAACATATTCTACGAATTCTTCACGCTTGGTCTTATGAGGAAGATGGAGAGGAATATTCTCTAGGACACACAATTTATCATACAAATGTGGGAACGTACAAAATGGACGAATGGATGAATGGATGAATGGACGAATAGACGAATGGATGAATGGACGAATGGACGAATGGATGAATGGATGAATGGACGAATAGACGAATGGATGAATGGACGAATAGACGAATGGATGAATGGACGAATGGATGAATGGATGAATGGACGAATAGACGAATGGATGAATGGACGAATAGACGAATGGATGAATGGACGAATAGACGAATGGATGAATGGACGAATGGACGAATGGACGAATGGATGAATGCTAAAATTGGTCTTCTTTTTTTTTTTTTTTTTATCCTAATTCGTAGAAAATGTATTAATTATGTTTATGAAGAAATTGTTGTAAAATAATTCCATACGACCGTGTCATTAAGAGCTAAACGTAGACGAATATACACAATGTGGCTATCCAACATGACATATATATGTACATACATTTACATACATATATATCGATTCTACACACATGAAAGCACATCTAAGGGGTCATGTGATATGTAATGGGGGAATGGTGAAGGTGGTGAACCTGATTTCGATTTAGAGGAAGAGAGCGTTTCGCTTCTTTTTTTTTCAGTATTGTCCTTTAGAAAGCATTATGACCAAGAGTGTTCAAAAATTCAAATTTTAGCAAAAAAAATGTGTTTGATGGACATAACATATGCAGCATACACAATTTTGAAATCGTATGATATTTCACCCAACACACACACGCATACACAGTCGCCCTCTCTACCCATTTTTTGTACACCCACATGTACATATAATCTAAATATTCAGTAGCCTCGTGTGTGGATGTTGATGTGTGTAACCACTCTGAGTTGAAAAAATAGGAAGGTTTTAAAAAAAAGAAATTAAGTGTTGGTCATGGGTTTTTTTCAACCTTTTGAATGAGTTAAAACCATGAGAGGAATAAAGATCTTTTCCTCTGAAACGAATGAATTTGTTTTTCTTTTATGAAATAAAGAAGAACATTTGTTTGTAGTTTCATTCTTCTTAGAAGTGCTCCATCTGTAGACATGCATATGCAAATACACTTCTGCACTTTCGGAACAATAACTGTTCATTAGAAAAGTGCAATTCACCCGCACTTGATATGATACACTTTTTTTTTTTTTTTTTTTTTTTTTTTTTTTTCTTTTTATGTGAATAATTATATCCCATTTGGGAAAAGAGTGTTTTATCGTGAAAGGTACATGGATATTCCAATTCTGGAAAATGTATAACAACTTCGTGATATGTGTAATGGATACCCCATCCCCTTAAAGTTATGAACACAGAAAAAAAAACCTTCACATGATATATACATAAATATGCATGAATACGGATGAAAGAAATAGATATCTCTATTTATTTGTGGTAGGTATTTTGTGTCAATATGTGGAAACCATTTCATTTTTCACGTTCGTTCATTTGGAAAAGCATTTTTTACATTTATTATTTATCCATTTTTTAAAATGCTAATGTTTTTGTGTTACTTTTTCCCTACTGAGGAAGGGACAGGGGAAATTTTGCTAAAGTCGTTTTCGAGAACATGTCCAGAAGAGAAAAATTCAGTTTCGTCAAAGCTTTGAGAATATTCCTATATTTTTGGCAACTTTGTGCGACATTTTTTCTGCATTTTCCAGAGTTCCACCTCTTGTAACTGTTTGGTTACATATATAATTAATAATCTTTTGGAACAATAATCCTATTTTTTTTTTTTTTTTTTTTTTTTTTATGCATACACTTTTGCAAGCATTTCCTTTTATTTTTAAACTGGCTAAGTTGTGATATGTAAAAACGGAAGGGTATTTTTTCTTTCATTCCCTTGTTTTCACTTTTTTTTTTTTTTTTTTTTTTTAATTACATTTGTGACTCTCTTAAAATTTTCATAAATATAAGCCATGTTAAAAATATGCGATCAAAAACAAAATTAAACAAAAAAGCGATCTGCTGACAAAATCCTCCAATCTTTTATATACTTCTCTCCCATATTTGAACAATTATGATTCGTATGTACGAATCATAAGCTTAGGCGAGGATGGGTTAAGAAATTGTTCAACCAAAATCAGCGTAAAAATAAAAAAGGAAACAAAACAGAGCAAATCGAAGAAAAACATAACAAAGCATGGCAAAATAAAATAAATAAATTAAAGAAACGTAAAATAAGTAAATTAAAAGAAAATAAAGGCAAAGATGGTAGGGGAGAATAATAAGAGGTAAGCCCTTTTTGTCGCACTTTTTTTTTTTTTTTTACCAACGTAAGTGAGAAGCTCTTTTTTTTTTTCTTCTTTTTTTTTTTTTCCTTTTTTTCCAATGTTAAAAATAAAGAAGAATATACGAATGCTGTTACTTCCAATTAAAAACATTTTATCAGTTTTTCATTCTTATCTGAAAAAATACGTATATGTACAAATATTAAGCAGATTTTCTGTTCTGCCGTTTTTACAAATCAATTTTTTTTTGTGTTTTTTTTTTTTTTTTTTTTTTTTTTTTTTTTTTTTTCTTTTCCCCTCCGTCATCTTCCCTCCCTACATTCCGCTTATCCAATTTGATGATTCATCTGTACGAATGTATATTGATTCTTATTAGAAGAACAAAATGATGATGATTTTTTAAAATTCAAAAAAAAAAAAAAAAATAAAGGAAAAAAGGGTAAATATGCATTCTCGACAGATCCCCATCCGATTGTACACAAGGCCAATTTGACAGAATTCTGGTAACATTTTCTCATGGATCAGATGAAAAATGAAAAACGGATGTAATGCCAAAAAAAAAAATAATGAACATAAAATAATAATGAGTGAGATAATACAAAACATAATATGTATAGTAGAGTAGCACAACCGGATATGTAATAATATATATATGTATATATATCACTTATCGGTATAATACAAAATTGAGAAAAAATACGCTTCAGTAGAAAACTCCAAATGCGTGTTAGTGTGGGGGTGGGGTGAAGTGGAATTTATGCCAAGCACAACTTGAAATTGGAAGTTTACCACATATTTGATAGGAAAAGAAAAAACGAGACGGAGGTAGATAGAGGCAAGTAGAGACAGATAAAGGCAAATAGAGACAGGTAGAGACAGGTAGAGACAGGTAGAGACAGGTAGAGACAGGTAGAGACAGGTAGAGACAGGTAGAGACAGGTAGAGACAGGTAGAGACAGGTAGAGACAGGTATAGACAGATAAAGGCAAATAGAGACAGGTAGAGACAGATAAAAGCAACGTGAAGTGGGCACACCTACATAAACATAGAGAACAGTAACCCCTGAAACGAACAAAATGAATTTCTTGAATATTTTTACAAATGAAAAGAAAAAAAACAATGAATCGGTAAGTACTCCAAATTGTGAACTCCAACAAGATAATAACACTTCTTCACCACACCCAGTAACAAATGATGTTAAGATAAATTACAATCATGTTATCAACCCCAAGGAAGAAGGAGGTGTTGACATTTCTCCCACCTTCGACAATGTCCAACAGGTCAATATGAGGAACCATCATATGTACAATTCAGTTATTCCTACTCATTTTGAAAGCGCTGCGAATGCCTTAATCACCGTTCCCACTGAAACAGAGATGCATATTCCCCCAGCAAAATTGGGGAATCTCATACCTGGTCTAAGTTTAATCAACATGAGTGGGACGAGCGTGGGTGACACTAGCATCAGTGTCTCTAATGTGAATCACCCCAGCGTGAATCAACCAATTATGAGTCATCTCAATTTGAGCTGCGACAACATGAGTACTGTGCAGTTGGACAGCCAATTGAATAGCAAATTGGACAACCAATTGGACAGTCGATTGAACAACCAATTGGACAGTCGATTGAACAACCAATTGGACAGTCGATTGAACAACCAATTGGACAGTCGATTGAACAACCAATTGGACAGTCGATTGAACAACCAATTGAATAGCCAATTGAATAGCAAATTGGACAACCAATTGGACAGTCGATTGAACAACCAATTGGACAACCAATTGAACAGCTGCAACGGATACGAACAAAAGGAGAATTACGAATACGTAAGTGGGAACCTGAGTAGATGTATGTCTTACGACGATGGTGAGTTATTTGCATACATGCAGAAAAGGAAAGAGGAGGGAGGATTACATAACTGCAGTTTTTACAACACACATGTAAAAGATACTTATGGAGAGCATGACAAGTGTAGCGTCCGTGACACGTATAATAGTAGCAGAAACCACGCGAGCCAGTACAGAAATGCTACTAACCATAGCGTGGCTAGTAATTTAGCATGTATTCAGAATGCAGATAAAGATATGACCAATCAGAATTATTTTATTAATTCCACATCGATTCATGAAAATTATCAATCCAAATCGGATGTACATGTGAAGAACACCAATGTGCAAATAGCACATGATAATATAACAAGTGGGGGATACATGAATTCAAAACAAAAATATACGGACGAATTGTGCAACGAATCTTACAGGGAATCGTACAACAAATATAATAATTCAGAAACACAAGGTGTAGATAATATAAAAACATCAGGTTTGCAATATGGGCATGCCAAGGAGGGAAATGATAATACAACAACAGGTAATATGATGATACCAATAACAGGATTAATGAATAACAGCGTTGATTATGTTTTCACGAATAGAAATAATATAGATGGAATGAATGGTCAGGAAACAATGAATAATAACTACGAAAGTAATGTAGTTCATTCTTTTGGACACCAAATAAATGGAATGAATAATATAATACAACAAAATGTGACTGATAGGAAAAAAGGGCAAAATATCATAAATAATCAATCGTACATGAATTTGTACACACCACCTGTAGGTAATACTGATAGTAATAGTGGAGAAATTAATAAAATTACATCTAGTAAAAGTAAAGAAAAAATGAAACGCAAGAAGGGAGTTCTTAATAATTACAATTATGAGCAAGATGTATTGCCGAATTTTTCCCCTGATATGAAAAAAAATAATAAAATAAGTGGTAGACATCATAGGGATAATATGAAAAAGTTTACCCAAATCAATGATACCATGAATCATGTCAATAATGATTCTGAATTTTTTGGAAAAGCTTTTCTCGAAAATGGAACATCATCAATATCATCATCATCAGGATCTAAAATTGATCACAGCTGTTCTGTGAATACTGCAAACAAAATAGATGCATATAATGGAGAGATTTTACATAGTAAAAAGAAAGAGCAGCGTGGAAATCGAGAGAAGCAATATGGAACAGAGGATAAGGAGAGTGTAAGAGGTACCAACCGAATCATCCTAGATGAAGAAGAAGAAGAAGGAGAAGTAGAAAAAAAATGGAAAAGACATAAAAAGGGAAAAGACAGTATAATTCGAAAGACAGTTAGATGGGCAGAAAATGAAGAGGCACATAATTCTAAAGGAAGTACCGTGACACATGATATTGAAGAAGACGATGAGAAAGGGGTCGAATATTATTATGAGAAAACGATGGATTTTTTAAAAAAAGAATTCAGTATTAATAATATGGACAAGAAGAATAAATATATAAATGATAGAGATATTTTGGAGAAAACACCCTTTTTCAAACTTGTTAATTTTGAGAAAAAACTAGCCACGGAAAGGAAACGTGTTTTGAATTATTACAACGAAGATAGAAAACAAATATATTCAAGTAGTATAAATAAAGATAAACAATTCTCTCATATATTTTTTAATAATGAGAAGTATTATGATGCAAAAGAAATATTGGCTTATTTACTACCGTATCACACATTTTATTTGGATAATATTTGTGTCGATTCTTATGATGATGATCAGGAATATCCTGAAAATTTTCAGAATGATGTAAAAGAAATTGAGAAAGGGATTTCTCAAATTAAGGATTCCTTTCGCTCCTACACCAACCCCTCAGTGGTAATTTTTTTTTTTTTTTTTTTTTTTTTTTTTTTTGGCGCATCAGGTATGATGGCACCCCCTTCTCTGTGTGTATGTTATTGCATATCACAGTTCTTGTATATTTTTTTTTCTCGTTCTCCTAATTCTGTCCTGCCATTTTCCTTCCCCTATGAATTTTAGGTTTGGAGTTTTAACAAAATAATTGATAGAACGGACGATCAGTACAATAAAAGGAAGAAAAAAATAGCCAACTCGTGATATGAAGAAACTGAAAACCAATCATGGTTTTCATAAACACTCCTTAGTTTTGATTCACATCACACTTCGGGTCCCTAGGACAGGGGGAGGAAGAGAGGTGTACCATTTTTTGCAGAGTGCGCGTATTGTGCATACATATATATGCATATATGTACATATGTATATATGCATAAAAAAAAAAGAGCAAAGGTGTTTTTCCCATTTTGGGGGGCGGGATAATCTTCTCTCCCTGTTTTTTTCTCATTTTTGGGGGGGGGATAATTTTTTCCCCCCCCCCCCCCCCCCTCACACACCACATACCACCATCACCACATTTACATATTTGTTCTACACCCATGTCTGGACATGGCTAGATTAGATCTACTGTGGTTATCCCATAATGTCTAATTCGAATTAAAGTGTATCTACACATAGGGTGTCGCATTCGACTATGGCATGTGCCTCTCCCTATATATTATTGGACAAGGAGGAATACAGAAGCAAACGCCCCCAAAATGGAAAGGCGTGAGGTGTGTGTAGGTGGTATATACTTATTAGAAAGGGAACATTTTAATAAAGAATATAAAACGCAAAAAAAAAAAAAAAAAAAAATGTGTATTCATTTGAATATGTATATATATGCATATATTTTTAATTTTTTTATTTTTTTCATACCGTGGTGCGATCATGATATATTTTTGTGCCCGACTGAATGATAAAGATGCAATTTTTAAACACGTAAAAGGGATCTCTGCCCCATATGTACTATACACCGCATGTTTATTATTACATCACACAGCACATTATTTTTCATTCAAATGTGTTTTAATTTATTTTGAGGAATATTTTTTATGTGTATTTCGCTGTACCCTCTTTTTTGGCAATATTATACGACACTTTTTTTAAAGCACTTTTTTAAGGCATTTTTTTTTTTTTTTTTTCTCATGCCTTATCTTTAGCCCCCCATTTTTCCTTAACCTTGTAGGAGATATATAAGGAAAAGTTGGTTTTGTTTTTTTCCAATTGGTTTTGCTGTTTTACATCACCACATTTGCCTCAGAGAAGTTGTTATACAAGACTTTTCCCAGCTTCAACACATTTTTTTCACATGCAAACAATTTTAAGCATTCTAATTATGTTAATGAAATGGTGCATACGTATGATATGTACCGCACATATTAGTTTATTTAAAAAAAAAAAAAAAAAAAAAAAAAAAGATATCATATTTTGAAAACATTCCCCTTTCATAATTGTGAAGTACAGTATTGTAATATATAAAAAGGAGGAAAGCCCAAATTGCGTAGTAAGGTGTGTGTGCGGGAAATATATATTTTACATATATATATATATATATATATATATAAACATTTTTGCCTTTATTTCGACTTGTGGAATGTGAAAGATATTTATTTGTATATACACGTGAAAAGGGACAACCTTATATATACATGCACAGGTGAAAACAGCTCCAATTATATATACCTTTGGGGAAAAAAAATCGAAACCGAAAACAAAAAAAAAAAAAAAAAAAAAAACCGAAAAGGAGATCGTAGAAGCTTGTTCTTAAAATTGTTTCGTTTCTTTGTGAAGGGAATTTATGTGCGTGCACGCCTGTATTTTTACCAAATGATTTGTTAGTTTATATATAATTGATGCAGGGTGTAGCACGAGCGAATTTATAATTATGCTACACTTTCTTTCGAATAAAACCTGCAATAATAAATCCCGCAAGTTCAGGCGACAGCTACATTAGAGTTGTGACCACGGGGAAACACTATTGGGCGTGCAATTATTTTTATTCATTTTATTTTACTCTTTTTTTCCCCCTTTGCGCGTTCCATTTTGACTCAGCCAAGAGAATTAGCAGACGAGTGCGTTCACCTTATCTATTTCTTTATTTTGTTTCGTTTTACTTTATTTTGCTTACTTTTTTTTAAGCATTAAACCTGACATGTATGCAATTTTTTTTTTTTATATATTCAGCTTGCTAAACGAATGTAAGCACGCGTGTTACTGAAAAAGAAGGAAAGTCACCTTCTTAGAAAAATCCCAATTCCTACGTGAGTATGTGCATGTTATGCATACATGCACATACGTGTACATATAAATACTCGGATGAAAGTGTGCGGGAGAAGAATGTCAATTTCACACGATATGTTTCAAACCTGAAGAACAAATAAGAACGCATATGCACATTCAATTTGCCTACCCACGTTCAACTTGCATACCCACGTGCAAGCTTCGTACCCACGTGCAAGCTTCATACCCACGTATACGCTTCATACACACGCTTCGCACACACGTACGAACGTACCAGTGTGAGAGATACTTTTATATTCGTTTTGCCTTATCTAGAAGTGTGAACCCACAGACGCAGGAGAAAATGGCGATGAAAGCATTACTTGACAGTAGGAAATTGTTTGGCAGAGAAAACAATCTAATAAACATTAAAAAAAACTATATATGCTTTCAAAGAAGTGCACTTCGAGATAATGTAGTAAAGAAGGAAACTCCTAAATTTGAACAGAAACCATTGGGTTCATACCCAGTCCCTCCAGAAGCGGAAATGATGTGGAGAAATAGACATACTGCATATGGTGGATACATTCAGCAAACGGTTTCTCCCTTTCAGCAAAAAATTATGTACCCATTTTGGCATATGGCTTTAGCTAGATGGTGGGCGAAATTTTCATCCTACGTGTGGTGGTGGATATGGCCATTTGCAATAACTAATTTAATTTTATGGAAAATGTTTCGCGATTCGAAAAAGTACGTGCAGCAGAAGCATTGGTACTGACATGTAGAAAATAAAGTAGTCATTTAGTACTAATTTGTGTTATATATATATATATATATATATATATATATATATATATGTATATGTGTATGTGTGTAATAATTGATTCTGATGGTTCATATCGAATTGATTATATTTTAAAACGGACGCCAGCACAAAAAAAAGAAAAAAAAAAAAAAAAAACAATAGTAAGAACCATCATCAAGGATGTATCGAATTTATATATGTGTTTTAATAAACCCTATATTTTTTTTTTTTTTTTTTTCTCCCCTTCCCTAAAAAATAAATTAATCGTGAAATAGCTTTTTTTTTTTTTTTTTTTTTTTTTTTACCAAAATTTTTATGAATGTGCATGTAATTTAAGATTATTTTTATTCTACTTTTCTGACTTGTGCAGTTTTATTTTATTTTTCTCTCTTGAAATTGCGTTTAAATTGATAACACTACATACACATAAATCATTGCGTTTGGTTTATCCTATTTTGTTCTACATGCTTTTTTACACATATTTTGGAATTACCTTTCTTTTTTTGGGAAATATTGTTTCACGTGCATTGGAGGTGTATACCATTCAGCATAAACTTTTAGAGACCGTACGTTTATTTATTTTTTTTTTTTTTCTCTCCTAACCCTAATATCCACCACATAATTATGTGTATATTTAAAACACTCATTCAGTTTACATATTGAAATATATAACTTGAATTGTTTTGAATAACGTTAAAAACAGCTTAGAATAGCCACAACCTCATATCCTCCGTGGATAGAGTTTCTAGGGAAGACCCGTATGCAAACCATTTGTTAGTGTGTATTTTTCGTAGAAGTAGGAATAATTCTAAAAAAAAAAGTAAAGCAGAAAGGAAAAGCAGAAAAGTAAAGCAGAAAGGAAAAGCAGAAAAGTAAAGCAGAAAGGAAAAGCAGAAAAGTAAAGCAGAAAGGAAAAGCAGAAAAGTAAAGCAGAAAAGTAAAGCAGAAAAGTAAAGCAGAAAGGAAAAGCAGAAAAGTAAAGCAGAAAGGAAAAGCAGAAAAGTAAAGCAGAAAAGTAAAGCAGAAAGGAAAAGCAGAAAAGTAAAGCAGAAAGGAAAAGCAGAAAAGAAAAACAGAAAAGAGAAAAAACGAACAAAAGAGTATCATATAGTGATTACGAGTTCAGCCAATTCAAAGGGGCGTGGAGATTGTGTCCCTTGGTTGATCTGAGGATAGTTTCCCCTTCTGACAACCCGAAGGAATTGTTTGCACTGCTGCGATCGTTAGCCCATGTTTTGAACACCCATACATGACTTTATTATTTTTGTAACTGTACTGTTTGTTGAATAATCGAGAAAGGACAACCCCCTCCCCATGAGTTAAGCACATGTTGTTTCCTATAAAATGATATTCGAAACGGTTTGTTAAAATGTTCATGAACAGATTATGCAACAGCAAATTGTGGAGATCCAATGGTTGGAAAAGGAATGGTATTTTTCAAAATGAAGTATTTGCTATGTTTAAAAGCAGTAAAAATATACTAGCCAAAAATACTTATGGAAATATTAATGAAAAGCAAGAGAAAAACAATAAAGGAACAAAAAATTTAAATACTAATGAAAGTAATATGGAAGACAAATTGCAAAAAATGCAATTACTATATTCTAAGAATAAATGTGAGGGAAATTTTTCTAAAAAAATGAACACATTTTATATCGATAATAATTTTTTTTTTCTCATTGGATGCTTTTTTTCATTATATAGTGTATTTGTATATGACTTTTTTGCAAATAGGTGTGTGCAAATATTTTCTAATTTCTTTTTTTTAATTTTCCATTTTACAAAAAACACAGTAAATCTCTTGGCTTCTATATTACATATGCTGTTTATTTGTTTTCAAGTGTACGTTTTAACTATTAAATCTAATATAAGTTTAAAGTCCTCAGGGGAAGGGTAATATATATGATCTAATTGATCTTCTTTTTTTTTTTTTTTTTTTTTTTTTTTTAATTTTTTGTTATATATTTAATCATTTTTTTTTTTTTTTTAATTCTGTACGTTTATATTAGTTCAACAAGGGGAAAGAGATTACCAAATGGACATATTTTTCCATGCGAAAGTGTGTGTTTTTGCAGCATTCTGATAATATGGGGGAGGTTAAAAAAAATAATAATATGGAATGAATAATCCAAAAAAAACAAAATAAAAGTAGCACCAAGGAATAGTTAGTAATGATATTAACCTCCTACAATTGCAACAACAACAAAAAATAAAATAAAGTAAAATAAAGTAAAACAAAAGAAAAGAAAGGGAAAGAAAAGAAAGGAAAAGAAAGGAAAAGAAAGGAAAAGAAAAGAAAAGTGGTGACATAAAAATGTTCTTTTCCATTCGCACGAAAACTTGAAGGGAAATAATATTATTATATTGTTGCACTTCGTGGAAAGGATTTAATAACCTTTTTTAGATTCTCTTTCCTCAAAGTAACAGGGTTTACATATGTGCAATCCTACTCCCTGCTCTGCCCCTGCCATGGTGCTGTCATACTTCCGCTGTCCTCGTGCTGTGTCTCCATTTGGTTTTTGTCTGAGACGAGCATATCCAAACCAACCTCGTCAACATTATACTTGTGTGCGTTTTCTAACAAATATTGTGCTATGTGTAAACAAGGATTTTTTGGCTTTGTACGACATATGTGTATTAGTGCATCCGTTAAGATAGGGAGGATATTTTTAATTAAGTAGAATCTCAAAGGGATAGATTGGTTTTGAAAATATTGCTGCTGATGTTTGAGTAGAAGTTCTTGTCTTTTTTTTTGGGCTCTTATTAATTCATCATTTTCGCTGATTTCTTCTGCAATGAGCTTGTTTTCTGTATTTTTAATTTTTTCTTTTTCATTTGTAAGTTCCTTCTGTTGCATGTGCAATTTCTCTTTTATTTTTTCTTCAAAGGATGGAAGGAAGTTATAAAATTTTATATTTTTTTCAATGTAAATATAAATATTTGTCAAAATGTCCTCTAGGACAGAGTTCTCATGTATATGAACACTGAATACTTCTACATTTCTTTCTAAAAAATAATCTTCTATCGATTTTTTCTGGTCAAATTCGAGACAATCATTTCTGCAATTTTCTTTCATGTATTTTTTGTTTCTCCTTTCGAAACCACTTTCGTCGTTGTGTCCCTTGATGACTTCTTCATCTGGTAGGTTCATCATCCTGCTTCTGCATAGCTCTACTGACGATTTTAAAACAATGACAAATTCGGGAAAAAAAATTAAATTATTATTCCCTTTCTCTCTTTTTTCCTGTTTACCCCCAATTTTTGTTGATCCAGTTGCATTTCTTTCCTTCTTCGTTTTTTTCCTTCCTCTTTTGGTGATATCGGAGTCGGGGCTATCACTAGACGTTTCGGGTTGCTTATTTTTTTCTTCTTCTTCGTCGTCATCTTCCTCTCTCTTCTCATCGTCTTCCTCTATCTTCTCATCGTCTTCCTCTCCCTTGTCATCATCTTCCTCACCCTCGTCATTGTCTTCTTCTCCCTCGCCATTGTCTTCTTCTCCTTCCTCTTCTGAGGTATCCATATGAAGCTGCTTTCCCATCTGGTTCGCGTCAGCACCACTTGAGGGATCGTCCTCTAACCGTTTTGCATTAACTTTTCCATCATCTAGAAACACTCCCTGGTTGGTTCCACACTGATCGAAGAAAAATTCCGCTTCATCATAATTTCTGGGGAAGAAATCCAGCACGAACCCTCTAAATTTGCATTCGTTGCTTTTTAATTTTTCATAAAAAATGGATGCAAGGTCTGGAAGAGCCAACTTATTGTTGATCTCATTTGTGTTTTTTTTATTCTTGTTTTTGTCCTTGTTTATGTCCTTGTTTTTGTCCTTGTTTATGTCCTTGTTTTTGTCCTTGTTTATGTCCTTGTTTTTGTCCTTGTTTTTGTTTTTTTGCTTTTCATCGCTTAAGTCTTTTAAATATTGCTTGTAATACTGCGGAAAATCGTAATTGTTCCTTTTGCATTCCTCTATTAGAGAACTGATGGAGCACATATTCAAATTGTAGTATTCACATATTTTTTTTGCTATGAATGTTTTTCCCACCCCTGGTTGTCCTAATATTAGAATCTTCAGCTGTTTCAAATTTCTGTATTTGCAGAATTCTTTGGCCAAAATGGAAATATTTTTCGTGAACCCATCACAGCAATGGAATTTGAAAAACTCCTTTTTTCCTTTTCTCTCCCCTTTGGTGCTTTTCCTTGTAGATTTTTTTTTGTTGTTGGCCCTGTTGCTTCGCACTTTCTCTCTATCAGACGTGTCCGATTTGTTTGATGCATCATCGTCCTCCTCTACTCCGTCTTCCTCTGCTTCATCTTCCTCTGCTTCATCTTCCTCTGCTTTGTCCTCATCTGCTTCGTCCTCATCTGCTTCGTCCTCATCTGCTTCTTCCTCATCTGCTTCGTCCTCATCTGCTTCGTCCTCATCTGCTTCGTCTACTTCTGCTTCGTCTTCCTCTGCTCTGTCTTCCTCTTCTCCATCTACTTCTGCTTCATCTACTTCTGCTTCATCTTCCTCTGCTTTGCTGCCACCCAACTCCGAGCAAGAAAAACGTAAATTGACACATAATACCTCTGCGTGATTAAAATATATAGAATCATGTGCTGAAACACTCAAAAGAGTTGAATTTCCTGACATGAATGTGCTAACAGTTTTAATAAGTGTCTTTTGTGTTATGTGTTCCCTATCTACAGCTATGATATACTTGTTGAGAGGTTGTTTTATATAGATTTCTTTCACAAATTGACATAAACCTCTAACATGTATAATTGGAATGAAGTTATTTCCTTTGTCAATTATATGATTATCTAAGCTTAACCATGCATTTCTGAAAATTGGGAAGAAGACATTTTCACCATTCCCATAAAGAATTCCCGACGCAACTACATATGCATTTAATTTTTTTTTTGAATTCAGAGATAATACTAATGTTTCGACACTTTTGTATTCTTCATATTGAGTAGAGGGGATTCTTTTCATATAATCTTTTTCTGTAAAAATTTCTGGCATTTGAATATATTTCATTTTTTTTTCTTCCTTCCTCTGTTCGTCTCGAACATTCATAGATGATCCTTCCGTTTGGATCTTCTCCTTATTGACAAAATGTTCTTTTATTTTACTTCTATCTGGATCAGAAACATTATGATTCTTATTCATGTTAAAATTAGAAGATTGTTGTGTTGTATTTATCTCTCCTCCATTTTCTTTTGTACCTTTATCTGTATCTATGAAACCGTTAGACAATGCAGATATTGTACCATTATGAATAACCTCCTTCTGTTTCACGAATTTCCGTTTTGTCTTATTCCATGTCATGACTGAAGAGATAAGAACAAATGTAATATCTCTCTTCAACTTCTCATATTTTATTTTTCTTATCACATATTCAATTTCCTCAATATCTGTGTTGTGCAAATCGAAGATGACTAAATCGCATCTTAGTATATGTTTAACAATATTATCTTTCGGTGTTTTAGACACAATTCTTTGTACATTTTCATACTTGTATTTGAGTTTATTCTTTGTTTTACTTTCCTCTACCACCGTCCCGTAAATTTCTATGCTTTCATTTTTTACCTGATTCAATGTTTCACACAGGCAGCTCCCTGTGTATGTGTTTACATTGTGGATGAATATTTTCATATTCTTTTAACTACTTGAGCTGGGGTATCTTCTAGTGGTCTAAATATAACATAATTTGTCAAAATAGATAGGAGAGAATATGTATATATATATATATATATAAAGATGTCATGTGGTAAGGTGGGAAATTTAATGGCTAGCTATTCATCAGTTTTCCTCACCCCTGAGAACTCAGAAATAGGTCACTTGAAATTTTAAAAAAATATAATATCCTTGTTCCACGTTCCATCAAGCTCTAACGGAATTTGTGTTCGTTCGTGTGGTGCATGTCTATGTCTTTTTAATGAGAAACACTAATTGCTTAATAAAATGAAGAAGCAATTGTGAAAATTAAAAGTATAAACGAGGGGAGTGTGTATTTTTTTTTTTTTTTTTTTTTTTTTTTATCAAGTCTGGGGTTAACTGCATAAAGTGCTTAATGATATATTGCTCAGATCCTTGTTCATCAAATTTAGCAATTTCGATTTTATCACTTTCCACTTTGAAATGGAATATAAAAAAAAAAAAAAATAAAAAAAAACATAGTTCATTTTTCACTGCGCGAATGTCATTTGAAAACAGGGCTTAACTAGTGAAAACGTGAAAATTGAAAAATAGATAATCTGCAAATCTGAAAAAGTGTAAAAGCACACACAAGCACAGACACGTAGACACACACGCAAACAAGCCCAAATAAGCGCATGTGTAGGAAAGTGTTCCGATGAACGTACGTGTTTTATGTAAGCCTTTGTGAAAACGGAGAAGATGGATTGGCCTAATTGTCCATATTGATCATTTTGTGAAAGGAATGAAAATTATTCATATGTATCTAAAAATGTTTTTGTGTATACTTAGGGTGCGAAGTGATACCATCACCCCTTTGAAGCTTATGCTTTTCCATTTCATTTTCAAGTCTTATATATAAGTGAGGTTTCATATACATCGCTGAAAGCTGGCATCGAGTGATACGCGCTGAACACATACAATTTCATGTGCATTTGCAATTGGCTTGGTAAGGAAATTATAAAAAAAAAAAAAATTGGACAAGTTTGACAAATGTGGAAGGTCTCGTATGCACTTACGTATCGCTGAATGATGACATGAATAAAAATTCATATCTATATCTTTACATTCTTTTGTCTTGAAATCACAGAAAATTAAATTTATCATGAAAGACGTAAAGGTGGTGAGCTTTATCAAGGGTATATTTTTTTTTTTTTTTTTTTTTTTTTTTTTTTTTTTTTTTTTTTAGCTCAAGAGAATGACTAAAAAGGAGAACTTCTGAGGAAAGGGTGTCAATTATGTGTCTATTTTTCCTTACCTCAGTTTTATGAACATTGTAAAATCAGTTTCCATGGAATACCATATAGTGGTATATCTCCATCCATAAGGAGTAAAATATGGTTATATGTGTATGTAACAGAAATATAGTGACCTTTGTTTAAAACTGTTAATAGTAACACAAAAATAATACCCTTTTACCCTTTTCTCTTTGTTTTTGCAATCCATCCCACACTCCTCCTCCTCCTCCTGTTCCCATTGTGCGTAAATTCTATATATGTGGAAAAAATTACTACAATAATTTACTTCCATATGAACGAAATAATCAGTTGGTTCTTTATTTGTAAAAAGGAATATACTGTGCGATACAGATATACACTAGTGTATAAGTAAGGAACGACTTCTATAACATATGAAAAGGGCATAGATACATGTATATATATAAAATCTCGATGTACCTAAATTTAAAAACCTTGTCAATTAATTTTCATATATTTACACATGTGTAGCAGAAGGTTTTTTTTTTTTTTTTTATTATTTTCCCTTCAACGTGTTTTCCTTTGTTTCTTTCTAATTCACATTTGATCGTGAGAATAACTGTGCATTGGTATTCGCTTGTGAGAAAAATTCATGAACCGGATTCTTCAAAATTTAATGGAAGAACAAATTATGGAATGGTAAAATAATGACGTAGCAAAACAAAATTTGGACAACTACATGCAACAAGTGTACGAGTAAATGGGATGGGGGTAAAAACGTCACACCGTGAATAAACATGGGGGAATATATAAAAATATTAACCAAAATGCATTTAATAAAAAAAAAAAAAAAAAAAATGTACCACAAAAAGTGAATAATAATGTGTAACAGCGGTTAAATTGTAAAGTAGTACTTCGTGAGGGATGTGAGAAATCAATGAATTTGGTTTACATAACATGGACACTGATCATTTATGCTTGTCATAGTTTTTTTTTTTTTTTTTTTTTTTTTTTTTTTTTTATTTTTTTTTTTTTTTTTTTTTTTTTTTTTTTTTTTTTTTATTTTATTATTTTATTTTATTTTTTTTTTTTTTTTTTTGCCTGACCAGTCATAATATTTTAACAATTTGTTTTTGATGCCTTTTTTTTTTTATACATCACTTTTCTACACTTTTTTATTATTTTTTCGTTTTTCACTCCCTTTCTACTGTGGAAAAATCAAACGTGTGGCACTTTTGGTGCCCAACATGGAATGTGTTGCGAAATAGAAGCAGCATTATCACACACATACAATAAAATACCAAAGTAGTGCATGTGCTGGATGGGTGGGTCATATAATTGTGTTGATAGATATATTATGTACGAAAAAAAAAAAAAAAAAAAAAATTACATATATGTGTTTCTCTAACAACAAATCTGTGAACATGAACATATTCAGAAACAGTTAAAGAAATTGAACTGCGTCGAAGTGAATCGATTAGAAGGCAACTTGAGAAAAAATAAACGCGTTCAGGGTGCGGCAAAATATATATATATATATATGTATATACCATTTTCGGAGGAAAAAAATTTCCACAAGCACATGCATATGCGAATATGTATATGCACATGTACATATATTTATTCAACTATTTATTTAACTATTCATCTATTTGTTCATCTATTCATTTATCTATTCATTTGTTCATTTATCTATTCATTTGTTCATTTATCTATTCATTTGTTTATTCATCTATTCATTTTCTATTCATCTATTCTTTTTCTATTCATCTATTCTTTTTCAATTCATCTATTTATTCTTCTATTCATCTATTTATTCATCTATTTATCTATTTATTCATTCTTTTATACGCACGCATGCACGCACTCGCGAATATCACCATGAACAAATGCGTATGTTCTCCATCTCAACATCGAATCAGTGAAAAAAACGTCATTATTGCTATAATTCCTGCAGAAATTAAAACCCACCTGTGGCCTGAACACATTACTACATGCGCGTTCTGCACACAGGCAATTCTCATTTTACTCGACCCACAAGTAAATAACCTGACGTTGCTGTGAAAAAGAAAACAATAAACGAACGTATAAACAGAAAAGGAAATAGTGAACAAACGGATAAACAAATAAAAACATACTCTCCCTTTCCCCCTGATAAAAATGAGCGAGGTAAAATACTTACATATTGAGATCATGCCAATGAGAATGAATCGAACAGTATTATTCAATGCTTCCCCAGTGAGATGCTATATACACAAGCACACGCACAGACACCTCTATATCCATAGCACTCGTTTTTTTTGTTTTATTCGATTTTTCGCTCCCCTGTCAAGTGATTCAGGGAATGATCAAACTATGACTTATGTAACATTGGGAGAGGGTGTACCACCCTCCCCTGATATCAATGTGATTGTACCTCCCATCACGAAATTTCGCAAAAAAAAAAAAAAAAAAAAAAAAAAAAAAATTTTTATAAAATTTAAGGAAAAAAAAATAAAATAAATTTTTGTGGGAAGGGTAAAAGATGGAAAAAGTTATTAGTAAAAAAAGAAAAATATGAGAAAAAAAAAAAAAAAAAAAAAAAAAAAAAAAAAAAAAAAAAAAAAAAAGTATTCCATATTTCTTTGATTATGTTTTTTTTTTTTTTTTTTTTTTTTTTTCTCTTTTTTCTTTTTTCTTTTTAACCCGTGTTCAGGTGATTGTGCCAAGAAGTTTTCGATTGCTTGATGAATTGGAGAAGGGGCAAAAAGGAAATGTAAGCGAAGGTGTATCCTTTGGGTTAGAAAGTGCAGATGATATTACACTTTCGAATTGGTCATGTACCATTTTTGGTCAACCAGGAACAGTTTTTGAAAACAGAATTTATTCCCTGACCATATTTTGTGGTGACAATTATCCCGATGTACCACCGACTGTCAAATTTGACACGAAAATTGAAATGTCTTGCGTGGATACCGATGGACGTGTAAGTACCCAACCCTTGGGGAAAGAAAACGAGATTGGAAGATCAACCCTAATGAGAGACACAAATTGGGTGCACAACCTGACCCCCCTCACGCACACACACACACACACACATATATATATATATATATATATATATATATATATGCATGTTGCTTACCCCGTTTATTTACAAAAAAAAAATCCGAAAAATACAGCCAACATGAATAATTTTCCTTTTTATTTTTCACACAACTCATGAATCCCCAATCTTATAGGTCGTTAAAAACAATCTGCATATTCTTAAAAACTGGAACCGAAATTATACCATCGAAACAATTCTAATTTCCCTCAGACAGGAAATGCTGTCAAGTGTGAACAAAAGATTACCGCAACCCAATGAAGGAGAAATGTACTGAACAGTGCAATAATGTTTTTATTTTTCTATCAATGATGCAAATGAAGAAATAATAGGGCTTGGAATGAAAATGTGTGTAAGATGTTGCACATAAAAAATATTTTTACCTTTGTTGATCTTATCCATTTATTTTAATACCAATAAGGAATTACTAATTTGTTACAATGAGATGTCTGAATTTGTTTTTTTTTTTTTTTTTTTTTTTTTTTTTTTTCGCATAACACTTTTTTGCTCTTCGCTTCAAATTTCTACATTGCATTTTTTGTTCAAAACAGTTGTTTAGGCTTTATTTAACACATAACTTTAGAAAAAAAAAAAAAAAGAAACAATTTTTAAAATGAAATTTTTAAGTAAAAAATATATCCCCCTTTTTTCTTTTTTTTTTTTTTTTTTTTTTTTTTTTTTATAATCTCGAAATGGTATATTTATTTTATTGAAGTATACAATTTGTTCTTTTCTCACCAATGACCTTTTTGAATCATCACAAAAAGAGGTAGAAAGCTTAATCCATATATCACAAGCATATCGTTTACTATGAACATTAAATTTCGTATGGTGCTTGTGCGAAAGAAGTGTCATGTGTAAAACCACACATGTGCGAGCATAAAGCATGTGGATCCATGCGCGTTAAGATTGATAGTATCATCATTGGCATAATTACTTTCTTATCACTTTCTTTGTCACTTTTTTATCACTTTCTTATCACTTTCTTTGTCACTTTTTTATCACTTTCTTATCACTTTCATCCTCACTTTCATCATCACTTTCATCCTCACTTTCATCATCACTTTCATCCTCACTTTCATTATCACTTTCATCATCATCATAAACTTGTGCAATATCGCATCATAACGATGAGACACTCATCCCATTTTAGTACCAATGGTGAACTAGTGTGGAAGAATGTGTAAAATGCACACAAAATTACGTGAAACAATTTTTTTTTTTTTTTTTTTTTTTTTTTTTCTAAACCATAACGAATTCTGTCTCAGTTATAATCGTCTCTTACTGAATGATGATTAAAACATTTGCAACATATATGCATGGGATAATGTTATTTTTTATTATTTTTTTTTTTTTTTTTTAAAACGAAATTGTGAAAAGCTTGTATGGTGGGGTAATGTATGCACAATTGGCTAGACGTGTGACAAAATTGGTGTTTATGTTTTCTTTCTTTTTTAGAAATTTCTATACTCATCGTGATAGTTAGGGTGATAGTGAGCTGTTAAGAGGGGATTTGGGTTTAGTTGAAAATGATATCCTAGAAATTGCTAAACCGCCAAATTGTTAAACCGCCAAATTGTTAAACCGCCAAATTGCTAAATGTCCATGCTGTAAAATTGGCTGCTTGTTCGTGTTCCAGTTTGGACTCTTCACGCGGGCGCGAACAATTACAACTCCACATATTTTGCTAGCCAATCAAGATTATCCAAAAAGGGTATGTATCCCAAGGTTCACTGCAACCACAAAGTGCTTATTTATAAATATCCAAAGTAAAGAGATAGTAAAAATCGGGTGAAAAAATTATAGAGGTTAACTGAAACTAGGGACACACGGCAGATGAGCCTCTAAGTTTGGAAGAGCAAATAAAAAAGATAAAAAAATAAAATAAACAAATGGAGACATGAACAAATGGAGATATAAACAAGGGTTATATATAGAAGGGTTATATATAGAAGGGTTACATAAAAAAAGGGTACTTAAAAAAAGGTGATACAGTAACTGACCTCCTCATGTGAATTACGGCGAAATCAGGCGTGAAGCAAGATTAAAAAAATTCATGATACATTATGCACACGTGTATCCATACATCCATCCACACGTGCACACACATATATATATATGTATGCATGTGCATGTGTTTTAAAATTTTACAACCGCTCCTTCTTTTGCAAGTGGAAGTGGATATAAGGTTGATCAGGCGAGAGATCTTGAATCGGGATCGTCTAAACGGTTATACATATCTCTCTCGATAAAAAAGTAGTACTCAGTTTATAACACTTCCGATTTGTGAATTCCACTCCTAATGCCCCTCATAGTGACATTTCAACCACATCAGTCATCACATTCATTTCAATCTCAACTTTAGCAAACTTAACCTGTCAAATCCAGTTAATGCTACGAAGCAGTGCGAACATAATCACACGTTGTATGACAATTAAGATTCTTTCAAATCGATCGGATATTGCTAAGTTTGCAAAAAACAATTTGTGCGTGAAACATTTTAAGGTATCAAAAGTCTGTACAAGTCAGGTAAAAATGTTAGGAGAAATTCAATTAAATAAAAGGAAGCAGAATGAAGACAAGGAGTTCGAGGAGAATTATGAAAGAAATAAGAGAACTAAGTTGGTTCCCTCAGATGGGCTATCAGATGGAAAGGAACACGTGATTCTGAAAGGAGATGCCCATGATGGGAGCGGCCACACAAGCTGGGATAGAAGTGGTGACAAAAGTTGCAATATACAGTGTGTTCAGAAGGTGCAAACTGCGCAAATCAAGTCTGCCACGCTGATGGTGGTCAAGGAGAAGGAAGATCTAGATGTGAATAATGAGGAGGCAAACGCGACAAATGAAAAAGCAGGTACATCACTCATTAAATCAGAAATGGACGAACACATGAGAGATAAATACAAAGTGCAGGAAAATCCAGATGTGAAAGACACGAAGAGTGTAACACAAGTGCATAACGAAAGGGTTGAAGTGAAAGAAGAAGAAAAGGAGAATAAAATAAACAACAACAGCAGCAGCAACAATAACAGGAACAGGAACAATTGTAATTTAAATTTAAACGAAAATGGAGAATTTTTAAATGAAACTAAGGAAGAGATAAAAAGAATTGTTACATGGAATATGAATAGTATAACTGTTAGACACAAGAACAAGGAAAAATGGAATAATTTTATGAATTTTTTTCATAAAATTAATGCTGATGTGTGGTGTTTTCAAGAAGTGCGATTACCAGCACTTAACTTGTTGAACGGTAAAATTGAAAAGGATGATAAAAGAGATAGAAGTAAAGTAAAAAATACAGATCAGAAGAGCCAAATTGACTTTGAAATTATAGAGAATATTTTGAAAAAAGATTTTACAAATTATAATGCTTACTTTAGCTTAGCCAATATAAAATATAGTGGTCAATTGGTATTAATAAAAAAAAGCATACCTGTGAAATCAATTCGATATAATCTTTTTTTTGATAAAGATCCAAATATACATCATGATGAAGGAAGAGTTATATTGGTTGGGTTTTCAAACTTTTATCTGTTGAGTACATATACACCTAATAACGGATTCGATATGGTTAAATTTGAAAGAAGAAGATTATTTGATGTGCAATTAAAAGAGTTCGTTTCTGATTTGAAAAAAAAAAACCAAAATTTAATATGGACAGGTGATTTGAATATAGCACCTGAAGATATTGATTTGTCTCATCCTGCTGAATTCAGAAGAATGAAAAAGGGGAATGTACCAAAGGAGTTTATTGGTCAACCGGGATGTACAGATTTTGAGAGAAAAAATTTTAAAAATATTCTTTCTGCTGGTGATCTTATCGATTCGTATAGATATTTGGCCAACTTAAAAAAAAAAGCCGAAGAAGTAGATATTAAAAAAAATGGTACCCCAATTAATAACAACAAATCTTCTGGGAAGTCTACTATAAACGAAAATATATACACATGGCGATGTCCATTTCAAATTGGAAAATCATGTAACAAAGCTATGCGCATTGACCACTTCATCATTTCCAGAGACTTTATGCCAAAAGTAGAAAAGGTTGACATTCATGGGTATGGCGTCTTCCATAACAATTTCTACGGCTCCGACCACTGCCCCGTTATACTGCACCTACATCAATGATAGCGAAAATGTGCGGCAGTGAAAATGTATGGCAGTGAAAATGCAATGGTGTTGCATGGGTCGCTGTAGAGATCCGTATATATTTGGACCTCCATATATATTTAGACCTCCATGTGGGTGTTCTATGTACACACATAACGTATGAAGCTACGGTATTTACGAGCAACGGTTTACATTTCTGAATGAGTAAAGAAAAAAAAAAAAAAAAAAACAATCATTAATTTGCTGCTTGGGGACAACACTTATTTGGATATACTTGGTAAGATGAGCACTTGCATCGAATGAGATAGAGAACGGTATCCACGTGGTCACGTAGGAATTACGTATAGGTAATACACACACATAGATATTACATATATGTGTATGTATATGCACACATGGATTGAGAATTTATGATATTGCCATCACCCCCATTTGTAATCCTACGATATTATACATATCTTTGTTATTATGCAGTTTTGTATTTATGATAAACATTTTCATTGACCATATTGCGAAGTTTATTTTTTTTTTTTTCTCTCTTATTAATTTTTTTTTTTTTTTTTTTTTTTTTAAATTATTTTTTTTTTCCCCTTCCTATTTTCTCATCCAAATGAGTCCAGGGGGAAAAAGTAACAACTTTTTTTTCTGTTTCACATTTTTTTTTTTTTTTTTAAATATAAAAGGAAAAAAAAAAAAAAAAAAAAAAACATTTCTAAATGGAAAAGGTAAATTTGAAAAAAGGAAGTTATACCAAAAAAAACGGATAGTGTATGGTATGGATGGTAATAACAAGTTTTAAAGCTCAGATTTGCCCTTCAGCAGTTAACATTTCACTCCTCTTTGTTGGGGGAAAAAAAAAAAAAAAAAAAAAAAAGGAGAATGAGAATGAGAATGAGAATGAGAATAATGAGAGAAAGAGCTGATTCTCTGATACATGGGAGCTATGCAGGTGTGAAAAGTTTCCTTTATATCTGTGTATGTAAATACGTATATATATTATGTAAGTATGTATTTATAATATGCTTATACATATGTATGCATATATATGCACGTAAGAAGAAATACATGTAAAGGAGGGGAGGTGGAATAATATATTATATATATATACATGTATTGCTATTCACATATGAAAACTTGATTAAGCACGGGATGTTATACCCATACCCCGCTAAGAAAAAAAAGAAAAATAAAATAAATGGAACAAGAAAAAGCAACCTTTTTTTTTTTTTTTTTTCTCCACCGCACAGAAAATCCTAAAGCAAACGCACTTTTTTTTAACATCAACCCCCTTGGGATATCCCCACATTTTTAAGCAGCTGACAAAAGTGATGGATGAATATTTTAAAGCAACAAAAAATGTGAATAGTTGATGTGACAAAAACTGATCAAAGCGAAAAAAATTCGCATCCAGCGTTTAGCGGCAATTTCTGGATTGTATTACGAACTTAAAAAAAGAAAAAGGAAATGAAAAGAGGAAAAAAAAAAAGAGGAAGCAAAAAGAGAGGAAGCAAAAAGAGAGGAAGCAAAAAGAGAGGAAGCAAAAAGAGAGGAAGCAAAAAGAGAGGAAGCAAAAAGAGAGGAAGCGAAGGAAAAGGAAAAAAAAATAACCTTATCCATTTTTGCGTAATTGGGAGTTATACATATTTTTTTGTATGCAAAAACACACATGGTAGTACACCTTAACAATTTGCATGTTACATACATATATTTCTATGTATACTTATATTATTATGTTTTAATGCATGAGAAAATACAATCTGTGCATTTTACGCTTTTTTTTTTTTTTTTTATTTTTCATGCGTGTTCTTTTTTCTTTTTTTTTTTTTTTTTTTTTTTTTTTTTTTTTTTTTTTTTTTTTTTTTTTTTTTTTTTTTTTTTTTTTTTTTTTTTTTTTTTTTTTTTTTCTTTCCTTCCGTCCTTCCTTTCGTGTTCATAACATTTCACCCATTCTTTGGAAAACTTTTCTACTGCTACTTAGTTTATGAACCCAAGTCGAAAAAGTTATTTATTTATTATTTTATTTTTTTTCATACAGACTTGAATAAGAAATGCAAGTTCTGGGAGAAAAAATAAAATAAACGCGTATCATTTCCTTAGACGCAATGCACTTTTTATACATTTTCGTGAAGCACCACATCATTATACAATTTCATGAACTTCAAGAGGAGACATGAGACTGTGGTGGTGTCAAGGGTGTAGACCATTCAACATTTCTCTGAATTATGTGGCAGTAGATCTCTCCCACTCTGTAGGAGGACGTAGCGCATGGGACTAGTGCAGTTCTGCATGTGACGCAACATAAGCACATATATATATATATATACACACATATGCATATTTTTGGATGCACATTGTTCTATTCACAGCTGCAAGCTTATAGCATGTATTGACCTTGCGGCATTGGCCACTGTGCAGTGTCCACTGTTGAATCTTTTTTCGCTCACTTTTTCGCGCATCTGCTCTCTCCTTTTTTTTTCTCTCATTTTTCTCTCATTTTTCTCTCATTTTTCTCTCATTTTTCTTTCATTTCTCTCTCATTTTTCTCTCATTTTTCTCTCCTTTTTTCTCCCATATTGTACCCCTTTCGCATGAGGGGCAATGTCTTGAGGTCAACTGAGAGTTACACAAGTTTATGAAATTTCTGGACAAAACCAGAAGACCTTTGCATAAGTTGCACATTTGTCACACGTGGCATGAAAGACTGATGGGACACTGAAGATTTAAAAGGATTCAAAAAAGAAAAAGAAAAAGAAAATGATAAAAAAATCGGATGAGTCTAAACGAATATTGAGAAAAAAGCTGAACAATGATATAACGAACATTTTATTGTTATTTGAAAAGGTGCAGGAGTGGGCAGACCTTAGTAACATATTGCAGAAATTATATTTGACCATTGAGAAGTATGAAATGTTTGTAGATGTAGGATCTAAATTTTTATTATTTAGAAGATTATCTCAATGTTTGAACCCATTATTACCATCAGGAGTACATTCAAAAGCGTTAATAATATACTCAGTAATATTTAAAAAAGTAGAAAAGGAATTTTTTATAAATAACATACATATCTTATGCTCTGGAATATTTGAATTTATGTTACATTGTACAATAAATTTAAAAACAATTTATTTTAAAAATATTAAGAGCATTTTAAATTTAAGGGAACATGTATATATATTCGCATATGCCTTGTTACTTTCTCTTTTTAATGTAGTGGATAGTGATAATAATATTTTACTTTATATATATTCGATTAACAATTATATTGGAGAGAAAATATTCTTTAATAATATATGGTTATTATTACTAAGACATAATGAAATCAGAACTAATATTTTACATTTTTTAGAGACTTCCTTTAGTCCACAAATATATTTATTATCAAAAGATAGGATTAATATGCTTCTCCCGTTTAGAGATGATCTTGTTTTGTCCTCTATTATTTTTTGTCTAAATGATAAGAGTATACTGAATCAGCGAATCACGCTTAGTCTTTTAATTAACAATTTTCCACTATGTCAAGGCAGTGTTAGAAATCGAAAAAAATCAATTCATAGAACCAGAGATTCTGACAGTACAATGAAGAATGATTATAATTCAGGGAAAAGTGGCCAGAATTATGTCTCCAATGATGATGAAACAGATGATAGGGCGATTGTTAGTCTTCAGAACAATGTCATAGAATCCACGGTGAAAAGAACAGCATCCTATAACATGAGATATATGAACAATAGAAATGTTGATGAAGATGGTGGTGCTCATTATCATGATCGTGATCGTGATGCTGATGTTGTTGATGATAGAGATGTAAGCAAAATGGTGGAGTGTGGAAAGTCCACAGAAGATGTGATGATAAACCGTTTGCATGTTAACGAAGAGTATCAGCGTGGGAATTCCAAAAAGAGGTACTACCATTGTGACAGTAAAAATGATGATGAAGGAAATGTGAATTATAATAACGATATGTTAATAAATACACAGCACAACAATTTATATGTGGGAAAGGACAATCGTGTAATGAATCAGGGATCATGGGAAAATACTAATAATCATATGGGTGTGAGTTCATCAGTTTTATATTCTTATAAAGATGAGATGGAAGAAGAACCCTTTAAACATATGAGTAAGGAACATATAATAACATTTGAAAATTCGGATAAATTCCAGGATAAGAACGAAAAGATGTATGACAATACAAGTATCGGGTTTAATGATAATAATTCTGCACCAATTCAAAGTCACAAGAATGAAATTGATGGAGATTCTTCACGACCATACATGCATATGAACAATTACAACAATTTTGAAAGTAGTGATGTGGAAAGACATGCTCCTGCTTACCCAAAAAGTGACGCAAAAAAGGTTAGATATTATGATACGGACCGAGGGAATTACAAATTAGAAGAAGGAGGAGGAGGAGCAGCAGCAGCAGGGATGATAAACTCATCAATCGAATTAAGCACAGGAACAAATGGAATGAGACAAAATGAAGAAAGTGATGCAGCAGCAAGTTCTTGCATACTATTCAATGATGTGAGTAAAAAAATTATTGCACGAAATGTGATGTTTTTGTTACAAAAATCGGATATTGGTTTGAATAGAAGAATTTTTAAATATTTATATTTATACGAAAATAATGATGAGAAAAATTTAAAAGAAGGAGTAATAAACATGGATAATTACAAAATATTTTACTCGACCATTATAGATATTCTTGAAAATAAATTTCATGATAATTATATAAATGTTTCTGAAGTATTGTATATTCTTTTAAAAAAGTATGAATACACTAATGTAAATAAAAAAATTATGGAGAAGATATTTTTATTTTTATTAAATTTTTGTTATAAAAATAGAGGGGATAAAAGAATAAAAATATTTTTAAAAAACGTATTAATGTTAAATTTAATAAGTTATGAAAATATTATGAATATATTCATGTACACTTTTTATTTTTTAATGAACAATTTTGATAACTTGTTTAATCAGAATATGCATTTGTATATCAAGAAATATATGAACATTTTAAATATTATGACATTTTTTGTTGAATTTGTGAAGAGGATGAGTAAATATGTGTACATTTACTTTTTATTCACATTCAATGTCGCTACCTTGAAATTGATGAAACATCTAAATTTGATAATTATTTCAATTATTAAAAAGTATAGTCATGTAAAAGATCTCAATGAGAAGTTCTTTACCAATTCGAATGAGATTGTTTCTGGAAGACATACATCTCTTTATTACTTTTACTTTTTTGTCATGCATTACAATAATTATTACATGAACAAGTGCTTTATCCTTCTTGCCATGGATTCTACCTTTCGTGCAATTCTTCGAAAGTGGTCTGGTGACCTCTATGGAACTCATGAGCTGGGGGTGGAAGGGCAGCTCAATCGGGTTAATTGCTTGAGTCAATCCAATCATCTAAGTTCATCTAATCAAGTGAACTTATACAAGAACCTTGTTGTAGATGAAAAAAAGAACAAAATGCAGAAAATTGGAGAAGGGAGAACAAATGATCCAGGTGACGACTATTATGTACTGGAACGTAAAAAGAAATATGAACAATACAACAATGATCAGGAATTAAAAATAAGAATGGGAGATAATTCAATGAATCATATGAAACGGAAAATGAAAAAAAAGATGTTCGAAAGCTGCTTAAATGTTAGTAGTGGAGGTGGTGATAGCAGCACAATTAATAATTACAATATGAGACATATGATGAGAGAAGAACATGGTAAGAGAAATGAGACACCCAATGAGGGAAGTAGTTTAGTACAGTTGAACATAAATAATGTACACGCATTGAATGAAGAGATTAATAACAACAAAGGATCTTCAAGAATATTTAAAGGTGGTAGTAACAGTTATAAAGTGAAACTTGAAAACGATGGACGATTTTATACTATTCTGTTGAAGTATAAACGATTGTTAAGATTGAACTTAATAGATGCAATAGTTAAGAATAATGATTTTTATTTTTTCACAAATAGCTATGAATATGTAATTTTTCTATTTTACAATTATCACTTATTATTAGATGTGCAAAATTTGAATAAGAGTTGCTTCATGTTCTTGAGACATATTTTAAAGAATTGTACTTGTGAAAATAAGGAAAAATTTTATTTCTGGTGTGTTCTTTTTCTGAACATTATAAGGATCAATTTTAACAAATCTTTGTTGAAAAATTATAATGTCATGGATGAAGAAGACGGATTATACGGTGGAGAAGTAGTAGATAGAGGTGAAAAAATGTATTATAACAATAAGAAGGGAGGTATGATGAGAAGCAAAGGTGGGGAAGAAGATGATGAAAATGATGATGAAGAAGAAGAAGATGAAGAAGATGATGATGAAGAAGATGATGATGAAGAAGAAGATGATGATGAGGATGATGAAGAAGATGATGATGAGGAGGAGGAGGAGAAGGAAGACGACGACGAAGGAGAGAATGAAAAACTTGATAATAATCATCATGGAAGAAATATAAATCCTGTTGGGAGTCGAACAGGAAATACCATTGTGGAGCATCACAACAGTGACAGCAAAAATAGAACCTATGGTGGTACGAGAAAAAAAGGAGAAGAAGAAAATTCTGATAGTATACTCGAAATGAGACAAAGAAATAAGAAGCAGAAGAAGAAGGAGAAGAAGAAGAAGAAAAAAAAAAAAAAAAAGAAGGAAAAGAATAATGATCATATAGAGAGATTCAAGAAAGAACAGGAAGGAAAATTCAACGAATTGAAATATATAGATGAATTGAAAATGAAAAAGAAAAAGAGAAATAATACGTTTAATAATTATTTTGTGAAAAAAGAACAGGAATTACTTTTCAATAAAGCATTTGTCGAAAGTGTATTAGTGTATGGAAATAAGATTGTGAAGTGTATATTTTATTATATCAAAATATTGAGAAAGAATAAGAAATTTATAAAAATATTTTTCGATATAAATTATTTGTATTTTTTTTGTGATAATATGTATTGTCTAAAAATATTGAGGAATTCATTAAAAAGTAAAGATAATTACGAGTTAACAATAAATGTTAAAGTAATTTTGGAATTCATTCTTAATAATAAAAATAGTGAATATCATATTTTTCATTCAAATTTTTATAGCCTTACACATGATATTTTTAAGTTATACAATAGAAGAAATACTCTCATAAATTATTACATGATTAAGTATATAAAGAATAATAAGAAAAATCTAGCATACATTTTGGACAATATAATAATTAGTATGTTTGATTTAATTAGCGAAATTGAAGAAGGGCTGCTTATCAATGTTCATTATCAGATGGAACTTTACAACAACACAGGTAGACAGCAGAATGATTCGATGATGTTATTAAATAATCGCCATTGGTGTAGTAATGAAGAGGTTATACATGCAAGTGGTCACATGTCTGTCATGGAAAATTATGATAGCATGATAGGAGTTAAAACGGAAGCTTTGGCAATGGGTCACACGCCTGTGGGTAAAAATCTTGATCGGAAGGGAATTTCATACCAATATCACCAAATGAGTGCAGCTCACCAGATGAATGCAGCCCATCAAATGAGTGCATCCCATCAAATGAGTGCAGCCCATCAAATGAATAGAACTCATCAAACAATTCGTGGAACGAATGCGCAAAGCAACTATGAAAAATTTTTGAGGAAATTAAAGTGTAAATTTGATTATATAAACTTCTTCTTCATGAGTATTGAAAATTTTATGTTGTGGTTATACAGACATAGAGTGAGTAAGAGGATATATAACGCTAGAAGTAAAATGAATTTGACTAATTATGAGAAGAATATTCCTATCGTAATGTGTTATATATGCACAGACGGGAATATAAACTCCTCTTATTTTAGAAATTACCTCGATGTCTTCTTTATCTTGTTTCTCAAAATAATTTACATAAATGAAAATTTGGCTGACATTGGGACAAGTGCAGGTGTGAGTTGCCTGACCGCAGGTGCGTCTACAGGAAACATCGCGACCGCTGCAAATATGACCAGTGCAAATATGACCAGTGCAAATATGACCAGTGCAAATATGACCACTGCAAATATGACCGGTGCAAATATGACCACTGCAAATACTACCATCGCTGCCAATCGGACAAACAGAGATGACCTTTCTCGCACTGATAAAAGCTTCTTGATGAATGACAACGAGAAAGGAAAGATAAAGAGCACGAAAAACAGTAGTCTCTCTGCCAAGCAAAAAGAAAAAAATTCTTTGAAACAGAACATGTTACTGGAATTCAAAAGGGACATAATAAATCTGATTACACACATATTTTTTTACACATACAATTATAACAAGAAATTTGATTATATAAAAATTTTAAACAATTATTATAGACAAATTATTCACCACTTTTTATTTTTATACTTTTATTTTACTGTTAAAAAGTATTATATCTTACAAATTCAGCTTATAAATTTTATAAGAAACATTTTACCGATATATGAAAATAATACAGATAAAAATTTTTTTTCATGTGATGTATTAGATAATGATAAAACATTTAAAAAAATAATGAAGTATTCTAATTATGAAGAATTTATTTTGGCTAGTAAATATCATTATGAGTTAATAAATAGAAATAATCAGAATGTGAAAAATGATGTTTTTATCTTTAGTATTTTAAGAAAGAGTATGACCATTATATTTAATTTTAATGAACATGTCATATATAAAGAAGTTTTAAAAACAATTATTTATCTTATTGAAAATATTATTATTGAAAAGGATGTAAAGGCATACTACTTGACTGTTTTTTTTTTAGATTTGTTGTATATTATTAAATCAGAAACACAAAAAAAGAAAAAGAATATTTTTTTTATAATGAAATTTTGTCAATTTTTAACAGAAATTTTTAAATTAATTTATCGAGATGAAGTGAAAACGCAACTTAAATTTCAAAATAAATTTGATTTCGATAATGACATAACTATTGATGATATTGAAAACAGTCTTTGTGAAAATAAAATTTCTACTGCACCTTTTTGTTCTGTTTTTTCAATAAAGACGGATGATAAGTTTATGAACACTCAGCACAAAAATATATCCACACTCTTTTCTGTGATTTTCAATTTGTATGCATTCTTGAAGAAAAAATTGAAGATTTACTGTAAGAATAATAGAAGTCTCATGGCCCACGATGACAGAAACGCCCCTCTGACAAGTAGCGTTTATAATAATAGTAGCATGTATAACAATAATAGCAGCATGTACAACAATAACAGCAGCATGTACAACAATAACAGCAGCATGTACAACAATAATGGCAGCATGCATAATGAGAATAACAACGCTGCAGGAATATACACACCTTCTTCTGGAGGTGGTGATGCTCTTAGAACCCATGCATCTAATTATGTAAATCACGAAGGAACTCAAGTTTCTAACCTGTACAGGCAGGGAAATGATGTACATGCAGAAACAGCCAATTTGGTTGAACACATAGATGGAGGAACAGTACTAACTAATGAACTGATTCATGTAGAAGAAGCATTACGAATGAATGGTGCAGGTCTAATGGAGGAATCTGTTCTTGTAGAAGAGAACAGAATGATTGGTATTGAAGGAACATCTCGAGTGGCATCTCATGGTAATAATGCACATGGTCAGTATGTTGAAGGCGAGAAGGTAGATAGAAATTATGGACATAATGAAATACTAATTGGGAACGAGACAATGAGAGGAAACATACGCATGGAAAATGCTAATATTTGCAATGGAAAAATTGGGATAGAAAATGAACAGATGAATGAATTTCAACGCGTAAGTAGTGGCTACATGATGCAGCAGAATTATGGATTATCAAATGGTACTTTTGAGTTCCAAAAGATTGATCAAAGCATGAACCAAGGAAATCACTCCAATAATCACACCAATAATCTCTCCAATAATTATATAACTGTTGAGGGTGATATGATGATGACTTCAGAAATGAATGAAAAGCACATTTATCGTGAAAAGATGAACCAAGGAAATATGGAAACCAGGGGTGGTCATGTTGTGTACAATAAAATCAATGGAATGAATAACTCAATGGGTAGTAGTACCTACCCCAGTGCTTACTATTGCAATGTTGAATATGGAAATGAGCAAGTTCTGAATGATGGAATGGATTTTATCCACGTTGGCACAATGAGAGTTGGGAACCTGGGGAACATAAACAATTTAGAAAAAGATCTACATGCAGGAAGTCACCAGGAGTTCATGCAACAGATGAAAAACGGATCGTTTAATAACAACAACACGAATAATGGAACAGTTGCTGCGAATAATTCTGTCGCTAACCGGGTGAGCACGTGTAACAATAACAATAATAACAACTTTAGTAATAGCAATAATTTTATGATCCCATATGGAAATATGGAAAATGGAGATGGCTACATGGGTGGTGAGAAAGGGAACACAAAGGAAACGAGTTTAAACATTCACAAGGATATAAACACTTATATAAAAACGGATGAAAATGCACGTCTACGCTCAAAAAAAATTGATAATTCATTTCTGTATGGAGGAAAGTTAAAAAGCAATAATACACAAAATGATGGTCCGAAGAGGAACAAAAATATATTACTACTCAAGGTATGCTTAAGGAATATAATATCTATTAGCAAGCTCTTATATTTTGTGACAAGAAATGATTTTCTTTTTATTGAAAGCTTATACAGTATATTTAAAGAATACATTACCAAGAGGAGGGAATATGACAAGATGAAGAGCGACAATTTGGATAGGGATAAAGTTGGTGATAATGATGACAGTGCCTACAATGGTGATAATCGTCGAACTCGTCATAATCCTGACAATACTGATGGATATAGTACTAATAATAATGATGATTATAATGTCTATGATAATGAATATGGTAATGAATATGGTAATGACTATGGTAATGAATATGGTAATGATTATGATAATGAAAATATCGACAGTGACGATGACAGTAACAGCGGAAGTTACAACAATAGCAACAGTGACAGCTACAGTGACAATGGTGAGGATGACGACATATTTGTGTCCTTACATGAACATAAAAATAAATTTTTAAAGAGCATTATGAAGAAGGTGAAAATGGTGAACAATAGCCACCATGCTGGAGAGTATTATGACGAGGAAGAGGGAGAATTTTATTATGACGATAGAAATGAGGAAGATCATGATAATAGGAGTCATCAGGACAGTTACAATGATGATGAAATGGGTGATGAAGACGACGATTATAGTAACGAAGATGAAGAGAAAATAATACAAGAACATGTGGATAATTTTATCGATGATAAGAGAGAAATAGTGGGAGGAGTAACTGCTTTGGGAAGAAATATGTATAAAAAAAAGAGAAAAATAAGAAAGGAAAGAATACGAGAATATTTTAAGAGGGAAAAGAAATTGTTAAAAAAATTAAATTTTGTAAGCAGATTTAGTAAAAATTCAATGAAAAAAAGTATGATTGTTATGAACAAGTCAGGTGAATTGATAGAAAAAAAAAAATTATTTTTTTCGCTAACTTTGCTAACTGAATTTCACGATGATATATTGGTTAAAATATTGGAAGATTTATTAAATTATTATGAAAAATATAAAGCAAAAATTAATATAAACGAATTTATGTATTTCCTTTTCCATATTTATTTAAATATATGTACCTTAACAAAAAGAATAATAAATTGTTTCATTGATTTTATGTTTTCCCTTATCAAAAAAATAACTCAAACGTCACAAAATATTATGAGCAGTTTGTGGTTTTTGTACATATTATTCGTGATAGAAAATAATCATTTATACGTTTTCAACGACAAATTGCAGAAAAAAATTATCCTTGAGCAGATAAGTATATTGATACAAATATCTCTCTATAGCTATTATTCAAAAAATGTAAAAAATAATTATAACATCCAGACACCTTTGCCAAATTTTGTCTTACCCTTTAATATTCATTATGTTGTTCAGAATTATTTTAGAAATAATAATTTTTTTAAAAAAAAAAAAAAAAATGCAAAATCTTATTATATGAAAAATTTAAAATTGATAGAGAGAAATTTTAACATAAATGATTACTCTGAAGTAGCTGCTATCAATGCTTTATCATTTCTCCTATTATGTTTTTACCACATGGTCGTGAATATTGGTAGTAGTAGTAGTCTCCCTGACAGTGCAGGAAATGGACATAGTAGCACAAATGTTGGAACTCATAACAGCAGCAGTAACTATAACGCTGTGCAAAATGGATCCCATAGTAATAATTACACCAGTAACAATAATCATAATGGAAACAACAGGAGTGAAAATCAAATTAAAAGCTACATTTGCGAATCGTCCGTTAATCTATTTTATGAGAATTTCAACAAGTACCTATCATTGATATATAACAACAGTTTGCAGAATGTTTTTTTTCGATATTCGTTTCTTCTCATTATGAATTTCCTGATTGATTACAATTATAACTGTAAATATTATATAAAAAAAATAACTTTCGATTTGTATGCTTATATAACGAATGTGGACATAAGATGCATTAAAGCCTTGTCAAGTATTTTTAGAAAATTGAACGAAACAAATATTGATGAATTGTTGTTAGTTCCAACAAGCAGTATCTTTTCTCTCAAATTTAATATAATAAATTCCAGAATTAATTATATTAATAAATTATCTTTGATAATTTTAGCAGGGAATCGCAACTTTTATCTTTGCCATTTACCCAAAATTGCAGAAAATATTTCAGAATATCTTAAATTTTGTACCGATCTAAAATTGTATCGAGAAATACTAATTCTCATTTGCAGTATCATAATTAAGAATGATGAAAATGAAATTTATATCATCATACCTACCTTTATATCTTTAATTCTTCAAATATACCATGTGGAAAGAATAAAATACAAAATTGCAGTTGAGAATATCAAAACGGTGGACAAAGATGAAGACAATTATATTTATGATTTCAACTCTTATAACAACACCGACGTACTTTCTCTCTTAAAAACACTTCTCATCATTATTAACATCCTAGTCAAGCGTAATGTCAGCTTCATCAACTTTTATTCGTGGATTTTCTTCAAAGATATATCCATTAAGAGAAATTCTTTCTCCATGCACAAAGATATGGGTAATTATGCCACCAAAGTGCGTCCAGGAGGTACATTGGGAAATGTTTCCTCAGGTGTACACACAACATCGTTCAGAGAAAAAGGAACGAATAGACAAATTTCCATTACGGAAGAAAGCTTTTCTGCAAACCGACAAGATGGTGGCATGGACTACCCACGTTACAGTAGAAAAGAAAACACTAATATTAATAATACAGAATCTGTGCAGGTAGATAGCTTATATATTAGTAACCAGTTCGGGGATTCAAACCCGAGTGATAATATGGTAGTAGTACAAGGTGTTAACTTCAAAACTGATGAGGAAAAAGTCGCCCCCCAAAAAAATGTCCTAATTGATGGAAAAGATGAATATTTTTCGTCACCTAGTAGAGCAAGAGAAGACAAAATTGATAGTGATAAAAATGAAATAATCACAGTTCTGTTAAACGCTAATCAGGAAGAAGATAATTTTAATAAATCGAGCTCAATGTCAGGATTTCAAATTATGAAAATGAATAGTAGTGTCCAGAATAATGGAAAAACAGAAGAGGGGAAATTCGTTGCTTTTCTTGATATCATTGAAAGATTGTATACACCTACACACCAGTTAAAGAAAAGCAAATTGGGAAATGATTCGAACGATGCAGGCGATCCGAATGAAGCGAATCCCTTGAGTGGTGAGGAAAGTTCAAGAAATTTAAATTCCGGTGCTGCACAAGGAGTCATTAAAAATAACTGTCAAACGAATGGTCTGTCAGTGAAATTTGTCGATCAACTGAAAAACGAAAATGCACAAAGAGGACAATACAATAAACAGAATAGTCACGTGGATAATTTTAAAAAAGATTTATATTACTGTGATAATTACTTAAGTGAGTATATACTAAACACGAGAAATCATTTGTCTGGATATTCCTCGTGTGAAAATAATTTAAGTAGCTCTTCTGTGAATTCGATAAAGAGTAATTTTTCGAATAATTTCTCAAAAGATATTACTGGGATTTTATCAGATACATCTGATGATCAAGATGTTAGCAATAGCAGTTCCAATGATGTTAATAATTTTTTCCAGTTAATTCCGAATATGGAAAATGATGAAGAAATTTCTTCTGATGATATATACAACAAGGTCAATGAAAAGTGGAATCATGTACATTGTCTAACGAATTATGGCATGAATCAACTGCGTAAGAAAAAAAAAAAAAAAAAAAAAAAAATTTCCGTTCATTCAAGTCAGAATATACCTCTCATTTTGGTGTATCTTTCTAGAAAAATTAAATTAAATTTTTATAAATATTCAATGAAGAAACCAAGGGATGAAACCCTCATTTTGTTAAAAGAGTTGAACTCTGTTCACAATGATATTAATGATTTGTTTTTGGAAGTCGACTTGAGCCAAGTGCACTCAGACTTTATTATGAAGTAGGAGATATATATACATTTTACCCTCCATGTCATCATACCCGAGTGGGTAAGAGGAAGGGGGGGGGGGGGATTGAGGAATTTTTTTTTTTTTTTTAATTCTATTACTTATACATAACGATCGTTTCTGATGATTTACAATTGATTATTTTATTTATTTATTTATTTTTTTTTTTTTTTTTTTGTTTCAACCGTTGCATTATCCGTTTATAATATATAACTTCCTCCCTCCATATTTATTTTTTTTTCGGTTCGTTGAACTCCGAATGGGTACAATTCAACAATCTTGCGTAGTTTCCTTCATATTACCACCGATGAATATGCACTACCACTATTTCATCCACGTTTTAACACCGTTTTTTCTTTTTTTTTTTTTTTCTGACCGTCGTGACATATTCCATGCAGGGGTAAACAATTTATGACGCTTTTTGTCTCGTACCTTTTTCCGTAGAAAAAGAAGTACGCTAAAAAACTTGAAAAAAACTAAAAAATGCAGAGCTTTACTCTTTATCCTGTTTCATCCATTTATCATAGTATAAATAAGTTTATGCATGAAGGAAAAGTGGGGGGTGGGGGGGGGGGGGGTTGGGAAAAGACAAGACAAGGAAAAACATCATGCCATGACGTGTTATATGATACAAAAAAAAAAAAAAGAAAAAAAAAAAATTGGGATGGCATATAAATATGGATAAAAAAAAAGACCATAAAGTACCAATGGCCCATTTTGTGTGAAAGAGTTTTTTCTTTTTTTCCACTACAAAAGCTGTTGTTCTCTCTGTTGCGCAGAAATAATTTTCAAATTACATGGCCTGTTCAGGCGTTTTGGGGGGGGGGGGGGAATTATTTTGGCTAGCTTTGATTTATTATTATTTTTTTTTTTTTTTTTTTTTTTTTTTTTTTGGGAAATGGTTTTAATAAGTGGTACCGCCATTACTTATGCTTGCGGAAAATAGGGACGGATGGGTCAGTCCCTCCAATTTTATGTTTGTATGAATCGTAAACGTCTTTGAGATATTTCTTTTTAATAGTTTTAAAATTGTACACATAATTGTTGTTTTCCGCGAATTCGTTGGTTTGTTGTATGTGTGGCGTTATAACTGAAACTCCGCTGCGGAAATAAAAGTGACCTGTGAAGAATATGGAGAGGAAAGTCGCGGGAAGTTAGGCGTGGGAGTTGGATGTAGAAGTTGGAAGTGTGAATGCTGGGGGTAGAAGTTGTGTGTAAGCAGTTGATTAACTGATGGATATGTGTAAGAGAGGACAGGAGCCACAGCTATATATAAAAGTGAAATGACACACATGACATACCTGTTTTAATTTTAAAGGCATTTTCCTTATCTCCATTAATTAAATTTAGCATGGATTGTATTCTTTCAATGTCTATTCGGTGTGTGTGTATATAGGGGGTGGTGGAAATGGATTATTTATTAAAAGCTGGGCTTGAATTAGTGGAGGGAGAAACATATGTAAAAACACACAAGGGATGTTCGAAATGGTGTGTGTTCATCGGAGGTTATGCTAATTATTGTGATAGAATAACCCCGTAATTTGATAATTCCTGGGAGGGACAAATAAGTTCCTCCTTACACAGTTGTTGAGGGAAGCGGTAATTTTTGCACATTATTTTTTTTTTTTTTCGTTTCCTCTTTCGTTTTTCGTTTTCGTTTTCGTTTTCGTTTTCTTTTCCGTTTTCTCTTTCTCTTTCTCTTTATCTTTCTATTTCTTTCTTTCTTTTTTTTTTTTTTTTTTTCTTACTGTTGTAGTTATTCATAATATTTTTACGAATTTTATTTTTCATATAGTTCTCATAATGAAAGGAAGTTAAGTCATACATGAGCTGATTGATAAAACTTTGGTTTTTCCGAAATAGTTCGCTCAGCCTGTTTTTGCTGTAACAACCTTCTCTTTTAAATCTGAACGCCATCTTGTGTCATCGTCTGTTCTTAATTATATGCTCCTTGCCGTTTGCACCATCACAGACACAAAAAAGAAAAAAAAAAAAAAAAGTATGCAGCTTGGATATCACATAACATGGAACATGGGATAATGTATACGCATGTACATTATACTAATTCTATTATATTGTAAGCTTGTCAAAAAAGCAGTGTATGCAAAATTTCAAAACATTACACCTGTATATGTTTTGGTTCGAATGATTAATGGTAAGAATGGAGAGTGGATAATTTTTTTTTTTTTTTTTTTTTTTTTCATTCCATTATCAGGTTTTTAAAAATCACGAAATAAATAAGGGAACGGGGGTTGGGTAGGGAAAAAAAAAATGAAAAAGTAAAAGAAAATTTTGATTCCTTATGCATCAAAAAATAGGAGGTATTTATCAAGGACTATGCAACGCATTACATGTTTTTTAAATTATCATCCCTGAGGTGTCGCGCTGGTCATGGGATTCCGCGATGTAAAGATAAAATAAAAATGTAAGTAAAAATATCTCCATTTAAAAAAAACACGCCCCATAGGTGTAAAATGTAAGTATATATGTTAGATGAATGAGAATACACTCATCCATCCCTATATATATTTACATAAAATATGTTTATGTATAAATGAAAATATAGTTAACCAAAAAATTGTGTACCCTCCTATACATGGAGTAAATTCCATTCTAGAAAACTGGGTATTCGAGAATATGTTAAAAAATACATATTTATAATAATATGAAGAGTATATAGGTAAGAGGTAAAAGGCCAATACACCCCAACAACATCCTTAATGTATGGATGGATAGTGCATGTGGATGTGATAAATTTGGCCACAGTGCATATGTACAATATATATGTATCTATATATAGTACATTGAATTAATTTCGTATTTATTCGTCCTTCTCATGTTGGCACTAATTGTATGTGAGATATTGACAAATGTAATGACTCGTGCCCTTCCCCGTTGTCATTTATATAATGCAGCAGAAAAGCATATATAAATATCGTGCATGGGTAAAAAAAAAAAAAAAAGGGAGAGAGGATATCGGGAGTATGTTCCTGCATTGCATATAAATAACTATAAAATCTGAACCGTGATTCATAAAAAAATATAATTAACGAAAAGTGCTGCTAAACAAGGGCACATATATATGTACATATATACATATATTATATATGTTATTAATGTAGCATGCGATTTTTTACCAGGTGAGAAATAATTACATGAACACGCAGGGTTCATCAACCCCTACCAAAAGGGCTCCACACGATTGTGCAATGTTTGTTTTTTCTTACCATTCGTATTTTTTCCGGTCGGCTCTGGCACAAGATGGTATCTCTACTCCACGTCATCTTTTGACATTTTTTTTTTTTTTTTTTTTTTCCCTCACATAAACGGAGTTTTAGTAGAGGAAACAATTAAAGAAGAAAAAAAAAAAGAAAAAAAAAAAATATGCATACATATATATATTTATGCATGTATACATAAACATATAGAATATTTACATAAACATATACGAATATTTACATAAACATATACGAATATTTACATAAACATATACGAATATTTACATAAACATACGAATATTTACATAAACATATACGAATATTTACATAAACATATACGAATATTTACATAAACATATACGAATATTTACATAAACATATACGAATATTTACATTTATTTACGCATATTTGCATGTACATTTTTTCTGCTTGTTTAAACGTGTTAAATATATTTTATATTGGCTTAATATTGAGAAAAGTATGGAACTCTTAAAGGAAGATATCTTATTTTAAAAAGGAATGCCTACATGAGCATATGCTGAGCACGCATAGGTATGTATACATATATATATATATAATACATATATATACTTGTATATATGAACGTACGCTTATGAGAAATGCAAGTACTTTTACAAACGTGTACCCGCTGCGTAGCTTACTTGTTTATCAAGCAACGCCATACAAAATAAAAAAAGGGAAGGGAAAGGGGAGACCAAAACGGAAGAAGCGAAAGAGAAGAAGTTAACAAGAAGTTATACTGAAGAAGAAATTTACGTTTACACTTTAATATCTAAGCCTTTTTTTTTTTTTTTTTTTTTTTTTTTTTTTATCAGCTTTTACCATAAAAATTCCCCACATGTATATGCAAAATGTGCAGATGTATGTAAATTCTGTCACTATATATTATTCCGCAAATCTCTATGGCTGTATATATATACTTTTACGATGTAACGCATGTGCGTCTACTATTTTAACCTTACTGCCGATTCTGCTTAACTAGTTTTTTTTTTTTTTCTTTTTTTTTATACATGTGAAAAGGTGTTAGAGCCTTACACTTGATTCTGCATTTAAAAATCTTGTACACCGACATTCAGTTATATAGAAAAAAGAAAAATATATATATATATATATATGCACACATGAAACTATAAGAATACCTTAACATTTGAATATATATATATATTATATACGCCACATCATATCTCACATAGGAAGATATATATATATATATATATATTGTTCCTTAACGCATAAGCCCCTTTTTCATCTGAGAAATGGATTCTCACGGTAAGGCAAGTGTTTTGGGAATACATCAAACGAATGATGGGTTGAAGCCTGGTAAGGATGGAAATGAGGAGAAGGAGAATAATGCTGTTTACAGAAGTGCAAATTATGAAAATGAGAATGGTGAACATTACAATGGAGGAATGGAAGAATATTATCAGGGAGAGGAACAACACTATGATAAGAACTTCGAAGGGAACTCGAAGCATAACAAAACTGAAGAAGTAGAAAGAGGAGGAGATGGGGGAAATGGGGAATATGAGCTTGAAGGGAATAGCAAGAACAATTTGAACAGTGAGTTATTGCGTAATGTGTCAAATAAAAAGAAAAAAAATAAGTATGAAGGTATGTATAAAGGTAAAATGGAGAAGGAAAAAACAAATGTAGGAGAAAAGGAAAGCACACCATATTGCTCTTTTAATGATTATGAAGAGGCAGGAGGAGGTAGCCAAAATGGTGAAAATGGGGAAGTTCGAACGAATGAAAATGGATACAATCATCATCACAATCCAAATGATGAAAATAGAAACAATCGGGAGAGGTTTGATAGTATCGATGAAGAGAAAGGCGAAAAGGCATTGAATAAGGACAAGTTAAAGAAAATTGAGAAAAAGAAAAAAATGATGATGGAAAGAAGTAAGAAGAAAAAGAAAGAAAATGTAGATGATAAGAAATTTAGCGAAGTATATAATTCAATATATGAAAATTTAAAAAAAAAGAAAGGAAACAAAAAAAATAATGATAATAATTGTGATGATGATGAAAAAAATTACACAAATAAAAATGATTTTTACGAAATTAATTATGCTTCGTCCGATAATGTTAATTCCATTTCAAGTGTAGATGATGATTCATTATTTAATGATGATGTATTGAAAAAGTATATAATAGGACAAGTGTTAAATATAATGAGAACATCTTTTCATTGGGCCATTACATCGTTTTTATTATTTTCTCTGTTTGATCATTTCTCCATATTTTATGTATACAGATTAGTATCATTCTTGACACTGTTTTTTTTCACACCTATATCTATATATTTAGTAAAATCGAGAAGTATAAAATTTTTCTTAATTGCAACAAATACAGTGAGGTTAATAGTTTGGGGATTTTGTATTCCAGCATTATATACCATATATAGAGATGAAATAAAAAAGTATTATATTAATCGTTTTTATGAATTTCTGTTTGCACTTTTGCTTTTCATTGATAATATACAAGTAAATATATCGAACCTAATTGATATAGATAATAATGGAATTGATTTTTTGTCTAAAAAATATCATTTAAAAATTACAGAAAAATCGAAGAGGAAATTTCTTACACTTCATCAATTCTTTTTTGATGCATCTTTTATTGTTGTGAATCCACTCATTATATTTATTATGTACTTATTTAGTTGTTTTTTCAATGAAACATATCTAAGGGATGTATTCATTTATCTCTCTTCATTTATTTTTGCTGTAATTACAATATTATCTTTGGTAGTATATACTATGGGCTTGGAAGAAGCTGAGAAAAAACTTAAAAAAAATAATTCCAAACAGTATTCTACTTTTTATGAATCTCAAAACACAGCAGAAGAGAATAGCATAGAAGATGATGATGATGATGTTGATGGCATGTTGGAATCTGGTAATTATAACAAACATCTTCAGGGTGAAGGTAATAAAGATGGGAATGATAATGTGCATGAGAATAGAAATGGAAATGATCATAGGAATGAGAATGATAATGTACACCATCGAGACAATGAAAATGATTTCGAAAAATATTACGCAAGACATAATAACAAAGAAGAAAAGTACATAACTTATAACAACTATCCAAATATATATAATGATCAGACCAAAAAATATCTAACAGAACGATCGAACATCGACTATGAGAATTATGATGGGTTTGAACACATGTCTTTGAAGAATCAGTATAAGAAACAATTTTATGAATTTTATGATAATGTCATTCGAATCAAGAATGACAACATGTTACTCTTTTATGTTTGCTCCTTGTCTTATCTGAACAGTGTGGAAGATATTATGATTCTCATGCTCATTCCCTTGACATCTATATACGTATCGGAGTTTTTCTACATCAACAGTATTTTCTCTCAAATTCTCATCGCGGTTACATTGATATCTCTCACCAAATGTTTCGAGAATGTTTCCTACTATTCAAACAAGAAGAATATCATAGCTTTGAAGGATATTTTTATGTAAGTTATTGAGCCAAGGGGAGAGGTTGTGTATATGTCTTGGATAACAAACTGCAAGATCATACACACGTAAATAGTTAGTCGGTACATAGAATACATCATTTGCACGCGCACTTCTTTTTTTTATATTGCTCCACGTTCCACAACCCTTTTCCCCCATCTCCCTTTGCAGAGGAATAATCCTGTCTGGAGTATCTCTCCTGTTTTTCTTTTTTCCATTTTTGATGATAAACCACCTGAACATATACAGCTTTTTAGTTTTTTACATTTTCTGCTGTCTGTTCTACTTCTTCTTTTCGACCAATTTGAAAACAACGTAAGTTTCAGTTCTTTTGTCAAGTTGGGAGAGGAGAGCACACCCATGCTCGCTCTTGAATTGTGTCTTAATGATGCACTTTTGTATATGTACCTTATTTTTGTATTCACAACCACCCTGTAATACATATTCATCAATCCACTTTTTATATACATCCATTTACTTCGCAGATTATCCCTGAATTTGCAAAAGTATGTACGAGAATCCAAATCAGACATCTACAACTTCGTTGGATTATTCATGTCTTTTGTTAATCTGGTCTTTGTTATATTTACAGCTTTCTTCTTATCAATTTTAGATAATTTTGTTATTAACTATGTTATGATTTGTTTCTTTTTGATTGTACTCATGGGATTGTTATATGCATGGGGTAACGTCACGCTGAAGAAGGACAACAACAAGTAAGGTCTTATAATTTTTGGATATGGTTACACGGGAGCGGTACCTACAAAATGGAATGAAGATAATAGATATTATATATTTATTTATTTATTTTTTATTTTTTTCCCTGCTAAACGTTTTTGAATTACACTCATTTATGATATGGCTCCGTCATCACCTAATTAAGAAATTTTTTTTGTCCTTTTTATCCTTTTTGTCCATTTCGTTCATTTTTACCCGTTTTGTCCTTTTTATCCATTTCGTTCATTTTTACCCGTTTTATCCTTTTTGTCCATTTCGTTCATTTTTACCCGTTTTATCCTTTTTGTCCATTTCGTTCATTTTTACCCGTTTTATCCTTTTTATCTTTTTTTTTTTTTTTTTCATTTTCCCCTCATCTGCACACAATGATTTTTCCATATGCTACATATGTGTGTATGTTAATGTCTATATATGATTACGTGTTTACAGGGTACACTAAAAATATACATATTTTTCCTTTTCCCTGCGCATGACACAATTTTCACACCTTTGCATATATTCATTCACACGCACACACGCACACAACATTTCTAGTAAGGCTTTTCGTAAGAGTAGAATTCTTTATACTAATGTTTTTATACACATATGTATATTTTTTTTTTTATTTATTTTGAGCACGCAAGGTATATACAACTTTGTCCCTCCTGTCAGCAGAAGCCATCATTTTGACTCATTATATATTATAACCCCTAACCACACACACACAGACCCTTCCATGGGTAAGATCAGTGTTTTCACTGTTTCTGCACACACATACATATATACATGTACATACCCGTACCTCTTTTAAAGAACTTTTATGCAACATTCGCAATAAACAGTAATATTTTTCTATTTTTTTTTTTTTTTTTTTTACAAATCTTATGAGTTCTTCAAACTTACATGTTTTTCTCTATCCCTTTAAAAAACATAAGGGCAGAAAGATCATGTAAGGTGTTCCAAAAAAAAGAAAAAAAAAAAAGAAAAAAAAAAAATTACTTCTATATTATATTCAACCCCAACTGTGAAGGGGTGTGGTATGGTAATGTGGACTCAAGTAGTAACCTGTGCAGTGAACCCATGTCGTAACATTGTCTATCATTTAAAAAGTAAACTTTTATGAGAATTAACCAACGTTTTATCAAAAATTACAAAAAAATGTAAAAAATAAAATAAAAAAAAAAAAGATAAAATGGAAAAAGACAAAACATAAAAAAGTTATTTAAGGGGAACAAAAAAAAAAAAAAAAAAAAAAAAAAAAAAAAAAAAAAAAAAAAAAAAAAAAAAAAAAAAAAAAAAAAAACTACAAAAAACATACACTTTTAAATCTTTACAAAAAAACATCAACAGGGCACATAAACTAATGAGTTCCAACCTGTATTAATAATACATAAAAAATCTATTTTTTTCCCCCCCAATTTTTTTATTATTTTTGTATTTTTTTATGACCTCCAAATTCGAATCATGCTCCTTTTTTTTTTTTTGTCTTTTTTTCCCGGACGATTCTTTTTTTCCTTTTATTAAATTACTTCTATATTATATTCAACCCCTACTGTGATGGTGTGTTGTATTTTTATATGTTTTTAAGTAGTAAACTTTGTTGTGAACATATGTCTTAACATTGTCTATCATTTAAAAAGTAAACTTTTATGAGAATTAACCAACGTTTTATCAAAAATTACAAAAAAATGTAAAAAATAAAATAAAAAAAAAAAAGATAAAATGGAAAAAGACAAAACATAAAAAAGTTATTTAAGGGGAACAAAAAAAAAAAAAAAAAAAAAAAAAAAAAAAAAAAAAAAAAAAAAAAAAAAAAAAAAAAAAAAAAAAAAAAAAAAAAAAAAAAAAAAAAAAAATTATTAAAGGGGAAAAAAAAAAAAAAAAAAAAAAAAAAAAAAAAAAAAAAAACAAGAGCAAATAAAGACACAACGGAAGGGGGTGAATAATATGAAGCGGACGGATTAGAGGTTGATTTAGTACAAAAAAAAAAAATAAAATAAAAAAAATTCATATTCAACTCAAATTCAGATTCAATTACCACTTCAGATTCAATTACAAATTCCGATTCAATTACAAATTCAAATTCGAGCACAGTGGCGAAAAGAGCAACACAATTGCAACTCCTTCCGCAACTGTCAGTGTGTCAGAGAAAAACAAAACGGGATGTTGGTAACTCATCATCTCTTGGCTCTCTTGGAATTTATAAGCTCAATTTCCTGAGGAGAGAAATTGAACGAATTGTAAATAACCGAAACGTAATCATCTATTTTGATGCTGGACGGAATTTGAGAGATAAAATTTTGCAGAATATTTTTCTGATACATGGCGTGTTCATAATTTCCACTAATGGATTCATAATTTTTTATCTGACTATTCAGAAAGTTAATGCGTTCAAGAAGATTTTTCTTGTCTTTCTTTTCTTCACTTATAACAAATTCATAGGCATCTAACTTTTTCCGTATTTTTTTGTATTCATTTGGGTATATTGGTATTTTTGTATCATCATTTCTGCCATTATAGACAATGTTACAATTGTTAAGTAGATGATGTGATTCACCTTTACTGGTACAATTGTCGAAACTTTTATTCGAAGATATTACATCCATTTTGTTGTCAAAGCTATTATGATGTGCGTCACTCTTCCAGAATCCAATCTCTTCAAGGTTTACTTCTTGAGACTTCTTTTCCTCGTGAGCTTCTTTTCGACATTTTTCTCCTTCACAGGAAATAAAATTTACTTGTCCATTTTTGAGAGCACCGGGAGTTTCATTACCAAAAAGTGGATGCAATTGCTTCCTCGACATTTGCTCCGACATCTGCTCTGAGTGCTGCTCTTCCTGGAGCTGTGGTTGGGGTGATAATAACTTCTCTTCATTCGAAAAGACCATTTTCTGCATCTGATAAAGGAGAGACTCAATTTTATTTTGCAGTAATTTTTCCTTATTATCGAAAACAACTTTCATTTCGTTAATTTTCCTTTGATTTTCTTCATCAAATTGTTCTTTGCATTTTTTTATAATTTCGAATTTTTCTTTCTGTATTTGTTTTTTCAATCCTGCTATAATCCCCGCTTGTTCATCTCGAACATTTTTCTCTTTACAAATTTGTAATTCAAGTACTTTATATTTTTCACTGATGGTTGCTACTTCATTTTTATACGTTTCAATATCTTGTTCATATTTCATTATAGAATTATTTAACTGTTGAATGGTGCAATTTTTTTCATCCAAATTTTTCCAAGTTTCATTAGCTTCATTGATTAAGGTATTTACTTTCTCTTTATATATTTGAAATTCTTTTTCAATTTCATCTTTTTCATCTTTTATTTTTTTTACACATACATCCTGTTCTTTTTTATATTCCTCCATTTCTTTTCTATGTATATCTTCTACACATGAAGGTATTTTTAAATTCCTGTAATTTTGCTTGAACACGTCTTCTGAGATAATATGATATTCTCCTTTTTTTGAAAAACATACTAAGCGCGTAGATTCATAGCTAATGCAAAATAGCACATCTTCATCCAAAAGATCTAATTTTAATATGCTCATTTTGGATTTCTCATTCTCACTGTTTTTTTTCAGTTCTTCCAATTTTTCCGTCAATGTATTATTTTCTGTCTCCAGTCTCTTTAACTCCTCTGCATGAATCTTCGCTTCTTTGTCCATCTTCTCATTTATCTCATTCAACATTTCCCATTTTTTATTTAACTCTCTATGTCGTTCCTTTTCAATTTCTACTTCCATTTTCAACTCCGTTTCCGCTTTCCTTTTATATTCCTCCATTTCTTCGTTGCATATCTTTTTTATCTCATCAATTTCGTTTTCCTTCTTTTTAATGTCAACAAGATGTCTTTCGATTTCTTCCTCTTTGTCTTGACATTTTTTTGTCAACTCTTCAATTTGGTCCTCCTTGCCTCGACATTTTTTTGTCAACTCTTCAATTTGGTCCTCCTTGCCTCGACATTTTTTTGTCAACTCCTCAATTTGGTCCTCCTTGTCTTGACATTTTTTTTTCAACTCCTCAATTTGGTCCTCCTTGTCTTGACATTTTTTTGTCAACTCCTCAATTTGGTCCTCCTTGCCTCGACATTTTTTTGTCAACTCCTCAATTTGGTCCTCCTTGTCTTGACATTTTTTTTTCAACTCCTCAATTTGGTCCTCCTTGTCTTGACATTTTTTTTTCAACTCCTCAATTTCTTTTTTGTTATTTAATGTGTACACTTTAAATTTGGCTAGCAGATGTATTTTTTCTTTCTTCATATTTTCTATGGTATCTTTTAGATCCTTTATCTGGCTTAACAGATTTGCCTCGTAAGGAGAATCCTCTGCCTGGGGTGGGGCTTCCACTCTATTAGCTTCATCTACCAGTGTGACCTCCTCGGTATCTATGATAACACAATCAATACCTTCCTTCGTATCAGCACTTTTTTCTGCATTGTCATTCATGTACTGTTTACTGTCATGAGTGTCTTTCTGAATATTGTCATTATAGTCCTCCTGCACTGAAAAATTGACGCAATTTCTATAAGAATCTCCTTCTATCTCATCATTATTTGTGTCGTCTTTCGTCTCTCTTTTGTCATTCCCTTCTTCTCCATTTTGGCTATTTTCTCCCTTGCTGTTATTATTACCACTATGGATTCCACTGATTCCTCCCCCATTGTTTTCATTTCCCTCATCATTTCGATTGTTTCCACCGTTAGGCGCACTTAAATATTTTTTATCCTCATCCTCCTTACACTCTTTAGCCGCCTTACCCTCCTCAGTCTCTTTACCCTCCTCAATCCCCTTACCCTCCTCAGTCGCTTCATCCTTCGAATTTCCATTAACGTTAGTGCCACCCCCAGATACACCAATTTGTTCACATTTAGATTCATTTTTCTTACAATCATTATACGGTTCGCTGTTACCATGAGTACTCCTTGATTTACAGAGCTCTTTACTTTTAACCTGGGCACTTGATATCCCTTGGTCGGGAAAAATATAAGTACCCCTGCAACTGTCTGAATTATCGGTAAAATTCATGGACATACTCCTAGATTTGCTGTAGTTACCATTTAAAAAGTCATCATGTGTCATTTCTATGGATGTAGCTTCATCAATTTCATTGTACCATGGATACGTGCAATTTTTTTCATATGGATCGTTTTTATCTTTGCATAAATTTAAAAGATCCTGCGAATCTTGATTTTGATGTTTGTGTGTATGCATGACGCTTGCTTCACCTTCATTGAAAATACGATCCTGCAAATTCGAATTTTTTGTGGGTACAAATGTTTTATTCAAAGTCATGAACAAGTCATCATCATTTAATTGAATTTGCTGATTGAAATTATGATTGTTCATATTGTTGGGGGGACATTCTTCCTGCGCGGATTTATCCTGTGCGGATTTTTCCTTTACGGATTTTTCCTGTGTGAGTTCTTCTGGTGTGAGTTCTTCTGGTGTGTCGTCCTTTGGGTTATCTACAAGAAAACTGTCATTTTTCTGATAGTTTTCATCATGTTTTAATCCACCTTCATATTTGATGCATCGTTTCTTTTGTTTCATTTTCTTTTAAAAAATTCATTCTTTTTTGTGGCATGGGCGATGGGCCCCTCTATCCTCTATGCTAGTGCATGCTGTGAGTGCATGCATGTGTGTACAGTTCTATGTTATTATTGCCGTTATTATTATCGCTGTTTTTATGGTCGTTATTATTATCGCTCTTATTACGGCCTTTATTATTATCGCTCTTATTACGGCCTTATTTTATTACCCCTGTTATTATGACGTTATTCTACTCGTTTCACTCAGACCACGGGGGTATGCGCCTTTTTGTCCACGTTCTGTTCACCCCTTTTGAGAATTAAACCGTAAATAGGTTTGTAATGTGTGGGAAAATTCGGAAGAATTGCAATGAAAATAAAAAAAAAAAAAAAAAAAAAAAAAGTTCCTTACAGGTTTGATAGTACTCGTGTATATATTATTTAGTTTCAATTTTCCTCAAAGCATTTGAGCGCATCACTCCTGGTTTTCCATTCTGTTGCATTTTGTAAGATTAAGTGCAGACGAGCTCCTATATTTATGTGTACATATAACAGTTCATGTACCATAGCATATAATACATTCATACGTTCAGCTCATTTGCTTTTGAAAAGGGTCTGAATTTCATCACACAAATTTTGTATCATGGGAAAAAAGAACAAGCTATAAATGGATGCTATGTATGAATTCCTTTTAACAATATAGAGTAGGAGCAAAAAAGAAGCTTTTTTTTTTTTTTTTTTTTTTAACTCGATTATTAATTTGTATACACTTGGTTAGAGAAAAATTCCTTAGATAATATTCTGCGATTTGTTTTTATGACTGCATTTTTTTTTAAAAGGGGAACTTGGTGCAACATTGGCCGCTCACCATTCACCTACTTTCGATAAAGTGCGTTCAGTTCATGTAGTTAGGTGCTCAAGCTGTGTTAAATGTAAAGTGAAGCAAACATAACAGAGCAAAGTAAAACAAGAAAAATACTACAAATAAGTAGAAAAGTGCATATTTGAGTATTCAAAAAAAAAAAAAAAAAAAAGTGACGTATTTTATTTTTGTTTCGAATGAAGTCACAACTTGTTCCCTTTGAATATAATACAAAAGTACATAGAAAAAATAAAATAAAATAAAAAAAAAAAATATACATTCAGGTGAAATAAAAAAAAGAATAACCTTTACACAATGTTTTAAAAAAATATGAACCGTTCATAGAAAAAAAATTTCACAATAAAAAAAAAAAAAAAAAAAAAATACAAAACAATTACAATGTGTGTGGGGTTAACAAAATTGTATCAATTTAAGTGGATGTATGATAACATAATAAAAGGGAATTATAACTGTATGAAAAATGTTGTAAAGGAGAAGTAACAAATATAAGATGTATTTTTTTCGATAACCCTCTAATACATTCAATTGCATTCTTTATATAAATGCATATATGCACGCACTCATGCTTTTTTTTTTTTTTTTTCTTTTGTGTGTGCCTGAACACTGGGCATAGAAAAATCTTTTACGCCTAGAATACATTATTTTCATACAGTTTGTAACATACGAAGGGAGTTCTTTGGAGAATATCACAGTGATCTACTTAAAAGCGCACTTCAAAAGGAGTAAAGCAAAGGTCTCGAAAAATGGTTATACGATAAAGCAGTGGAAGGAAAAATACATAAGTATACAAGTGCGTACCTGCACATTTACACAAATGTGCTAGCTAAAATTATATCAAAAAAAAATAAAATAAAATAAAACAATACATGAATATTAAGATTCACATGAACAGAGTTCATACAAATTATATAAAACCGCCGTGCAACTGAAAAAATTGTGCATTTTATTATCCAGTGGTGCGCACTATTGTGCAACGAGAATATGTATGGAAATAACCCTCGTTCTATAAGAGAGGAATTTATTTCCTTCATATATTGAGAAGAACAAATATGATTCATTATGTTAATCCTTTTTTTTTTTTTTTTTTTTTTCCTTGCTGAATATAAATTACGTAAACTATTTATAGTTCTCATTGTATGTATAATTTAATTGTTCGATATTTTTTTTTTTTTTAGTAATTATTTCTATCATACATAAAGTATCGTTTAAAATCGTCACTATTCCGTTATGTAGAATACTTTGTAAATTTTTCCATGTTCACATATGTTTATATCATTTTTTAAAAGCGTGTAAATAATGTATATAAAGGATCGTAGCAGTTGTATGTGTGTGTTTGGGTGTATTTGCGGGTAGAGGGAGCAGGAATGCGTCAAACCACCACCCCGAGTTCGAAATATGAGATTGTTGAACCAAGTTCCCTTCAAGAGTATGTCTTACTAATCATGCTAATTTCTTTTTTAAAAGGTCCCCAAAAAAAGTCTGTGCCCTTTTCTTTTTTTTTTTTTTTTTTCGGAGGAGCGTATTCTTCGAGTAGACACGTATCGGTACAAGTTGGTACAAATTGGTACAAATTAGTACTATGTGCTAGCATTAACATAATAAAATATGTCTAACGTAAATTATAAAGTTTTTTCTTAGAAGAAATATATGATTCCTAAACTACGAATTCTGCGGACGCACATATCTGTTTTCACTGTGCTGTACTACATGGACACATACCCAGATAATCAGTCATGTGAGTATGCACCCTGCGACGCAAACTAAATACGTGCATAGTCATATGATCATTATTTCGGAAAAATATGTTAAGAGTTCGTTTTCTTATTCAGGTAGATATGCAAAAGGAGAGCCATGTACAAACATCTAATGCTCCTGTGATGCAAACCCCTCGTACACACACACACACACACACACATCTCCTTAAGCACCCATCTATGTGCGTAAGCTCGATAAAGACTTATTAAAACGATAACTTCTTAGAATCATATTTTTCCCTTTTTACAAACTTTAAAGTTTTTTTAAGGATTTTTTTTTTTTTTTCTCCATGTAAAGGTATTATCACTATTATATAATAGGTTTGTTATATACTTTTTCGTTTTAGAAAAAAAAAAAAAAAAAAAAAAAAAAAAAGTTAACAGGTTCTAAGTAAGCATCTGTGCAAAAAGACAAATTGATATAGTTCATTTTTGTGATAATTTTTCTTTTAAGACACGTATCTCTTTGGGGGGTTATCAGCCGGGCACTCGTTTAACTGGGCTCGGAAACGCATACAAATGGACAGGTATATATACATATACACATATGTAAGGTCGTAAGTAAACACATATGTACATATATACACACACGCACACGGGCACGTAAGGGTAAACTTATACTGAGGGTTCTTACTCAGACTCCAGAGCAAATATAGCGAAGACACACTCTTGAGATTTTTCACACATGTAGCGTCAATCTTAATAAGAACGAAGGAGTGAAAAAAAAAAAAAAAAAAGAGAAATTGCCCATCATGTATACACTAATTTTTTTAATCGTTACTATTGTCTGCACAATTGAGTAAAAAGAAAAAAAAAAAAAAAAAGAGAGAGAGAGAGAGAGAGAGAGAGAGAGAGAGAGAGAGAGAGCAAGCTAGTGCTGTGATTTTTTCACGAGGACATTTTAATGTCTCTCTCGTCGTAGACGCTGAAAAATTGTGTGCAATGAATTGTCCTTCATGAATGCTAACATACAAATTATATAGTAATCATAAAACGTGTGTTTTTATTTATTTATTTTATTATTATTTTTTTCTATTTTTTTGTATGTTTTTTTTTTTTTTCAATTTGTTCAAGGCATATGTGTATATAGATTTCCCCTACTCCCCTACATCTTTCCACAAACGTGTAAATGTCTCTCCATGTGCAGATGCACACAAATGTTAATTATCATAATCACCAGCATACACTTGTGTGTAGCCACATGTTGACATAATCATGGATAGCAATATGTGCAGTTGTCACACAAACATGAACTACAGGATTTTACATGGCTATGCCAATAATGAAAATCTGAACAATGTAATTAATTATGATAATAACAAAGGGGCATCATATAATTTGAACACGGGTTCAAATTTTTATGTGCCTGCATCGGGAATAAGCTCTAGCAACAGTAGTGGGAATTTGAATAGTGGAAATAACTATGCAACATATGGGGAACTTTTAAATTCTTATACTTCTCTTGAACAAACATTAAATAAATGTGTACCTAATTTTCACATAAACTCATTAAGCAATAACATGATTTGTCATAAATGTAACACAGATCAAGGAAATAATTTAAATTTTTCACAACATGGATTTTTTGAAGGCTTTACATCAAATGGTTTGATGAAAACTTATAACAAGAACAATCGTTCGTGTATTCACTGTTCCTGTTTGGGGCCAGGTGCAGACAATAATGGGAGTGCTCTCGGTCTGGATATTTCAAACAAGATCTCTGGGCCATTAACTGGATATGGAGTTTACTCAGCAATGGGAGGTGAGCAGCACACGTAGTGGCACGTAGTATGAAGTAATGAACGTGCGAGTAAAATGCTGGTATCAATCACGTGAAAGCAGAAAAAAAAAAAAAAAAAAAAACATACCTAAAAGTGTAAAAAAAAAAAGTATACGTAAAAGTGTAAAAAAAATATATACTTAAAAGTGTAAAAAAAATATATACTTAAAAGTGTAAAAAAAAGGTATACGTAAAAATGTAAAAAAAAAAAAAAAAAAAAAAAAAATTTAACAGCCTTTCCCAGTGCACGCACGGCTAAATAATTTCTTATTTTTTCCCAACTATTTTATTTATCCCATTTTACTTCTTTTATAACCTCAATGTGCAGGCACCCACCCCAGCGCGAGTGCGAGTAGTGCCTTGTTGAACCAAGGTTTAGTAAACCACCCTGAAAAAAATGGAAATATAAGTTTTAACGCAAGTGAAAATTTGAATTCTGAAACGAGCAGCACTTTGAGGAATGGAATATCGAACAGCCTCAATTGCGACCTAAGTGAAAGTGCCAGTAACCACATTAGCGGGTACTTCTGCAGGAATGCGACGAGCCAGATTGGCAATCCAATAGGCCAGGTTAGTAATCCTCTTGGCCAGATTAACAATCCGATAGGTCAGGTTAATAACCCCATAGGCCAGATTGGAAACCCGATAGGCCAGATTGGCAACCAGATAGGGCACCATTTTAACAATCCAATATCAACTCATACGCTCGACACGAATGAAAAGAATAGGAGCACTAATTCTCTACAAGTTGTAAGAGAAAATTTAAATAAAAATGGGGAAGTTACTACATACACAAGGAATGGAGTTTACAATTCTTTTGATTTTTTAAATCCAAATAATCTGAACAGCACACACATTAAAACTCCTTTTAATTATTCCACTTTAAATGGGTTCATGCTAAATAATATGAAGACAAGTAATGGAAAAAATGCAGAGATGAATATGAAAACAGCTAGTGTTGCAAAGAACTCAACAAGTGGGTCCTTTAATTCGGATGAAAATTCTCTTCAGCCATTAGATATTGGATTCACAAGAGATGGGGAATGCACAAACACAATCCCTCTCAATTCAGGTAGAATAAGCAATGGCATTCCAAGTATTAGTATGAGTTCGCCGAACCCAAATATAGCAACACGGACATCATATATGAGGACACCTATCACATACGTGACAACACCTGTTACATGTATGAACAATCGCAATGCAGAAATAAATAGTGCATCTAGAGGGAAATTAAATATGAATGCTTTAGGAACAACATATCCAGAAACTGAACGAACAATGAGAGAAATAGAAAAGAAGGATGTTATGTACAAAAAAGGTGTGAATATCCCTCGGAGTTTGACAAGCGATGAGGGTGTTTACAATTTTCTAAGGCTGAACAACCAACAAGTACCAACAATTTTTCCTTGTGCTATGAGCATGGAAAGTATGGGGTCTTCCCTACGGACCTCTAACATCCATCCAATTGGAGGGAGAATCAGCCACACGGGTAGAATCGGCCACATGGGTAGAATCAGCCACATGGGCGGAATCAACCACACGGGAAGAATCTGTCACAGAGATGGAAGCGGGAACACGCGTGAGAGTGGAAATGCAAAGGGGTCTCTAAGTAACCAAAGTGTGGAGAGCACGAAACAGAAAATATATAATACGTCTAAAATGGAACGTATTATTCCCCAAAGTATGAACCTTGAGAGGGATGTATACAACATACATTCTCTCGATAGTGATCTTATGTATGGATCTAATCAGAAATCATGCACATCGAGAAGCAGAGAAATAAAGAGAAGATGCAACCCAGAAGAAAAAAATATAACAAGTTGGATGAATCGACCTATTGATAGGAAAAAGAATTTGAATGAATGCAAAATATTGAATAAACGTAGTTATGATTTTTATTATATGAACACTAATGAGTCATATGAAGAGAATAATAATTTCCACAATATAAATTATGCAGAAAAAGTAAAAAAAACAAACACTCATCTGAATTCCAAAAATAGAAATACAAATAGAGATAATTCAATCTCCTCGCGTGAGAGTAATCAATCGTCAACTCGTAGCCATCAGATGAAAAAGAGCCATAAAAAGTGTAATGAAAACAGAAAGAGGAAAAGAAGGAAAAACATCAACTCGAGTGGATACTTCAATATCCAAAATGATATTTCAGATCCCCACTGTTCATTTAATACAGGAGTGTGTGCTCCGTCCATGTCTTTGTCTGCTTCATTCTCCTCCACGTCGTGCGACAAATCGTCTCGTGCATCTTCCAATTTGTCCGACTCGTCTGATTCGTCCGATTTGTCCAATTCGCCCAATTCGCCCAATTCGTCAAATTCTTCCTTCTTTACAAATACTTTGAACGAAAAAGTAAACAAGAGAGAGAAGGAAAAACAAAGAAAAGGAAGGAACCAAAAAAAAAAAAAAAAGAGAAAAAAAAAAAAAAAAAAAAAAAAAAAAAAAAAGAGGACAATGATGTTGACAGTTCCTCACGTTCAAGGAAAAAGGAGAAGACCAACAGTAATTGAGTTTTTGAATTCCAAATGGAACAGAAGCTCATACAATAAGGTTGGAAGTGGAGGACAAATCGAAGGACAATGTGAAGACGAGCGTGAAAGTTGCAGCTTGAGCAATTCTGGTGATTTCTCAAAAAAAGAAAAAAAAATAGGGTCCCATCATGAGAAAAAAAAAAGAGGAAACCATAATTTGGAAGATCCATGGAAAGGAATGGACGATATCAACAGAAAAAAAAATTCTTTATCTTCAAATAGTGATCATAACGCAGGTGGAAGTACGTGGAGTGAAGGGGATTCGAATTATGGAAATGAGTGTATGCCGTGGTCAGAGGAGAGAAAAATGGTTCAGGAGAATACACTAGACAACAGGGTGGGTGGTAGTGGTGGTAATCCAAAGGAAAATCTTTTATCGATAGAGTTAAACATGAAGACGAGAAAGAAGCGCACGAGAAAATGCAATGATGAACAGGATTCCATTTGCACGAAGATGAAGCGCTTGAATGAAACACCCATTAAGATAAAAGATGATGGTAGATCTGGTGAACGTAAGTCTGACGATGGGGCAAAAGATAGTGATAGAGATAGTGATAAAGTTAGTGATAGAGATAGTGATAAAGTTAGTGATAGAGATAGTGATAGAGATATTGATAGAGATAGTGATGGAGGTATTGAAAAGAATCGTGGCCCCGTAAATGAACGTCCAACGGAGGGCGCAGAGATGGTGCAATCGAGTGAGGAAAACAATTCAGAAAAGGAATTCACTAGTGAGGGTGAGGAGTTGTATGCAAATTTGAGTTCCAGCAATGATAGTGACAAAACAGGAGATAGCAATTCGGCAGATTTGGATACGAGTCAAGCGAATATTCAAGTCGGAGAGGAAGAAATGGAAAGCGAGAGCGAGTGTGAAGAAATGAAAGAAAAAATGTGGCATGAGGAAAGTACGTTACGAGAAAAGGATACAAAGATGGTGATGAAGAATAAAAAAAAAAAAAAAAAAAAACAAGTGAAAGAATTGGAAGAAGGGAAGAAAATAAAGCCTGAGTTGAGCATGTCAGGAGAGAGGGAAGAAGATAATTCCAAGGAAATATTAAGAGAGGATCAAAGTGTGGAAAGTTCGTCCTCTGGAAAATCTACTACAAGCGACACGGAAGGAAGCACGATCGAATCTTATAAGAGTGAAAGTGATATCAGTTGTGAATCCTCAGGGGAGAGTTCCGAAGACCTGTTAGATTACTCATCTGATGAGATCACACGGACAGAAAGCTCCAGCAATGGAAGTGGTAACCATGATTTGCACGCCGACGAGATTGGCAGTGTTAGAAGTAGTAGAAGTGGTAGAAGTGGTAGAAGTAGTAGAAGTGGTAGAAGTGGTAGAAGTAGTAGAAGTGGTAGAAGTGGTAGAAGTAGTAGAAATGGTAAACGTGATAGAAGTAGTAGAAGTATCAGTAGCACTGACGTGCGTTCGCCTCCTAATGGGCATCCAGAGAGCGCAAAAGAAAGGAAGCACAAGAATGAGGAAATGAGCTCTTGGAACGTTCAACTGGAGGAAGAATTCAGCACATGTGCATTTATCCCTGCCCCAATTTGCAGCACCGAGGGAAGAAGCGTGAATTTGTTCAGCGAAAGAGAATCAAAGAGGAGAGAAGCATATGCAAAGAAGAGAGAAGCAGAAGCGAAGAAAAGAGAAGCAGAAGCGAAGAAGAGAGAAGCAGAAGCAAAGAAGAGAGAAGCAGAAGCAAAGAAGAGAGAAGCAGAAGCGAACCGTATATACAGAGAAATCCTGCGGAAAGACGGAATAAAGTGCTACCAAACGGAGAGAGAATTAAAGAGAAAAGAAAAAAATAATAATGAGGAAAAGCATGGAAGAGGAAGTGAAGACAATAACACATGTATAATAAAACAGAATAAGAGAGCATACACAAGTTTGAGAAATGTAGATTATGTAAATAATAATGAAATTTTAAGAATGATAAAAAAAGATATTATAAAAAAGAATAAAATAAAAATATATGAATATATAATTTTACTGTCCTATTTATTTTATAAAAAATCTAGATATTTAGATTTTAATAAAATATATTTATATAATACTATGAAAAAATTATGTCCATTTTTATTAAAAATAAACAAAAAATGTAATGATGTAGAAGTACGGAATGTATTTTATTACTTAAGTAAAATATTTATTTTGGATGATTATTTTATTTTTAGGATAAATATATTTGCATTTAATTGGTTTATATTATATGTATATAAAATGAAATTAAAAAATGTCTTATTTATAGAGGATATAAATTTATTAACAAATTTTTTGTGTGGATTTTTAACAAATAAAAAATTTAAAAATTATTCTATTTTATTTCTTATAAATGTAGTTTTGCAGAAAGCCACTGGAAAGTCTTTATACGCAGGTCTCAATTACAGTTACATATGTTCTCTCTACATTTCCTTGTTCTCAAAAGCAATTTGTATGTCAGTGATGCATAGGGAATTTCTTAGAACTTACCCCAGGCATGGTGATAATAATACTGTTCGTGTCATGAAACATATCCCAGAGGAATCCGTGAAGTCTTGGGTGAGAGAATGTACTGAAACTCTAGATGGGAGTGAGATGTGTAAAGATGGGAAGAATGAAAATAACAACCAGCGTGGTGAAGACAATGATCTAGACAATGGTGAAAGCAATGAAGGATGGAGACAACCCTGTCGGAGTTTTCTAAAAATGAAAGGGTTCATCACACCTTTGAATACAAACGGAACCAGATGCATGAACAGGATAAATAAAACGAACATGTACTCTTTCAGCAGAAGAATAATTCAGAATAATGAACAATGGGGAGATGGAAAAAATTGGAAAAAGCAGAGGAGCAAATCAGAGAAAATTTCCACCAGACAAGACCTTATCATTTTATATATACTTTACATATGTCGAAACAATTGTTCCATTTATGTGAACATTTTAAAACACATTTTGGATGACATTTTAAAATTTAAATTAACGTATAATTTTCACAAAATAAAAATTAAAAGTAGATTTTTCTACAAAAAAATTGTTCGTTGCTTAAAAAATGTCAAAAAGATTATGGTCAAGTTGGGGAAAAAAAGGTATCGAAGGAGGAACAAAGAGAGAGCAAGTCAGGAAATAGATAAACAAGAGAGTGAGCATGAGAAAAAGAGAGGAAGGAAGAAAAAGATAAAACCTGAGAAAGACGTTAAGAAATGGAACAACCTGAGTGCAAAGGAAAAATGTCCCAAGGAGGATTACACATCCTTTGATGATCATGCAAATACAAATTACTCATTCGTTTATCTGCTCGTTGGGTTGTTTTTAGAATATACATCTTTCTCTTTTAATGGGTTCATTATGCGTTTTTTTGAAAATGAAAAGCTAGCCAATCTGTATAAATTGTTAATTCTGCACGTAAGGGACTACACAGAAATCATTTTCAAGTATATGAAGTTCATCACCATGGACATGACTAAGGTGTATGGAAATATTTGGATACGAAACATATTCACCACAGTTAATTTAAAAAAGGTTGATGAATTCAATGACATTGCGGGGACGCTACTTCACGCAGATGGGTTCAGACACTCTGCATCTGCCAAGAGGGGATCAGAGAGGACCTCTAACACTGCCATTGCCACTGCCATTGCCACTGCAACTGCCACTACCACCGCCACTTCCACTGCTGCAATAACTCAGGAGAAGCAAACTTCCCAAGCTGAAGTAACATTAGGAAGAACAGATCCCACGGAACATGAGGAAGAAGCGCATCTAGTGACCCAACAAAAGGAGGAAAAATTTGATTTAAAATTCCAAAGAAATAATGAAAAGTTAATAAATTGCATAAAGGAGGAGAACATAATGAAATCCATAAGTCATACCATTCAGATGGAAAATTTGAGTGAAAACCGGCAAGAAGAACTGTGTTATTATTCTCTTAACAAAGCTAATTTTGGGGAGGGAAATGAAAAAAGAGCAGAATTTGAAATGACCAAAATGGAACATTTCCGCCTGAACAGCAAGGTAAAAGGGAGGAAACAAGAATGGGGGAATAAATTTCAATCTATTATTTTCAAACATGAAATGGACAAGGGCAATAATGCAAAGTGTGTCGATAAATCTGTAACGGGAAATGTAAAAGTGAAAAATGTAAAAGTGAACAATGTCTGGTTTAACAAATCAGATAAGAGGCATCTCTCCATGAGTTTAAAAAAAAAAAGAAAAAAAAATGAATATTATGGAAATGATGATTTCATCGAAGCAACACTTTACATGTTATGCAGATGTGTAAAAATATTTAAAGGAAGTACTACTCTTAGAACCTTGTTTGATATATTGTTTCTTTTTTTTATACAAAGAATGGAGAGAGAAAGATTGCAACAATTTTTAGGGCAGATGTATAACAAAGATATGGAGTTAAGCAGATTGATAACAAATATTCTTTTAAGAACTGATATGAGAGAAAATTGTTTACAAAATGTGAGTTTTATTAATTATTTTTTAACAAGTAAGGAATCATTAGAACCCAAGCATATTGGTTTTAATAAGGTAGAAATAGACTTAGCTGATATATGTTCATTTTACCTGAACAAGCGTATCAGATGTAGAGTAAAAAGAAAGATCCCCAATAGAAGAATAGATACGAACAAGAAGAGAAAAAATGAAAAGAACTACTTCAACTCACAGTTGTGTTTGAAACCATGCTCATGCATGTTCCTTACTTATGTTCTTTTCTTTTCACGTATATTTAAAAACTTCAAAATGTATTTCATGCATTTCACACGATTTTCATATTCCCTTCAAAAAAAAGCAGTAACAATGAAAGATAACACTAAAATGGATTTTAAATGTGGAAAGATACAGGCATGCATAGAAGGGAAGGAAGCCTTACAAATTGAAAAGGGCTACTTGGATAACCATACTGGGTTTAGAAATTATTATTCCCGATTACAGGATTCAGAACAGAATCAGGAGAATCAGGAGAACCAGGAGGAATGGGATCAAGAATCGGTAGAAGCACATTACAACCACATCTACTGTAAAAACTGTGATAGAGATGCCTTTTCGGATGAATGTACACTTGGAGGAGAAAAAACTTCCAATTTATGGGCGACCAAGATGAAGCAAATTCCCATGCATGTTGAAGATGGGACAGCAGTTATAACAAACTCGTCAGCTGTGGGAAGTGCAGCGGTGGCAAACCCAGATGCGACTGAAATTTTAGTGGACGCAAATGTGTCACAGAACACAATAGGAGAAGAAAAAAAATGTAAAAGAAGTGACGAACTGGAACTGATATGGAAAGAGCACAAGGAGAAAATGCAACACGATTGGAAAAATACAAAATGGAAGTGGAGGATTGAAGAAGTGTTGAGAAAATATCATCTAATTATTAGTGACGAAATTAAGAGTTCATATTTTGTTAAAGGGTTGAAGAAATGTTCAAGGTTTTGTAAAAAGAGGAAACAGAAGAAAGTTACACAAATATTTACAAAATTAGAAAATGTAAAAATAAGTGAAAACAATTCGATTGGAAATGTACATTTGTTTAGTGAACATACTGCTTATCACATTTTGAGTATTCTGTATGAACAGCAAGGGGTTCATAACGTTCAGCTTAACAATGTGTTCGTAAGAATAAACGGGAATATATTTGATGGGAGAGAGATGCTTGGTGCGAGAGAAATGCATGACGGGAGAGAGATGCTTGGTGAGAGAGAAATGCCTGACAAAGGAGAAATATTTTGCGAGAGAGAAATGCATGGCAAAGGAGAAATACCTGACGGAAAAGTGAAAAGCAAGAGGAATGGGGGAAAAATTCTGCGACATAGTTCAGAAAAAGGACGCATATGTGAAAGGATTGGAAAAATTATGAACAATATTTTGAAGTGGAACAAGCTAAATATTGCATATAACAAAAGAAAAAAAGAAGAAAAGAAAAAGGCAAATCTAAAAAGGAGAAGAAATAAATACACAAATATTATAGTCGATATGTATCCCCTAATATTCTTATCTCTGACGAAACTTTTGAATGCTTCTATAATTATTAATGACGACGTGAAGGATAAATGTTTCGATGTGAAAAATGAAATATTCCCTATTAAATTGAACCTATCTGTAGAATTGAATAAATATGAGGAATCTTTAAAAATTCATCAGACTGAAATTAAGAACGATGAAAGAACCAAGTGGCAGTACCCATTGATTAAGAAGTGTCTTTGCACCGGATGCATGTTTCGTGTTCGCCTCGGACGGGGTGCCTCAAGCTGGCTAAAATATAAAGGAGCAAACGGAGAAGCCAAGCCAGAATCAACCAGAGCGATGAAAACCGAAGCCGCTTCCCCAAGTAGACATTTACTTAGAAACATTGCCGAGGAAGGGAGACCAAGAACAACTGTGCAACTCCTTATGGGAAGAAGGAATAAGATCCTGAACTTAATCGTTAAATTGTTGTATAGAGAAATAAAAACAGACTTTTATATGCTGAACGAATATTATGACGAGAAGGTTCATATTTACAGGACTCTGCTCATTTTGCTAATGTTAAAGTATTTGTCATCTGGACATGATTTATCTGCTTTTGGAAAAAAATTCATTCTTTTTTTCATTCAAAGATTGTTTCGTCTTTTGTGCTTCCGATTGATGTGTCTCTTTTTATCAGCCCCTCACGTGAACAAATTGACGAGTGAAATAATTATAATCGATGATGATTATCTCGTGAATAGTTACCTGACGCAATCCAAATCGAAACGAACCCATCGAAAGTCTATTCAGAATCGGCTTTTCCAGAAGAAATCTTACAACTTGTATAAGAGATATTCAGAAAATTTTCTTTTCAATATTCGATTTTTTCAAAACGAAGGAGAGGCTGTGTCAAGTGCTAAAAAAAATGGAACCCCGATGAGGGAAGCTGAGAAGTGGGCTAGAAGTGAGGATCAAACTGGATCTTCCAGTTGTAACTGGGAAGATAAGAGGCGAGGCAAGGATTGTAACAAGCCATGTTGTAAGAGGAGTGTCAAATCGAGTGCCACTTCGCCTGAGAAGCTGAAAAAGAGAACCATTTACAAACCATTCGTGCCGTTCGGAAGTTTAGTAATGACAAAGAAAGAAATACTGAAATTGAAACTTCAGGGAGAGGAAGAAATAAAAAAAGACAACATATACATTAACAAGTGCATACTAAAGTCGAAGGCAAAGAGCAGAAGTAAGAACGCAGAAATGTATAATGAAAGGCAAATCGATGAGAAGGAGAAAATTCAACTTTCCGTAGTGTCTATAATATTACTTATGAACGTGTTCAGAAGAAATAGTAACTATTCATATAGCATAAATTTTTATATAAATCTATTAATAGAAAAATTTTTAGAAAAGAAAAAATATATACATGTTGATGATCATTATTTTATAAATAATTACTTAGTCAAGGTCGTAAACCCATTACATATGAATCACAAAAAAGAATTTTGGATAAATGAAAATAATTGTGCGAAAAGAAAAATGCAGTTAATAAATAGTGGATATAAATTTTACGCATCATCCTATAAATTTCCAATATTTGAATTCATCTTCTATGAATCTCTGAAAGTATATCTATGTTTTATTCACAAAAATTCTTTAGGAACTTTTATATCAAAAATTTCTAGATTCAATAATATGTATTGTTGTATTAATAAAAATTTACATTTTAAAATGAAAATGAATAACCTTCTGTGCTCCAAACTTAACAATTTGTTGATAGAGGAACTTTTGAACATGCGCTTGAACAAGATGCTTTCCAATTGTAATTCAATTTTATCAGCGTGTATGTTTTTTTTTATATCAATGTTGGATGAGGAAGAGAATGCTCACTTGGCCATGTCTATCGGGCGGGATCATGCTTTAGTGGGAGAAGTGGGAGAATTGGGAGAAGTGAGAGAATTGGGAGAAGTGGGAGAAGTGAGAGAATTGGGAGAAGTACAGGAACTGTATCTTGAAAAGCAATGGAATAGGAGTGCCAATAAAAATGTACCATGGATGAATAGCCGCAATTGGGAAGAAGGAGCTGTAGAAAATTCACACAAGTGGAAGTTTGGAGAGAATGAGAATTATGCATTTCTAGCTAAGGAAGAAATGAATATGGAAAAATGTAGAAGTGATAATGAACCGAATCAGATGTTAAACAAAACTGTAAGCAGCATACATAACTGTAACAATATGGGAGAGACTTATAATAGAAATGATAAGGAAAATAAAACAAGTAATGTAGTATATTCACATGAGCAGAGGTATTACATGAATGATAAAAGACCAAATAGATTAGTGGTGGGCAATTGTAGGAACTACTATATAAAAGAGGACTCAACAGAATTAATAAATATGCACAAATCGATAAGAACAAACGAGAACAAAAACATTATGATGTATTCTAAGAATGATAAGGAAAGAAATGAACAGCTTTTTAATGTTCCCACTAATGAGAATATTGTGAACCCCTCATCATCACATACAACAGTCAAACGTATTACAAAATACAGGATTGAATATTATCATAAAGAAAAAGGAAAAAACAACTCAGTTAAAAGTTCATATATATATATGAAACCAAAAGATGTACATAAATTATTTAATTCTTTCGAAATGATAAATAAAACAATATTGGAATGTACAAATTTTATATATAAACTTTATTTTTCAAATAATAAAGATTCATTAGCAAGTGATGAAAAGGAAAAAAGAAATAGGAATGTTTATACATGGTTCCAGAATTGCTTAAATGTGTTCCACTTTGAAACGTGGGTAGTGCATCAGTTTTACAACAAATTCGATAACGCTTCTTGCATATACATGTTAAAAAAAAAAAAAAAAAAAAAAGAGCTAACCACTGATGTGATTCACATGGATTCATGTATATTACGCGATATTGCAAAGATGAAGAAACATTTGGAGAACCGTTTCAATGATGTGAAGAAAGTTTATAATATGGATATTTTAATGGCAAATGAGAAGAAGGAACCTTCAATGATAAAAGAACATACATCTAAGTTAGATGCACAGAAAGAAACAAAGCAACCTGGTCAAATTGAAGCAGAAACAGTCTTGCACAGTAATGTGAACAATACTAATGCGGAAGATAAATATGACGAACTGATTGAGGACTATGATGAGTTAAATTCTTTTCTCGATTTTTCTCAAGACAAATCGTCTGGTATATTATTACATGGGACAAATGCTAGGGCTGTAAAAAGTTCAGCACAAGATGGCATTCAGAACCTGAACGAATACAAAGTAGATGACGGGTGGCTTACCTACATTCGATCCTTGATTTGACTCGTTCTGTGTGCGCGCAGAAAAGTAATAGCATATGCACACAAGCACAATCGTCTCGGTAGAAAAAAAGTATTCGCACCCAAGGGTTGAGGCCAACAATGGACATGTACATGTACATGTACATATACATATACATATATATATATATGTATATCCGTTTTTCTTGGATGCGCTGATTAACTTAAATCATTCCCTTTTAAACCAACATAATTGGAGGGTGGGGGGAATGCAAATGTAACTTCAAAATAGAGACAGTTGAGCGCACCCATAACTCTGAATATGTGTATAAAATATATACATATAATATATATACATATATATATAAATATAAATACATATAAATACATATAAATACATAAAAATATATATACATTGCGCATGTCCCACTGTGCTTGTTCATTTTAAAAAATTCGTTTTGCTCGTTTTTCTTTTTTTTTATTTTCATTCCTGCGTGTTTTCGCTAACTTTTTGGTTAACTTTTTGGCTAATTTTTCCGCTAACCTTTCCGCTAACCTTTCCGCTAACCTTTCCGCTAACTTTTCCAGTTTTGCCTCTTGCCATTTGAACGAGTTCTAATTGGTTTGGTGGGATATTAAAAAGAATGAGCGAGCAGAATGCGTGAACAGAATGAGTGAACAGCATCACTCAAGTGGGGAGGTATGTAGTATGGAAGGCTTTTTGACATGTACTTCTATTCTAAATGAGCATTCCTTGGGTGATCACAATCTGATTCAGAGTCGGGGATAATAAATACCGCTCCTACGCTCCTACAGTTGTCATTGCATTTATCACTATCATTATTTTTGTTTTTTTTTTTTTTTTTTTGTTTTTGTTTTATGCGAACGCAACCCCTGTGACGAATTATTTTTTTATTTTATTCTTTTCCCTTTTTGAAATGAGTTTTGTGCAGATCTTGCACATGTGAGCAGAACCTTTGAGCATTCATTAAGTCTGCATATGTGTTAATCCTTTCTTTTGGAAGTAATTTTATACGTTCCTTTTTTGAAAAAATAAGATTTTTTTTTTCATCTTGTACGCACATGGCTGTAAAAATTATTTTCCATTTCTAGCGGTTCGATAAAAACATGTAAATTCCGCGATTCATCAAAACCCCCACCACCACCACCCTGTGAAAAACCAATTTATGTATGCATTAATTTTTGTTCTCTTTTATACTCTCATTCAGGTATGCTTATTCGAATACATGTTCATTTGTTTGATTCCATATTTTGTAGCGCTTGACGGATGTTCCAGGAAAATGTCATAAGAAGCAAAAAGCAATAATGCTGAAGCAAGGGAGAATCACAAAGCATGTATTTGCAAATCCCTGTGTACATGCCACATATATATATTTTGACACTGTGTTTTTCTCTATTTTGAATATTTCATGAAGTGTATATAGATGTGTGTCGCAAAAATATTGAAGAGATCCACCAGCACCCAGTTTTTTTTTTTTTTTTTTTTTTTTTTTTGCTAAAAAATTTCACCTGATTTATTTTCGAAATTGTACATGGTATTCATATATATTCATGTGTTTGTATGTTTGTGTGTGTGTGTGTGTATGGGGAGGGGGTCTGCATTTCCCACGAGACCATATTAGAAAAACATTGGATATGAGTGCGTACATAAGTGAATGAAATGAAATTATACACACTAGTAATATTCATACTTGTGAACAGCTTTTTAGATGTACCCCTCTTATGCTATAAAACAAACAAAAATTTCCAATTGACGACATATACAATTAACAGATTTGAAAAAAAAAAGAAAAAAAAAAAAGTTAACGAAAGACATGTCCTTTGTGCATCTTTACCTAATGAACATCTAAAACAGTTAAAATATGTACGGCAAGTAACAAGTGCCAGTATACAAATTTGTAACAATGCACTTAGAGAATGTAATAATGATACAGAAAAAGCAATTGAACTTATAAGGAAAAACACAAAAAATGCTTCATTTGTTTCATCCAATGTTAAGGTAAAAACAGAGGGATTAATTTCTTCACAAATTTTAGGAGACAAAATTGTTCTCTTGGAAGTTTTAACTGATTCAGATTTCGTTGCAAAAAATGAAAAGTACATCCGTTTTGTTAGTACTCTCCTTCGGGTTGCTTTGACCCATGAGAAGTTTTCACACGCGGAAGAAGTGGAAGGACCGGTTTCGAATCCCTCCTGTGTGGTAGAAGAATCGCTACTGGATCTTCCATATGAGGAAGAGAGTGGCGATACTTCTAAAACAACAGTTAGAGAAGAACTAAACTATTTGAGAAATATATTTCGAGAAGATATACGGATAGGAAGATATAGAAAATATGTACGGAAGAATGAAAACGAGTTTTTACATTATTATATACATAATAAAATAGGGGAAAATGTGGGATTGTCTGGTGTTCTTTTAGTTCTGAATATTGAGGAGTTAAATAAAAATTTGAAAAATAACAAGGAATATATTTATGAAATTGCGAATGATGTGGCTCTTCACATATTATCAGCTAAACCAGTGAGTGTTTCTATTTCTGATCTCCCTGAGAAAATTGTTAAACAAGAAATGGACATCATTAAGGAATCACTACACACTTTAAAGAAGCCAGAAAATATAATAACCAACATGGTGAATGGAAAGTTGCGAAAATTTTACAATTCTGTGGTTCTCCTCGAACAGGTGGGAACAGACAACTGAGACGTACGCGGTGGGACGTGAGACGTGAGATGTGAGATGCGTGACGTCAGATGCGAGGCGCGCTAAGAAGAGTGTGTGTGGCATGTTTGACCGCAGTGTCGTGATTCCAAATTTGTGTGATGGATATATACATATAAACACACACACTTGTTTTCCTTCGTTCATTTTTCACTTCTTGCTTTTTTCCACATATTTATGTCCATGCTAATGCCTCTCTTTTTTTTTTTTTTTTTTTTTTTTTTTCTATCTTTCAGGAATACATGCTGGACGATACCAAACGGAAGGTTTCCCAAGTCATTCAAGATTTCTCAAAAAAGCATAGCATGAATATAAGTGTCAAGTATTTTGATATGTTCATTATTGGGGAAAAGAACATATTACGAGAGTGACATGGGACAGAAGGATATGAGCAGCAAAAGGGGTGGTTGAGGGGCTATTACACGTTTTATTGTGCCATTAATGTCTCTTCACATTTTATGCATTCATAATGTATCAGTTCGCATGTAAAAGCAGAAATGTATACATATATGTATGTACATACCTAATGCATTGTATGTGTGTATGCAAAATTTTTACGTAAAAAAAGGACGAATCAGCGGAGTAGTCGATCGCGTAAGTTATCTCATATGCAATAAGCCCAGCTAAGCTAAGAAGGAAGAAAAAAAAAAAAAAAAAAAAAATTATTTTATATGAAAAAATTAAGAAACCTTATATGAAACATAAAACTGCAAGCATGACACAAGGGGGTGAGGGAGAAAAGTTCATTAAAGTTCGTTTTCCCGAAAAATAGCTGATGGATGATTGAACACAATATATATTGATGTACAAATATCTGATATTTTGACATTTACATTTATGCCTAACCATACATATGTATATACATATAGAGCATGCGTTTCTCAATGCGTTGCACAAGTTTTTAATCCCAATCGGTTATTCTTTATTTTTTTTTTTATTATTCTCTATTTTAATACCCTCTATTTTTTTTGTTTTTTTGTTTTTTCGCTTTTTCGTTTTTTTACCTTTTGGCCGTTCGCAGTGTTACATATAATATTTTCTCCATTTTCGCAAAAACTCAATTTAGAAATGTGTGAACTTCGCGCCCTGGCGTAGTTTACAAAATTGATTGGAAGGAAGCAAAATAATGATGTACGATCCATATCCTCATACACTATGTCGTGATGTGCTTGAAACAGGAAGAAAATAAATTCAAGTCAAAAAAAAAAAAAAAAAAAAAAAAAAAAGAACTTCATACTTAACCCTCCACATAAGTTGGAATTAAAACGCAACTGACAAAGGTGAAGAAAAGTGCCTTTTTGCTTTTTACCACGACGGAGAGAATATAATCAAATGGAAAATAAGCCACACGCAGCTGCATAAAAAAAAAAAACAAATCTCATTCTTACATCCCAAGAGTCCCTGTTATATATATATATGTATATATATATATATACATAGTACCCCGAACTATTAGCCAGCCTTCTATGAATTATGAATTATACATAACTGAAGGAGTAGCGTATTATTCATGTATGATAAAATTATAGTGTTGTATTTTATGTATTAGAGAAAGTCAGACGGAATTGCTTTTCTCCGCCTTTTTTCCAAAAAAGGAAGAAGAATGAACAACGAGCAAATTCTTTTTGACAATTTTCCCTTAACCTTCCTGAGTAATGATGTAGATAGTGAGACTTTTGAAGATGAAAATGAAAAGAATTATCGTGAAAAAATAAAAAAAATTATGGAAGAATTAAAATTGCTTAGAATGGAAATTAGCGAAAAACATTCTATAAGAAATATGTTAGAAGAAAAATTAGCCATATTACAAAATGAAGAACAAATAAAACAAAATAACATGAAATATATTATGAACATTTGTGATAAGCAAATGTATGAAAGGGAAATTCTAAATTATCATAATATCCTAGATCATCTGAAAAAACAAATCCAAAATAGTAATTGTAAAATAAAACTTTTGCTGGAAAAAGAATTCAAAGTTAGAAAGCAACTTCAGTTAAGTTACATGGCCTTGCATGACTTACTCAATGATCGTGTTCAGAACATTATAAACGATTATGTGAAACATCGCAAATGTGCTTGTGCTATATATGCTTACCGGCAGGAGAACAAGGAAAAGCCATGAGGAAAAAAAAAAAAGGGAGGGAAGCCACCCTCTCCAAATATCGCAGTACTGAAAAGGACACAGGAGTGTAAACAAATAATATACTTAAAACAAGGGTCAGAGGTGGAATAGTGATCCAGGAAAAAATATATCATCAATATGTGTTTATAATGCACATAACACATTTAAAAAGAAGAAGCAAAAACAGGTGAAAACAAGCAAAAATAAGTGAAAACAAGCAAAAATAAGTGAAAACATTTGCTTTGCACAAAAGAAAATTCTTTTAAAAAGAAGCAGCATTTTCTTTTTTTTTTTTTTTTTTTGTTTTATAGTATATCTTTCATTTTTAATTTTCTTCTTTTTTTTTTTTTTTTCTCAAAAAATGAACCAAATTTTGTATTCCCCTCTTCCACTGCATTGGGTTTCCATACATGCACACGCACATATTTATACACCCATGTGAAGCATATCTGTTTACACCCTTATATGTTATGATTAATTTTTTGATTCTGGAATGATGTGGAAATACTTAGGGTGGGGTCTTGTACATACAATAAATTTGCTTACGTATATACATACACACGACTTGTTTGTAATATCCTTGACCATATAAACAACGACACACACATGCTGACACATGACAAATGTACAATTTTGTTTTTTTTTAATTTTTTTTTTTTTGATTTTTTTTTTTTTTTTCACCTCCATTAAGAGATATTTCAAGTCGTTTAAGCAAGTTTGCTAACCATGCAAAACGGTTTCATTATAATTAAAAAGAAGTCACTAAAAAAATTGTAAAAATGTGGGATGAATAAAAGATGCTAATTTGACCGATGAGTTGTTATATCAGAGCAGGTTCTTCTTCTTCTTCTTCTTCTTCTTCTTCTCATCCCTTACTATTCATAAGGAAAACAAATCATGACACCATAGTGTGATGTTTTTTTTTCCATCCAAAGACATACTTGAGCATTTTGCAAACTTGTTGCAGAAGATATAATACATATCTGTGGTCATACAAAAAGGTGAGAAAATAGGAAGAAAAAAGAAATTTTAAAAAGAAAATTCTTTTATGAACTCTTTTGGAAAATTCTATGTGTTTCCATCTTGTTGACTGGATGAATATGAATTTTTTTTTCTCCATAGTTCTAAAAAAGTGCAATATGTCTAGATATATTTTGTGTAAAGTATTTAAATTTTCTTTTAAATTGAGTTCATCGATATTCATCACTATGTTTCCTTTTTTGATATCCTCTATTTTGAGCGGTATAATATAATTGGGCCACTTGACCTGTTCTTTTTCTCCTTTTGGATGATGTGAATGTTTTGAGTTTACTTGTAATGAAAACATTTGTCTGAATTTAACAGTTGTCTCGTTGTTATGATGGAAATCTTTTTCCTTACTATTTGTACATGAATATATTACATTTTTCGAGTTTGAAAAAAAATCCCCTCTCAGCATTCCATATATGTGCAAAGCATATTCATGAATAGTGTAAATTATGCACTTAAAAAATATGCCATAATAGATTACAGAATTATGCAAATATTTCCTTTTTTTTTTTTTATTCATTTTGTTATGTAAAATTGGTAAGTACAAGTTGGTAAGCTCATTTTTATTATCCTGTCTATTCAGGTGAAGCGTGAGAATTCCATTTGAAATCCATTTTTTACCTTTAAATTGTTTGTTTCCTTTTTTTGGCATACGGTTATAATAATACCATGTTTTATGAACATGTGTGCATATCTTGAGTAGTCTATTAATTTTTTTCGTGAAATTACATGTTTTTTTTTTTTTTTTTTCTTCTTCGTATTTTATTCTGAAACGTCTGTACTCATATTGGAAATTTTTTAATTCCTTTTTGAAATAATTGTCTACATTGTTAAGCAGACTTATTATCTTTTCATATGTTTGTGATTTTTCTTTCTCTGAATCTTCTTCCTTAATGGGTTGTTTCCCAGCGCTGTTTTTCCTTTTCAGGTAATTATTTCTTTCCCAAAGTTGGAGAGGTACAACTATGTTATAAAATAACTCCAGAAAAAAAAAGTTACAATTGCATGTACAATATAGGATATTTCTCAGCCCATTTGCATAAAAATGAATGTAAATTTTGTCCCCATAAAATATGTTTAGTATGTTAATCATTTCTTTCGATACAAATTTATATTTTAATATTTTTCTTTTTATTTTTTTGTACAGTAGTTGTGCTGTAGTATGCCTCACTTGTTCATAATTTTTTTTTTTTTTTTTTTTTTTTTTTCCCATTCCTTCTTCTTTTCTTTCAAATAAGAAAAATTCGAGGTATGTGCCTTTTTGATAAACAAAATTGTTTCCTGTGCGATTGTTGAGAATGTCCATTTCATACTTTTGTCCTTTCCTTATCTCATTGTGTATTAACTGAATAGTCTTCCACTTTGACAAATTATTCCCATAGGAACTGAAAAAAATGGGATTACTTTGATCTTTAATGTCACGATGATTGATATCTTTTTCTTTCTCTCGATTACATTTGTATAACAAATTACATGTGATGTAGTCTTCCCAGAAGGAGCGATCAACATTGTGATGATCCTGATGATGGTTCTTATTGCCTCCGCTATCTTTGCACCAAGTATCACCACATAATTCATAACCTCTTATTGATTCATAATTGTATGTAAAGAAATTTTTCTCAATGAAAACAAGGTAGAAATTTTTTAAAAATTCCACCAGACAGTGATACACATTTTGTAAGTAAACAAAAAGTAATGAATTGTGTACAGCATAATAGTAAAGATTTTTACGTGCAAGTAAGTGAAATCGATCATCCATCATTTTCACTATTTTGACATTTTTATAATGATTATTATTTCTCTTTTTGCACACAAAAAAATGGATAAGTTGTCTAAATATACTTATGTGTGATAGGGCCATATAGTTGTGCGATTTGTACTCTAATATTTTATCAAAAAAATTGAAGTTGTTCATCACGTATTTTAAAATTTTCCCATTTGATAATGCGTGTGAGTCGTTTTTTTTTTTATTTTTTTTATAAATCCATTTTCTGTAAATTCTACAGAGTGTATCATGTTCAGATCTCTCTCTATGATGGGATAAAAAGTGTATTTTATGTGAACTCTGTCTACACATTTTTCTCTTTTCCTTTTTTACAATTTCTTTACGGTTCTTCAGGTACATTTCTATATACATATACAAAAGAATATTCTTCATATTCCACACATGCTGACATTTGGCATCCAGTTTGGTTAGCTCGTTCGTGAAATTATTTACCCTTTCATGTAGATCGAAACTTTTCCTTTTCCTCAACATGCAAATAAGGAGATAGTACAAGTTATAACAGTTGTTATTGCTTATTAGACATATGCATGCACATGTTAAGGTGAAGAGTGTATGTTCATTGGGTACTCTTTGACAAGGGTGAGAAGTATTGAAAAAAAATCTCTTTTTACATACAACTTTATTAGGAACTGGTACAATATTTACATTTGCGTATACATTAGAACATTTGTTATCCATTAGGATATTCCAATTGACGAATTTGTAATCATGACTTGAAAAGAAGCTGCGGTAAAATTGTACTAGGAACGTGTTTACATATAATAAGGGGTAAATGTTGTTCCTTAAAAAATTTTGATAATACGAGAGAAAATTATTTTTTACAACATTGAAATCCCATTTTCCGCTTCTAATAGATTTGTTTAGTATGATGGGAAAATAAAAACTGGAATGTTTTCTCTTACCTGTTGCAGATACCCAACGATGTGATATTCTATCGTTTATTTTGTTTAGTATTTTTAAAAGGGACACACTTTTTAAGAGCTCGTTTTTTATCTTAACAAAAATTTTTTTTTTTTTTTTTTCTTTCCAAGTGCCTGAAGTGTTCAAACAATTTAGACAGTTTAAACATTTTTCGGTCAGATGGTTTAGTGACTTTTTACACAAAATAAGAATTTTTTTTTTTTTTCTCCCTCCATCTGTCAACTTTTCCTTATTAGAATTATCTTCAATAATATGCACGTGACATAAACTATTGTGTAGAAATTTGTGTATAGCCCGGAGCCTTAACTTGTTAAAACGCTTTCTCTTGACTTGATGATAAAATTTTTTACAATCGTTGAGAATTTTTTTTTTTTTCTTCTTTCCTTTCTTTGTGTTGAAGTGAGAATATTTTCCTACCTTATTATTTCCCTTCCATGGATCTTTCTTTGTAAAGAGAAAAAAAAATAAAAATAAAAACAACAACTTGTCCCTCCTTTTGATAACTCCATTTCCTTCGTGAAATAGGGAAATTATGTATGAAACAAATGAGTGAAAATATTTGTTTTCTTTCCCGTCCCTCTCATTGTAATGTAAAAATAAAATTTTTAAAATGTAGACATTCCATCGGTTTGATCTGCTATTTATGTGTGCTTTTTTTTTTCTCAAATGGTTTTGTGTATTCGATGACAAATTCTCTTCCAAACGGATTATCAAATCAGCGTGATCCTGTGGTAGGACAAGGGTTCTGAGAAACTTTAGCAAGATTTCTTCATTTTTTAAAGTTCCAAATTGAAGAACCTCTGAGTTGAACAAATTATTAACGTTTAATTCTTTACATGTGCATATTTCTATATCATAATTTGTTCCTTTTTCGACAAAGAAAAGGGTACTAAGTCTTTTCAGCACATAGTATGTCAAAGCACTTTCTAAAAGAGCAACTGATGTTAGTTTTTCATTGTTCGCTAATAAAAAGGTTATAAAGTCTACCATTCCTGAGTTTTTGTTTCAAATACATGGCACTATATAAATTCCATTGATGAGGCATTAAAAAAAAAAAAAAAAAAAAAAAAAAAAAAACCTCTATTAGTGGCATGTTACATTAACACTGTGCTAAGTATAGGTCATAATTAATACCATATACTACACATGCTTGTGTTTTATTTTGAAAAAACAGGACTAAGATAATGTTTAGTTGTTTCGAATTATTGAACTTGGGTGGGATTAAAAGTTAAAAGAGAAAAAAGAAAATTTATTGTGAACAAATATTAAAAAAAAAATATGACTGTGCATGTACATATGGGTTTTTTCGAAATAATAAAAACCGCAGAATATGTTCAGAAAAAAAAAAAAAAAAAAAAAAAAAAAAATATATAAATATATAAATATATATATATGACCTTGTCAGGAAAAATTTGGGGAAATTAAAAAACGTGTAGAAAATGGCACAAAACATAGGTAAAGGTAAACGGGTGTAATGAAAAGTGAAATTTCAAGGTTATCCTTTAAGCTTAAGATATTCCGGTAAGTTTATAGCCTAATTATATTTTTATAAAATGAAAAAGGTCGAAAAAAATGAAATTGTAGGTTGTCCATTTGTGTATGCAAATGAATTCGCTTAAATAAAGAAGCATGGGTACTATAGGTGTGTGTTCGCAAGCTCAGTTAACAGTCAAGTTGTAAATGTGGTAATCTTTTTTTTTTTTTTTTTTTTTTTTTATATGAACATAAAATCTCATTATGTTTAATTCCCGTAAGTAATATAAGATTCGAAATAGAGAAATGCCAAATTGGTTTCCTTTTTAAAATGTATGTTTAGTTACTAAGTGAACAGATTATCAATAGTTGAATTGTTATGAATTTCTAGACAGAAAAAAAAAAAAAAAATTATAATAATAAAATATATGTACATATATTATAACATGGTGTTATGGATATATGGTGTGGAAAGAATGTTGTATAATAATTAAATGGAGTGGTGTAGTAAACGAGTTACCCCAATAGACGTGGGAAAAATTGATTATTCCAGTTATGGTGGATATCTTTTTCCATTTTTGTAATGTCATTTTTTTTTTTTTACTTTGTAAGTATGGTAGGGGAGAGAGAGCAGAAGACTGAAATGTGTTTAAAGCACGAATTGAATGGATAATTTTGTATGTCCTCCTTTTTTATATATATGAGTAAAAAAAAAATTGTCATTCGTATGAAAGGGAAGCAGAAATTAAATAAATGAAAAAAAAAAAAAAAATAATAATAAAAATAAAAAAGTATATATGTACATGTTCACATATATACATATGCATACAACACGCATACACATACGATTTGCCATTGCGAAATTTTATAAACTTGAAAAGGGAAAACATTTATATCTCTCACAAGGAAGATCTATGGTTTTAGACCACTAAAAATATGTAATTTTTTTTTTTTTTTTTTTTTTTTTTTTTTTTTCTTTATCGCTTTATGACAATTTTCTTTTAAAATGCTATTCAAGAAAGGTTCAAAAAAAAGTGACTATTGATCTTGTTATATAGACAATATTTCACATGAAAATAAGAAAAACGAAAGAGGAAAAAATAAAGAAGAAAAAAGAGCAAAAGGTTTTAGCAGCATTATGAACTTTGTAACGTTGAATATTTTACTTTTTAATTTTCACATTTTTAAAAAATTATTATTTACGAACAAAAGGAAAGAAACAGAAAATAATCCAAGGAAGTAAAACATCATGAAAATTTCAGCTATTTTGATAGTCCTTTTCTTATCGCTCTACTGGACCAATGGTTAAGTTCAATAATTTTGTTCATCAAATAGAGTACATGCACATATACAAACACATGTGAACACTCTTTCTGTGTATGTCAAACATCTACAAAATATGTGAGTAAGATGGACTATTCTTAAGCAAGCTTAATCAATTTTGCATATGGAAGAAACAGGATCATTCTACGTTTCTCCATCTCATTTAAGATTAATTCTTAAGAATAGAATTTTTTTTTTTTTTCTTCACAACCAGAATGTTAATTTATGAAAAATTGAAATGTGCACACATTATTTGTAGGGGGTGGGAAAAATAAATAAATAAAAAAAAATGAATAAAAAAAAACAATAAAATAAAATAATAAAATTAAATTGCGTATTAATGCACTAAGGGAGAAAAAAACTATTATTCTGTTCGACGTGCATCTACACAATGCAAATGCATGCATAAGTGTAGGGTGTATATACACATCTCTGTAATCATAATCACGTATATACCAACATTTACTAATGACATTTTCCACTGTTCATCAGGCACAGAAACTTCTAATAGTCCCACGAATTTACATTTGAAGTTGTTCAACCCACTTAGTAATCTAAAAATAGATTAAATAGAAGAGGAGAGAAATGCCTGTGTTACCAGGAGGAAAATGCACAAAGTGTATTTTATATAGTCAGCTCTATATACATACATGTATATATTTTATTTTTATTTGTTCTATATTATTATATTGTTTTTTTGTTTTTCTACATAGCAAATCTATTTCATGCATTAAGGAAAAGAAAACACTCTAAGAGGCATCACTCTATGTGTAGAGATTCAACTGATGGATCATTCATAGAGTCGAGAGATAAGAACGACTTTTATAATATGGATTCTTTCAACAATAGTTATGAACTGGGTGATAGTGAACTTGAAACTGTTTCATCCAACTTAAGCTCACCTTCAACAGAGGAATCTCCTGACAGTCCATATAAAACAGAAAGTTCATGTGATACGGGTATATCTGCATGTGAAAAGGGATATGTTTCTATCTACGATGGAGATATTACTAATCAGAGTACATTTGTTCATGATTTCCATTTAGATAATTCTGACCGTTTTACAACAACAGAGAGTAAGAAGGATACCAAAGCGCTTGTTTCTCCCCCTTCCATTTCATCAAAAAAAAATTTAACTCTATTACGGAAGAAGAAAGGTGAATATAAAAAGGATGAACAGAAAAAAAACACATTTAGAAAGTCCCTGGACCTTTTAAGATGCTTTGAACACTTGGGAGTTAGTTACATCGATAAGGATAGTGATGATAGTTATTATCAGAATGAGTGTGATGAAATTCCTAGTGTCGAAGATCAGATAGTAGACAAATCTTTACTTGAAAAGAACACTCCCATAGAGGATGAAAAGATGGAAGAAATGAAGAAATATGTAGTAAAGGGTATATTTAGCATGACCGACGAAGATGTAAAAAATATTACAAAACCTAATAAAATGAATAGTTTAGAATCTCTGTTTGACGTAGGGAAAAATATAGAAGAAGAAAACGATGACTCCATAGAAAAAATATATAATTCTTGTGTTGAAGAATTAATGGATCAAACAAAAGAATGTATATATGGGGAGACAGAGGATAAGGGAAATATTTTTGATACAAGTGAAGGACTCGATGTGATAAATTACGAAGGAGACAATGTCAATACGAAGGAAAAAGAACTACAGCGGTTAAAATCAATTTTTTGCTTGTATAAAAAGAAGAAGGAAGAAAAAAAAAAAAAGAGGTTACTTCGCACAAGTTCTTTTGCCTACCATAACAAAAATGGGAGTAAATCAGAACCCATTGTTTCCAAGGATGGGAACTATTCAAAAATGGAAAACATGATTATTGGACAAAAAAAAATATTCGATAACACGAGTTTACAATCATTGCCCATTCAATTTATAGACCAAGGAAATCCGTGAAGTGTGCAAAAAATGCACTAGACGGAAGAAAGAGAAGAAACGAATGTAAAATGTTGGGCAATACATATACATATATATATATATATAATTAATTAAAATCTTGAATATGTAATGATGGGACACCACTAATGTTCAGCAAAAAGTAGAAACTTTCCTTTCTTTATCATTTGATCTATCCATAATATTTAATAAATTTTTGAAAAAAAGGTGAAATTTAAATGCTTCACTGTTTCCCAATTTCCGCAGTACACACAGAGACACACGATGTTGTCATAAAAAATGCTTAAGCCATTTATTATATTCTTTAAAGATAACTTGTTAATTTTTTTTTTTTTTAATCAATGCTAGTTAGCGAGGAGGACTAGCTATTATTATTTTTATTTTATCGTTATATATATATATATATATATATTTTTGCATTTGCCTGCATGTTCATAATTTTTTTTTTAATTTTGAAGTAATGGTTAACCAATTTTTGTAGCTAATTTTTTTTTTTTCTGCAGCTAGCCGATTATCCATTCATGCATATTCACGCACGTGTTATTAATTTTTTTAATTTATGTCGCCTTCACATTTTCCATTTAACCCACACAAATATTATCCCTCAGAATTGCTCGTATGTGTTTCATTTTGTCCATTTCACCATTTAAAAATTTTGAAATAACATGTGACTTTTAATTTTTTAACTTTTTCTGCTTAATGGAAATATACAGAATAGGAGAAAACTACACTACAATACAGAAAAATGACAAGTTGTTAAAAGCGCTACTTTTTTCTTTCCCAATTTAATGCAGCAGTCATTTGGGGGACATGTCCACGTGTTTTGATTATAATGTAGTAAACTGCTATGTGGGGTTGACAAGGATTTTCTCCTATTTGCTCCTTTTTGCTCCTTTTTGCTCCTATTTGCTCCTATTTGCTCCTTTTTGTATGTTTTTTTCGTTTTTCTGAATGAGCACTAAATTGTTAATCTTTGCGCTTGTCTCAACGCGGTAAGATTTAAAATTTTTACAAATGTGCAAGAAAGCGGATTTCATATTGGCATAGAAGAGAAAAAAAAAAAAATTCCAAAAAAATATCGCAAAGTGTACTTGTGTGTAGACTTTACTAAACTTGGTTTAATGAGTCAAAATAGCGTTGATCTGTTTTATCAAAGTCCATATATACATGTGTATGCACAAGTCCAAGTGCAATAGTAAATAATTTCACATATTGTCTAAATCAATTATTCGTACATTGTTCCAACTTTCACAAGCCCTCTTTGCGAAAAGGTGGTGTACAGTTTAAAAGATCGCGCAAACATGCATATTCACGTATGTATATATATATACATGTACATATGTATGTTTCCCTAATTTTTTACTCCTTAAAGACATAACTCAGTCTCATTTTTTCCTCAAAACTGTGTACTTTGATAACATATTGTGGAGGTCCCTTATATATTTTTATCATAGCATTTGGATTTACCATTAAATTTTGCACACACACAACATGCACAGTTTTTACATTACGATGTTACATTTTTTGTTGAACACAAACCATCCATAAGTATATATCTACCTCTCCTGTTACAACTTTTTTTTTTTTTTTTTTTTTTTTTGTAATGCTGCTTATATATAACCCTATTAATTATATAAAATTTTGTAGTAACATGGACAAAACAAAAAAGCTGTTCTTTTACTTAATCAAAATGCATGCATGCTTTGGTAGCTCTTCATTTTTTTTTTTTATTCAATTTTTTCTTATAATTGGGTAAAAATCAAATTAATCTTATTATGAAACAAATAAAAAGCGTGATCTATAAAAAAAGGAGAATCGGTCATAATGAGGAGATTATATATGTTACTTTAACTATCTTCACAACACAAAATAGACATAAAGAAGAAATAAATTTATCCCACAAGCTGACATGTGTTGTGTTATTCTTTTGTGTCTCATAAAATAACTTTTATATATTATTTCATCTTTACATTTTTACACTAGCGCATGTATGAGGTGTGTAATGTTTAAAATGTTTGTTCACTATGTTTACGCGATATATTTAATACACATCCTCGCGCTGTGTGTGCATATAGTTGGAAAGTTAAGGTCTTATTATTTTTTAAAAAATGTATAAAATGTAAAAAGAGCAATTTCGTTTAAGGATTGTAATTTTTGTTTTTCTCAATTCTTATTTCTGTTTACTCTTTACGCTTTACCCTTTTTTTTCATTCTTTTTTTTTTTTTTTTTTTTCTTCCTTGTGGGTTTCTTTAACAAAGCGAATAAAGGCTTTTTCTTCAAAAGGATCAATGTGTTGCCATCCTTCGTTAATTCTTCTCAATTTTTAGAATTAAAAAATGAAGTCTGTGTTAATAAAACACGCACATATCTGCATGGAAGTTTATTCGTGCTCTTATGCACGTACTCGGAAATATGTACAAATGCCCATGCAGTGGACCATGGACCAGCATAACAGAACAAATGTTCAACAAGGCCTCACAGGATGAGGGAATTCATGTAATCCTTGTCATTACATGCAGAAATAGGAAATCGTTCGTGCTTATAAGGTCTACATTTTTCGCATGCATTTTTTTTTAATTATTTTTCTTTTTTATCTTTTATTTTTTTGCTATATTGGTTGCATATATGGGTGGAACAGATCACTTACTTTTCGTTTAAATGTGAGTACCTGTTAAGCCCTTTGCATGCTTTTGAAAAAAGACCAAAAACCCATGTACAACCATGAACTTATTTCATAACTATATAAATGTACACATAAAAAAAAAACACTCAGATAAGGTTGTCAGTAAATATAAAACTGTATAAATATATATTTATATATAAATAAATATATATTATTTTATTTTTACTTTATTTTATTATTTTTTTTTTTTTTTACAATATTATATATTTTATAATTTATTTCATAATTTTGTTATATATATATTTTTTTCCATTATGTAGTTTTAATAAATACGTTGTAAAAAGGATAAAACATTTCTTACAACAATACCTGTTCGAACAAACATAACATTTTTTGAATAAACTTGTGTAAGGCAAATAGCTAAACATTAAAAAGAAAGAAAAAGAAGAAAAAGAAAAACCCTTAACCGAGCAAAATATCCAGAGTATATAAAAAGACAAAAAAAATTTTACACATACACAAAAAAAAAAGATGAAAAACTTCATTCTCGTAGCCGTTTCATCCATCCTATTGGCCGATTTGTTTCCCTCATACCTTGGACATAATGTAGATTTCATCAAAGCAAGAAATTTAAATGAATTGAGCTTCACTACTGTAGACGCATCTTCATTTAACGCATTACAGATAAGACAAAATGAAAACCGAGGAAGAGTACTTGCTGCAGCAGCAGAAGGAGAAGGGGGAGGAGCAGGTGCAGGAGCAGGAGCAGGAGCAGGTGCAGAAGTACCAGGAGCAGGTGCAGGAGCAGGTGCAGGTGCAGAAGTACCAGGAGCAGGAGCAGGTGCAGGTGCAGAAGTACCAGGAGCAGGAGCAGGAGCAGGTGCAGGAGCAGGTGCAGGAGCAGGTGCAGGAGCAGGTGCAGGAGCAGGTGCAGAAGTACCAGGAGCAGGAGCAGGAGCAGGTGCAGGAGTACCAGGAGCAGGAGCAGGAGCAGGAGCAGGTGCAGGAGTACCAGGAGCAGGAGCAGGAGCAGGTGCAGGAGTACCAGGAGCAGGAGCAGGAGCAAGAGCACCAGGAGCACCAGGAGCAGGAGCAGGAGCAGGAGTACAACCACAACCAGGAGCAGGAGCAGGAGTACAACCACAACCAGGAGCAGGAGCAGGAGCAGGAGCAGGAGTACAACCACAACCAGGAGCAGCGGTACAACCACAACCAGGAGCAGGAGAAAAAGGTAAGCGTGCAGCTGGAGGAAATGGTGGACAAGATGATAAAGATAAAAATAATAATGAAGAAGGGAATGCTATAAATGAAAAGCATATAACTGAATACTTGAACAAAATTAGAAAAACTCTTACCATGGAATGGTCTCCATGCAGTGTAACGTGTGGAAGTGGTATAAGAATTAGAAGATCAGCTGGGGCAGAGAAAAAAAATGCAGAAGAACTTGGCTTAAATGATCTAGAAACAGAACCTTGTACATTACAAAAGTGCTCTGGTGTATTTAGCGCTGTAAGTAATGCATTAGGACTAGTAATACTTTTAGCTCTTGCATTATTTAATTAAATAATTAGTATCCATTTTTTGGGCGCCCTTTTTACGGGTATATTAATAAGTGTATATATATGCACATACGTAAACACTCCTAGGGACACTTTTTTTTTTTTTTTTTTTTTTTCTCCCTTTTTTGTGAATATTCCCTGATGTTTCCATGGTAAATGGGTATATATATGTATGTGTGTATGGAACACAATATATAATATCCTTTACACATTCTGTGATTATGCATATCAGCTGAATAATTCAATATAATGTAATTTTAAATATTTTTATTATGAATAAAAAAAAAAAAAAAAAAAAAGAGTATATAAAATGCTTATTTACATTTATTCAATAAACCCCTTTTTTGTTAATTTATATATATTTTGTTGTATCGTACGTATTATATATGTTGCATAACGTAGAGAACTTAAATATTGAGAATATTATTCTTTTTCGTTATTTCTTGATTTCTTTCATTTTTTTTTTTTTTTTAAAAAGAATTAATATATTTTAACTCAATTCAGAATGTAACTTAATATTTGTGTACTCATAAAAAAGAGAGGGTATTTTTTAGCCTGTTCTATGGATAACAGTTTGGGGGGGGGAAGCGTCATTTTAAATTTTGTGCATTGTTGCAATAGGAGATAAAAACTTGTTTTAGTGATGACACTATACAATTTAATTTGTTCATTTGTATAGAGACATATATGTGTATAAAATATGTGCACTATAGTATGTTACAAAATTTGTCTTAGTTACAAACATATAGTTTTAGAAAAATTACCATTTTTGCGTATGCAAAAAATGGGTGTATTTTTTTCATGAAACATTAGAGAACAAAATGCTATCATCCCATATTAAGGTAGGCGAACAAATATGATTTCATAAATAAGGTTTATTGTCCATTATTATTCTATGGAATAACTGAGGCGCTGTGGAAATGTGCATTTACGTCTTTGTCGCTTAATTTTGTCTTGGATATTTGAATATACAAAAATAAAAAGAGCAAAAGGGGAGAAGAAAATGTTTTTCTCCAATAATGATGGTAAAGCGGTTAGCTAAAATATGTTCAAACCAGGTGGCAGGTGTGCTAATATGAAAAAAAAAAAAAAAAATTATTCTATTCTACATATTTTATTTTATTCTATTTTATTTCATTTATTTTTTTTCTTATAAACTGTTCTTGCTTTGTTGCTGCACGAAATATTATGCAAAGAAACAGTGGCTATACAAATAATGCTTCATTTAGAATTGCTAAAGTGATGGGACGCTTAGTTTCATAACAAAGAATAAATGTACCACAAAATTATGACGTGTTAAGTGCATGTAATATTCCTATGTAGTCGTAGTTATTTTCCAGTTCTGCTGCGTTAAGTGTGGAGGAGGCAATATTGAGAAAGGGAGAAAATAAAAAAATAAAAATAACTAAAAATAACTAAAAAAATAAAAATAACTAAAAATAACTAAAAATAAAATAAATCTACACAGAATTAAAATAAAACCATTTTAATATAAAAAAATTATGAACAAAGCACATCATAGCATAGCTCATTACTTTATTTTATCCTGTTTTATCTTATCATTATTATTTTTTTTTTTTTTCAAATAATGCAAGTTAGCTATTTTTGTACCTAGTTCGAAATTAAAAAACCTGACTTGTGCATAATTTTTTTTTTTTTTTTTTTTTTTTACAATGATGATAAAAAACAGTTGTAAGATTCTCCTTTCCATGAGCCATAATACAGTAAGAAGAAATATAAAGCTTTTTTCTTTAATTAAAATTTCAAAAATTAACTTTAGTGCTTCATGCGAAGATAAGAAAAATGGAATACCAGAAAGTAAGATGCGGAATGACGTGGACGATTTTAAGGACTTTGAAAAATCGGATGTTTACCAGGTTAGAAATTTTGTGTGCGTGTGTGTGTGTGTAGAGAAAAGGAGATGATAAAAAAATTTATTTTTAAAACAAACATATTATTAATTATGTACAAGTGCGTATTTTTAATATTTTCCACTTACCTTTATGTGAAAAAAAAAAAAAAAAATCATCGTCCACTTTGAACAATTTTTGAACATATTTTCTTGTAGACTTTAAAGACAAAAATTAAGGAAATCCTCGAGAACGAAAAAATTGTGCTGTTTATGAAAGGAACACCGGAAAATCCTCTATGCGGGTTTAGCGCAAATGTAAGATTCATTTCAGACGTATTTCAGATGTCGTGATTATTTCCTCCTTCAGTTTAATCTACTTTGTTATACATATGCATTGTGTAATTTTCGTGAAGGATGATATATTAAAATGAGTATTTCGTGCAATGATTAAACCTATCTTTTTTTTTTTTTTTTTTTTTTTTTTTTTTTTTTTGCCCATTCCCTACACAGGTTGTTAAAATACTAAATAATATGAACGTAAAAGATTACGTATATATCGACGTAATGAAAAATAACAATTTACGTGAGGCTATAAAGATTTACAGCAACTGGCCTTATATCCCCCATTTATATGTTAATAATAATTTCATTGGTGGTTACGACATAATTTCCGATTTGTATAACAATGGAGAGTTACAAGGCATAGTCAAGTAGGGGTGTGATTTCAAACTTTGCTTCTCCCATCCTATCATTGAAAAAAAATGGAGAAAACCATGGAAAGACATCACACACCTGTTTTATGGGTAAAATTAAAACTCTGTGAATAATGTTAAATATAGGATTTTTATTTCAGGAACATCAGAAAAATACTGAAAACTCCAAAAGTGTTAAGTATTTGCTTAATGCATCCTTGCAATGTGTCAACGCAACTTCTTATATAATTGTGGTAGGTAAGGATCATTTAGAGAGAACGTCTGTTTAAAAACGATTATCCTTTGTTGACATACATAAAATTATCAGTTTTATTTTTCATATTTTAAATGTGTTTTTTCGATGAATAATTCTATTTCATTCATCACTTCGTGTGTGCAAAATTTCTTGTATGTATACGTGTAGATATGGTACATGCAAAAAATTGCATGCATAAACACGCATAAAAAAAAAAAAACAACACATTGTTCGTACATATATAAAAAAGCCTTTTCAATTTTACAACACTGTTATTTGTATGCACAAAAACATGCGGTGGTAAATTATCACCAAATTATATGTATAGCTCAAAAAAAAGATAATTTTGTTTTTACCACGTAATAAACAGGGATTCTTTTCTTTTATTATTTTTTTTGATGCTGGTGATAATATATATTTCTTGGGATGTTTAATAAACAGCTCCCTTTTTCTTTTTGTCTGCTCCCATTTCGAAGGTTTTGCATCTCTTCAGGGTTTGAAATCTTTTTTTCTTACATTTCGTGCATTCCTGCGTGGGTGCAAAGAAAAGGGGTAAAAATATATATATGGAAAAGTGGCATGTAGACTCGTATGCAAAATAGGGTAGGTGATCGTAGAGTGTGAATGGCCAATGCATATGCACACGTGGACGCGTCGGATATGCACGTAGCAATATGTAGATATCGTCCTTTGGCAAAGGGATGTCCTATATTCTTTTCACTCTTTTTCACTTTTTGTCAACTCTATCGTATCTTTTTATCTCTTTTTATTTCTTTTTATTTCTTTTTATTTCTTTTTATTTCTTTTTATCTCTTTTTATTTCTTTTTATCTCTTTTTATCTCTTTTTATCTCTTTTCATTTTTTTTTTTTTTCCCTTTTCTGAGATGTGCAGATCTCACTCATTGCTTACCAATTTAAGGACAATCTTTTTGGTAGTTTTTGCCTTTTTTTTAAAAACAGGCTTTGTTTGGCCCCCAAAACCTTTTTGTTTCATATCGTATCTTCTTCTTCCCAAGGCTGATAATCTTTCCTTTCCCTTTTTGTACTGACTGACCTTGTGCATGGTATGCTTCTTGCATTTGTTGCTGCAATATGTTTTTCTAGTTTTGGGTACGTTCACCATTTTTCATACAAAATTTGTGGTACGTATTAAATGTATGTATTTAATCGTATATATTTTTACATATGTATATGCGTTCAGTATGTATGTATTAGCTGAACTGTATAAGCCTTTCACAATTTTCGAAACTGTAAATATAAAAAGGTGGTGAAAAAAAAAAAAAATAAAAATAAAAAATAAAAAATAAAAAAAAATAAAAAAGTTTATATATATATATATACATATAACTGGGCTGTAAAATTGCTACTTGTGAAAAACGTTAGGGAATTAAAAAATTTATCTATATCTATGTATTTTTTATATTTGGTTGAAACGGAAGGAAAAAGAAGAGCTCCCTTAAAAAGGTTCAGAAGAAAATTTGAAAGGAAGAAGAAAGTTTGGAAAGGCACCCAATATTCATGCGCCAATAAAGCTATGCCTCGCACGAGTAATATGTGCGATTTCGTTCATTGCTACATAAAATAAATGTGAGTTCGCATATATATATTATATGCATATAACATGTGATTATTTGTATATATATTTTATGTTGTTCAAGCGTATACGCAACATTTTTGCCCATGTAGGTATTTTTTTTTTTTTTTTTTTTTTGCACCCATTTATTTATTTACATACTTTTTGATGACGTTCTGGCAAACATGCAATTATTTCATTCTCTCACTTGGGGACCAAAGTGGCAATATACTTTTCCGCTTCCCCTTCCTTTTATGCATTGCATATATTAGAAATGTTGGGCGAATAAAATTTTTGCAATTTAAGAAAAAAATACCTTATAATATTTTTTTTTTTTTTTTTTTTTTTTTTGAGGATTTATTTACGTATTTATCTGATATAATTTTATGCTTAATAAATTTTAACGTTTGTGTGGAACTGGAGAAAAAAATAATGGGGGTAATTTTAAAGGTACACAAACATAAAGGCTTTTCCTTGTAAATTTTTTTTTTTTTTTTTTTTCCTATACCCCTAGGGGTGTTGTTTTCAGGGTTGGACCCTCATGTGTCGTCACATACACATTGGCATACGTGTTTCAATTTGTGTACTTGCTACTAAGAGCACCAAGGAGAGGCGATATATATATATATACATATATGTATATATATTTATGTATTGATGGTTCGTAACTGTGAATCTTTCGTCATTCTTCACATTCGATTTGAAGAAAACAAAAACAACAACAAAAAATAAATAAATAAAATATAAAAGGTATCACGTGCGGGGGCGGGCTTATATATATATATATGTATGCATAATGTACATGCATAGTGTACATGCATAGTGTATATATATGTTTACATAGGGACAAATTTCCTCATCTATATATATTATGTGTATCACCATTCAATATGTGATTGCATGGGCTTTTTCATCAAATAAATTCCCCCTCCCCTCCCCTTTCAAATTAACACTGCCTGTTAAAAAAAAACTTCACCTTAATGAATAATAAGTAAATTGAATTATGAAGACGCTTTAAGAGCTTTAAACGGTCTACCCTCTGCGTAGTAATGAGAAACTTCCTTATATTTTTGTATGTATCATGTGGTAAAATAATCATCTTCTTTTGAATTTTTCCATTGGAGAAAACCATAATGTTTTTTCTCTTTGTGCATATGTGGGGATTGCACATATACATATTTATCAACACGTTATTAATTTTTATATAATTTTCATTCTCGTATTTTTTTAGTTCTTGAAAATATTCATTCTTGGCAGTGACTTGTTCATAGTCAAAATGGATCCCTAGAGTGGGTGCTTCTTCCCGATCATGGTGGCTAACTACTCTCTCCTCTGTTTCTTCATCTTTGGCATTTATCATCATCATCATCGTGGTCTCCGCCGTTGTAGTTATGTCATTGTCCTTCATGGTAACTTCATTATCTGTCTGATATGAAGGATGATGTTGGCTTTTTGGGTAAAAATTATCCTTTTGCATGGTTTTCTCATCCTGATTGACAAAATGAAAATCCTTTTTTGAAACCAACCTAGCAATATGCGAAGTAATGAAGGTGTCTAAATTTAGGAAAATATAATTTAGTTTATTCTTAAGTAGTGTATTTTCCTTCTTAATTAAATGATTTCCCTTCATTTGCTCATGTAGTAGTTCATACAATTGATTATTGTTAATACAGAAATTTTTGTTTTTCTCAAAATTTGCTAAGATTTGTGTAATGCTTTTTTCTACATAATGCAAATTTCGTTTGATACTTAAATGGGTGTTATCATCATGATTAGGATGATTATTCTGTTGATCTGAATTTTTAAAATCAATTTTTTTTTTTTTTTTTTTTTTTTCATTTAACATGCATGTTGGTATTATCACACACGTTTTTTTATTTTTATTTGTCCATTCTTCTTCATGACACATATTGGTGGATCCTTTTTCCTTATTATCTTCCTGTTTCATTTTAGATTCATGAGCTAAATTTTTAGTATCTGTTAGTAGGTTTTCCAAATCGTTAATATCTTCCTTTCCAGATTTCATGTAAGGTATAACAAAAAAAAGAATATTTTTTTTGTTCTCTTCATTCATACATGTATGTGTTAGTGTAACTAGTTTGGAGACACTTTTAGTGAGGTCTTCCTCTGGTGGTATGTTGAAGCATTTCATCGTGACCACTATGGAGGTTATTTTGTTTACACATTTATTAGCAAACTGGGGAACATTCTCTGAATTGTTCATATTTTTTTCTATATACTGATTAATCAGACAAACCGTTAAGTAAAAGTTATAATTTATAAGTGTTACGAAGTTGGGATTTGTAATATACCTTTTGATTAACAAGTATAAGTAACACAATTTATTTATCTGATGCAGAAGTTGTTCCTGCTTCATTTGTATTTCACATAAAATTTTCGAGGAATTATTTGTATTTATCTTTTGGCATATTCTGCTGGTGTCTAGAAAAGTCGTGAAAATATTTAAAACGTTCTCATACCCTTTTTCAACTTGATTTATCTCACTTTTGAAAATTTTCACAAAATTGTATATAGTTATATATTCAAGGTAGATTTGTTCTTTCTTGTATATTCTTAGGCTCCCTGAATTTAACAATTTATAATCCTTTAAAAAATATGAAACGATCATTTTTTTTATATCTAAATTGTTTTGCATATATAAGTCATTCAATAAGTAGGCCATATAGGCAGAGGTTATTTCTTCCCATCCTGAATGGGTGGGAGAAAAATAATTGAGACGACTTAAAATAATTTCGCTATTTAGCAGACCAATATATTTATTTATTCTGCTAATTAGTTCATTTTCTTTGACTTGTTCAGAATCTTGTGAAATGTCATTATTATCTAAATTTGAGAAAGGAATGCATTTTCTTTCGCTGTCGTTTTTTTTTTTTTTTCCTCCACTTGTTAATAAATGTCTAATGCTACTCGTTAGGCAAAGAATTTTAAGAAAATTTTGACTAAAAATTTCACCCTTGCTTGTTGTCTTTTCCATGGATTTATAATCATATTTTACATTTTTCAAAAATTTAAAAGTAAAATCAAGAAAGAGTAAAAGGTACATCTTTTCACTTACACAATTGTGATCGTTCCTTGAAGTACAGTTCATATTTTTTAGAAATTCAGATTTTTCATTTATTAAACTAGTGAGTTGACCATGTGTGTCATTTGTTACATAGAGCAGGGTGTGTATCCCTTCGAGTATGTAACTTTGATCAATGAGAAAATTTCTCTTTTCCTTATATTTGATTTTTTTTGCAATTCTGGTTAGTACTATGATACAGTATTGTAATAAGTAGGGACATTTTACATTTTTAGAAAAAATTAAATTAATTTTTTTTTCTATACTGTTTTGAGAGAAAAAAAAGATATTTGCAAAGATATCCATTTCTTCACTCGTGTGTTCATTTGCTTCAAAGTTCTCAGTTTTTTTTAATTTTTCACATTGTTCATAATGTACTAAATGGTTACCATTGATTGTGGGAAGATTTGCATCACAATCATTTAGACTTTTTTTAATAGACGTGCATTTCTGATCAAGAGTAGTTTTCCCATTGTTTCTATAAATACTGTCGATATTACACTTGGTTCCCGTGCTGTTTGAGATTTCTATCGATGACTGTTCCTTATCTTTGTAATTTTCCTCGATATAATCCCATGTATATGATTCCTTGTGCATGTAAAAATTGTTCTTTCCTATAGATATAGAGAATGGTTTTATCTTGGAATGGTTCTCTTTTTTTGGCCATGTGGTTAAGCAATTTGACTCATAAAGAATGAGTTCATTTAAGAGTGGAAGGAGAGTAATAGAGTATGCATAATTATAATGATGTTTATGTTTGTAGACAACTTCAAACTGTGTATATAATATATAATTGATAATTTTTATATATTCGCTTTTGTTTTCTTTAAGAATTTGTAATATATTTAGCATTTCCCAATATATGGCATGAAAAGGTAATTTATTATTTGTAACCACTTGGGGAAGAGACTTAATAGTTCTTGTGTGAATTTTCTTGTTTTTACCATTTGAGATAATGTTATCAATATGAATGCACAGTAACTTCAAGACAAACATGTTCATCTTATCATATGGGAATGCAATATTAAAATTGCTACATTCATGATCATAGTTTTTTTTTCTGCTAATTTTATGGTATAAGCGAAATAATGTAGATAATGCGAAAAAATCTACATTTTGCATTTCTCCATGCAAATGGGTAAAATCATCATAAGGTAAAATGTTTTTCTTCCCTTGATAGGAAGTTTCGCTTATTTTTGGGTTATCATTTATCCATTCTTTTGGAAGTTCTATACAAAAGAGATACTCCTGTTCATTTATATGCACACGCTTTTGCACAATTTTGCAGGCGATCTTCCTATTACCCCTGCTGCTGTCCTTGCTGCTTATCAACACATTTTGAATAAATTGAACGTTTATTTTGTCAATTGTGGAGAAAACATTTTTGAGAGATTCGAATATGCCACGGTCAATGTGAAAAATGTCTATGTCATTTTTTCGATGGTGTAAAATTTCCCTTCTGCCCGGAGGTCTTCCAACAACATTTATGTCTTCATTAGTGTTGTGAATGGAGCTTCTATGTTTGTTTTCATTTTCTCTTTCAACCACGTAATCACGTAGCACGTTAAGCAATTTTCGATCTATTTTATTGAGGTTACATTTTGTGGAAATGATACCTTTTTGGAAATGATTCTGTATCAGTAGATATCCCTTCAATGTGCTAATTGCTCTATGTGAGTTCCTTTTTTCTCTATAGATAACCTTAAGGTATGCATATTTTAAAAAATTTTGCATATTTCGGTCATTTTATTTTTTTCTTTTCCTTTTCCTTTACCTTTTTTTTTTTTTTTTTTTTTTTTTTCCTTCCTTTTCCAACCGAGTTCGTCCATGCTTTAACCTCTTGTGCAGATGTTCTGTTCAGAATATGAGGAATTCAAAAAGTACACAGAAAAGTGCACGTAGGAAAAATTGTGAACAGACACTTGAATTTCAAAAATGAAAATTTCCTAAGGTTCGATGAACATATTTTTGATACAAAGTTGGGAACCGCTGAAAAAAATGAAAAAAAAAAAAAAAAAAAAATGATAATTATTTCATATATTATTGTGTGAATGCGGTTGTTTTTTTCTTCACATATTGCAAAATTGACTTTTCATATACCTCCAAAAACATGAATGTCCCTTGGCTGAAGAATTATGTATATTATAACATCCCTTCTTTTAAATATGGTGCATGTAAAATAGCTTCCCCAACATGAGTTCATTTTTTTTGCATTCATTATATATAGTGTGTGAAATTTTATAAAGGGCTAAGTTTTGCCAGCCTTCCTTGTACGAGTAATGCTTCATAATTTTGTTCCCTCGCCTTTGTCATATTTTTTATACATTTTTTTTTTTTTTTTCTGAATTTGGTTTTCACTGACCGATAGCGATGAAAAGCTTTTAGGGGTTCATTTTGGAACAATTTCTAAATTCGTGCAGTGAGTTCATTTGTTTATTATCCGATAATTATATGTTTATTATCCGATAATTATATGTTTATTATCCGATAATTATATGTTTATTATCCGATAATTATATGTTTATTATCCGTTTATTATCCGCTAATTATATGTTTATTATCCGCTTATTATATGTTTATTTTTTTTTTAATTTTATCTTATGCAGACTAGATATGAATGTTCAAGAGTGACAAAGCGTGCATGTAGGTGTTGGAAGGACGTATACCTTTTCTACCTTGCTAAATTTTAGCGATTCGTTCGTTTGTGAACTTGTGTCATTTGTGTGTGTGTGTGTGCATGTTTGTTTCTATCATTTTAGGTGTCACTTTCATTTAGGGGACAAAACCTGGGGCTCAATTAATGTCCCCTTCATGATTGCAACCTTTTTCTTCTTGCATTGGGAGAGAGACGATGTTTATTGGCATGTCACAATTACTTATTGAAATTTGCCACAAATGACAATTTTTTTTTTTTTTTTTTTCATCCCCTTCCCCTATTTGATGAATGAGCATTAAACTGAAACAACGATGAAGTTGACCTAAATTTACTGACGTTGTGTTTCTTAGACCATTACTATTACCCATCACACAAAAGCGAAAACATACACAATGACACGAAGTGCTTTCGGGAATTTCATAAGAGAGAATATTGTTGACATAAAAAAGCACATAATTTTTATCATGTTTTTGCATATTTTGTTTGTTTCAGAAAGGGAAATTCTACATTTTTCTCATTATAAGATATGACAAAATTTTAATCTAATTCGTTTCATCGTGTACATGTGTACATTTCTTTTAAAATTGTGTAATTAGGGAAATGATTGTGTTTATGGATAAATCACATTTTTTCATCAAAAAAAAAAAAAAAAAAAAAAAAAAAAGGGGATACAAAATGGCTATATTTTTATTAGCCTTTTTTTTCTTAAATTGTATATATGCACAAATGGAATTGTGACCGTAGTTGTAACGTAAATGTGCTTCTTCCCTTTTAGGAATGATCTAGTAAAAAAAAAAAAAAAAAGGTGAGGGAATTATATTCCTGTGCTCATACGTTTTTTTTTTTTTTTTTTTTTTTTTATACATGAACTACCATCGTGGTTGATGTGAAATATGTTGTTCGTTCAGAGATTTTATTTTTTTATATTTTATCTTTATTTCCAGTGAAAACTTAAATTAAGGAAGTCTTTACATGTATTAAATGCATACGTATGTAATAATGTGTATATATCCCTTTTTTGTGAGTAAGAAATTTTTAAGCAAAATTAGAGAATGGCAAATATGATTAAAAAAAATGAACAAACCTATAAAGAATATATATACATGGGAATATATATTATATCATGTGTGTCTCGTACCATATGGAGATATATGCAATGTAATTGTGCATATCTGTCTTGTTTGTTACTCCCATGTTTTTTTGTTCATGTAATTACATATACCCTACCATTTGGTTCATAGATTTTCCTTCACCCTTGCCAATAAAAATCGCACAGTTTTCAAAACGGAACTAGTAACTACTTTTTTTTTTTTTGAACAAAACTTAAAAAAAAAAAAAAAAAAATAGTGATCTTTTTTTTGATATAAAAAAATAATAATATGTTCGAATTCAACTCTTGTAATATTATATCTTAGTCGATCGAGGGAAGTTTATGTGGTCATAATGTTGAAAGTATATAACGTGTTATACATATATATATTATATGCATGCATATAAAATCCCTTCCCCCCTTTTTGCATTTTCCAAATTTAAGCATTTTGTGGTTAAATTCAAAAAGGTAGAAAAATATCACATCACCACTCATGGGGATTGAGCTAAGATGTATTTTATTCGGCACAATGGCACCCAATATGTAATAGATTTATACATATAAATAATGTTTTATACACAACGTTTAATGTGGAAGGAAATTATACATAACTTTTATGTGTTCATACAAAAAAAAAAATAAAATAATATACATTTCCCCTAACGTGTAGTGGAAAGAAGAAAATGTTGTTTTATTTTCCACCACTCTCCTTCTTCCCTTTTCTTTGTGTGCCCAATTTGAGGAAATAAGCAAATTTTTTAAATGGATAAAAAAAAGAAAAAAAGAAAAAAAAAAAAAAAAAACATTTCACTTTCGAATTGAAAGAAAAACAGAGCCACATATTATTCTCTAAAAGGAGAAGAAGTTACAGGTATGGAGGGGAAATTATACTTGTATAGAGAGGCAAAAAACTTTTATGTGTATTATAAACGTATTTATATATATATATATATATGTTATATACATATTATTATATTATGTAATTAAATTTTCATAACTATTAGTAGCTATTTGTAATACACACATATATAATATACATATAACAATAGTATATTTTAACCAATATTATATACCTAGAACATTTCCCGCGAACTTTTTGTGATTTGCAAAATTTTAATTCTCGTAAAAGGGAGTAAAAAAAATACCCGTTATATGAATGGGAAAATATATACGCTTTTATTTATGAACATATATATATTATATTTTTTTTTTTTTTTTTTTTTTTTTTTTATCTTTTTTGATTTTTATCTTTTTTTTTTTTTATTTTTTTTGTTTTTTTTTTTTTTTTTTTTTTTTTTTTTTTTTTTTTTTTTTTTTTTTTTTTTTTTTTTTTTTTTTTTTTTTTTTTTTTTTTTTCTTTTTTTTTTCTTTTTTTTTATCTTTTTTTTTTTTATCGTTCGTTTTTTCCTTTTTTTTTGCTATTATTAACTTCAAACAGTAGTGACATATCCCGACTGTTTGTAAGCAAAAATGAAGAGTTCGTATTCTGCGAAAGGTTGATACAGCTGCACAAAATAGAATATACATTATGTAAAAAAAAATAAAAAAGCAATAAAAATAACAATGAAATTGGAGTAAAAAATAGTAATAAAATTGGAATAGTGACAAAACAGCAACAAAATAGCAACAAAATAGCAACAAAATAGCAACAAAGGAACAGTAAAAACTGAATAAGAAAATAGAAAGAGGGAGTATTGAGCAGAATAGGAATTCGAAAATAAAGAGAATTTCTCCCATCTGATACACTTCAAAAAGGTCTATTATGACGAGGCTACATCCGAGAAACGTGTTTGTAATACAGTGATTTTGTATTTGATCGAGTGCGTGCGGTTAGTCAAACATTGTTTTTTTTTAAAAATAATAAAAAAAAAAAAAAAAAAAAAAAAGAAGAGTAGGAAGAGTAGGAAAAAACAGGACAACGAGTTACCAACGGAGAAGATCCATTTTTATGTGCGCCGTGATTACTTGAATGTATTTACGTGTCACAGATCCATTTGTCATTTTCCCAAATTTTAACATTTGCATTGCACAGGGGCATGTGTGGGGGATATGCATAAAGAGACAGAGTTGTCGAATAGGTAAATGGGTTAAGTTTTACTAGGAACCACGATATATACATATGCATATATGTACATATATATATATGTATATATGTATATATATATATATATATATATATGTACATATATGCATATATACAATACCGACTTTTTATTAGCACGTGAAAAGGATAGAGAATGAAAAAGCTGCTTTACAGGACCGAGGAAGAAACGGTGGTTTATGACAATGTGCTAGAGGGATTGTATTCCCTGTACAAAACATATATTTTGGAATTGGAAAATGAATTTAATTATTATCACTTTTATAAGCCGCTTCTAACGAGCGGTGATTTTTTATCTAAACCAATGATTCTGTTGTTGGGTCAATACTCAACAGGAAAAACGACATTTATAAAACATTTAATAGAAAAAGAATATTGTGGAATGAGAATAGGACCTGAACCAACAACAGATAAGTTTGTAGCAGTAATGTACAATGAAAAGGAACAATTAATTCCAGGAAATGCATTAGTTAGTGACATAACAAAACCGTTTTCTCAATTAGAAAGTTTTGGAAATAGCTTTTTATCAAAATTGGAATGTTCAAATACATCTAGTGATGTATTGAAATCGTTAACTATAATTGATACACCTGGAGTTTTAAGTGGAATAAAACAAATAAGCAGAGGTTATGATTTTGAAAAAGTTATATATTGGTTTGCACAAAGGGTAGATTTAATATTGCTCATATTTGATGCGCACAAATTGGATATATCTGATGAGTTTAGGAGATGCATACAAGCTATAAAAGGACAAGATTCGAAAATTCGAATAATTTTAAACAAAGCAGACACGATTAATACACAGCAGTTAATGAGAGTTTACGGTTCATTAATGTGGTCACTTGGAATAGTTATAAATACTCCAGAAGTGAATAGAGTATATATTGGTTCATTTTGGGATAGAAGATTAATGCATGATGAGAATAGAAATATATTTGAAGAAGAGGCATCAGATTTGTATAAAGAATTATCTAAGATTCCAAGAAATTCTACTATGATTAGACTAAATGATTTTATTAAAAGATGTAGAACATTGAAAGTTCATATTTATCTTTTATCTCATTTAAGAAAGAAATTACCATATTTTAGAAAAGGTTATTTTAAGAATAAATTAATAAAATCGTTAGATAAAGTATATGAAGAAGTTGCCAAGGATTACAATCTACCACTTGGTGATTTTCCAAATGTACAATTTATGAGAGAAAAATTACATGACATTGATTGGTTAAGTATCCCAAAATTAGATTTAAAAAAAATAGAGCGAATTAATAAAGTATTAAATGTTCATATTCCACAACTATTAGAAATGATTCCAAAAGAATCTGTGAACATTGAACAGTCTAGATATGAAACACAGGAAGGCACTATTGTCGAAAATAAATTAACTCCCTTTTTGGAGCTAACATCAGGAGAAATCCCCATGTGGGTTAGACAAAAATATTTGTTAAGTCCTATTGATACTTCCAAATATTCAGACGATTTTTATAAATTAGGTCCTAATGATTTTGGAAAACTTTCCGGAGAACAAGTCAAACCCGATTTGATTAAGAGCAAACTCCCCAGTTCTGTTCTTCACAAAATTTGGAATCTAGCCGATATAACAAAAGATGGTTACCTGGACTTGTTCGAATACTCGCTTGCAAGACATTTCATTGAGATGAAGTCGGAGGGTTTTGATTTGCCTTCGAAGGTACCCAAGGACATAATAAATGCGCATGAGTATTGAGCTGGGCGCCTGCCAGGTGGGGACTGTGTTCATCCGTTCCTGTTCAGTGTGTGATGCTGTTCAGTGTGTGATGCTGTTAAGTGTGTGATGCTGTTAAGTGTGTGATGCTGTTCAGTGTGTGATGCTGTTCATTATGTGATTCTGTTCATGCGATTATCACAGTATCGCTTTATGTGGCAGAGGGTTCATCAATCGTTTCCCCTACCTTGTGCACAGGAATGTGCACCTCCCCCTCTGGGCCTCTTTTTTGTAAAAATCTATTTGAAAAAGATCTATTTTGGTTAATATTTTCTCATTTTTATGAGAACATTATTTCTTCCTATTTAGTTATCTAATTTTTTAAGTATTTATGAAAAACATAATATTTGTTTTAACTTTTTTTTTTTTTTTTTTTTTTTTTTTTTTTTTTTTTTAAAAAAAAAATTTTTTTTTTTTTTTTTTTTTTTTTTTTTTTTTTTTTTTTTTTAAATTTTTTTTTTTTTTTTTTTTTTTTTTTTTTTTTTTTTTTTTTTTTTTTTTTTTACAAAAAAAAGTAGTACATTTGTTAAACATTTTAAAGTGTTGGTAATTTTATCAATTTATTTATTTTTACTTTTATTTTTTTCCTCTATCCCACTCCTCTCCCCCCAGCACATTTGGAGTTGTGGGGATAGTATGCGTTCATCGATATATACACACATGCACAAGAAGTACATAAAAGTTTATAATGTTAAGTGTACTTTTATTTTTGTCTCTTATTAATTTTTTTATCCTTTCACTTTTCCCTCAACTCCTAATCCCGCTCGTACCTACCTCGTAATAGTGTCGTAATATTTTTCGTATCGCATTTGTGTATATGTGTGTATCTATATATAAATGTATATATACACACACGTGAGTATTTTTTTTTTTTTTTTTTTTTTTCTTCTTTTTTGTTAATCTTTCAATGCAACTGTTAAAAATAAACCTAATTCGTAAAAACAACTTTTTTTTTTTTTTTTTAATTTTTTTTTTTTTTTTTTTTTTTTTTTTTTTTTTTTTTTTTTTTTTTTTTTTTCTTCTTTTTTGTTAATCTTTCAATGCAACTGTTAAAAATAAACCTAATTCGTAAAAACAACTTTTTTTTTTTTTTTTTGAACACAGAATTATGAAAACCTGTTTATTTTATGTAATAAAAGAACATTACAATAATTCCAGTAGAATGAGAAACATATATTTACATTCAGAGTAACACAAGGAACAATGTATTCACAATATGTTGTATCAACATCTGCTTTTTTTTTTTTTTTTTTTTTTTTTACGAACTTTATCATGAGAAATAATCCGATATTAAGGTAGTGAAAAATCCTATATTTTTTTTTTTTTTTTTCCTCTTTAGCAAAAAAAAAAAAAAAGAATACATTAGAAGTTTTGACAAAAATAACAGAGAGGAGATTAATGAAAAAAATAATGAACTCGTCTGTAGTGTCCCAAAAAAAAAAAAAAAAAAAGACACACACATGTAAAAGTGCTTGCCACAAGGGGATTAAATAAATGGGCAATTCCTTCTAACAGCACTGTTTGGAAAAGTGTGCAGACGAATGAAAACGAGAAAGAAAATTATTAAATAGTGTAAAGCGGGCAAAGTAGAATTAGCAAAACGGCGCGGGACAACGTAGGACAAAACAAGGTAAACAAAAAAAAACAAGGTAAAACAAAACAAAAAAAAGATAAAACAAAACAAAAAAAGATAAAACAAAACAAAAAAAGATAAAACAAAACAAAACAGGACAAAATAATTATAATTTAGGTGCATCCCTTTGTGCGGAAATCCCATATGGGCAACTCGCAAAAATTGCCAAGTGGCTGCAGAATATCAAACCGGTGCAGATAACAGTGTAGCACATAAACACATTTGCATACTAGCACATTTGCATACTAGCACATTGGCACACTAGCACATTGGCACTTTTTGTTTTCTTTCTTTTTCACACTCTACATTATTTGGTGTAGAAAAAGACATATATGTATGCATAAAAAAAGATGCCCCTTCAGTTGGGCAAATTTCGTGAAATTCTACATTGTGCATGGCTTAACACGGAGGAGGGTGGGGAGAAAAAAAAAAAAAAAAAAACATATATGTGCATGCGCGTAAAATATATTTGTACATACATAAAGCACATGTGCACGTACGTAAAATATATTTGTACATACATAAAGCACATGTGCATGTAAGTGTATACATATGTTTATTCCTTATTTTTGGCAATTCACTTTCTATGCGTTCTTGTGTGCACATATATGAAACTGCACGCATCATCAGTGATGACACATAGCCCTCTCCCTCTCCCCACACAGATGTTATATGTCATTCCGATAAGTCGAAATACGGGAAATCAGTTGAGCCCTCCGTGAGTAGGGTGATGGGCAACTGGCGAAATTGTCGTATAAGAGTTATTGAGTTCATTATCACTAGGATGAGTAAATCCAATGTTATTATTTTGTGTAAACATATTATTCTGGTTTTGAGGTGTAAGAATACTATTCATATTGGAAGGATAAGATGATGCATTGGTGACATGTTGTGTTTTGTATAGCTGGTTTAGGGGCATATTTCCATGAATAGACATATTATTGTGTTCTAACGGATTTGTATAATTATATGCTGGTTGTGCATTCAGATTTGCATCTTTTAAGTGAGTACTTGAGTAACCATTAGAAGAAGGATCTGCAAATTTGGTATTTATATGCATAGATTGAAGATTGTTCATTTTATCATGATATTTATCATTATGCAATAATAATTCAACAGATGGTTGATTATTTCCTTTTGTAATTCTGGTAGTGTTTTGTTTTCCATTCCAATTAAACATGAAACAATTTTTTGAACTTCCCTTATTAGATGAAGTATCAATATTGTCTTCTTGATAATACAAGGGAAGGAGAAAAGGATTATTCATAGCATCTTTTGGTATTGGGTGTTCAATAATACGTTGAACATGTACAGGTACAGGTATTTCTTTATATCTGGCTTCTATTTTTGGGCATAGAAATTCTTGAACAATTTGAAGTTCAACAGGTACAGGTACATTTCTATCAACCAATTTTTCAATAGGGAAAGTTCTATAATGTGCCATTGGCACTTCTACTGGTTTAGGTATGTGTCTATATTGAGGTGATACAATATTTCTATATATATGTTGCACATGTGGTACTTCAACTATTTTTTCTACATGAAAAGGTCTATCTACTATTTGTGTATATGGTATATCTTTCTTAACTACTTCAGGTATATATTCTGGTATTTCTTGTACTTTTTCAATGTTTATATTTTTTAATTCTATTTGAGGTATTTCTACAATTTTTTCTTGAATAACTTTTTTAGGTACTGGTATAATTCTTTCTTGCAGCATAATTTTAGGTACTTCAATTATTTTTTCTTGATATACATATTGAGGGACTTCAACTATTTTGTCTATTACTTTTATTTGAGGAACTTCAACTATTTTTTCTTGAAATATTGTCTTTGGGCATTTTTTTATTCTTTCATGTATTACTGGTTTAGGTACATGAATTAATTTTTCTTGTAAAATGACATGTGGTACTTCTACTAGCTTTTCTATATATTGCACTTGAGGTACTTCAATTATTTTTTCTTCAATTTCAGGTTTCATAATTTCCACTACTTTCTCTTGAATTAATGGCTTTAAAATTCTTGCATTTTGAGGTGGAGGATTATTACTATTACTGCTAATCATACTGGTGCTGTTTAGTATACTTCCTTCTTTTCTTTCCTGATTTGATTGATTCCCAAAAATGTTACTCGCCACTTGATAATACTGATCGTTTTGGTTTCCTTGCATTTTCCTTTTTTCATTCTGGGGATCACATGAGTTCTTCCCATACCCCCCGCATTTAGATTCTCCACAATTATTTAGCATATTTGTAGCTCCAAAATTGATCAATCTGGTTAGAAAGTCTGATGAATCGACTATAAATCCAATTATGGAAGCTATACGTACTGTTTATACCGCTTAAAAATTATGGTAAGACAGGTATAAGTTATACCCTTATTTATGAGTTTAGAAATTGTACTAAGGAATACCCTAAGATATTTCCCCCCTCCCCTAAATTGCTTTCACTTTAACCGTGTGATAAAGTTACGTAAAAGCTCATTGACCACTTTGGAATTAATAGAAATTTTGTGTGTTGAAATTTTTTTTTTTTTTTTTTTGGGTAGAGAAGAGGAAGGGATATTCTCTACAATTATAATCTCTCACAAATATATTCGTCCAATTTTTTAAAGCCTATTTTTATTAAATTTAGTCAAGGCGTTAAATTGGTAACAATGGGGAATGGTAAAGTGAGATAGCACAAATGTAACAAGAGGGAAAGACAACGTATTGAAAAAAAGGAGTAAAAAGGAATAGATTTAACAAGGGGGGAAATTAAAAATGAGCACATTAAGGTATACAAATTCTTATAGACTCTGACGCGTTCGAATAGTTACAAATGTGGAGGAATCGAAACATTTTTTTTTTTTTTTTTTTTACAGCGTCAAAAATTTACACACACTTTATGCTTGCATAAAATATGTGTATATATATGTATATATATGTATATATATGTATATATATGTATATATGTGTATATATATGTATATATGTGTATATATATGTATATATGTGTATATATATGTATATATGTGTATATATATGTATATATGTGTATATATATGTATGATCACACATAAAAAAAAAATATTTGCACACTTATGCAAATTTCCTTGTGCACAATTTTCCTTTCTGAATTTTTTGTTCATTTGTTGGAACGCGCGTATCAGGAGTGTATGCGAGAGATGGTTAAGGGTGGGGGAATTCCGTTTTGGGGTAAAAAAAAAAAAAAAATAAAATAACGGGATATAGCAAAACAGAAAAATAAAAAAATAAAAAAATGACAACATAGAAAAATGACAAAATAGAAAAATAGCAATATAGCAATATAGCAAAATAACGAAATAGCAATATAGCAAAATAACGAAATAGCAATATAGCAAAATAACGAAATAGCAATATAGCAAAATAACGAAGTATAAAACATTAATTCAACTGAAGCAGGAAACTAACGCAATAATATGTAGAATCCTGCGTAAAAAATGACGTGCGTCTGGAAGAGGTGTACAAAAAAAAGGCAATCGAATTTAAAATTTCATTGATCTTTCCTTTATGTGGAATTTTTTTGCAAAAATTTGGTTCACTAATATACCTATTTTATTCACTATTTTGGGAACATTTCTAACGGCAGATTTTCAACAGTTCCCATAGGAATGGGCAGAATTTTCAAAGCGAAAAAAACTGGCACTCAGCATGTAGACATGATAAACGTTTTTGGGGCAGGCATAACATACGTCTGTAAAAATGGGAGGAAAATAAAATAAAATAAAGTGTTGAATTTGTGGAATGTGTATCCATATGTTCCAGATTAGCATTTTTATTTTATTATTATTATTATTTTATTTTTTTTTTTTTTTTTATGTTTGAAAAAATAACTTCTGTAATGTTGTACTGGGTGTGATGTTGACATTTTTGAGCAACTATTCCCATTCCATCACTGCACATCAGCCCATCTGTTGGTTAGCACAATTTCCTTTTTACCTTCCTGTTTCTACCAGTATGTTATTCCCACCCACATGCACTTTCGCAAATGAGGGATGACAAAATATATATTTCACAGTATCCTTTGCGAAGAAGTATACATATATACATATATATATATATATATATTTATGTGCTACTTATATGACACCCCATTTTTTCTATTCACATGTCGAGGAACATATTACACTACCTCAAAATGAAGAAGACGAAATGAACATTTGGTTATTACCAAATTAGGTCACTTTTTTTTTTTTCTTTTCCTACTTGTATTTACATAACATGATTTTAGAATATTTAATGTGAAATTGTTTTTATTTTTTAATTCCATTTTTTTTTTTTTTTTTTTTTTTTTTTTATGTATGTGCTTATTTGTTCTTGTCCTGTTTTGACTCAATATATTGTCATGCATTTCAGTGCAGCAAAATTTAAGGGCAACATTTTAAGCACCCCATATGAATTTATTAAGAAAAAAAAAAAAAAAAAAAAAAAAAAATTAAAAATTAATTTAAATTCTAACGGTGTTGGTATATCTTTATCAAAATAAATTTGTTCTTGTAGTTTAAATTGGAATAAATATATGGGGTTATTTTTTTTTTATTTTACTGTTGAGACATTGGAAAAACTGACATGAAATAAGTGTGGATCAATTATTGGCTAAAAATGGATGGAAATATTGAGTCTTATTAATGTATTTTAATACATCTGATGAGGCTTCTCTTATATATGTTTTTATGTTTCCTATTTATGTATTTGTTGTGCAGATGAATATGATTGCTCTATCCAATTAGTTAGATAAGCAGTAGACGACCATATCTAGAATAAGATAAATTTTGAACAATTGAGGGGATGCTCATGTGTAGATGCTAATGTGTGGATTCAAACGTGCTCGTATAAATGTGTGTTTGTGTGCTTATTCAGTTTCAAGGTTGTTAAAAGGAACTTTAATGTTTTTTTATTCACATGGCTTTGAATATGTTAAAGGTAAATACATTTTGTATTCTTTTCAGCACTTTTTAAAAGTACATTCAAAAAGGTTCTTATCAAAAGGGAGAAAGAAAAATGTATCGTTTGAAAGGGCACAAGTTGGGTTTCTTCGAAAAATACAGCTATTACAAGCTATTACATTTTGTGTCTTAATTTTAATATATTTACCACTTTTGTAGAACATATGTTAGGTGCAAAAAAAAAAAAAAAAAAAAAAAGTGAACAACATATATGCTTCTTTTGTACTTTTTATTAATTGGGGTTACACCTTTAATTCCTTTCAAGGGTTTTTTCTTTTCTTTATTTTGTTCACTTTGTTCACTTTGCTCATTTTTCTTTTTTTTAAAGGAGAAAATTTATCAATTAAGGCCAATTTGAACTGAACTCGGTTAATTTGTGCTCTTTTTACCCAGAACAGTTAGTTAAGATTTGATAATCATTAGGGCCGAAGCAAGGACGAGAGACACTGTTTTCGCTCTTATGACCTTTTGCTATATCAGAATTACAACTTTTCTTCATTTTTTTGGTTCACCTTTGAGAAGAAATAGTAATTAATTTGGGTGCAACTCCTAGTTGAACAAAATTATAGACACTTGAAATTACAAAATAGAATTATAAAAATAAAAATGAAAGGAACTTATCTGTAAAAATGCATATTCCATGTACCTACACATAAGCTCAAAATTGTCTGCATTCGCATGTACATATGTATACATAGATAAACATATTATATCTGCATTCATCATATATCAATTAGAATAATTCAATGATTTTGCTTTTATACAATTTGCACACAGTTGCATTCGATGAGGAAGGGGTTACATGCTTTGGAGGTATCTCTGATAATGGGCAGGACGTGTGAGGATATGCTTTATTTATTCACTTATTTGTTTATTTCTTTATTATATATATATATATATATATATATGTATATTCATACATTCTCCTATCATGCATGTACGTTTTTTCAATTTAAGCTACGACCCTTCAGGTTATGTCGCACCTGCCCAACTGTATCCCTTACAAGTTAATAAAAAGTAAAAAAAAAAAAAAAAAAAAAAAAAAAAAAAAAAAAAAAAATAGAATAGAATAGAATAGAAATGCCCGTCATCCAACTGCACAAATAACTTCTTCCCTTGTGGAAATAATCGTATTAAAAGTCTTAAAAGGAACATTAGAAAATTCTATGAACTATTTTATTCCTTAGTTTAAAATAGAATTAAATACAAGTGGCGAGTGTTTAGCTGTGAGGAAATAAGTTCTACATAGAGGATAAAATATTCAGCATTGAAATAGTCTAAGTGGTGTTGTTCCCTCTGGAAAAAAATAAAAAAAAGATAAAAAAAGTAGTATAAATATTTGAAAAAATGATCTGTGCACATTGAAGTGAAAAGGTTTGTTCCATATTTTAAGAAAGTGTGAAAAACAAAAGAGGAACTAAAATGATAATTTCTACAACAGCTACTGCAAGGGGGTGTGTTTAGTGTTATGCATGCGTACTTCCTAATGCTAAATATTTATTTTTCATTTTTCTTTTTCAGTTTTTCTTTTTTCATTGCTATTTTTGTCTTTTTTTTTTTTTTTTTTTTTTTTTTTTTTTTTTTCTTTTCATTTTATGGGAAAAATAAAAACTGAACAAACATATGGGTGTTCATAAATGGCTTGTTCAACAACACGTCTGTCCCTTGTGAAAAAAGATAAACAGCCGAATGTGGTGATAATTAAATTTCACAAAAAGTACACATATATGCATAGGAGCTAGTTTAGATATGCACTTAGATCCCAATCCCTGCAAGACAACTTTGTTTTGCTAGTCTTTTCTAAAACATTTAGAAAGGATTCGCAAATAATCACAAACCTGTCTGAGTTTTCTTTCCACATTTTCACTTATTTTTTATTTATTTTTTCCACTTTTTGTGTCATCAAGTAGGAAGTTGGAAAAAAAAAAAAAAAAAAAAAAAAAAAATACTCTATGTTTCTTTGCTGCATTTTTTAGATTAAAAAGGGTGAAGTATAAGACGAGTTTCACCAAATCCTGTCAAAAAATAAAATAAATAAACAAAAGATAAATAAATAAAAATATATTAGTAAATAAAAATAGATAAGTAAACACGCATGTGTGTGTATAAATATACCTACATACAGACACGTACACACACAGTCAAACACGTGTAGAACTAAAATTGTAGCGCACGAAACAGGTTAGGCTGAACGGAGGATCTTCCCACTTTTTTTTTTTTTTTTTTAAGGAAAGATGTTTAATGCATGCAAAGCCAACAACAGTTGTTGCCAGGAAGAAAGCGATGAAGCGAATAAATTTGTGGGTAAAGGAAATCAAGACCCGATTGTTCAACACGTAGTGAAAGAGAATGAGGATTTTAAGAAAATAATAGAGGGAGAACCAGACCTTTCCAAGGCAGTTGAAATTAGCCAACACACCAAGAGGGAATATGTAATATTTTGCATGTGTCTGCACCAGTTACCCAACCTTTCTTGACAATGTGCATGACAGTTTTTTTTTCTCTCCCTTTTTGATCATTTTCTGCATGCCCATTGGATGCACATCGCAATTCTTATGGAAAATAAATTTTCACCTCTCCTCTTTTTATCCCCAAAAAAGGTTGCCATAACTGCCTACCAACCTGTTGATGTCGTGACGAGAACAGTTGAAGTGCCTTTTGTGAGAACCATAGAAACTACAATCCCGAAAATAAGATACGAGAATAAAATAAGAGAGGTTCCCAAGTATTACTCCAAAATTGTGGAAAAGGTGAGGAATTCCCAGTTTGTCTGATTTGGCAGTTCATCTGATTGGCCGCTTTGCCTGTATTTTTCACCATACCTGTATTTCTCATCATGAATGTATTTCCCACATACTCCTTCTCTCCCCCCCCCCCCCTTAAGGTGGTAGAAGTCCCAGAGGTAAAATTCGTAGACAAAATTGTGGACGTACCTCGAATTCAATATTGCTTCAAGTATGTGCCGAAGGTGGAAGTGAAGGAAAACATAATACAGAGACCAGTTTTTCAAAAAAAAATTGTAGAAAAAATTGTGGAAGTTCCAAAAGTCAAGGAGATGCAGAGGTTTCAAGAGGTCGAAACGGTCGAATATGTCATAAAGTAAGGCTAAGCTAGTCGAGGAGAGGGATTACTCATTTATGTATCCATTCGTTCGTTCATTTACTTATTTATTTATTTTAATTTATTTTTTTTTTTTTTTTTTTTTTTTTTTGATACGCTTTGAAATTGGCTTACAAACTTTAATGCATAAGTACATGTCGCTTCTGATTGATTAGGATTTTTAACTACATATATCAGTTGTTCCTTTAAGATATTGTATCCTCATTTGGCAACACTACTCTCTGCACTACTTAGGTATGTTCCAAAGGGTTCCACGGGAGGAAGAAAAAAATCCAAGAATCAGAGGGAAGATAGTGCAGATCAGAAGGTAGATGATACAAATGGAGAGAAGGAAGATGGCAAGAATGAAGATGGCGAAAATGAAGATGGCGAAAATGAAGATGGCGAAAATGAAGATGGCGAAGTGGACAGGGTCGAAATGAAGGAAAGGAGTGAAGGAGAGAAAAAGGAAAATAAGGAGAGGGTAGATTATAATTCCGAATTTTACGAACGGAAATATTACAATGAAGGATCGAAACTGGTTAGCAATGTGCCAATGGAACTTAACCAGCCTGAATTTTTACAACAGACAATGTCTATTGGCAAAGAGAAAATGTTTCCTTACATATTCAGTAGATCTATGCAAGGAGCAACACCATGGGGTGGTTATCCAATTGGAGGAGAAGTACAGGAAGAAGGGATAGGAATTCCCTCTTTTGGCTTGAGAAATGAGTTATCAATGATGCAATTGAAAGAGAAAAGTGCTTCAATGCTGCCAACACCAAGAATTGAACAAGTATTTAAACCTAAGATTGTGAAAAATATAGAGGTTCAGAAGCATGTCCCTATTTCTGTCGATGTACCAGTTCCTTATATGGTTCCCAAACCAGTAGTTGTTAATGTAGAGGTACCTGTTTTGAAATTTAGAGATACTTTTGTGCCTGTGCCGATTAGGAGAAAAATAATACCAAAAATAAAATGGATTTCAGATGTTTATTATGTCGAATGTATTAAAGAGAAACCATATTTGAAAATTCAAGATATCATAAAACCAATTCCGTGTGATGTGCAAATTAAGTACAGGAAATACATGGAAAAGGCGTGTGCTGTAAACCCAAATGAGTTACCACAAGACGATGTTCATGCTATGTGGATGCGTGTCAATGCACACCTTGCTGAACAGAAGAAGCGGGAGTATGGAGACTTGTATCCTTATTATCGAGGTATGAATAAAGCTTCGTAGCTCAACAGAATGCAGTGGGAGGAGGTGGAGGGGCAACGATGGTTTCCACTGCACTGAGTTTGAATGTGCATCGTTTAGAAATGTATATTCAATTTCAGCTTTCCATTTTTTCTCCCTATTTTTTTGTCCCGTTTTTTCCCCCTATATTTTTTCCCCATATTTTTTTTCCCCATTTTTTGAATCCATCCCCGTAGCTGAAGGCGAACATGACACAAGCAGCTCCAGCAAAGACGAACAGGATGGAAGTGTAAACTCAGAATATTCGGACGAGGGAGAAACGTATGCAAGTGAAGCCATGAAAGAAGTTTCTAAAGATGAAAGGGAAATCTCAGGCGTGGTAAGTAAAGATGTAGAAGAGGGGGATCAACAAGAAGAATCTAAAGGGTTTGAAGAAGATATTGAAAATGACCAACTTGAAATGAATAGGCAGGTCGAAATGAATAGGCAAGTCGAAATGAGTAGGCAGATCGAAATGAATACACAAGTCGAAATGAATAGGGAAGTCGAAATGAATAGGCAAGTTGAAATGAATAGACAAGTCGAAATGAGTAGGAAAAGCGAATCTATTACCCCCAATGTTGAAGACATGCAAAATGAGGTGATCATACAGAAGGGAGAAATGATGAATATACAAAAGAGAGTAAATAGAGAACTTCACTTAACAGAACTGGAGAGAAGGAGACATTTGGATGGAGGGGAAAAGGTAAATGTAGAGCAGAATATCTTCTGTTCATATGAAGAACTGAAAAATTTTAAGGAATTGTCGCGTCCTGAGGAGACGCAGAAAGAAAGGAGATGCTACAATTTGTGTTGCAAAAATGCAAATGATCACAGTAGTGCATCTTGTAATGAAAACAAATATAATTTCGAATGTGCTGATGAATTTATGGACGAAATGAAAAAACAAGATTGCTTGGTAGAAGAACCCATTGCATCATTGTACCCATCGCACCCGCTAGCTATGACATATTTGCAGAATAAATGGATTCAGTCAGATACACTGAGAACACATGAACTTTACAATGATAACTTTGTTAGAGCAAGTATTAATGCAAATTTCAATCTGCAAAATGAAAACCCTGTTATGTCTGAAATTATGCGTAACGCAGAGTTTATAAAAACAGCAAATCCAATAATATCGCCTTTCATCCCAAGGAACATGAAAAATTTAGAAAATACTTACAACAGAGTTATTGTTCAGAACATTCAGGAGGAAAATATGAAATGTCAAGGACATAACATGTATGTGCAAAAGGTAAATGCTCCAGTGGGAGATACAGAAGTGCAGGCATATGAACGCATGAACAAGAATCCTAATGGACAGGCATCCGATTCAAGGGATAAGTGGTGTGGCTATTCATGCAAAAATTGAGGTGAGTTAGAAGTTTTGGGAATCCATTTTTGGAAGAAGTTTGGAGGGGTAATTAATTTTGGGAGACGTTTTTTTTTTTTTTTTTTTGAAATCCCACATTTTGCAACTACCCATGTTATCACACTTCGACAAATAGTATTGAGAAATACAACTGCCATAAAATTTTTGTGGTTAAGTTTGTATGCTGTTAACCAGTTAGGATGTAACTAAGAAGAGTTTCTTTTTTTTTTTTTTTTTTTTTTTTACTTTTGATTACTTTTTCTGTTATAATTAAATTATGAAAAAAGTCAGAGTCCAGAAGTAGTTCATCAAAAAAGGATGCATCCTTAGTAAACACTGGTGTATTATGTAACGCATAATATTGCCTGAATAATTTTTGGTTTATATAATCATGTGTGTGTTTAATATGATAACGATTATCATACGATCTCTCATATGTCACTACGTCAAAGAGACATCTTGTCAAATTGTCACATATTGACTGATTCATTTATTTGTTGTTTCGCGTATACTTAAGGAAGCTATTTTAATGCGCAATTTTTTTTTTTTTTTTTTTCATTTTTTCTTTAATGAAAACACATTTTGTAAATGTTCTGTCTCTCTTGCTGAGTAATGTAGCAAGAAAAATAGTATTAGACTTATCACAAGAATTTGTTTTTTTTTTTTTTTTCATTTTTTTTTTACCTTCTTCAAGAGAAGTTGGTTTGTTTTTTCTATTTGTTACGCTTTCTATTGGTCATATTCTCTCATTTTTCATCCAAATGGAGTATTTTTTTAGTGTATTTTAAAGATAATATAACGACAGGTTTGGCATAGTGTTAAAAGAATAAGTCTTTTTTTTTTTTTTTTTTTTTTTTTTTTTTTTTTTCGGTTTGGAAGAGTTTTTTTGGGGGTTTTTTTTTTTTTTTTTTTTTTTTTTTTTTTTTTTTTTTTTTTTGCAAGGTATTTTTTGACGTAGACATAGGTGTTTTTTTTTTTTTTTTTTTATAACCTCAATAATGTAAGTACACTTGATGAGGGTAATATTCTATTGAATTTCTTTTTCATAATTGTTTTTTTTCCAGTTTTTGTGGATGTGTCAAATGGAGGGTGATGGAAATGATAAATGCTGATAGCGATGTTGATAGAGATGGTGATGATACGGTTATGATATCAATTTCGAGGAACAACTATATCAGACAGGAATGTGTAAATAAAGGAGTAAAATATGGGTGAGAGGAAGTATAAGCACATAAGAAAAAACATATCATTTTCATATCTTCATGATCTTCTTCCTACCCCCTCCCTTAATAATACATTTATATGTGTGCATACGTACATATATACACATGTAAATATTTTCCAAAACAAAAAAAAAAAAAAAAAAAAAAAAGATACGGAATAGCTATTTTCCTTTTTTTTTTGGCAACTGACTAGTTAAAAATGTATCTTTTGAAATCTGGTGTTTTTTTGTTGTCCTTTCTATGTGTTAACTTAGTGAAAGCGAAAATTGAACTAATATTATCTGGTATGAATAACAAAAATAAAAATAGAGAAATAGTGAAAAATTGTGATTTCACTTTTTGAGAACTAATAATGTTAAGTGCTATGTCGATTGTTAATGCAACCTGCAGATTTGTCGCTGCTAATATAACATGAGTTTGTGCTTAAGAAAGATAGAACCCTTGGGGATCACCTAAGAGTTGCAGTTTGCTTCCTTCAACGGAAGAATCGTTTTTATTACTTTGTATATATATACATATATGCATATATGCATACGTGTACATATTGCTTCATCTAATTTTTGCTTTAGACCTCGGAACAGAAAAATGCAATTCCGAAAATGCAAAGGCCCTAGATGCCCAATTTTACGGAAAATACTGTGGAGGCAAAAATTCATTACCAACAGTTGAGTGGTTTGAAAAAAACAGCGAAACAAAGTCCTATGCAATGACTATCACGAGTAAGAACGATTCTAATATAATAACTCACTTCTTAGCATGGAATATACCATCACATGTAAATTTAATAAATCATTCTACAAATTTTGATGAACTTGAGGCAGTAATCGGGTTGAATTCGTTTAACCAAGCTAATTATTCTATGCCATGTCTCGATTCTTTCACTGAAAAGATGAGCAGTTGTTTGTTATTTTCCCTATATGCGTTAAGTAAGTTTTTCAGTTTTTTTATGAATATGAAAAGCAAGGTATATAATGTCATATGTAAAAACCATATCTATTATAGTCACTGTGATAATTGTAGAGAATTCCCGATAAATGCATTTCACATGCTCAACTCTCCACATTGAGGTCTTTTCACTTTATATCCTTTTGCTATCATCCCAGAAACGGAACATATAGAATTATCACAAGATGCAGACTATTTCGAACTAATGTCATACCTCAAAAGTATGAGTAGAGATGAAAAGGGGCTCTTGGATAGACTATCCTTATATGCCATGATAATACCAAAACAAAAAATTGATATTTAAGTGTGTAGTAAGCACATCATTTTTCCTTCTTTCATTTGGTTAAGTCCATTTAGATGGGTGTTGCATTTGTGCATGTACATATATCATAACCTTACGTTTATGTTTGTGTTTGTGTTTGTGTTTGTGTTTGCGTTTGTTTGTGTTTGTGTTTGTGTTTGTGTTTGTGTTTGTGTTTGTTTGTGTTTGTGTTTGTGTTTGTGTTTGTGTTTGTGTTTGTGTTTGTGTTTGTGTTTGTGTTTGTGTTTGTGTTTGTTTGTGTTTGTGTTTGTGTTTGTGTTTGTGTTTGTGTTTGTGTTTGTTTGTGTTTGTGTTTTTTTTTTTTTTTTTTTTTTTTCATCGCGATTATTTGCAAGTAACGTGGTGTACAACAAACAAATTGGCAGAAAATAGGGGAACTGCAGCTTAAGCAAAAAGGAAAAAAAAAAAAAAAAAAAAAAAAAAAAGCAAAGTATAACATGCGTGAAAGGATTTAAAAATAAATAAGTAATTAAATATGTAAATAAGTATGTAAATAAGTATGTAAATAAGTATGTAAATAAGTATGCAAATAAGTATGTAAATAAGTATGTAAATAAGTATGCAAATAAGTATGTAAATAAGTATGTAAATAAGTAGGCAAATAAGTAGGCAAATAAGTAGGCAAATAAGTATGTAAATAAGTATGTAAATAAATTTCCCGACCCACGTTTTATTCCTTGTAAACATAAATCGTTTGAAACATTTGCGAAACGTCTTAAATGGCAAATGGTTTTGCTTACTTGGAATATGTAAACATGCGTAATCATAATAATATAAACTATAATAGTTCATAAAAAGCAGATTTTTTTTTTTTTTTTTAATTTAAAAGGTATTACATTTACGTGTCTCGATGTTACAGTGGAAGTTTTTTTTCAACACATTGTGGTTCATAGGGGTGTACGTGCGTAAATATATATACACGTGTAAAAATAATAATGTGTGTTTCTGTTTATGCTGCTGCTTCTGTTTGCGACTAAAGCATGGGGAACGGAGGGTATGTGTGTCTATCTAACATTACCCTTCCCCTCACCCCCCAATGGATTATCAATCTCCGTAATTAATGAGTAAATCCGCTAAATGTACTTTCTATAAAATCACAAACGTTCTTGAAAAAGACGTCCACTGTCTTTGTTAACTCATCAATTTCTCGAACTATTTTAACATCTAAATTTGGGTTAAGGAATTGGGCCAAATCTATACTTTCAGTTTTTCTTTGCAAAGTGTCTAAATTTTTTTCTAGCTGTCCTTGGTGATATTCGAAAAGATATTTTTTATTTTCATCTTTCCATTCGACAAAATATGCAAAGGCGTAAGACCACTTGAGTATTTTTCTGCATCTAATAGTTTGTATTATGGAATTCTGAAAGTTTTGAATTCGATGTGTTGGTCCTACGTTATTCATCTTGCAAAATTGGGAAACGAATAATAGTTGCGTTCTTATGGCAAAATCTTCCCCATGTTGATGTGCATCGAATCTTGTTTTGAAATGGTTTAATTTGTTAAGCGATTTGTGAGCTCTTTTGCGTTCTTCAAGCTTGAGTGCCTTACCTTGCTGCGGGCGTAGCGTGGTCAAGTTCTGATTGTCATTTGGAGGTTTGTCTGGATGTTTATATACAACATCGTCTATGATCTCGTCTGTGTCCTCGTTTGTGGCCTCATTTGCCGCTTCGCTTGTGGACTCACGGGATGTGTCCCGTTCTATGTACTGATTACACTTGTAGAATCCTCCTTTGTGATGAACCCAAGCCTGCAGACAGAGCCAACAAAAACTAAAACCACAAACACATTTTACATTCATACAGCCAGATGTTTTTTCAATTGATTTTGCACAATTGGGACAGTTTTTGGTGTGTGTCTGAATCCATTTTATATTATGATCTCCTTTCGTAAGCAAATCATTCCATTTCTTAATAACGGAACATGTAACAGGTCTATGGAATTCATAACAACAGTTAAAACAGAAATTGTACCCACATTTGCATATGACTGTATTATCCTTTAGCATTACAGATTCGATGACATATTCACAATTTTCATAGGGACATTTTTTTAAATTGTGGCTATATTTTATAAAAATTTGTAATAATATTTTTTGATATTTTTGAAGTAGTTCATTTTTTTCATCTAATACACATTCCCAGTCTTTCTGTTTAAAGAATTCTTTACATTTGGGTTCTATGCATTTTTTATTAATTATATCTTCATCGAAATCGTTTTCAATTGATGTTTTTAGATACCTTTCCAAACATTCCTTAGAATATCGATGTCCACATTTTAGCGCGTATGTATTTTCTATTTTGTACTCGTTAAGTAGAATGGGACAAATGTACTTTTCTCCATTCCATTTTGTATCATCTGACTTTTGGATGGTAGGAAATTCCTTGGATAATGTGCATTCTGCATTGATTAATTTTTCCTCTAGGATAATGTCATTTGTTAAATGATCAGAAAAATCCTGCTCTTTCATCAGGTGAGACAATTGAGCCTTTTCTAGAACTTCTTTTGGATTCCTAAACCATGCTTCAATTAACTTATCCGAATTAAATTTGTAAGCATTCATAAAACGATAAGCATAATCATAATCCATATTTATTAGAACCATTATATCATTTATAGTTTCTTTCATTTTTTGATTAACTTGTTCTAAGGTGTATACATTATATAGATTATAATCATTACTAAATTTTGCAAAATTTCTTTGAAAGTATTGTAAATAGATTTTCATTCCTTCTTCGTGTGACTCTTTTGTTTTGTATTTTCTTTCGGACTCAGAATTTTTACTTTCATCGTAACTTCCTACCACCCTTTTGATTACCTTCATTTTTTTGTCCTTACCAAATTGTATCGTTACATCTACGGCACGGTTAATGATGTTTTCCTCTTTTGGAATGTTCATTTTTTTTTTTCTGTCTTTTCGAATGGCGTGAGTATACTGGAGGTGTAAAAAGTGTGTAACACTTTTTTTTTTTCAACAAAAAAAAAAAAAAAAAAAAAAAAAAAAAAAGAAAAAAAAAAAAGGAGTAAATTTCAACTGGGAGTAGTGATTACTATAAATAATGAATAAACCTGATGTTTTGCCTTAACGGGAAGGTTGTACTGTTGTGTACATTTTAAATTTTAGAACGGAATAACATTTCGTTTTATCACTCGTAGGTTTATTTCTAATTTTTTTTAAAAGTATTTATATATATATATATATATATATATATTTTGAATAATTATTGATGGGCGTATCCAGTTAAATCGAAAGGTGTCTCTTTTCTCCCCTTCGATGGAGAAATTTTGTTTTCTTTTGCAATCGCAAGGGTGGCATTTGGCGTATCCGTTACATCCTGTAGGGTGATAACAAGGATGGGTCCCTCCAAAAAAATAAAAAAGCAAGGGTGCAGGTAAAGATACAGGTACATACACAGGTACACACACACAAATACACACTTAGGTACACACACACAAATACACACTTAGGTACACACACACAAATACACACTTAGGTACACACGCAGAGGCACATTCCCTTGAGATGTTCAAACTTTTTTATAGTGTATACTCTACAGGTCACCCAATATCAAAATGCTAAATGGGTGTGTGTGGAATAATCCTCAAAACAGGGGAAGAGGTGAGTACCTTTTTTCTTTTTTTTTTTTTTTTTTTTTTTTTTTTTTGGTTGTTGTTACACCTCAAATGCATTTTTGTATGATTTGCTGTGAGTGGGGAAAAATGTTCGCAAAAATGTATGAAGGAAAAAAGGAACCAGAAAAGAAGACTAAAAGAACACGAGAGTAGGAATGGAGAGTTCGTTAAAAACAGGACAAGAAATGTTCACACCTCTAAATAGTGGATGTAAAGGGGACTAATATGGGGGGAAACCCCAATTATTTTCTTATGCTTGTCATTTTGGATTTCACTTCTCTGTTTTAAGTCAAAATAGGAAAGTATATTGTATGCATTATAACGCTTTTATTTTTTTTTTTAAAAAAAAAAAAATGTAAAAACATGTAAAAAAATAGGAAAAAAAAATATAAGAAATAAAATTTTTAAATGACGCCATACTGGCTTTTTACTTTTTTCACTTTTTAAAACATTCTAGAGTGGAAATGCATTTCTTGTTTTTATTATCACGGACGTATATGCCTGACAAGATTCATCATGTGCATCGCTTGGGGAGCTAAGAACAGCTAGCGGCTCAAATGACTAATTGGCTAATGCAAGATTGTAAATACTAGCTGACAGAAAAAAGGGAATCGAAAAAAATCTTGACCCATAAAAAAAAAATTGTAATATCGTAAAAATGGTAACCCATAAAAAAAATTGTAACCTATAAAAATTGAGATGGTAAAAATTGTAACGCATAAAAAATGTGACCCATAAAAATTACGACTCATAAAAGATACAATTATCAATTTTCTATTGGAGCAACGTCGATTAGAAAAATCTCGTGACAAAGCATCGTAACCAAATATCGTGACAAAACATCGTGACAAAATATCGTGACAAAACATCGTAACAAAATATCGTGACAAAACATCGTGACAAAATATCGTGACAAAACATCGTGACAAAATATCGTGACAAAACATCGTGACAAAATATCGTGACAAAACATCGTGACAAAATATCGTGACAAAATATCGTGACAAAATATCGTGACAAAACATCGTGACAAAACATCGTGACAAAATATCGTGACAAAACATCGTGACAAAATATCGTGGCCAAATATTGTGGAGAAGTAACGTGACTCACAGCTTCAGAAAGTACTGCAATTCACTCCTAACAAACTTGGTGCTGGTATATTCGCCGGAGGGCACTTACCGTTCACCAGTGAAGATTACAAAAGAGTTATTTTTTTTTTTTCTCGAACACAGAGTACCACACTTTTTTTTCACAGATCATCGATGATAATGCAGAAGGCAAAGAATGTATTACTAACCCAAGTGAGTTCTTTGAATAGACAAAGTTTTTTGCGATACATTTGTATGAGCAGCGTGAAATTTAAAATTGTGAAATGTAAATTGTTTGATATAGGAGAAGGTATATCTGAGGTGGAAATAACACAGTGGAATAAGAATGAAGGAGATCCTGTAAGTGAAATGGAAAGTCTATTAACTGTTCAGAGTGACAAAGCTGCAGTTGATATAACAAGTAAATATAGTGGCGTACTTGTAAAAAGGTATGCAAATGAAAAGGACACCATTAAAATTGGATCTTATTTTTGTGAAATCGACACAGAAGATCATATTATAGAGGAAAACGAGGAGGAATCAGTAAAAAGTGAACCCAGCGAAGAAGTATTAGAAGATGATACTGTGGAAAAGATCAACTTGAGTGAAGAACCTTTAGATAAAAAAAAAGAATTAGGAAATAGTACTATTACTAACGTTAAGGCATCACCTGGTGTTAAAAAAAAGGCACAAGTGTATAAATTGGACTTGAATGAAATAGGAAGATATTTTAATAAAGAATCTCTAACCATGGATGATGTAGAATTATATTACAAAAAAGTGAAAGATGGAGAGATTTCAAGTGGTGATAATAACATTGGTGAAGATATGATAGATGAAGTTCCATTGAAAGGAATAAAATTAGCCATGTGTAAAAGTATGAACGATTCATTAAGTATCCCCTTATTTCACTTGAACGAAATGTATAATGTACAGAATTTAATAAATATCAGAAATGAAATTAAGAAAAATATACTTGAAAAGGAAAATGTAAATATTACAATAACTAGTATGTTAATTAAGTTAATATCAAATGTGCTAAAGGATTTCCCAGTATTGAATTCTAAATTTAATTCCAAAAAAAATACATACACTATTTACAAAAGTCACAATATTTGCGTTGCTATGGACACACCAAATGGTTTACTTGTACCTAATATAAAAAATGTAGAAAAGAAAAACATGATTGAAATTCAAAAAGAGTTATCTACTTTACGTGATAAGGCAATGAAAATGATGTTGAGTAAAAATGACATAACTGGTGGTACTATTACCATTAGCAATTTTGGAGTTATAGGAGGAACCTTTGCTACTCCCATAGTGTTCGACAATCAGGCTTGTATTATAGGACTTTCGAAAATTCAAAAACAGTTGTTTCTAAAAAATGAGAAAAAAGAATTAACTGCCTTGACTGATATCCTTGTCGCGGATACTATGAACTTGACCTATGGTGCCGATCACAGATTCATCGATGGAGCAACCTTGGCTCAGTTTTCCAAGAAGTTGAAGGAGGCTGTGGAGGGTGTTGTTTCGATTGACCCCTACGATGCTTAAGTGGGAACAACAGCTGTAATCCCATCGTTTGGATGTGCGTTATTTGGAAGTGCTTTGTTTGGAAGTGGCCTGTTTGGAAGTGCTTTGTTTGGAAGTGCTTTGTTTGGAAGTGGCCTGTTTGGAAGTGCTTTGTTTGGAAGTGGCCTGTTTGGAAGTGGCCTGTTTGGAAGTGGCCTGTTTGGAAGTGTCCCTTTGGAGAGACCATTGGATTCTTCCCCTCCCTTCCCCCTTCCCCTTATCAGAATTTTTAGAAATGTTCTGTACATGTCCCCGTGGAATATGACTGGACTAGTTCTAAGGAAGCGGTGGGAAATTCTGATTCCACGCGAGCACTTTGAAAAAAATTCTTGGTTTTTGAGCCCGTTTCAATGGTAGCAAATGGGCATGTGCACACGCTATTTTTTTTCTCCACAAAGAATTTGTGTGAAAAGGATTTTCCTCATTTGGAACCTCCACATGTGCCTATTTCGTGTTATACCTTAATTTGAAATCGTTTAAATCGTTTAAATCGTTTAAATCGTTTAAATTGTTTAAATCGTTTAAATCGTTTAAATCGTTTAAATCGTTTAAATCGTTTAAATTGTTTAAATCGTTTAAATTGTTTAAATCGTTTAAATTGTTTAAATCGTTTAAATTGTTTAAATCGTTTAAATCGTTTAAATTGTTTAAATCGTTTAAATTGTTTAAATCGTTTAAATTGTTTAAATCGTTTAAATTGTTTAAATCGTTTAAATTGTTTAAATCGTTTAAATCGTTTTTATATTTTTTCCACGAGATCATGTATGCGTGCAGTTGGTGTAAACATATATTGCATTCTCGGGGGTCGTTCGCCCGTGCACGGGTCGACGTCGAAGATTTTAAACGTGAATTTTTAAAAATAAAACTAAAAACAGGAAAAAATGTGCAAAAAATTGTGCAAAAAAATGTAGACAAAATGTGCTGACAAAGTGTACTGACAAAATGTGCAAAACATTTGTTAACATTTCCCAGGAAGCTATGTGAATAGTGTGAGGAACAAGTTTTTTTTTTTTTTTTTTCACTTACTTCCAGCTGCCAATACTCAACACTCATCTCTGGTTATTCTTCCCCACGCGATGTACTAATCCTAGGCGCAAAACAAGTCGAAGAGACGGTTACCAAATTTGAAATGGTTCGGGTGTATAGTGTAATTTTTAATTAAGGACTTGAAGTTATTTATGTAGGTATCTGTTTTTATTAACTGCACGGCATCTTTAACGAGAACATTATTGTTGGGGGCTATTATCACAAAGGATGGTAGGTTTTTAATTTGGAATTTTTTGCAAATGTACAAATAATTATCAAAAGGTAAACTGTAAAAATCTGTTTTTTTCAAAAAGGTTAAATATTCATTATATGTCTTATCAAAAGGAATGTAAATAATTTCAACAAATGGGAAATTCTTTTTAAAAAATTTTATATTTTCAATAAATGTTACACAATATTTACACCATGATGCCCCAAAAAATAAACCCAAATATTTATCATGAAAATGGGATGAACTGATTTTTTTCAGCTCATTATTTTTGTAATAGTACAATTCATTTATGTAATTTTTTCCTACATTTTCTTTTATTGTATTTGTCTCTGCATTTTCCTGAACGGGATGGTCAACTTCGCATTTCATTTTTGTGTGTATAGTCTCGTCAATCGGTTACAAGGATTGAAAGGTTATGCTCTCGGCTTTGTTAACCTTTACACTTCTTAAGCCAAAAATAAAGTAAAACAGAATAGAGTAAAATAAAATACGTTAAAACAAAATAAAGTAAAAATTAAATTTTCTAAAAATGCTGATCCTATGTGTGAGCTATGAAGATAAGTATGTTAAGCGCTTTCTTCTTTATGATTTTCCTTTCCTTATTTTTTTTAATTTTTTAAAAAATACCCTTGTATTTACTTCACCATGTACGCATGGCAATTTTGGATTAGTAATTGGGGTTTGCGTATGTACACAATTTATTTGTTAATACTACACAATGGTTTGGGTGCTAAGAAAACATTTGAACTTTCTTTACGTGCTTTTAAAGCTGCAATATTGCAATGTTTGCAGTGTTGTAATTTTTTTTGGTTTTTTTTTTTTTTTTTAAATAAAATTAAGCGAAGGTTTACAAAAAGTACGAAGTTTTTGGGTGAGTTATCGGGTTTGTTCACGAAAAATGACAAAGCTTAATATGCATATGAAATAAGTTTCGAAAAAAGAAAAACAAAAAAAAAAAAAAAAAAAAAAAGGGAAGAATGAAAGTGGGAAAGAAAAAATTTAAAAGGTCTTTTGAAAATGTTTATTCAACTGTACATCTCTCCATGAATATTCTTTTCGCTCGTTCCAAGGTAATGTGTAATATGTGCTCTGGGTATGCGCACACACACATATACATATATATATATATATATATATATATATATATATAGAGAGAGAGAGAGAGAGAGAGAGAGAGATAGATATTCTTCGTGCACGTGATGGAATGGCTACGAACACAAGAATCCACATGCTAATATGTATGTTGTGCTAGTGCCAATCCCCTAGATGCTGGTTTTCCAAGCACTATATCCACTTTAACGCACATTACTCATAGACACACATACACGTATGAACGTATGTTGATGGTTTTCTTTCAAGAAGGATGATTGGAAGACATGTATTATATTCATCAGGAAGAAGAAATTGTGTAGTAACTACTATTTCGGAATGAACTTATATGCATTTTTATCAACAGTACTGACATCGATTCCACTTATGTCAATACCGCTAACATTGATATTTGTCACATTCTCATTGTTATGCATGCTGTATTTTTTTAGCTTACTATAGTTTGCATTGCTACTCGTGGTGTTGGCCATTTTGTTGTCGTAGCTATTAACTTCTTGCTCGTATTGATTAACATTGTATGGAAAATTCTGACTGTTCAGGTGATAGGGTGAATACCTATTTTCGTATAGCATATTTTCATTATTATTTAAGTGCGTTGTGGTGTAATTGTTTCTTATGTGTGCAGTTTGATTGTGAATGGCGTTCTTGTCGCTCGGATGTATGTTCGACGTCTGTGCATATTTGGGGTAATTCATGCTGTGTTCATTTTGGTAATTCATGCTGTGTTCATTTTGGTAATTCGTGCTGTGCTCATTTTGGTAATTCGTGCTGTGCTCATTTTGGTAATTCATAGTATTCTCATTTGCGTTCATATAGTTTGCGTTTCGAGTGGAATCTGCCGGAGTGCTAGCGGAGGGTATGCCCCTAGGTGGGTGTGCATATCGTTGGTGGTGATGAGACTGTGGGGGATTCGTTTCATAACCAGCTACATATCTGGATCCATAACCCGTTTCGTAGTTCGCTTGATCATACATATTTCTCTCATTTTCGACTGTGCGATTCTGTTCCTGATTGTAGATGCGTCTGTTTACGTGAGCGGGACTCCCACTTGCGAGACTAACAACTTGGCTCCCTTGCTTTCTTCCTCGGGTTCCCATTCCATCACGTGCATCGCGTGCAAATGAAATGTTATTCGCAGGAATGGCTTCTCTTCCTGCACTGGGAGTTGCATAGGATTCATTTGGACCTTCATTTGGACCTTCATTTGGATCTTCATTTGGATCTTCATTGGGGTACTCATTGGGATTCTCATTGGAGTTTGCTGCACGTCCTAGGTCCTCATTTGGGGTGATAGCCAAAGTGGAATTATTAATTTTATACTTGTTAGTGTAGTAAAAATTGTAGTCTAGCTTAATTAAAAAATTATGAGCATAGTCATCTATGTTATTATTAACATATTCAGTGAGGTCCAAGAAAAAGTTTTTGAAATGCCTATCATAATGCTTAATGGTGTTGTGTATCATTGAAATGTATGCTTGGTCGCTCAGTAATTCTTGAATAAATTTTCTATGATAGCTATTTTTTTTTTTTTTCTTTCTATCAGTTCCATTTCGATTTAGATGTCCGCCATTGCTGTTGCAGTTGTTATTGCTGTTACTGTTACTGCCACTATTATTGCTGTTTTCACATTTGGCACTTTCGTGGGCCGCTAAATTTTCAATTTGCTCATTTTTGTTGAAGTTAAATTTTAGAATATGTCTGGTAAATATATGCGATATGGAAATAAGTTTTAAAATAGAATTGATAATATTTTGATTCATAATGAAAGAATATTTAAGTACATTATTCAGGTATTTGTTATGGATATGTATAATGTCATCAAAAATGAGTGTTTCTTTCAACTTGTTATTCATATAATTATATTCAGCTTTGATTACATCATTTTGTAAATGATACACATAACATTTTAAGAAGTGAATCATACACTCTCTTGTGTGTATGCATATCATCAGATTGTTTCTACATTCTTCATTTATAAATATATTCTTTACAAACATATGATTTAACCAAACTTCCGTTAACTTATGTTCAATGTATTTGCAATAATTTAGGATTCGGAATATTAGAGAGTACTTAAATATGGTTATATTATTAAATATTAAGTTGTAGGGAAACATATTGTGATAAGAGAGGACTAGTCCCTTGTATATTTCTACGTTTGTGTTCGTTTGCATATTGTTATGTATGTTGCTTAGAACATTGTTTTTTAGATTCGCTAGTATTTTTTTTTTCTCTCCCATGAGACATTGTTCATCCATCATTCCTTTTGTCGTTCTTCCCTGTTTTGCGTAATTTTTTTTTTTCTTTTTCTGTCCATTTATTTTGCTTATTCCTCCCTCTTGTTTTTGTTTATCACCATCTTCTTGGCTATCCGTTTCTGGATCTAAATCTGTGTCTTCATTCCCCGATTCTTCAAGATGGGGTGCTCCTCCTCTGAGTGCTTCCCCTTCATCGTTCAGATGCCTCTTAGGAAAGTAAGGTCCATTTTCATCTTCTATTTCCTGATACTTGAGTAATACCTTTCTATTCCTAGATTCTTCATGGTTAGCTACATCCTCATAATTCCCTTTACCAAATCTAACTTGATCCGAGTTGAGGTAGAAATTTTTCAAATCAATAATAAGATTAACATTGTCTATAATACTGAGAATGTCTGACATGTCTACATTGTAATCATTTTTGTATTTCAAATGATAAAGTACAGAGGATCGTAAAGAAATATCAAAATAATTTTTCAGTTTATTCAATATGTTACTATTCTTTTTGTTGTTATATAATTTTTCCAAATATTCATGTGCTAGAATATAGAAATATTTTAAATAATCACTAATTTGTAAGAAGAAGAAAAAATAATGATGTTTTATTTTTTCCTTAATATCAATTTTTTTTATATATAACTCGAACATTTTTTTCGATGCAAATAAATGCTGATTTTGTATTAGATATTCATATGTTTTCTTATCTCCATCATATATTAGAAAACAACTTTTATTGTTCTTTTGAGAGTTCATAAAATTGCTGAATATTTTGTCCTCTTCAGGGTTACAGGTATCATTTATGTTTTCGTACGTTCCTCTATTGGAGGATTGTTTATGTCTGTTCTTCAACATGGTTGATGTTGTGTATGAACTTTTCATGTCTTCTTCAGATGCTGCACAACCTCTATCCGTGACAGTGTTGTGGAAGCCATCATCACTATTTCGTAATTCTGTTTTCATGTGGAATTCACCATGTCTATGGAATTCTCCTCCACCGATGTGCAAGGGGTAAGAATGCTGGTTCTTCAATGTTAAGAGTTTGGAACAAGCTAAAAGCACATCAATGTATTTACCAGTTATGAAAATATAATACGAGATATTTTTCAAAAAAAGGGGAACTTTATTATTTAGCAAAACATATTTGGCACCCCAATAATTGGTAGAGAGGTCTATATATTTTTTATATATATATTTATAAATATTTGAACAGTATAATTTATTGGTTTGCTTATAATATGGTGTAATATTTTTATTTTCATGTATAAAGAATTCTCTATATATATCCTTTACTTTTCCATAGAAAATATAATTTTTAATAAAATCGAATAAAGGGGTAGTGATATTTTTTAATAAATATATAAGCACGGTTTTGTTAATATTATCTGAGTTTAGATATTCCTGCAATTTGTATATCAGATCGATTAAATACTTTGAATTGTTCATTTTTTTTTTGGCAATAATTTTATTAATAATTTTGTTAAGAAGTTTGGCTATTTGAATTAATGGAAGAATGCTTATTTTTATTTTGTAAAGAGAAATATCTTCTGCTTTATCAATATTGATATTAAAAAATAGGTTAAAATCTCTTACATTTTTGCGAAATAAATTGTTGATGCTGAAGAAAATTTTCTTTTCTTCTGGATCTGTACATGTAGATAATGCATTTGAGTCGAATAAACACATAGGAAGATGGTTTGTTCTATTTTCATTCATACTGTGTTCATTTATATTGCCATTTCCATGGGTTCCACCAGGTCCATCCTTCATGTAAATTCTGGAAAAATTATAAACATTCCTTACATTTTCTTCAATCTTGTTAATATGATTTAGAATATGTAAACTGATGTTATACAAACAGCAACAGAATATATCAAAAGTGAAGTTACAACACTGTCCTCTTTTGTTAATTTCGATAAATCTTTGAATTCTTCTTAAGCAAATTCCTAATTTTAATATTTCTCTCGTGATTTCCAAGTGACTACTATTGCTTTCCTTGTCACTTAGAATAATTGGATGAAATATAAGTTTATATTTAGGCATTAGGTATACGAAATCGTTATTTAGTTCCATCAACACTCCTTTTTCTTCAGTAGTAAGGTTTGCATTAAATTTGATTCCTCCATTGCAGAAAATAGATTCAGAGGATGTGCTAGACACGGTAGAATTGTCACTACTGCCTGAAGTTGAAGAATTATCACTATCATCATTGTCGTCACCCTTTTCACTGTATGAAGATAGTGAATACACGGAACTGGTATCATCTTTGCTATTATTCTTCAATTGGGTGTAATTTTTATTTCTTTTCAAAATATCATACACAAATGTGTAATATGTTTCGTGGTCATACTTGTAGTACTCCTTAATGTATATTAAATTTCCATAGCTGTTATTTAGAACATATAAAATGTCGATGATGAGAAGACATTCTTTAATATATAAACTATAGGTGATATAATTTTCTACAATTTTTTTCGTTATATAGTTATTGAAGTATATATAATCGTGATTATTCTGTTTTTGTTGAAAGTTATGATTGGTAGATACTTTTGTCTCTTCCTCTAGATTGTGTGTATTATTTAAAAAGACATGACTATCCTTAACTAAATTGTAGTTATATATTAGTAAATATGAATTGTTGTCATTTATTTTATTGTGACTTGTTAAGCATACATTGTGAAAGGTGAAGGTAATGTTGATATCTGTTGCGCTTCCGAAGAGATGATTGAGGTTCATTTTTTTGATTAACACTAATTTGTAATAATTAGATTCTTCATTTGTTGTGGATATGTTAAAGCTGTTTTCATTTTTATCTGTATTTATTTCTGTACCTGTGTACGCATTATTTGTGGATGTTCGGTCGAATGGGACTTTCTGAACACCCAAGATTTCTTTTGTTTTATTATTAATTAGCAAAAAATAATCATTAATATATACTTTCGTGTAGCAATTTACAACCCTGTTATGCATGTTCACGACGTCGTATAGCACATCGTTTATGTCCACCAAGTCATTTTTAGCGAATCGATTAAGGTACTCATTTATTAGTATACTTTTTTTTATAAGTATCCATGAATTATAAGTATCTAAATTGATAAATAATGTTTTTTTAAATTTCATTTTTCTAAATATAACATCTTTGTAGTTGACATACCTTTCATTTTGGATGTACAGATTTTTTTCTTTTTCTATATGATCATTTGAGACACTTAAAAAATGCAAATTTGAATTGATATGTGTGAAAATATGTTCGTAATTGTTGTCTGAATCATCATCATCAGAGTATATATAATTTTTTTTATTTTTTAATTTTCCTTGTTTTCCTAATTGTCTAATGTTTTCTCTGTTTTTTTTTTTTTTTTTTTTTTTTTTGTCATAAGTTTCACAAAAATTCATATTGCTTGTTTCGAATATAGTGCTGTTGTATATTGGATTTTCATCTATTGGTTGGTTTGGAATTGAACTTGTTAGACTGCTATAACTGTCTTCTTTTAAATCATATAATGCATTTTTTTTTTTTTTTTTTTTTTTTTTTCCCTTCATTATTTTTTTTCTTTTCTGTACATTTACATGTTCATATTTTTTATTATTATATATGATATATATAATGTCATTGTGACATAAGTAACTATTGCGAGAATTTATATTTTGACTATTTATTATTAGGAAAATGCTTCTGTTATGTTCATATCTGTATGGGTATGTAAACTCCAGTGACGTTTCTTTGTTACAATCTCTCCTCTTTTTTTCTCTAATTCTGATGTTTTCATTTCCATATATTTTGTCATATTTGGAGGATTCCCTGTTAGATTTTTTCTTAATATTTACATAACACTTGGAGTAGTTGTTAAATAGGCAAAGACAATTGCGGAACTTGACATTCGTTATGTTGATGCGATTGTTGTTTTCGCTTTCGACTTTTTTTTTTATGTTGCTTATGTCCATTTTACGATGCCGTGAAGGGGAAACAAAAGGGGCGCGTAGGAGGAAGAAATGAACGTGGGGAAAAAGTGGGAAAAAAGTGGGAAAAAAGAGGGAAAAAAGAGGGGGAAAAGAAAAAAGGAAAATATGAAGTGATACATAAATCGAAGAAGTGAAAGCCGAGGTGTAAAGAGAATAGGAAAAAAAGTTAATGTATAAATGAGAAGAATATAAAACGAGCAATTAAAAGGAGGAAAAGAAGCATGGAAGAAAAAGAGGATAAATAAAAGCCGATAAATTATATATGAAAGAGCCCATAGCAAAACGTCTGAAGAGTAAAATTATTATCTTTTTTGGAGGAGCGTCTTGCATAAAGAGGGAAAAGCCCTCAACAAGCGTTCATGAAAAGATGTTGAAAATGATGCTTTTGAAGAATTTTGTGACATTACGTTAATTTTATTATTATTTTTTTCGTTTTTAGCTTTGCAAAAAGGGGTAATATTCTCGCACACCAAAAGGAAAAAAAAAGGAAAAAAAAAGGAAAAAAAAAGGAAAAAAAAAGAAAAAATAAGGAAAAATAAGGAAAAAATAATAATAAAATAAAATATGAAAAAAAAAAAAAAAAAAAAAAAAAAAAAAAAAATTTAAAAAAAAAAAAAAAAAAAAAAAAAAAAAGAAAACATTTATTATGGAAAAAAAATAAAAAAAAAAAAAAAAAAAAAAAAGGAAAAGAAATACAGGGAGATATAGGATATAACTCTGAATACTAGATTTTCCTAGAATGGCATATGTAATGAATATGATAAAAAATTTGGATAAATATATATAATGTAGGAAACGAAGAAAAAATATATAATCGAATTGGTTTTTTTTTTTTTTTTTTTTTTTTTTTTTCCTAGTGTTACATTATGACTGCAAAAAAGAAAAAACAATTTGCAGAATAGATAAACATTTAAAAAAGGGTTTTTATAAAATAAAAAAATACTACAAAAAGTTATTGTTTAGGAATAATTCATAATAAGCAAAAAAAAAAAAAAATGTCGCATGAATTCTTTTATCTTATATCCTGTCTGTAATGAGAGTATAGTAATTATCTTTTGTCTGTATGAAAAAAAAAAAAAAAAAAAATGCACAAACGGTTAGCGCAGTGTTAATGTTTTTGACCTTTGGAGCTCGGAATGTGAAATGTATTCATATTCAATATATATAAACGAAAAAAAAAAAAAAAAAAAAAATACGGTTACTGATTTTTTGCCGTGTCTTAGGTATGGTTCGTCGTAATTTAGAGACCAAAAGGAATACACGTTTCTGTAGGATGAGTATGAGGGTGATAAAAAAAGGTGTAAAAAGGGATTTAGAAAGGAATATAACAAAAACAAAATGCCATTTATATGTTATACAATAATGTCTCAAAATGTTATTATAAATAATAAGCTTGTTTTTTTTTTTTTTTTTTTCATTATGTCTAACTTTAAAACTTTTTTGAGGCTTAAATTTTGAAAATCCCAGCACCTCAATTCGGTATTGTATTTATCTGTTATGTGGTTAGGCCTGAACAATTAGAAGAAATTGGAGGGGATGAATTAAAATGATACATTTGCCACATAGAAAAAAAATCTCTTATTTTAGTATTGTAAGTACTCTCCTTTTGCACCCAACACATGGGACACACATACATATATATATATATATATATATATATATATATATATATATATATATATATATGCATATTCATTTATGGATTAACACTCTCCTTACCTTTTGAAGTGTTCATAAAAGGTAATATTCGTTAATATGGTCCTCGTGTTTCGTGCAAACAAGTATGTTATGAATGCGAGTAGGGTAATGTTAATGAAGTTGCACAATATAACGAGCAAAGCGAATGCCTGTAAGGGGAGGATGCAAAAATGAGGAAGAAAAAAGAAATCGACCTAAAATTATTTAATGTGAAATTATCAGAAACTATTGTCATATGATCAATACAATATGCTTACATAATCTACCGTTTTGTGAAACAAATTTAAATATAAAAAAACGTAATAATAATTGTATAGTAATAAGACGAGGACGGAAAATATGAACATGTAGAAGGATCGCTGATTTTTTATTCCTAAGAAAATGTGAAAAGTGTAAAAGAAGAGAATATTTATTGAATGTCAATTTATTAGGTTTAGAGCACAAGGAGGGATGCTTATTTAGATTTATAAAAGAATGGGTTCACTATTACCTATGCAGTTGTCAACCCATACGCAGTGGTGATCTTGGTGTCTGCACATAGGGAGAAGCAAAGTGAGTGAAATGAAAAAGGCAAATAGAGAAAATATAGCTATTTTATTCCTCTGTCGCTAATTCCACTTCTCTCTTTCGCTCATTGCTTACACGATGCAGTGTAAGCATTCCGCACAATGGTGAACCCTCGGGGGTTTGATAATGCTGCAAGTAACACACACATTCTGTTAAAAAGGGAAGAGAGGAAAGGAAATCGAGTAATTGTATTTATGCCGTGTATTAGTGTGGGACACGGGAATAATCCCCATGTTATCTCTACGGTGACAACAAGTGCTGTCATAACTCCTGTTATATGATTTGTTATGAAATTATCACTATAGCTACCATCAGTACTACTATTGGTAGTAGCATATTTAGAATTGTTTTGTCCATGCATGTGACATATGCATGTAGAATGCACATGTGTGTTTTTGGAGCGATTGGAAGAAGCAAGCTCACCCGTGGGTTTTGGTTATATAATATAGAATTTCTGTAATCGACGTCGAGAGAATTAATGCGTTCCTGAGAGACCTGAGGATAGAGAGATAACTTTTGGCTTTCCAAATTAAGAATAAGTTGGTCGTACTTTGTGCACTCCAAATCATCTGGGTTGGTAATTTTTGTAAGTGCCATGTTAGCAGAAATGATCATTTTATTAATTTTAAATAATTCCATTTCGATGTTGTTTAACTGATATTCTGCTTTTTTTTTAAATGAGCCATCATATGTATATGTAAAAGTAGAATTATTTTTTCCTTGTCTGTTTCTTAAAATATTATTTTTTTTGTAGAAGCCTGGATTTTTAAAATATAGAATACACCATAAAAATTGTTGAAATAGCCAAATGGATATCCATGTGATAGATAATGTATGATATTTCTTAAGAACCCAAAACGATTTGGTAATATTAATGTAAATAATTAAGTTTAAAATGGCGAAGAACCAAAAATAGAATGCATAAATAGTTTTACATATCTTTAATCCTTTACACATTTTATTTTGTAGTTGCCATTTTTTTAATAATATATATACTAAAAAATATCTATTTTTTAAACATAACTGAAAAACATTTGTATATTTATTTTCAATAGATGTACAGTAAACTAAGTTTAAAGAGCCATAATCACATAATAATCTTAGAATATCTGTGTCACAGTATTTAACAGCTATATGTAGGACTGTGTTTCCATAAAAATCTCGATGGTTTATGTTTACATTTTTACTTAGCAACCATTGTAATGTGCTTATATTATTTTTTTTTACACTTAAAAATAAAGCCGTTTGACCATGTTCATTTTGTTCTTCTAAACTAACTCCGTTTAAATATAAAAATTCTAAAATGTGTAATGTTTCTAATATCTTATCTTCATTGAATTCACTAATAGCTGTTAAGAATGGGCTCATTTTTCTTCTATTTTTATGAAAGAGTATGGAAATACCGAAATGTTTTATTAGTAGTAATACAATTTCATAGTTACTATTTTTTATAGCGTAATAAATAGCCGTATCGTTATTCACTAAGTCTTCCTTTTCTATGTCACAGTTTAGGTTAATCAATTTTTTTACCAATTCAGTGAACCCACAATAGCATGACCAATGTAAAATGTTTATCTCGTTCAGCATCTCGATGTCATTGTTCATAATATACGGTTGAATCACAATTTGGAGTCTTATGAAGTCTTGATGTTTGGCGCATTTTATTATTTCTTGCTGTTTCTCAAGGATTTCGCTGTCTATATGTTCGTTATCACTGTGCATTTTGTGTAAATAGCTGATGGAACAAGTGGGTATATGATGAAAGTGTATCTTGTATGCAGCGCGTGGTGCCTATGTGGAGAAGGCCTCCTTAGCACTGTATCTGCTTATGCACTGTGTGTGCACCAGTTACGTTTATGCAACTTAGGTACAATCAAAAGCAAGGAAACTTGTAGGGGTTAAAATGTTTACTGCGAGAGAGTTACACAAGAGATGTGTGCAGTGCCTCCTTGCAAAGTTTTAATTTACAAAAAAAAGAAAAAAAAGGTAGACAAAAGGGGTGCAGAAAAAGGGAGAAGAAAAAGAGCAGAGACAAAAATTGTTCCATTCAGTATAGCTTCCTAGCACATTTAAGAATGGACATATGTCCATATTGCTTCTGTATAACGCATAGTGATATGTTGTAAAATATAATTACGCATTTTTTTTTTTTTTTTTTTTTTTTCTATTCTATTATATCCTATTCTATTACATTATATTCTTCTTTTTTTTTTTTTTTTTTTTTTTTTAAAGTAGGACTTTCATTTAGTATGTTAAATAAATGGTGTTTATAGTTTACGCGAACATTTTTGTAATTTCTTCTATTGACCCTCTGTGATTACGTTTTTATGCTTCTCAATGCTTGCCCTATTTATTTCCCACTTGAATGCGCCTTTATTTCCCCCTTACTTTCGGTAATTCTTTTTTCTTTTTTTAATTTATCGTACCTTACGCTTTTTTTAGACTCTTTTGCTAAAATTTTCTCGATTAAATGTGGAGGGGTATTTGAAATGTGTACTGGGTGGGAAGGAACAGAGATACGCATATGTCAAAGGAGTTATGCCTTGTCCATGAGTGTGGGAACGCTCCTCGTTTACCTTTCTCATTGAGTGCTTTATTTTTCACTCAGAACAAAATTGTGCATTGTGGGAAATTAAAAAAACGGAAATTATTACTGACAAAGATGAACGCGGGCGCATATATATATGTACACACACATGTAAGTATGTATTTATATGTTAACAAAATTATATTGTTTCTTATCAAAGAAGTCTTATGCTCTTGAAAAGAAAGTAACGTTAATGGATTTAAGTTTCAAAAGTAATATTGCGAGATGGTGTGTGTGCCAAGCTGGGGTGGGGGACAAAGTTTGCTAATTATTTATTCTCCTATGAATTGCATCTCACGGAGTGTTTTATTTATTTATTTATTTTACTAGGTGACGTGTTTTATTTTTTATTTTGTGTGTGTATTAGAAATGGTTAATTTGTTTTTGTTTTGTCACATGTTTGCTGTATGCATTCTGACATGTGGCTTTGTTCCCCTAGCTAGGGGAGAGAAAAAGTGCGCCTATGGATATGGAATAATAATTTTTTTTTTAAAAGAAATCGAGACACAGTGAGAAGAAGTAAATTATTTCCCACTCAATTCATAACCTTAATAGGAACTTACGTATACAATTAAGTAGGCACAAATTATTACGTTCAGTTTGGTTTATTTTTCGAATGTTTCAGTTAACATTTCACTTTTTTCCTTTCATGACATGAAAGACGGGGGAAGAAAAAAAAAAAACAAAGATTTCTATATTTTGTAGGAGTGGCACATAAGCAAAAGTGGGATTGAACAAATAGTGTGGGTTGGATATCATTTGGATTATAAATGAAATAAGTAAATAAAGTTATATATTATATGTAAGGAGCATGAATATAGCGATGGAAACATAGTATCACCATTTTGTGCCCTTTTTTTTTTTTTTTTTTTTTTTTTCCTTCTCATCTCCCCTTTTTGGTTTAATAATAGGGAAATATTAGACACATTCATATAAATATGAAATGTGGATTGAAGCAGAAACAAACAAATGATTCTGCTTCGGTAGGGGATTCTCAAAAATGGTAAATATAAAATGTTATAGGGAACTACATAATGGATGAGACATATGAGGATAATAATGTATTCATGCTCTATGTCACTAGGAGTTGCATAATCGGTGTTGTACTGTATTGTGTTGTATTACAGTACATTGTATTGTATTACGTTGCGTTGTATTTTTTTTAACATTCCAGGTAAAATGGTTTGTATGAATATAAAGAATATTCATGCACATGTTTAATATCGTTATGTACAAAATACTGGGGAAGTTGCCTTCAAGACGCTGTTGTGGTATTGTGTGAGAGAAATTATTCGGGATTCATTTATAACTATAAATATTTGTGGTGCTTTTTTTATTTAAAAATAGATTTTATTTGTCTCTCTCTCTCCCCCCCTCCCTCTGCCCTACGCTAAATAAGGCTTCAAAATATAAGAAGCGTGCTATAAGAAGACATAGTGTGATAGCTTCCTCTCACTGTTGTCCTACATTTATATACATCCACTTACTAATTTTTGTATTTTCTCATTTTAGCCTTAATTATTTTTATTTTATATTATATCATACCTGCTTGACCCCATTTTGAAATAATTGCTTTTGTTGAAATAAAAATATATATTTCGATTTTTTGTTTTTTTTATAAAAAGTTCCAAGTGGAAATCATATTTTCTGTTATATGGATAATTAATTGGGGGTAAGCAATGAAATTCCCTTTTCTTCTTCCCTCCACATGTAAATATTTCCATTTGTACATGTACCAAGTAGAATAGACGTGGTAAAAAGGTAAAGCTGCTAATATATTTTTTCCGGTTATAATAAATTCGTTTGTTAATAAATTATCAGCTTGTTTTTGTTTTTCCGTTTCCGTTTGCGCTTTTTTTTTTTTTTTTTTTTTTTTTCTTTCGTAATAGGATTTCAAAAAAAAAATGTCCTGTTTTTTTCATTAAATACAAATTGGTGAAACTTAGCCTGGCATGGAGATATGTATATATATATATATATATATAGTACATATAATGTATATATTTTTTCGCAAGCGAATAAAAATGTGAAGGCAAAAAATTGTTTGCGCCTCTTGCAGTGGAATAAATATGTATGCAGAAAAAAAAAGAAAAAAAAAAAAAAAAAAAAGTAAAAACTCTATTGTGACTGCTTGTACATATGTGAAAAAATTCGTTCTTATATAAATTTTTTCCTTCTTTTTAGGAAATTAAGAATTATTTAGAATTCTTGTTCCCAATTTTTTTGCCTTCAACAAATTGAATAATTTAACTTCCCTCCCACACCGGATGAAGCACAATTTATTATACTGTTGAAAGTTGGAAAAAAAAAATTTGAAGCGTGTACATATATTTGTATATCTTTACAAAATTATACATATGAATAACACAAGGGAAGAAAAAGGCTCCTTATCCATTGGATATTTGCTGACGTTTTGAAAAAATCGATTTTATTATTTGGAAAAGGGGAAGGGAAATATAGTACAATTCCTGTTTTTTTCCATAAGAACTTTCACCTATCCCTCTTTTTATTTTCCCCTCATCTTCTTGTTCTTATTAAAAGATTTCCCGAACACAACAAGTAATACAAATAAATACATGAAAAGATAAAAACATTTAGGGGAATAGCCTGTATATAACATTTTATGACGACGGAATACTTTTTTTTTTTTTTTTTTTTTTTTTTTTTTGGTATATGTTACAATGGACATTTTGGTTTCATTTTGTAAAAGAATGTTTTCCTGTTTCATGTTATTTTGTAGTGTAGTTGTTAGTTATTTATCACTTCTCCGTCATTCCAATTTTATGGTCACGTCACTTCACCATCATGTTACCATGTTTCTTCCCCCTCTGCCCCTGTAGTGGATGGATTCAACGAGAACTACCTGAATGATGATGACGATTTCATGGGAGATGAATTTGGGCAAGGAGTTGACAGTGATGATGGTGATAATTATGAAAATGATATTGACATTATAACTGATAATCAAATTAAAAAGGAGAAATCTGATTACGAGAATTCTGAAGGGAATGATGAAAATATAAGAATAACGAGCCCATATTTAACAAAATATGAAAAGGCAAGAATTATAGGTACACGAGCTTTACAGATAAGTTTAAATGCCCCTTTAACAATACCCATTGAAACACAAGGGATTGAGGTTTCAAACGGAAAGAATGAATATGATAATTACTTAAATAACGATCCTCTGGTTATAGCAGAAAAGGAGTTACATAACAAGTCGATTCCATTCATATTGAGGAGATATCTCCCGAATGGCAGCTATGAGGATTGGAAATTGGATGAACTCATTATTGACTAGTCATGTATTTCCCCCCACCCCCGCTTTCTGTTACACCCGCACTTCACTTGAATCGAATTAACCTAATTGATTTTAATTATACGAACGAAGTTTATTTGTTTTGTTTTAAGTTTATCATTTTATTATGTTTTATATTTTACAGCCCTTCATTGTGTTAAGTTTTACTATATTCCACTATGTCTTATTATATTCTGCTATGTTAAATTTTATTATGTATATATATATATATATATATATATATATATATATATATATGTATATATATTTTTTTTTTTTACTGCCATTACTATGTACACATATTAGCAGATTCCATGTGGCATAGATTCCCCTATGCACTAGGAGTTCACATTCCCATGTACCTCTAATTTTTCTAGTTGTAAATAACCTTTTAACAAGTTAACACTGTATTTGTTATTTTTTATACTAATACAGTGTATAAAAGTGCCTTTTTTTTTAATTCCTTTTTTTGGACACTTCCCCTATAAGAATGATATATAAATGGGTTTGTGTGTTCCTGTGCTATAATTTTAGTATATCTTTTTTTTTTTTTTTTTTCTTTTAATGGTTTTATTTGAATTATTGTAAGAATGGTGAAGAAAATGTTTTCATTATTTGATACCTATAACACACCAACATGGATTGGACAGAAAAAAAAAAAAAAAAAAAAAACCTTAACACCATGATGTTAATAACCACTTGGGCTGCTTAATATCTGAGTATAAATCAGTGTTAATTTTGTTGTTTTTAAAAAGTAAGAATAATGTAATATAATCATGGATGATGGGTACTACGAATATATCAAATTTTACTTAAGTGCATGTAGGTTGGAAGGGCATCCGATTTGAACAAAATGGTAAAAAAATAAAAAAAAAATATATATACGTAAAATGAATAAAATAAAATAGGAAGCGGTATGCGATACCCCTCCCCAGTGCGTGTTCTTATAATGCATAACAATAAAAGAAACATCGCACTACATACATTTTGTTATTTTGTGCGTATCACTTCAAAAAATTTTGTGTGTTTATAAGTGTACATGATTAATTAGAAAGAAAGACAATTAATAAAAACATTTTGAAATTTTGTCCTTACAATGAGGTACACAGATCAGTGTGTATGTATTTAAAAACTAAAAAGGGGATTTTCAAAAGAAAAAAAAAAAAAAAAAAAAAAAAAAAAAAAAGGCGGGAGAAAAATTAAACAAATGAATTATTGAAAAGGTGTGAATGACGTGATAGGGATTCCAAGAAATCAACTACTGTCGCTAACATTCATGTACTTTTCGTAGTAGGTCAGACTATTAATCTTCCAGTACTGAAAGGAATTATACTAAAAAGAGGTTTAAAAAATTTTTTTTTGAAATGTTATTACGCGTAATATGCATTAAAAATGGAAGGTGATGAATTGCAGAAATATTTTCTACAGTCTACATTTCTGCGAGTTGACAAAAATATATTTATGCAGTATCATATTCTTTTTTCTATATAATGATGCAACCGTATGTTTATGCAGGTGCATCTGTATATACACTCAACGAAACGATTCTAAAATTGTTACTATGTATGTGCATACGAAAAAAAGTAACTTTTTACACATACATCACAAAAAATAAGAACATGGATACTGAGAATGAAGTTATAAATAAACATGTGCAAGGAAAAAAAAAAGAATGATACACGGAGATAACAAAATTTGACAGATCCGAAATGGAACACAATAAAATTCAATTCAATTAAAAGTCATGTATATATACACTACTACTTGAAATGAAAAGGATGTTTATCATGGGAAGTTATGCGGCGAAGAGTTGTGATGATGAAAAGTTATAACTTGCGAAAATGAAAGGAAAGAGAAGATATGAGACAACATGAAGAGGGACGAAGCAGGTCTAAAAGCAAACAAACGAAACGAGAAGAGACGTCTCATATTTGCTTGACAATACATGTTCAAATATTATTCTGTTCGCAAATTTCGTGCCATAACACTTTAAGACAAATTTTAAATGTGAAAATTGAGAACAATTATGGGATGGGTGAAAATTTAATTTGCAATACATGGATTGTGTGATACGTATGCATACACGTAGGTAAATATGTACATGCTCATGTGTAGGTATAACTTGTATGCACCATTCCAACACAATGTATTCAAATGTTAAACCGTATGAATTCTATGCAATTTGATTAGAGGAACTGCGATATAGAATATATATATATATATATATATATATATATATATATATATATGTACAATAAAATCACTATTACGCAATCCTCGTGAATGCACAGACGTCATAATTTCGTTAAACTATATATTTTATTGTTTTTCTTCTTTACTTGGTCATCATCTTCTCTCTTTTGATCATTTTTAATACATGGGAACATGTGTTCGGTTATTTCGCTCATTGTTTCGTAGCTAAACGGAGGAGGTGAAATTAAACGACAGCGTGAAGAAATTTTTCTACATGTAAGGATGTTGCATGTACATTGTGCTTTTGCGTTCGAGTCAAGTATGGAAGCACATTTTTCGCTTCTTTGCTTTGCACTCGTTTATTTTTATGTTTTTCATTTTCGCATTTCCTGCGCTCTTCATTACGTTTTCGCATAAGTCGAATTGACATGGTGAACAATGCCCCTGTTGTCTATGATGAAAACTTTTGCTTCAGGGACTCCAACGGATATGTACGCTCGATGATCCTTTGAAAGTTCAGAAAGTGTTATTTTCTCGTGTGTATGATGTTTTATGAAGGGAAAAGAGGGTACACAAATTGGTGCACCTGCCCAAATGTATGAAGTTAAATGATAATGCAGAGAGTATAAAAGGGTTATTATCTCTCCGTGGGCAAACATCATTTAAAGGTGCGTTCATATATATATATATATATATATATATATATATATATATATATATATATATATATCCATATGTACATGAGTGAAGAGATGCATATTTTTCTGATTTTATTTTTTTGAACAGCTCTGTTCTTACACTTTCAGTGTTGCCAAAGGCCGCATAAAACGGATTATGGTTTAGAGGGAAAAGGTTACGAATATCCCTCAAAGCAGCAATTTTAAAAATATATGGTTTTTTATCTATAACTTCTCTTTTGAAAGACGGGAAGAGTCTGTCTGGACTTAAAATTAATGGTCCATCTGGTAATTTATTATTGTCATTTCGTTTAAAACGAAATAAATATTCCCTTGTTGAATCAGCCTGACCAATAGCTCTGGCAGTTAAGTACAGAATATGATATCCATTATTATTTATTTTGTTAAATAATTGGGAAACACCATCGTGAGACCAATCTTTTCCTACTATGGGCATTATGTGTCCAAGGACATTTGATCTTGTTATAGTTCCGTCAACATCTGAAATGACAATTTTCGCATTTTTTTTCCATAAGTATATAGTACCATTTATACTTTTGGTACCTTGGAGGGATGAGGTAACTAGGAAGGTAATAGTATTTGCTCCTTCTTTTAGATTAAGTGATTGTAGCTGTTCTGAAGTTGGTCTTAATGATTTTCGATACCGTATCTTTATTCTTTCATCCCCATATCTGGTGCTTCTCCGGCTAACTTCGCTTTGGTTGTGTACTGAATTTTGTATACTCCTTTTCACTTCATTCTCTTTCAAATTTGGCATTTCATTTGTTGCATTGTTGTTAGCACTACTGGAGTTTATGCTACTCCTATTGTTGTGCTTGCCAGTTTTGTTACTGTTATGCATGTCATTTTTGTTACTGTAATTCTTATCATCTTTGTTGCTATTACGCTTATCATTTTTGTTACTGTTTCTGTCGTTGCCGCTGCTAGTGGTAGCAACTGTTGCAGCGTCAGTAGTAGTGAGATTCGTAGTTTTTTTTCCTTCCTTTTTCTTGTCTTCAATTTGATTGGATCCTTTGTTGTCCCACCCTTTGCTTGAAGTTTTGGTGTTGACTGTGTTATTGTATTCGGCACTGGATACACCGAACCAATTTCTCCATCCTTTATCCTTGGTTTCTACTAATGTTAAGGATGAGTTTAATAACTTTTCGACAGCCAAAATGGACAGAGGTTGGTTGAATACAACCCATGATGCTAACAGTGGTAAGGCAACCCTTGAGGGGTAGTAAGGATCTTTTTTATCAAATCGAAAAACAAGAGATGGGTGATACCACAAGTTAGAGTTTTTATCTATCTGGTCATATGTAACTATATTTGCTTCAAATATATTTTTATTATGTATTTCTATGTTATAATCGTTATGTTCATTATCTACATTTTGGTTAAGTAATAAATGACCACATAGACTACACTCGATTCTATTTTGAATATCATCGTCAAAACAGTTGTCCGGTTCTTCCTTCGAGTAGTTCATATGATTTTCCTCATCGTTTGAATCCATTCCTAGATTTTCGTCCGAGGAATGTTCATGTTGTGATTTGAAATGTCCTCTTCCATTCCCTCTTTCTCTGGAATATACTGTTTTGCTCAAATTTTCTGTCTCATATTCTGAAAGTTTTTCAAATATGTTTTCCGCTTCACGATCCGCTTCCCGTTCTGCTTCCCTTTCCGGAATTTTTTCCTTTGCTTGCTCCCTGGCTTTCTGTTTCAATTTTTCTATAATTTTTTGCTTCTCCCTCTCAAGACCCTTCTCGCTTTTCCTGTGAGGTCCCTTATCGCTTATTCCTTCTCCCAATGGGCGACCTTCTATATGTTCTGACTTATCCTGATTTTCCTGTTTTTTTTCTGCTTTATTTTTTTCCTCCTTTATCATTTTCAAGTCCATATTCATGCGCAACTTATTCGCATCACTTCCTCTATGGCTTTCGCTTTGACTGCCCCGTTGACTGCTCCGTTGGCTGCCCCGTTGACTGCCCCGTTGACTTCCTCTTTGGCTTTCCCTTTCGCCTTGTCTCTTGATTTCCGTTATATCCCCTCTACTTTGAAATTCATGACGACCAGTTCCTTTTTTCCTTTCGACCTTTCCCAAATTGTCATTGTTTCCACTATTGGTGATGTAATTATCACTTTGATGAGTTGGGTTGATCATTTTCGTGGTTGTTCCAACTGCATAGCTGCCTTTGTGATTTTTCTTTGGATTCAACTTGATGTCATGAACATTGCCTTCTTTGTTAGGAATTTCCTTTTTTAAATGATCTAAATGATTTTCTTGATATACTTTTAAATACTTGCCTTGGCTCGTATGTGAAAATCGCTTTGCTTCTTTGTCTTTAGTAATACATTTTCTTACGTTTGATTCGCTAAAATTTCTTTTACGTACGCATTTTTGATCATCCATCGATGAGGAATGATCATGTACTGATTCACTTTTATTATAGAATTTTTTTAATTTCCTCCCTTTTTTTTCATTTTTGTTATTAGACGAAATGGCTGTACAGTTATCTGAAATATACTCCTGGTTTTTTAAATGGGGTAATCTTCCCCATGACCAAGACCATTCCGAATTTGCATTTTGATCATCATATGCTGTTTTTCTTTTATTAGTATAATTCTCATAATTTTCACCTAATAAATTATTTGCATGATGGTGCATATGGGGACTTTTTTTTTTTTTTTTTTTTTTCTGATTATCTTTATTAAAAGTAGAATGATGGTGGTGTTGGCCATGTTGGTCATGCTGGTCATGCAGATCATACTGGTCATGTTGATGATGCTGATCTAGGTGATCATGACGCTTGTCATTTTTTCCTTTTATTTCATTATTGCTTTGTCTTCTCCCTTTTCCTTGGTCCATTTTATAATTTTTGTCTACTGATTTTCGTCTATCGAAAGCAATATTTTGAAGAAAGGACTGATCAGAATCATCATCACTTTTAAAATTGTTTAGGGAATCATTAATGCTGCAACTATCGATGTGTTGATCTAGATATAAATCGTCATATTCATGACGAGGTGATGACAAAGGAGACGTTTCTAATTCTTCTTCTACATCTTCATATGTTTTTTCAACAAAGTAAGCTTCTCCTGCACTTCCTAATTTCATATGTAGATTTGTGCTTTTGCCATTAACTAGGATACTGACAATTTTTTCTTTTGATCTTAATAATTTTGTTTTCCCAAATCTTACATGGAATGGAGTAGATTTATATGTAACATTTATTTTGTTTTCTCCTTTTAGTTTATTTTCAATTTCAGATTCTATGCATATGATATCTATGCATCCACTAAGGGTGGCTTGATTGAAATCCAGTGCATTGGATACGCTGCTTACAATTTTTCCCCACCTACAAATGGAGGAAATGCGAAATTTGAGTTAGAGGGACTGGGAGAAATTTTTACTTGTTCATGAATATGTGTGTGTAAGTGGTCGTGCGTGTGTATATGTGAACATGTTTTGGTTTTAGACGATATACATGTATAAAATAGTTAAAGTGTTTTACAAGTATCACTTATGTTTTTTTTTTTTTTTTTTTTCTTTTTTCTGAACATGTCAGTGGGATCTTATTGGGAAGGAATGACATTTAGCATTCGTTTGATTAATTCTACAGCCATAAGATACTTACATCTTCTATTCACTATCTAGGACTATACATAACAGATGGTCGGGGCAATATGCAGATTGTGATCCACAGAATTATGTGTGAATATTCGTTCGGAGATATAAGCAAATATATGTGTATCTGCTCCTGTATTATTCGTTCATGTATATATGAATATATATATGTTTGAACACACAGATACGATTGCTTAAATGCATGCGCGCAATTTGGCGTGTTCTATGGGTTGTATAATATCCTTTCCTCTTTGATTTCTTCCTTTTGTTATTATTGTTGGCACTGCTAAGGGAATGGTCAGGCTGATGCCATTATTCGGACGTGCAACGCAGGGTGATGGTGCAAACGGTAGTGACTCTTATAACAAGAAGTGGCTAGTCCATGCGGTTATTCGATGCAGTTATTCGAAGTGAATAGTCCATGCAGTTATTTGAAGTGGTTAGTCGAAGTTGTCAAGTGAATAGGGTAGATGAAGATGCCACATGAAGTGTGTCGGAGCGATGTGAGGTGGGTAAAAGGAAAAGTTGTATACGATGGGAACATGTGCATGAAGGAAAAGAAAATACCATATATCCATAAAAAACCTAAGGGTAAAAAAAGTGTGAAAAAAATAAAAAACAAAAAAATTGAGAACTTATGAAAATGAATATGTGCATATCTTTAAAGAGCAAATAAAGATTTAATCAAACGTGTGTGAAATTAAAAAATATAAAAATATAAATGTATATATAAAAGAATATGGTGTAAAAAATTGTGCAATAATGCAATACGAAAAAAAAAAAAAAAAAAAAAAAAAAAAATGGAGATGAGGACGGAGGGAGTGAAAGGTTTTGTGCAAAATGTGAGAAAAAATATTCTGTAAATTATTCATTAAATTTTGCCTGGTAATTTAGAAATGGGAAATTAGAAGACTATACATTTTTGTGAGTTCGTAGAGGGAGGAGTCGACGAGTGCGCGAAGTGAGCAAAAAAATGGGCACGAAAGGGATCGTAAATAGGGAAGCAAAAAAGGAGAAGCAAAAAAGGGGAAGCAAAAAAGGAGAAGCAAAAAGGGGAAGCAAAAAAGGAGAAGCAAAAAAGGGGAAGCAAAAAAGGAGAAGCAAAAAAGGAGAAGCAAAAAGGGGAAAGCAAAAAAGAAGAATAAAAATGGGGAATAAAAATGGGGAATAAAAATGGGGAACAAAAATGGGGAACAAAAATGGTGAGAAAAAAGCACGAAAATAAGCACTCAAAGTAAATGAAAAAATGCAGAAAAAAAAAAAAAATCAAAAGTCTACAAAAAATAGATTGGGGATTGGTTAAAAGTGGTTATGATTACATATAATTTAATGGTTTTTTCATCTTCAAGTGTGTGTGCATTAAAGAAGAAAATAAATTTCTCATATCATCATGTGTATGTGTAATAGTCCTAACATGAAACTTGTGTGTTCTTAATTTTTTGTTATATGCATACGTGTTAAGGTGTGGAGTTTTGTTACTAGGCTCCCTTTTTTTTTTTTTTTTTTTTTTTTTTTTGTGAGAATTTGTGTACACACACATGTGACCCCTTTTATCATGCCTACATGTGTATAACAGCATAAGTAAATAACACTATGCTGTGAACTTTTTCTTTTCTTTTATTTCTTTTTTCAATTTTTCTACTCTTCTTCAACAACGTTTTTTTTGCACCCTGTTAATATGATACTATGTGGAATGGACTCATTCGATGGCTGATAATTCTGTTGCGCATCCCATAGTGGGGGTGCTTTTAAACCACTCTCTTTAAAAGATGGAAGGTGCAAATAAGAAAAGTGGTAAAAGGGCAAACGTTGATGGATCAACTCAGTTAAAGGGACGATGACAGAAAAATTAATGAGCGTTTTTTTTTTTCTAGATATTCTCACTTTGCTACTTTGAGCTTAAAGCCTAAAGTCTTGTCATCTTTTCAAATATTAAGAAAAGGGAAAAAAAGGTTATCACTTATATGTAGTTCTAAAGAGTTCGCACGTTTTGCGTTAGCATAAACAAGTACAACAACACATTGTTCACAAATTGAGAAACCCATTTGAGCACTATTTTTTTCTGCTTAGGGATTGATTATTACACCCTACGTATGCTTGCTTATTACCCATTTCTTTTTTTTTTTTTTTTTTCATTTGATTAATACATTTGATATACTATAAACGACTTGGTCTCTCTATGCATAATATGTTTTTTATGATACCCTTTTGGACATACGGTTTTTTCTTGAACACTTGCCTTACGAAAACTTTAACGAAAACGGAATGTGCCATTAATCGAGTACATAAGAAAAAAAAAAAAAAAATCTTTTTTTTTTCCCTTTTATTTTTTTAATCACGCTGCAAAAATAAGTATTCAAGAATTGCCTTACAAAGGGTGGTTTGTGAATTATTTTCATTATTTTTATTATTTCCATCATTTTCTCTCTTCCTACTTTATTTTTTTGTTTCACATGTGTCCCTTTTTTACGTGGATTATGTATTTTTAAATTCACAATTTTTCTATAAGGAAAAACACAGTCTACATCGTAACCGAAGTGAAAACGCTGAATTTGTAAATAAAAAAAAAAAAAAAAACGATAAGTACATATCCATTCATATATATATATATATAGATGAACCAAAAGATTTTACTACAAAATCCGTGCCAGATAACTAAATTTCATAGGTAGATTTCTGAAACATGTCGTTCTATGAAAGGAACTATTCGTTTCACTCGAAAACAATGATAAATGGAAATTTATATGGAACTTATAAGATTTGCAAAATATTATAAAAAAAAAGGAGTCAATTCTGACGAATATAGGAATTTTTTTTACCACACCTAAGGCTCAGAAGGAAAAGATTAGAGAAGAACGAATATATTTCATTTGCGAAAGAATATGTATGTACAAGAAGAGATATGACTTTTGCTCATCTGAAATAAATAAAATAATTGTCTTTTGGGAAATCAATTCATGAAGGAAAGAGGAAAGGAATGTGTGTGGATCTATTCCGTTTTTTTTTATTTCAAGTTAAAATGCACAACAGTGATATACATTGTTTTTAATACACTTCCATTTTGTTTTTCATTTTGAATGAAAGTAAGGATATCTACTAGTAGTGAGGAGAAATAAGAAAAAAAAAAAAAAAAAAAACAACGAAAGTTAAGGATCGAAAAATGTTCTATTCCGAAGATTATCAAAAGTGTCGCAATAATTTTGAATACAATCTTCTGGAGTCATATGACACAGTTAGAAAAATTAAGTTTGGTTATGAATGGAGATATATACACACGAAAAGTTGCGATAAGGAAATTCATAAAAAGAAAATATATTTATTGGGTCTAAATTATGATGAATGTATTTTCTTGAGGGGCCATTTTCGTTTTCGTCTTATAAAAGGATTGACCCAATTTAACGGACAAATAATAAAACCATCAGAGAATTACACAGATGTACGTATACCAGATTTTTACCCATTATTCAAATTAATAGCACTGAATAGTAGTAGCATAAAATATGAGGATAACAAGTTTATATTTTTTTCAAATGATTCCAAATGTTGCAGTTACTGTAGCAGAAGTGGGACGTTGTCAAATTTCATTGATCCCAGTGAAGTATTAGAAAAAAATAAAGAAATTAATACAAGTGATATATGGAAAACTAAGAAAAAGGAAAATGATATAAATGTTTTGAATGAAAATACAGAAATATTTGAGAGTTCCAATTTTAATATTGGGAAATGGAATGGAGGAAATTATTATTTAAACGAATGTGCTCATTTAATACTACAGAATTATTTATACGGATTGAATTTGTTAAAAGAAGACAATATTAAAAGAAAAGAATTTTATGAATATTTGATGAACCCAGACCGAGATAACATTAGCACTTTGATCAGTGTACACATGACGAATACTATAAATTTAAACCCACTTATAGAAAAGTATCCAATAATTATTGCCTTTGAAAAAAAAAAGGATTTTCTTTATCATTTTTTCAATGAAAACTGCAGTAAAAAGCTAAACTTGTCAAATTTAGAGAAAAATAATAGTCCATATATTGAGACATATCAGCAGTCTTATATTTTGAGGGAGTTCCTACGTTATATGCAAAATGGGAAAAGCTATCGGTTGAGGAATGTGCTAGAAAGTACTGGGGTTCAAGTTTCTGCTAACCACGCAAGTGGTGGCCACGGTTCAGACAGGAACTACGACAAGGATAGAAGCACACAGTGTGAGAAGCAAGATAATGATGATACTAACCCTAACCCTCATGAATATCAGGAAAAAACTGAAGAGACAGAAGAAAGAAGAGAACTGAGAGAAGAAGAGACAAGTTACCCAATCAGAAGCAGATGGGAAAATAATGGAAATAAATTAAGAAAATTGGAGGAGTGGGAATTTTACAAAAAGAATAGAATAAATAGCAAAATTTTTGAATATGAATATATGTATGACAAAAGAATTAAAGAGACCTGCAACATTTTCAGTGTTATGATAATGGGAGATAAAGGGAAGGGGAAAAGTTTGCTAGTTATGAATTTTATAAACAGTTTATTGAATTATCACAAGGTTGTATATTTAGTAGATATCGATGTAGGACAGCCAATCATAGGTGTGAGTGGTTTTTTATCCATATACAAAATAAAACATGCATTAAATAATTATAACTTTTTTGAGAAAAAAGCCAAATGTATTAAAAAAATATTTTTTGGAAGTTGTTCCATCGGTGAAAATGTAGATTATTACATTTCCTGTTTGGAGTATTTATACATATATTTATTCCATAAATATTTTAAGAAAAAGAAGCAGAAAAAAAAAGTAATAAATAAATTGAACTTGTGCTTTTACCCTGTGGTTATTAACACCTTTGGATGGATAACAAATATTGGATTATTTCTGCTAAACTTAAATATTTTCCTAAGCAATTGTAATTTTATTATTCAAATTGACTCGTTAAAATGTGTAGAAAGCGTAAAAAATAGTTTAAATAAACAAGAATATCTATCTTATATGTTCAATGATTTTTTTCTTATAAAACTGTCCAGAAGAAATGATATATATGCCATCTTAAATTTTAACAATTCAAATGTTTCCTTAATTTCGGAGACATATTCCTTATTTAACGTTATAAGTCAGTATAGTAACCTAAATGAGTGTAATTTTTTATTTCACAATTTTAACATGTCATTCGATAAGGAGAAACAATACAACCAATTCAATTTTAATCAATCAGGAAATACTTTAAAAGGCTACATGGACGAATCGTATGTTAGAAAGACCAACAAATTGGATGCAAATGAATGTCTACTAAGAAGTGGCTACAGGTGGTATACCCATCAAAGTTACAATAGTAAAAGCATGGTAGATGCAGAGAAAGAAAAAAAAAACAAAAACTCTTGTGGTCCTGATTATGAAGTACATTTGGGGGATATAGAAAGGTATGATTATTTTAAAAAAAAAATGCAGAATTTTTTTGGAAGGAATTTCGTGAGAGTAATCAATTTTGTGAGCTACCAGAATATTTCATCCCATGCCAACACACAAGCCAATACACTAGAGACTATGAAAATCTCGGAAGGCTCTTCAATGCAGCCCAAAACATTAAGGTGGTTCCGAATTTTTTGTCACCTTTTTTACAAATTTAAAAAAATAATATTTTATTCCTATAGTCAATCGCATAGCAATATGCTAAAGGCTTTTTTTCACGGGCATGAAGAGTGTGTGAAGCGGCACTTGCAGTTGGTTGGAGCAGCGGTTGGAGCATCAGTTGGTGATGTAGCTGGTGATGTAGCTGGTGATGTTGCTGATGATGCAAATATTTGTAGCAACCCGAGAGATGAGAAAAATTCTGGCAAAACCAAAGAGGACCTAAGTTCATATCATGAAGGACGCGCTCATAAAGACACAGCAGTTGTTACGAACGAGGTCCTGTTAAATGGAAAAGAGCTAGCAATTTATAATAAATCTGTGGAAGAAAATAGTCGGGGGAGAATTAGGAATCCCTTAAACGAACGTGAAAGGAGAGAATCCAAAGAGATGACAAATGAATTTTCGAGTATCAGTGAATGCGTGAACAAAGTTTACAAATATCCAAATAATGGCCCAATTTTCAATTGTGCTATATTTTACTTGAAAAATGTAAAATTAAGCAGTTTACTGTTTAATAGGTTCAACTCCAATACGATTTCCCAGGGGTATTTTTATGCTAGCAGATTTTTCTTTAACAATGTTATATGTCTTTGTAAGGGGATAAATAAAACAAGAAGTGCATCTAAAAATAAACGTAAAAGATGGAATAAGCATGATTCCCCTTTAGTGTACCATTTGGGGGATAGAAGAAAATTAAAAATGGAAAGTAAAGCTGAAATAAATGTGGAAAGCAGAGAAGAAAGCATGGAAGGAAGTGGAGAAGGAAGCAGAGAAGGAAGCAGAGAAGGAAGCAAAGATGAAAGCAAGACGGTGGAGTATTACATTGATCGTATGGACATAAATGCCGTTTTTGAAAATGAAAATCGCGTTATTAAAGAGGAATACCTGAAAGAGAATAATGTTGAATTAGTTCCTTTATGTGAGAATTTTACATGTATATTGACAGCCTACGCAAAGCTTATTGACAATATGAGACTTATAATATATTTGCCCTTTTGGTTTAATCAATTTGATTTGCTTAGTAGTGTTGACACCTTTGTAGCAGGTACGCAAATTGCCCCGAGATATATGGATGATATAATTAAGGATTATTTATTTTATTATGGTGTGGTTACTGAAAAAGGGTTGAAATTGACGAAGTCGCAGGAACTGAGGTATATACCACTCAAGGAGACGTATTAGGTACGTCTAAATGAAATGTGAAAAATGGATGATAAAGCATTACGTAGTTAAACATATTTCAAATGAAAAGTTCAATGCTTACAAAAAAAAAAAGGGGGGGGGGGATTAAATGCACCTTATTAATCTCTTCTTTAATTTGAACACTATTCAGTAAAATTTTCTGGGAGTACTTTTTTTATACCTATTTACGCACACAATTGTTGAACGTAGATACGTGTTTGTTTATAGGGTAGGATAGTACGAACAATAAAAAAAAATGTTTTTGTCCACATCAAAATACTTTGATTTGTTGAGGTGTTGACACGGTTATAATAAAAAATACAGTGTAAGCAAAAAACTTAATTGTTGTGCTTGCTCTAATTAGTTTACACATTTGTATTTGGATAAAATGTTCCAGGATTTTTTTTTTTTTTTTTTCATTTTTTTGATGTTTAATTTTTTTTTGTATACATTTTATAGAAAAAGACGGAAAAGAAAAACAAGGCTAAATGTAAAATGGAAAATTTGAGCAACTTCAAATTACTTGCATTAAGGGGAATTTTTTTTTTTTTTTTTTTTTCCTTGCCCAATTTTGACTAGGTAGTTTTGAGTGCCTATGGGTAAACATTGAAATTTTGTTTTTTATATCTAATTTATATGTATCTGTAACATAAGACATTACGAATATTGTTTGTAACAATTTTATTCATCTGCATAAGAATAGAATTTTACAAAGTTAAAAACGTACATTGTTTTACATTCAGTAAAATTCACAAGGGGGAGAAAAATAAATGCATCCCAGGTGAAACAAGCAAAAAAAAAAAAAAAAAAAAAAAAGGAATTTACACTACTGATATTAAGCAACCTACTTTTATACAAAACGTTTAACCGTGAAGAAAACATAGAATTAGTGATGGATATGTGTTAACTTGAAATTGTTGCGCTTGAAAGAGAATTCGGAATGTGCATGAGAGGAGGTAGGAAAAATAAATGGCTTTAAAAAAAAAAAAAAAATAATAAATTAACGAACGAACGAACAAACGAACGAACAAACGAGTAACTTGAATATTACAACAGTGGAAGGAGTTTAAGAAGCACAAGTGTAACACGCATACAAACTAATAAAAAAAATTAAGGAAAAAAAAAAAAAATAATAAAAACGTAATACCTAATTGTGTATCTGTGAGGTCGTAAATAGATGAACAAACGCACTTCAGTTAAAAAATCAAGAGTACTACTTAACAAACTGAAGATAATTTACTTGTTTTAAAAAGACCAATTTAGGGATATATAAAACGTTTTAACAAGTTTACAATCAAAGATATAATTATTTGCTATTTTGTGTAGGAAATGAACGGCTACCATGTCACAACGTGACGGATGAGGACTATGTTGCTCAGTCCCTAACAAATTGACGTAAAAATTGGCTCTGCTTTGTTATCGTGTATAACGGTAAATAGATAAACAATTACACGCGAAGTTACAAATTCAGAGACAGTTTATTTCTACTTTATTTAGTGATTCCTGTAATTTTATTTTAACTTTTTTTTCAATTTCATTTGTTTTAATAGGGCATAACATATTTGACTGTACGAGTTGAAGTTTTTGAGAAGAAGAGGAAAAAGAATCAGCAATAAGGAAAAAGTTGTTTTGCAATATTTACGCACGTATGAAACATTTGTGTATCATTATAGATAATTATCTATGTAAAAAAAAAAAAAAAAAAAGAACTCGATGACTAAGGTGAAGTAGCTTTGTATTGTACGAATATTTGTGGTGATGTACCAAGAATAAGCAGAAGAAAACAGGGGTAATAATTCTGACATAGTTGAATATATAAAGGAGGTATTAATTTACAAGACTACGAAAGGAAAGGAAGAAAAAGTAAAAAAAAAAATGACAGTGACAAACTTGCACTGTTGCAAATTGCAATCACAAGAACTGGCGCTAACAAACTATGGATTTATCAATTCCAGTTTGTATAATAGTCTAAAAAGGAGTGTCAAGGGAACGGAATTATATGGAGAAATATCCAACGTAGTTTTAATATTAAAAGGTGATGGAAATATTGGGAAAGAAGAAATAGCATTAAACACGTGTCAAAGGGAATTTTCAAGGATTCAGCTGAAGGAAGTGGTACAAGTAAATATACTTGATAGAGAAAACAAAAGAGACCTGATACATTTTATCCCAATTGATAGCATAGATATAGAAGTTACTTTGTTTGTAAAGCCAGATCGATTAATCGAAATGGAGGATGAAATTTTGGAGGAATTCTTTAAAAAAAGTTTTATTAATCACATTCTAACGAAAGGACAAATATTGGCATTAAAATGTGGTGATATTTTGTTAAAATGTGTTGTAAAGGATTTGAAAACTGCACAGTTTGATGAAATAAAGAAATTAAATAAGAGTCTTCCTAGTAGCATGGGTTCATATTTTAAAAGGAGTAATGATAACGAAATGAGTAACAGTGGACATGGTCATGGAATTTACGATAGGGGGATTTTGTTTGAAAATACCGAATGCGTATTTATAAGCATGAGTGATGGTAAATTATTTATAGAATCTAAAAAAGTTTTAAAAAAAAACATAATAAAAAGTAATTTCAACTTTGAAGAATTAGGAATAGGTGCACTAGATGAAGAATTTAAAACAATATTTAGACGGACCTTTGCAAGTAGAATATATCCGAATTATATAATAAAACAGTTAGGTATAAAACATGTGAAAGGACTTATATTATATGGGCCCCCTGGTACTGGTAAAACATTAATAGCTAGACAGATAGGAAAAACATTGAATGCACGAGAACCTAAAATTATTAATGGCCCAGAAATATTAAATAAGTATGTGGGACAATCAGAAGAAAACATCCGAAACTTATTTAAAGATGCGGAACTAGAATATAAACAAAGTGGTGAAAATTCACTTTTACACATTATCATTTTGGATGAAATAGATGCAATCTGTCGACAGAGAGGTAGCGCCGCTTCAAGTGGTACAGGAGTAAATGACAGTATTGTGAATCAGTTGCTATCAAAAATTGATGGTGTTAATAGTTTGAATAATATCCTACTAATTGGAATGACAAACAGAATTGATTTAATTGATGATGCTTTGTTGAGACCTGGTAGATTCGAATTACACATAGAAATATCCCTTCCGAATAAGGAAGGAAGAATTCAAATTTTAAATATTCATACAAAAAGTATGAAAAAAAGCAATAAACTAAGTCCAGATGTTAATATTGTAGAACTGGCTGAAAAAACACCTAATTTTTCTGGTGCAGAAATAGAAGGATTAGTAAGAAATACAGTGTCGTACGCTTTTGAAAGGCATATAAATTTTAATGATCTAACTAAACCAATCAATGCAGATGATATAATGATAACAAAAAATGATTTTTTCAAAGCCCTGAAAGAGACCAAACCAGCATTCGGGGCTGAAGAGGATGTTATTGATGGCCTTCTATCGAATGGAATTATCAATTATGGAAAAGAATATGAAAATATTGAAAATACTTGTAAATTGCTAATTAAACAGATTGTAGAAAATTCAAATACAAATTTATTGAGTGTTTTGTTATATGGAGAAAATGGTACAGGTAAAACCACCATTGCTGCTTACCTAGCCAAAAGTGCTAATTTCCATTTTACAAAATTTATTACCCCTGAGAATTTAATTGGGTATTCTGAAATTAGTAGAATAAATTATATAAATAAAATATTCGAAGACGCATATAAAACTCCACTTTCTTTAGTTATTATGGACAACATTGAACGGTTAATTGATTATACGCGCATTGGACCACGGTTTAGTAACTCCATTTTACAAGCAATAATGGTTTTAATAAAAAAAAAACCCAAGAAAGAAAATCAGAAAATTTTAATTATATGCACGACATCGGAATATCAATTTATGAGAGATGTCGGATTGATTAAAAATTTTTTTGTAAATATAGAAGTTCCGTTGTTAAATTCCTCTACATCTATTAGAAATGTTTTGCAAAATAGGAACGAAAATTATCACGATTTTCCTGATAGCGAAATAGAACAAGTTCTATCATCCAATGTTATTAAAAGCATAGCAATTAAAAACCTGCTCATGGTTATTGACATGGCATCCGAAGCATCGAACGATAGAAATATCACAAGCGACATTTTCTTAAAAACGTTTAATGATTGTGGCATTTATTTTGACGAAGAATTCGACTATTGAATTGTTTTGCCTAAGGAAAATACGAAATGGGAAATAGCTGAATGATGAATTCGTACGCTATATATCACACAAGTTTTTTTTTTTTTTTTTTTGTGCTCCTTTTAGTGTATGTATAATGTTGCAAGTATTTACACATCGTGCACGTTTTTATTAGTTTTTTCTTTTCCTTTTTTTATTTTTCACAAAAACTATGGACATTTTAATTAGAAAACAAGGCTTAATATGAAGCATGTGATAAAATGAGTCAATATAATTTACAAGAAAGATTATCATAAAATAGTGCAATTTCTCCCTTGCCGTTCATAAATTTTATTAGCAGGGGGGGTAGGATGTTTCCCCTATTAAAAACACATACTGGAATAGCATGATTTGTTATATACACAAAACAAAATAGTTCGTGTGGATAATTCAAGGAAGGAAAAAAAAATAAAATAAAATAAAATAAAATAAAATAACCACGGAGATACCCATTGCTTGGTGATTTTTCCTGTTTCATACGGCGGTTAAAATGTACACTTGGTAGGGTTACTTGTTATGTGTATGGTTAAAAATGTCTTGCAAAATAAAAACAGTGAACTTAGCGAGAGATAAACATGTGTGGAAAATGAACGTATACTTCATGAAATTATACAAACATTTTTTAATATATCCAAATTTGTTTTTTTCATAAAACTGGAAGAGGTGCTTTATATAACACTTTTATCAATTTATTTTACACCAATTGAAGGGATATTAGTTTCAATGGAAATTTGAAGCGCATTTTTTATTGTGTAAGTCATATTAATGTGATATTGTATTACACAAGTTTGTCATTCTTTACCCAAGAAATGCAAGCTGGAAAATGTGCAGTGAAAACAAAAAAAAAAAAAAAAAAAAAAAAAATTAATGCCTAATTCATATTTCAAAATATATGAAAATGCAATAAGTTAATTATTTTTTAATTTCGGGAAACGTGGAAGCAAATAAAATTAGGAAATTTTTTTTGTGTTTGCCTAAAATTTTTTGAAATTTATAAAAAATTGCATAATATAACAATTACTAAGTTTGTGTTGTAGCTTCTGTTCTTTTGCAAATGATATATCACATGGTAATTACACATTTTATTTCTACATGCGAAAGGATAATTTTTGTGTATGCTTTTTTTTAAGGCATATTTACATAAGGATGCACACGTATTATGTGCCTACAAAAGGGCTTAAAAAAAAAATAATAAAATAAAGGGGGGAAATACACATAATTGTGAAAGTAGGGAAGCATTAGTTTGGAGAGATATATATATATTTTATATGTTCATACTTTTATGTACTTAATTGTTCCAATATTGGGAGGAGAAACGTTTTTTTCTCTCTAAGAATCTGAGTGTTTCATATTCTACACTTTAGTTTTCCCGATCATTAGTAATGTGCAAAGGTAAATTAAATTTTTTGTTGCACTAAAAAAAAAAAAAAAAAAAAAAAAAAAAAAAGGTAAAAAAATTATAAAAATTGTATAAAAAGTGAACATTTTCAAAGCACATTTATACGTACATACGGACATAATAATGTAGAATTCGTATTTAAAGAACATTTATATGAACATGTGTAAATGGAACACGCGTTGAAGAGCGAAAGGGCATTGATATATATACATAAATATAGTGTACAGTTATTGTGTCCCTTGATGTAGCACTCGCGAAACCCTTAGTGAAATTCTGAGTTATGTGAAAATGTGAATATAGATAAATAAAAAGCCCAGCTAAATTAATTAATTACACGCAAAGAGCAAACGCATATGAACAAAAGGGGAATGTAAATAAATCCATATGACACATGTGCATTTGTGCTTACATAAGGAAACTTTCCTATGTAAATGCAAAAATGTAAACAATAAATGTAAATGCATGTATTCACATTTCTGAATATGTATATATGCAAGTAATATAATATTGTCGCCATTATTTTTACGCACTTTATTTTGCCCATTTTCCCAATTTCTTACTTTTGTGTATTAACTCTTTCCATTCTTCATACCATTTTTGGAAGAACACTCTTTTTTTTTCTTTGTTTTTTTTTTTTTTTTTTTTTAATAGAACATTTTGTCGAAATATAAAATTGGGAATATAACACAAAATAGCGCACATTAAAGTTTATAAGAACACAATCATATTATGTGCCCATAAATGAGCTTTTTTAACGTTAGCGAACATTTTTTATGTAATTAATTTAGGCAATGGGAACACTCCATTAAGAGAGATATATGCATATATATAACATGTATAAACATATATGAACACTTTATATATAGTCATGAACTATTCATACATTAGTTATAAATACACTTTTTTATATATACCTATGGAATTTTTTGCCTATGAACTTAACTTTTTTGAAAAAAGAGCTTCACCATTATAAGCATAAATTCCTTTTTTTTTCAAAATATCTCTCTTTTTTATGTAAGCATACGAGGAGTGCAAGGATGATGTATGTGTACTGCTTACGCCTTATGTATGCATGACCATGCGTAGTGTATGTATAAATGTATTATACAATAAGCTCACGCGCAAACACTTTTTATAACCCATACACTTGTTCACGTACATATGAGATGGCCCTTCTCTGTGAAGTGCAAAACGTGTATACGCAAAACGTTAAAGAAAACCGAGACCTGCTTTCTTTTATATATATAAGTTCTTGTGTACTTTATCAAGTATCATACGCTAGAATAATAATATGGAACACATATTACAGCGAGCCATGTCAAATGAATATGCTTGAACGCGTTTACACATAATTGTTGATTTATTCGTTCATTCGTTTCATTACTTTGCCCTTTCATCGTTTCACTGTTTCATTGTTTCTTCATTTCATTAATTTTCCCTTTCATCGTTTCATTGTTTCATCGTTTCATCGTTTCATTGTTTCATCGTTTCACCGTTTCACCGTTTCATCATTTCATCGTTTCACCGTTTCATCATTTCATCGTTTCATCTTTTCACCTCATCAACCGCCCGTCGCATTTCCGATTTCTTATTTTTATCGAAACACATTTTGTGCTAATCTTGTAATAGTACAAGAGGAATACTTTTAATGGATCACCAAGAAGGGTTTACTCGTGGATGATCACCTATGTACAAATGTATATATGCATATGTATATGTTTGTGTGATTGTGCTTGTTCACCTATGTTTTTGCGACACGAATATTGTTTTATCGAGGAATGCGGAGAAGAGGGGGAAAAAAGAAAATAAAAAAAAAGAATAAAAGAAAGAAACACTCATCTGTGTAATTTGAACGAATCTCCTCTGTACAGTGAAAAGAACAAAACAGAAACCCCAAAAAAAAAAAAAAAAAAAAAAAAAGGAAAAAAGAAGCGTCAATTGTGAAAGAATTACACACATACAATTATCAAAATATTTACTTGTTTTAAGAAAAAAAAAAAAAAAAAAACAACTATACGCTGGTGACAGTGCTTGTGGCAATTCAAAGGGAATCTTATAGATGCTGTATTTTTTATTATAAATTAAAATCTGGACAAGAAAAACGCGCATACTTGGAGATAGACAACAGAAAAGGGTGTTTGCGAAGACTGAATAACGAATAAAAAAAAAGAGAGATAAGGAAACAGAAAACGAGAGCATAAACGAGAGCGTAAACGAGAGCACAAACGAGAGAACAAACGAAAACACAGACGAAAACGAAAGAAGACAAATCATAAAAATGGAAAATGAATCATTCAACCCTTTATCCCTGTTAGACAAAAACCAGCCATTTGACGCGGAGAAATTGAAGCTATTAGACAATGTAGTTGAAGCTCTTTTAGACACGAAAGACAAAAATCGAAGAGATTTCGCACAGAATTTGTTGAATCAATTTAAGATGTTAGACAACTCTTGGAGATCTGTATCTATCATACTAGAACATAGTGAAAATGTGAATACAAAATTCTATGGGTTACAGATATTAGAAGAATGTATAAATAATAAATGGAATATATTACCAGCTGAAGAAAGAGAGGGAATGAAAAATTTTATTGCATGCTATACTATAACACTCTCAACAGAGGGTACAACAGTAGGAGTGGATAGACATTTGTTAAACAAATTGGATGAAACTTTAATTCAAATTGTGAAAAAGGAGTGGCCAGATTCCTGGTCTAGTTTTATTCCAGATATAGTAAATTCAGCAAAATTAAATCAAAATGTATGTGAGAATAATATGAAATTATTAAATATGCTAAGTGAAGAAGTATTTGAGTTTGGGAATGAAACATTAGTAAAAAAAAAAAAAGAAAAATTAAGAAATGAATATGCAAGTCAATTTCAAGAAGTATACAATTTATGTTTATACATTTTAGAAGCAAATGTGTATAATAAAAGGAATACCAACACGTCACTAATTAAACAAACATTAAATTGTTTATCTAATTTTTTTAAATGGATTCCATTAACATACATTTTTGACAAATACAAATTTAATGATACAAATATACAAATTATTGATCTATTATTTGATCATTTTTGGGATGATATTTCGTACAAAATTGAATGCGTTAAATGCATACAAGAAATAGTTATGTTAAAAATTGATGAAAAGAATATTATCTATTTTGATAATGTGTTTATCAATTTATGGTCTAAATTAGTTAGCAAAATTAAATTACTGCCAAATGCTAATGAAATGAAAAATATTCCACCTGAATTGAAAATATTTTGGGAACAATACTTTTTGCAGTTAAGTATATGTATAACTAGTTTTTTACGAAATTATAGAGAAAAAATTGTAGAAAAAAATAATAATACGAATGATGTTAATATCGTTTTTAAATTTTTAAATATGCTAGCTAATAGCAATATGGAGGAAGTTTTTCTTATAATTATTGATTATTATAATATTTTCACTGAACAGTTAATAAGAGAATTAATAACAAGATTAGAACAAGAACACAATTTAAAAAATAAAGTTGGTGCTAACGTGTCAAATGATATTAATAATTCCATAGCTACACAATCTATGGGTATTCCCATAAATTTAGAATCATCTTCATTAAGTAATAGAAAAGCTTACAGCTTTGCAACTATGAATAATGATTCAAGCTTAATCACAAACAGTGGTAGCAATGGTAGTAGTATAATAAATATCAATGAATACTCATCCATTTTGGATAAAATTGATTTAACACCAGCGGACATTAAAAAAATGTGCCCAAGAATTAAGTTATACGAATTTATCTTAAATGATATAAGAAAAACAGTTATAGAAAAAATGGCGAAACCGCAGGAAATATACATTTCTTATGATAATGAAACGGGAGAAGTGGTTAGAGATTTTGAACCAGACACAACAGAAATTTCTTTGTACAATACTATGAAAACGACATTGGTATATTTAACATATTTGGGTTCAGAAAAGACGATGGAACTGATTGTAGAGCTATTGAATAAAGAATCAGAAAAATCGTTAAAGAATACAAACAAAAATGAAATATGGAATAGCACAAAAACTAACAGAATAAGTTACGCAGTTGGTTCAATTTCTATGTGTATGACTCTTAAAAAAGAACAAGACTTTTTAATGTATATATTGAGAATATATTTACATATGATTGAGGTAAAAAATGGAGAAGAAAATAGAGCTATTTTAGCATCTTGTGTTATGTACATTGTAAGTCAATATCATCGATTTTTAAAACTTCATTGGAGATTTCTAAAAACTGTTATGAAAAAATTATTTGAATTCGCAGAAAATGAAAAGGTACAAGATATGGCAGCAGAAACGATTTTAAAAATTTGTAAGCAATGTAAAAATGTCATAGCGAAAAATAATCATACCAATGATAATAATGAATCCTTTTTTAGTACATTTATAAAATTTCATAATAATATAATGCATAAATTACCGGAAAAATTAAATCTTTTACTTTATGAAGCCATTGCCCATGTTATATCTTGTTTCCCCTATGAAGAAAAACAAGAGAGCATAAAAATTTTGATGAGTAAATTAATGGATTTATGGAATTCGTTAATTTACACGAATAATGGAATTAAGGATATGAATGACCCCAATCTTTTAAATAATAACACATCTAATGGGAATGCTATTAATGATATGAAAGTGTTGGAGCACTTGTGTACTTATGAAAATTCCAAACTGATTATTACTTTTGTGAGAGTTAATTGTAGATTGGCATATGCATTGTCTTATTTTTATTATGAACAATTAAATTTAGTTTTTCTGGATTTTTTAAAGATTTATCAATTGTACAGTAAGTTCATAAATTTGGAAGTAGAAACGAATGGGACTAAACGAATTAAGCATGCTCAGTTCAGGAATTTGTTTTTAATGAAAAGAGAATTTTTACATCTGATAGAAACCACCATAGAAAGGAGTTGTTACAATATACAAGAGTTAGAAGCGGAGTTATTAAAAAAGGAACAGAAAAAAATGAAAAACGAAATTGACGAATCAACAGATGTACATTTACCAACAGTGGAAGAAGCCAAACAAATTAATTTCCAAATGACCAGTAATATATTAAATGTGTTACTTGAAACCATTTTGGTAGATTATCGAGATAGCAATCCTCATATAAAAGACGCAGAAGTATTTTCATTATTATCTACTGTTTTTAAAAAAATTGAAAATGTGACATGCCCAATTTTACCAACTGTGCTAAACTATGTATTATTACCAACCATTGACATGATAAAAAATGATTTTTCATCATATCCAGAACATAGAGAAAAATTTTATAATTTCTTAGATGCGTGTGTTAGACACTGTTTTGACTATTTATTTACCCTAGATTCGGAAATATTTAATACCTTTATTCAATCCCTTTTATGGGCCATTAAACATGAACATCCTTCAGTTGCAGATCACGGATTGAGGATAACACATCAATTTCTCCATAACATTATTATAAAGAAAAAAGAATATTTGGAAGAATTTTGCAAAGCTTTTTACTATATCATATTGAACGAAGTGTTCAAAACCTTAACAGATTCGTTTCACAAATCTGGATTTCATTACCAGACAATTATTCTTATGAACATGCTACGCCTGTTAGAATTTGAAGTGGTGAATATTCCCGAGGCAGAAATAACCAAGCCTCATATAATAAAGCATGTGCAAACATTCTTAACTCAATCTTTTGAAAATTTAAACCAGAAACAAATTGAAACTTTTTCTGTGGATTTATTTAATTTTTGTGTAGAATCACCATCAGCATTCAGAGGGTTCGTGCGTGACCTGTTGATATCACTGAAGGTAGGACTGTGATTATATAGCATTTATTATTATTCTTCAATCATATGTTCATTGTGTGTACATTTGTAGACACATTACATATTTTGTTGTGTGTTTATTTACAATAATTCACATATTTTTCTGCACATTCTCGTATTCCTTCCCCTTACTCTCACCGCGCACCCTGTTTTTAGGAATTTTCGACAAACCTGGATGAGCTTTACGAGGCCGATCGACAGGAAGCGCTCCAAAGGGCCAAGTTAGCTGAAGATAATAAACTTATAAAGGTAAAAATAAACGTCTTCATTTTTTGATCCTTTTTACCATGTTGTGTGCGTTATGCAAATATGGTGGCGACGTTTGCATCAGCTTGCACATGTTTTATTCTGAAGAATCGATTTTTCAAATTTAAATAAGGCACACTGTAGATATTTTGCTTCCTTATTTGTGTAATAAATTTTCCTACTTATTTGCGCATGCATATATTTTCGCCCTTTTTTTTCTGCTTCTTTTCCAGTTAAGAGGATTAATGAAAGAGGATGTACCAACCTTCTCGGCTATCGACGTGGATGACGAATGCATAAACGTAGAATAGTAATTATAGAGTAGTTTCTTTATTTTACTTCCCACATTTATGATTATATTATTTTAGGCCTAATTTAGTATAGCCGCTTTTTATGCCTAATTTATTGTACCCTCCCCCCAAAATTTATAATTTTTAATAACTGCTTTTCCCCCTCACTCCATCTTACCCTTTGCATTGTTATCACTTTTTTTGAATAAAATATATATTTTATTTTTTTTTTTAACAAAAATGAAATTACATTTTTCGATGGTTCAGTAGACTCATACATATATACAATATATAGAGAGATGTATTTTCATGGATATACGTAAAGTATATGTAAATGTCCTTGAATAAATGTGTTCATTCTACCACTCTGTTGTGTGTGTATAATAAATGATAAATAATAGTATGTATTTATTATTCGCTACTATTTCCATTATTGTGTAATAACCCCGCACACACTCCTTCATATGAGGAGGAATTTCACCATAATTCTGCTCCATGTACATATTATGTATGCCTCTGAACGAGCATAAACACATATATACACATCTATGGATGTTTATATAAATATTTACCCCCATGTATAAACTGTATCATATGACACAAGTTGTGTGTTATACGACGAATTATATGTACATGTCTTAGGACATATGTACAATCTCCATATGTTTTAGACACATCTAGATTATAAGCCTTTACACCCTTTTTTATAATGAGATGTATCATTTTAAAATATAAAAAAAATACAAACAAATGCTTATAATTTGAATGGTCAATTGTTTCATATTTTTTTTTTTTTTTTTTTTTTTTGAATATCAACCTATAAGAGTGCAAAGCTTTCTTAAAAGTTGAATTTATTTACTAACACTTTTTTTTTCTTTTTTTTTTTTTTATATCCAACTTTTTTAATTTTTGCTTGGTCACACACCACTTAAACGGTATTATAATCCCTTTTTTAAAGCGGAAAATATATATTCTTTTTAAATGGAAATAATGTTTTCCTTTATATAGATATATATTTTTTTTTTTATAAACCCCGTAAAAACATATTTCCTATAGGCCAGAAATTATAAAATTTTTTGCTTATTTTTAACAGTCTGTTGAGAACCTTGCAACATTGTCTCACACTTTTCATGGTTATCCAAGAAGATTACAAACATTCGCATAAAATAGTAAAATCTACAGGTTAATGAAATTGCTTTCCCGTTCCACTTATGATGTGAAATGGGTTCTTCATTTTTGTGTAAGAATTACATTTATGTAGCATACATATATGCGTATGTATGTATGTATGTATGTATATATATGTATATATGAGAAAATACCATAAGCTTAAGCGTAAGCACTTTTAAGTCCGAAACGTAGTAATAATATTGACACATGCCAATATGTGCACTGTTGTATATACCACAACAAACAGTGAAATTAAAGGCGTAAAAATAAGATATGGTTTAAAATGTAAAAAAAAAAAAAAAGAAAATTATTTGAACACCCTAAGTTTGCTATTGGTCAGATCAACTTTATCGGAAGTTTACTTTGTCATTACAACGTTGTGAAATTTTCCTGTCAAGGAAAATAAAACTTGGATATAAAAAGTGATAAATGTTCATTCAAAATGCACTAATACAGCAAAAGTGCTAGGGGCACATATATATATCTTATATGCTTGCTATGTTGTTATGTCACTGGGTGTTAATCTCAATTCCTTCATGTAGTAACTTTTCCTGTGCCGTGAAAGCTTTTTTTTTCGTTTGTGCCAATTTTTACATTTGTTCATTTTTTAAAAATGCTATATTTTCATTTGGAGTAGTTAACTTTTCTCCCATTCCCCTTTTTAAGCTCTTTCACTTTAGTGCATACACTATATATATACATGTATGTATATATATGTATATATTATATGTATGTATTTTTTTTTTATTTTTATTTATTTTTTTTTTTTTTTTGCAATACTATTTTACCCATTTTTAGCTACTACATTTATTTTGCCATTTTACTTTTTTAATTTTTTTTTTCTTTTTCTTTTTGTATTTTCATACCCCTGGTTAAACTTCCCTTTTGGCAATAAAACTTTATTTGTCGTTTATATCTCCCGCTTTTTTTGACGTCATTTGGATTTCTCCCCATTATATATCTCATCTTTGCCTCCTTTTTTAACGTTCTCCTATTTGCCTTGTTTGTAAAAGGAACCTGCACAAATGTATGTACATATATGCGAATAAGTATTCGCATAAATATGTATGCATAATATATATATATACATACATATGTATACTTACACAAGCGCGTTTAAATAAATGAATCCATGCGTCAAATATTGAAATGCTTGTTTCGACAAAAATGCGTACCCGCTAGGACCACAGGGTTGAACAATATTTAGACGATCGTCCGCCTAATATATTTTTAAGTTAAAAATTTATTAGATTAGCATAGTCGGCATTGTGAATTTACTAAGCCTCAATTATAGTAGTGCTGACACCATAAGGACACGAATTCGTGTATGGTATTTGTGTATATTTTTATATCCACGGTATGAAGAATTTCCTGAAAGTATTAATTTTCTTTGATTTTCTTTTTTTTTTTTTTTTTAAATTAACAGGAAAGCAGTCACTACAATATTTTGTAAAGGAAGTAAAATTTTATACTTCCCATTTAAGTTATGTAAGGTCGTTTGCATGACCGTTGATGTAACATGCTAATGAAGTTCAAATGCTTAAAGGGGAAAAAATTGTGGCACACTCAAACATATATATATATATATATGTAAGATAGATATATGCACACATTAGTGTTCAAATTATTACTGTATTAGTTCATTTTATTCATTAAATTTGTCGCACTAAAGCACAATATTCAAGGGCTTATAATTTAGAATTTTATGTAGAAAAAAGAGAGGATTTTCTTTCCCCTTTTTTGAACCCATATATTGCGACTTTTTTTTTTTTTTTTTCCATGTTACACAAAAAGGTGTTTCCTCATTACCTTCATTTGGAATGATCTTCTTGTGTAAATATACTACTGTGTGTGTTCTTTTAATAATGTGTACCTTTGAAAGGCGTGGCTGCAGACAACTGAATACAACCCCATCCAATTTGTAATCTATGCAAATAAAAAATTAAATGTGAGTGAGGAAGGTGAACAAATAGTAAAATCATTCGTAGGAATGTTTATATTTATGTACACACGTAAGTTATATTTTGTACCATAAATAAGAAGTTAAAAAGGGATACTTAAAAAGACTCCTGAAAAAGGGATTTAAAAATCACTTAAAGAGGTTATTTCCTAAGCATTTTTATAAATTAGCAGAGTTTGTAGATATAACTGTTGAACACAAATTGGACCCGCAGGATTAAGACATTAAAATTTTATATCAGAAAAAGGAGGAAAAAAAGATTAAAAAATTCGAATGCATGTGCGAATTAGGTTTGTGAAAAGAAAAAAAAAAAAAAAAAAAAAAAACTGTAAAAAATATGTGAAGGAAAAAACATATATATCCATATATGCTACGTACATGTCGTCCGTACCCTTTAATGAGAAATGCCGAACGTTTGATAATCCAATCAGGTGAAAACATGATTACATATATGGATATAATCTGTTGTTAGTCCTATTTAATGAGTTTACAATATCGATAGGAACGTAAGCAAAAAATAAATGTGTAAACAGACAAGTATATGAGCATATATGTATAACCCATATACAAACAAATATATACACACAAAGGTACAGATACAAACATATATATATATATATATATATATATATATATATATATATATATATATATATATATATATATATATATATATATATATATATATATGTATATATATGTATACATATATATATTGGAACACACGCCTGGACCGGGGGGCTTCTTTCGTGTAAGTAAAAAAGCACATCTGCAACATGAACAACCAACAAGTACTAAAACAACAAATGAACCAAAAAGGTTCGAAAGAGCAAAATAGAATGTTGACTCTAAATAACAATACATCGAGAGGAATTCGAGATGTAGGCTACCAGGGAAATAATGGGAACCGTGATATGGGGAAAATGAACTTAAATAACAATATACAGAATCATAATACAGGAAATAACAATACGTACAATAATTCAAGTAGCATAAATAATAATAATTATTCATTAGGTTTATATATTGATAACCCACAAAATGCATTTGTATTTGATGAAAATGACTTGCAAACTTTATTTTCTCATTATAAAGGAGCAAAAAATATAAGGATATTAAGTGACAAGGCAGCTGCACAGATAACTTTTAACGATAAAAATATGATACAACAGGTAAGAAAAGACATAAATGGGTTAACAATTAATGACATAGGTACTATTAGATGTATTATATTAAATGAGGGTAAAGTTGTAGAGCAGTTTCTTCCATTTTCAGCGAATGACCCCGTGATGATGCAACAGAAATCGGGTTCTTGTCAGAATAGTGAAAATGCAGTTGATATATTAAAAAAGTTGGCTAACTTGTTGCAGCCGCAGGGAGGGAACAATGCCACGGGGAAAAATCTGGCCAGTTCTATTGAAACGATGAAAAATGATAACATGGGATTAAATGATAGCATGGGCTTAAATGATAACATGGGATTAAATGATAACATGGGATTAAATGCGAACAAGGGATTAAATGCGAACATGGGATTAAATGATAACATGGGATTAAGTGCAAACATTGGCCTAAGTGCGAACATGAGCACAATCATGAATACCGGTACAAACGAGAATACCAGCACAAACGCGAACAGCAGCACAAACGAAAATACCTGTACAAGTACGAACATGGGCAGAAATGCGAGCCTGAACCTCATGCAAGGGAAAAATCAAATGAAAAACAACACAATAAATCATTCCATTTATAACAACACGAATAATAACTTTAATCCAGTGCATATTAATAATAATGAGAAAAATGAAAACCCCTATGCTAGCAAAAGGCTAAGCAGAATTGAGTTAATTGATATATTTGGTTACCAAGCAGAATTTGATGTAATGAAAAAAATTTTAGGGAAAAATAATTCCAATATAACTTACATAAAAGAACAAACAAATAATTCTGTATCTATTGAGATAAAAGGAAAACCAATTAATGAAGCCCCAATTGTTGAACGAATGCATGTGTCCCTAATATCAGACGATTTATCAGGATATAAAAAAGCTACTGAATTAATTGTAAAATTATTGAATTCTATTTTTGAAGAATTTTATGATTTTTGTTATGAAAACAATTATCAAATCCCTGAAAATTTATCATTTAAAAGACACGAATACACATATAACCCCGATGGAAGTACGAAATATATGGGTTTCAAGGATAAGTGGCACATAATGAAGGATAGTTATAAAAATGATTACGCCTTTAAAAAAAATAAAAATATGCAAAAGAATGATAAGGACAAGAGAATGCACAACAATGCCTTTAATGGGAACCCCAACGTTAATGCTGGTTACAGCAACCAGAATGCGACCCAGGGGGGGGACTTCAGTGAAATGTAAGCAAAAAATGGAGAAAAGAATTATGGAGAAAAACAAAATGGAGAAGAAACTGAGGAAAAACATATCACTCTGCACATTGTATACACATTTCATTTCTCATCACTTCACCCCTTTTTAGGAATTACAAAGAACCGAACCAGGGAAATTTTCGTAATATTAAATTAAATAGGGAGCGTGATCAACACTCATGAATGCATTCGTAAATACAATTTGTGATGCGAATTAAAATGCATTGGAGAGGGGGGGGCCCTAAATTTTCTTATACGTAGAAAATTCCAAACGATTTTATCCCCGTTGTGAATGTAATTTACCTTATTTAACAGGTAATTTGTGTTAGAGGATATATAATGCTATACAATATACACGGAATATTTCCCACAAAAAAAAGAAATCATATTTTTTTTGTTGTTTGTTTTTTTTTTTTTTCCTGTCTTTTCCTCCTTCCTTTTTAACAGCTTACCATATATATTTTCAAACATATTTAAATTAAAATAGATGTACACCATGTATAATTATGCGTTTATATTTACGCTTTTACACTTGAACGTTTACATATATGGGTTTACATTTATGTTTTTTTTTTTTTTTTTTTTTTTTTTTTTTTTTTTTTATTCCTTTTTTTTTTAAGTAAAATTATTAATTTTCCTTTTTTGATCTCAACCGTTGTTACAACTTAAATTAAGTTAGTTTTGAAATTTTATTTAAAAATAAATAGATTTTTTTTATTACTAACGAGAGAAGATGTTTGCGAAATTGCTTATATAAATTTTTATAGCTTTTAGAATAGTGCAAATGTTCGAAATTGTGGTGACAATCAGGTGATGAACATTGTAGATTTGGAAAAGCGTGTAGTGCTTACCAGTTTTAGTCCTCGTTTTTTGATAGATTTGATAAGCAAATTGCTTTTGTCCTCTGTGACAGACATATCACCTCTCTATATTGGCAGGAAACCAATTATGCAAATATGTGAGAATACAATCTTACATACATTGTAATATTTTAGTTAAATCGAGAACAAATATTGTGTGCGCCAGTTGCTAGGTCGATTTACACATTACCCTTTTTCGTGGCTTTCTTTTTGTGGAAAATTGTTCTGTTTGCTAATAAAACTTGTTTTTCAATTTTTTAGAAAGACTCATTTAAGTGAAATAATATGAATTTATGTTGATGTATTTACACTACATATGCGTGTATGCAGCCTCTCCTATTTTTCCCTTGTATGGAAACAGTTAAATCTTCTCTCTCTCTGAATAACTCTAACCACCAAGGACTCATTCTATGAGGGTGAATAATTGTGGAAGGTGGTACTATCATATTTTACTACATTATATAACTTTCATTTTTTTCCCTTGAAACAGGCGCGAAATATAGATCCCTACAATTAGGGTTATAGAAAAGGACCATGTTTCCGAAACGATATGATTATGTGCTTTTTAAATTTATACATTTTTTTAACTTGTTCATAAGAAATCGTGAATTCTTTAAGTTTAAAAATGGAATTATGAATACGACACGTTCAGGAAATTATTCACCTTTGTTGGTTAAATGTGGTATAAAGGACCAGCTGGAAAAAGTTACAAGCACGTATATGTCAAGATGTGAACTTAAAAAAAAAAAAAAAATAGGAAGGGTTCCTGTATGTTTAGCAGTTGTGTATGCTATATAATATAATACATTACAATAAAATACATAACACTGCTTTTATATGTTTATTTCGAGAGGAACACTATCGTATACGACTTTCCATTCACATAAAAACCGAACAAAACTATACGATTCGAAATAAGTATTAATTAATACAGGTGAAAATTTAATATCCTCATCAGTTGTTGAATAAAGTTGCACCATAAGTGCTAAAAGGTGTAGTATATACACATGCATATTTTTATAAATCTTTTAACTATTGAATTGCGCATAATGTTTTTATTTTATTTTAAAATCTAGAAAAGGTTAACTGTGTGTATAGCTGGCAAACCTGTTTTTATTATTTCACTATTTTTTTATCCTGTGATAATTTGGTATTTTTAAAAACATGTTCTGACTTTATTGAAACAGCTTTTTCCAATATACATATATTCTTTTATTCACTATCTATACTTAAATATTTGCTTTATGTGGTTCTAAATATAAAAAAATAATGCTAGTGCATATATTAGGAATGAAAAAATTTTAAGTAAAGCAAAACAGATAAATAAAGGTTTACTTCCCCCCTATTTTTTATTTTATTTTATTTTTTTTTTTTTTGTTATTTGTTTTGATAGTATGATAAGAAGAAAAATATGAAAGATCCTTTAGAATATCTGAACAAAATAAATTTCAATACCAACAGGTTTCCGCAGTACACCCACGTAAGTATACGCACATAGGTGGACACTTGACGAGAGTTTTCTAACTAATTATATGATGTTATATTTTTCATTTTTTTGTCATTTTACATTACCATGTCATCATGCCATAGCATCTCCACTTTTTAATATTTCCACTATGTTTTTACATGTACATGACAAAATCCCAGTTAATAGAAAATTGTCCCTCGGAACATGAAAAAGAAAAGGTCATTAGAATATGTCGATGTTGGCAATCAGCCAAATTCCCCTATTGTGACGACACACATAAGGTTAAAATTGGAATTGTAAACATGTGACAACTCTATTGCATATATACAATTACATATGTCCAAAAATATACATATATGAAAAGTATACATATGTCCTTGATCAGAATCCTTTGTTATATCACGAAAACATGCGAAAAAGAACATGTAATTTTAATGTTTCCATGTTTACACGTGAAAAAATCATATACTATTATATTTTTGCCTTTCCATGTGTATAGATCCTCATGGAGAACGGAGATGATGTTGGTCCCTATGTAGCAAAATTATCTAGCTACAAATTGTCAGACGAAGAAAAATTAAAACAACAAAAATATAATGAGAAATATATAAAATTAAACAACAAATTATCATCTGATAAGTCTTCCATATCAATATTTAAATTTAATTATAAGCCACATCAAAGCCACAAACTAAAGAAATCGATCCTTTTGTCGTTTGTTGTTTTAACATCAGCCTTCTTTTATGAAAAAAAAGATAAATTAGTTAATATATACTCGATTAATTGAAGTCAGAAAAAGTGAACTTTTTTAAAAATAATATTATTTGAAACTTTAAAAAAAAAAAAAAAAAAAAAAAGACATGCTATGATAATTTTTTTTTCTTTTTTTTTTTTTTTTTTATAAACATCACGTAGTATCATTTATACTGGAATTTTACTACCTGTTGCACTTATTTAACATTATCAAGTATACAGGGATTTGTATTGTTACTAGAGTTATATAACATTTCATAGGATTTCTTTACATTTTCGTATATTTTACTGTATACATATGGATTTATTTTTTTATTTATTTTTTTTTTGAGCTACGCCAAAGGCGAAGCATCTGCATTTATCCCTCGGAAAATCTGCGAATATATATTTGTACATTCATTTTGAAGAGCTTTTATTCATACCTCCATTTGCTTTTAAATTATTTCAATGATTATAGTAAAACACATTCGATTTTTAAAAATAAGAAGCACAAACGAGGGTAGTTAAATTGTTACACACACGTGTTATGATATTTTACATGACCAAACTAGACATAAAAAAGTGTTTGTAAGTGTGTAAAATTCAGTATGAATATAACAGTGTATCAGATTTGTGGTGAGAATAAAAGGAAGAAGTGTGACAAAACAAATTTGATCAAAATAAAACAAAATCAACCATGTAAGCTTTTCGTAATAGGAGAAAAACAACAACAAAAAAAAGAAAAAAAAAAAAAAAAAAAAAGGCAAATATGGATAACATAAGGTGCCGTTTTCAATTGAGTAAAAACAAGTAATGCATCAAAAATGTTGCACATTTAATTAAACATTTCATTGAAAATATATAAATTATTTTGGTTAGCTTTTTTTTTTTTTTCCCAAAACAATTTGAAAGGAAAGCTTTCTCATTTTATAATACTTCTTTAAAAAAAAAAAAAAAAAAAAAAAGAATATGGAAATATAGCATGCATCAAATTCTGATTTTTATTTACGAATTATGAAAAAATTATGTATTTCCATTTCTGACAAGGAGATTTAAAAAAACAAACGCATATGAAGAAAGGATGTGCTTGAGAGAGATAAAAGGATACTTTCTCGATTGTTGTATTAAAAAGGTATAATTTAATGTTCTATAATTGAGATACATATTTAGATCGCTAATGTCTAAAAATTTTGTGCTGACACGAATGCATTGGTATATGGATAAACTTACCAAAAATTACCCCTCATAAGGTAAAGGGGTTGAGTGTTTACTAAAATTCGCTCATCTTTTTGGAATACTCACTGTTTGGATTTTTTTTTAATTTGGTCCTTAAACCATGTTCTATAATTTTGCCATCTTTTAAAACATATATGTAATCACATCGATCAATTGTTGTAATTTTGTGAGATAGGTTTATGATGGTACAATAAGGTAAGTAGCTTTTTATGCTTGAAAAAATTTTTAACTCATTTGCAGAGTCTAAAGCATTAAATGCCTCATTCAGAATTAGAATTTTGGGTTTCTTTATAATAGCTCTAGCTAGAGAAATTTTTTGCTTTTGTCCACCTGATAAAGTTTTCTCACTAATATTGTGAAAGAATTTATCCTTGTAAGAACTGATTAAATCGTCAATACAAACAATTTTTGATACCTTAATTATTTCTTTATATAGTTTTTTTATGAAATGTGCTTTATATCTGTTATAACTTCTTTTTTTTTTTTTTTGTTCATCAATTTGTTTTGTGTTTACGTAATTTCCACACATTAGGCATTTTTTAAAGTGATTAGCAGTGTAGTTCGTTTGATTTGCTTCATCGCTTGTGTACATAAGCTCATTTTCAGTTTGAGAATTTGCTCCTTTCGATTTTTCTTCGTCTCGTTTGATAGGTTCGACTCGTTCTCCATTTTCCTCCAAAAGATCATTATCGGAGGGGAATAGATGCACGCAAATATTTATGCTGTTTCTATTAAACCCGAAATTGTAATTGAAATAGGAAAAATATTTATTCGCTTTTGTTTTGCAATTGTAGGAGTATAATATATTGTATATTATGCTGTTGCTGAAGAGGTATGTGTCTTCTTCCACTAGGGAAATTTTCCTTGTTAATATATACTTTGAGACATTTTCTATATTTTCATTATCAAGTAATATGTTTCCATATGTTTTGTTATATAACCTTGCACACAATTTAGAAATATCATCTTTTCCTGAATCATTGTAGCATAAAATTCCGTATGTGTATTTATTCGAAAAGTTTAAATTAATGTTTGATAAAATTTTATTTTTTGGATATTTTGCATAGTAGAAATCCACATTTTCGAAAATTAGCCTACTCCCTTTTTTGTCATCTTTTACATTATCTAATATTAAATTTTCATTTATATGTTTATAATTTTCATCAATGTATTTTAAAATTTCTAACTCTTTTATGGCATTTTGTACAATATATGGCAATATATGAGTAAGATTTTTTTTTTTTTTTTTTGGAAGTTTTTTATTTTTTAAAATTTCTTCCTCATTTATGTCCCTGTGTTCGGGTTTCCACAAATTGGTAACTTTTTCCCCGTTATTTTCAATTCTTTTAGAGAAATCGATTTCTGCAAAATTTTGCGAATCGTCTATGGCTTTTCTGTTGTTTTCATTCACCACTGTGTTGTCCTCATTTATAGTGCTGCTTTCGTTACTACTTCTTCCTTGTGTATCCACAGAGTACATGTCTGTTATGGTAACGCAACTTAAAACTTCATTCATGTTGATTCCATCGAGTGTTGCGTGGTCTATATCATTTTCACTCCCTGTAGTGTTGTAGGTAAAATCTATGGATGAAGTATCCATACCCGTTTTCGATTTTTTTTCTAGAAGATTAACTGGTGTCTTTTTTTCTCTCTTGTAGTAGAATTTGGAATAATTGTAAAACAAGAAAGTTAGCAATATGACGTATAGTGTATTATTGGTTATGTTACTCATTCTTAGAATACTTTTTTTGTCTTGAATTGATAATTTTTTGAATGAACTAATGTTATCAAGCATAAAGAGGAAATCGTCACTTACAAAATTATGCCTCTCTTCATACAATTTTAATATGAGCATTATAATATATTTTTTATATTTGGTTCTTAAGAAGTGTACGAATTTTTTGTCTAATTTGTGCTTTATTATAAGTTCATCATCATTTTTAATGTAATAGTATATTTCTTGAATATTCATTTCCAGTTTATTCTTTTTTAATTTATTTAAACCTTTTTCACATTTGTTGAAGTTGTTATCCGCTGTTGTAATCGATGGAACAACAAGTTGAATTTCTTCATTCAATTTTGCAATAGCATCTTTCTTCGTCTTCTTATCGTTTGGCACAATATGCTGGTTTGTTCCACCCATGACATATTTATTATCCTTATTTTGTATTACATTATATTTATTTTCTTTCTGGGAATCACTTCCATATGAGAAATGTTCGACTGTTTTAGCTTCACCATAGTAGGGGAACCCCGCTTGATCTACCTTTAATATATTTTTATCGTCCCCAAAAAATTTGTGTAAGTTATTATAGTTCCTTTCGAATAATTTTAAATAATTTGGTTTAATTATGCTGGAGACATAATCAGCGTTTTTTTGAATTGATTGAAATTTTTTGATAAGAGAATATTTACATATAGCATTTTTTAAATCTACAAAATTGAGAAGATTTATGGAAGGATATTTATGGGACATTAATCTGTTGTAGTTATTACAAAGTGTATCTTTTTCAATTAATTTTATTATATCTTCTGCATTTCCTATTAGTTCTTGAACGCGTGAATACTGTTGTTCAATAGTACATGATTGAGAGATAATGTTTTGTATGTACATAACTGAGGAGATAACAATTCTTGAATCAGTATGAATATTATTTTTTAATGTCTGTTTACTCAAAATTAGGGTTAAGACAAGGGTTATCATATCTATTAAACGAATAAGAAGTTTTTCTATGATGTATAATAATCCTAATTTCATTCTGCACATGTAAATTCCATCTAAGGAACTGTTAAACTTGGCAAGTTCTTTATTGTGCGTATTGAATGTACTTATAAGTGAGAAATTGTCTATAGACTCTTCTATGATATTGTTTGAGTGAGCAATAACATTACTTTCTTCTTTTGCCACTTTACGAAAGATACTTGAAAAAAATATGGATATGTTAGAAATGACTAGGACAATAAAAAGGGAGACCAAAAATAGATGTACATTAATTTTGTACAGAAAATAAAAGGATAATAATGTTTTTATCACATTTCGTAAGAGAACAATTATATTAGTAGTAAATATATCAATCAATTCAGAAGAATCGATATTCAATCTACTTATCAATTCCCCTTTCCCCTTTTTCTTAAAATAGCTAATATGCTTATGTAATAATACACTAAATAGATAAACTTGCAACTTATTCGTGCTTACATAAGCACATATATTAAACATGTATGATCGTAGGGAGGAAAATAATAAACTCAGAAGGGATGTAAAAGCATACACATAGAAAGGGTTATTAAATTTAAAATAATTTAAGAACGAATTCATAATTGGTATATTTCTTTTTTCAACAATTGTTGTGCTTCTATTCATTACATAGGATATCGTTTTGGACAAAAAAATTGGAATATATGAATCAACAACTGACGAAATTATTGTTAATACAAGACCTACGGCAAATATATTTTTGCTTTCTCTGATTACCTTATACAATTTACTCACATCATTTAGTATACTATTTTTGTATTTACTCTTTTCCACCATTTTGGAGTATAAACTTGAAAGTATATTTTTATCTTCCTTTCTTTCATTCTGTTTTCTGCCATTTGGATCTAAAAAAAAATCACTGTTTTGTTTAGCATCACCTAGTCTTATAGGTCCCAAATGGGTAGTTATTTTATTTCTTTTATGTATAAAGCTCATTTTGTTAAGAAGCACTTTATTATTGCCATTTTTCTTTTCCCAATTTAAGTAAATTTTTCTGTTTATGAAATTGTGCAGGTGATTTTTGATGTGTCTCTTTTTATTTTTATATTTTTTATAAAAATTACTGGGATAGATGCTTTCTACCCCACTATGTCTCATGGTGTATTCATTTTGGGCTTGGGGAAGGACATTTTTAGATAAACTCTCGTAGACTGTAGTGCAGAGGAGTATCAAGCTGTGTACGAAATTCATTTTTCTTTCTTCCCTTCTTTCTTTCTTTCTTTCTTTCTTTCTTACTTTTTTTTTTTTTTTTTTTTTTTTCATAAACTGCATTTTTACACTTTTTTCCTCACCATTATATTTGTAAAGCTTTTCATATGAAAAAAGAAAGAAAAAAAAGGGAAGTTCCTTTTTCTTGTAGTACCCTTTAAGCTGTCGTGCTTATGTAATATTTGTGACATGTTTGATATATTTGTTCCTTTCTTTTATGCTTTCCATATACCTTCTTTCTCATTCATTTTTGTTTTATTACTAGTGTGATTCACTTTGTAAAATATTTATGTGTTCTTTTAGTTGAACAAATTTAAAGTGGTATGTGTTTCTTTTTTAATCTTCTATACTTTGCAATTATATGTCATGTGTAAGAAAATATGCCTTTTCTACCAGAGCATTTTTTTTTTTTTTAATTTTAATAAAAAAATAGTTGTTATTAGTACAAACATGTACGCATAATTATTAGAACAGAGTTAATGAAATTTATTTGACGAACTTAGGATCATATTTTTTACCTTTCTCTTTTCGAAAACTGAGGTGAAGATTATTAGTTGTGAATGTTGCTATGTTGATTTTTTGGGTTTGGCTTTTTCGTGTATGCATCAAAGTAGTAAATGTATGTATAAGTGAGCAAAGGATGACATAAGTGATGTTAGATAGAGGGTATAGGCAAATACGTTCTGTGTTTTTCTCTTTTTTATTGTTAAGGCCTACACTAGGGGGTCAACAAAAGGAGTTTTTTTTAGTTTAAAATGAGCTGAGAAGGAAAAAAAAAAAAAAAAAAAAAAACTGAATGAACGAATGGACTCCTGGAACAAGCGATCGTACTCAGAAACAAATAAGTAAATATATGTGCAAAAATAGCGCTGTGAGACACCGATATAAATAAAGGTGTAAAACCAATTTGCACTGTTCAGCTCAAATAAAACTTAAGGCACAACTGTTCCATTACAAATTTAAGCACTTTCAAGTAGAGTTCTTTGTTAGAGCGAGAAAGAAAATATTTTAAGACAAAAAATAAATCGAAAAAAAGGGAAATAATGAAAATTACCTAATAATACAAACTCGATCATAAGAAATTTAATACTCTTAAGTGTGTCAAAATGCAAAGTAGCGTATATATATACATATGTGTGTTATACGTTTTTAATTAATATCATTAAAAGAAAAGTCATTAAATTGCTAAAAAGGGCCATGGGGTGACTAAAAGAAGCCATTGTTGAGTCACGTTTTTCAGTATCCAAAGGATATTGTAATATAGAAAATTAGCTATACAGAATACGTATTCTACACTTAAAGTTGTACGGTTTTCTTACTACAAATTGGTAAACCCATTTTTATTACTTCTTTTAGATTGCAATATCGATCATCACTTAAATTGATAGATTTTATACCTGTTCTTATTTAGTCCTAGATTTTTGTATTTTTTTAACAATATCGTTTTTTTTTTTTTTTTCTTTCTATCTTAATAACAGTTATTATGACTTTTTTCTATATTAAAATTATTTTTGGAACAGTGTTAATCTATTGGAAGATACGTGATTTGTAAAGGCAGAACTTTTTTTTTATATATAAGACAACCTTTTTTTTTTTCATTAAAATTTTGTAATAAGCACGTGGACAATCTTGTCATCTTACAAGATGTGCATTTTATTCCTTTTTTAGTAAATACAAAAGTGTAAATTTCACAACGGTTTATTTTTATCACATTAAATTTAGTTCTGATATTTTTGAGAACAAAAAAAAAAAAAAACATACATACATATATATATGTGTACATATGAATATATATACATGTACGTATATACTAACCTTTCGGTGGAAGAAAATAAGAAAATATTAAACTAAATTCTGGAATTTTACACTATTAAAGTGCTATAAGTAAAAAATAATACATACGCTTGGATAATAGAATAAGTAAAGCTAATGCACATATGTTTACATTTTTTTGGAAAAGTATTTTCATAATCTCCAAACATGCAACAACTTTCCAAAGAATTTTCTCTCATTATTTCCGAAGCGTAAGAAAAAAGGACCATGTTTAAGACAGGGGTATTTCTAATTCGTGTATACATAATGTTATATATATATATATATATATATATATATATATATATATATATATATATATATATGCATATTATACACATTTTTACCACCTGCATTAGGGTGCAATACTTTAGTTTGCAGGCTAATATAGTATATTGAAAAGATAGGTTGTTATTTGGGTTACTATTTTTATATTTTATTTTGAGTTATGTGATAAAAAATTATGTACAAAAAATATGTTTATACAATTGCTTGCGTTAAAATGTGGTGACATAAGCTTTAATGCTGGTTGTCAGGTTGCCAAGTTTATTTGGCGTAGAGGAGGGAATTTACTAAATTTTAAAAAATAGAAACTATGGCTAAAAGTGCATCTAAAAAGAAGACTAGCACTTGGTAAAAAAACTAATGGGTTTTCTGGGGTATATTTAACAGGGATAGTAGACCTATCTGATGAAATATATTTAAATATTAAAAAAAATATATATATCTAAAAACTACAGAATGTTCACATGCTAATCCAGAAATATTGGAAAAAAAATAACATGTAAAATAATAATAAAATATGTTATTCTGTTTACTAACAGCGTTTTAGTAGTTAAATATGCGTGGTATTTATTCATGCATTTCCTAAAATTATAGGTGCAAACATTTGTTTTTTTTTTAATCATACGAAAGTGAGAAAATTTCACTTGCTTTTGCAATTTTTCTGCTTTACGAAAAAGCAAAAAATGTTTTTTTATTAATCATTTTGCAATTTAATTTATTTGTTTTATCCTCATCTGGGTTCTGAAAATTTTGACTTTCGTTATCTTGTGTTTGTTCCTGTGCTTGTGCTTCTTTCCTTTTTGCTTCGAGCTGTTTTTTTTCTCCTTTGTCAACTGTGTATACATTTTTGCTCGTGCTACTACAACTCAATAAGGCGTTGTTGCTAAGGTTTTTGGATGACGCGCTATTTTTCTCTGTTTTTATTGATTCCTTGTTTGCATTATCATTAACATTTGGGATAATTTTTATTGATGTCTGTTCTCTCAGGGTTGTTTTTTCATTGAGAGTATCTTTCATGAAATCTCTTTTTTTCACTGTATTTAATGTTTCGCTTTGTGCTGTCTGTTCTATAATTCCTAATTTATTTTTTCGTCCTTTTTGATTGATTTGTAAAGAATAGGCATCTTCTTCTCTTTCATATATTCCGCTTCCTCTGTCGAAGAAACCATTTTCATAATAATTATTTTCGCAATCTTTACTTTTGTACTTAATATTGTGAATGTTTTTACTGACATGGTGATTTTTGCTATACTTTTCATTCTCGTCATGATATTCGTTGTCCTCGTTTTCTTCCTCCTCCTCTTCCTCTTCTTCTTCTTCTTCTTCCTCCTCGTAGTTTTCCTTATCCGTTATGTCATTGTCGTCGTCTTCTTCCTCTTCCTCTTCTTCTTCCTCCTCCTCATCTTCCATTTCGTCTTCTTCCTCCTTTTCATATTTATACTTCTCTGGATTCTCATAGTAATGATCAAAATTTTCATCTTCTTCTGAATTCACGATTTCATCATTGTGCACATGACTATTCATTTTATTATGTTTCCTTAGTTGGAGACTTTGGTATTGTGATATTTTTTTCAAAAGCTTCTTATTATTTGTACTGTTCTGTACAATATCCGGTATATTTCCAGAACTGAATACATACTCCTCTATATTTAATGGAGAGTCAGGAATGTCAGAGACGCTTATTTTTTTATATTTTGCTTTTCCTTCTAATTTATTATTTTGTTTTCTTTGATACAGAGGGTCATATTTCAATGGAGGTGGCTTATTCTCCGTTCCATTATAGGTAATTTCATTATCATAGGTAAAATCATATTCCCCTTCGCTGCTGTAGTTTTCTTCTCCAGCATCATCATCATCATCAACATCATCTTCTTCATCTTCACATTCTTCACTTTTGCACAATTCTTCATCGAAATGTTGTGTTGGAGAGCAGTTCTTAGAATTTTTCAAATTGGCATGCATACTGTTTTGCTTACTGTACAAATTTTTGCCTATATGTGTGTTCTGATTCATGTTATAATTTTCGTTTTCATATTTTTGGTTTTCATACTTTTGGTTTTCATACTTTTGGTTTTCATACTTTTGGTTTTCATATTTCTGGTTTTCAAAATGTTGATTTTCATAATGTTGATTTTCATAATGTTGGTTTTCATAATGCTGGCTTTCATAATGTTGGCTTTCATAGTTTACTTTATTCTTTACGCTCATACTGTTAAAGGAATAGGATCTATTTTTTGCATACATTTCTTCATCTTCCGGCCCAATCATATTTAGCCATGGGTGCTGTAGCATGGTATAAGCTGAAGGCCTCTTCTGTGGATCTATAGCAAGCATAGGTAATAAAAAACTACATAATGGATTAATTTCCTTTTCTGGTATATTATACTTATATTTGAATATTTTATATAGACCATATCTTTTAATGTTTCTAATATTTTTCAGTTTATATGTTTTTTTATTAAAATATTTGTGCGAATTAAAACCTGAATCTATCATATATTTGGGTATATTTCCTAAAACTTCAATCATAAAACTTAGGTGTTCTTCATTTTTATCATATCTATCTGATTTTTGAGGATTAAATAAAAAATCTCCTGTTACTAGTTCGAATATCATACATGCAAAGGACCATATATCAGCAGTTTCGTTAAATCCGCTTTTTAATATAACTTCTGGAGATCTATATTGTCTTGTTTGAATTTCAGCATACCTTGATTCATCAACCCATAGACTATTTCCTAAATCACATATTTTATAACATGATTTTTCATGATAATAAACAGTTGGATCATAGGGTCTAATACGATATTCTCCCTCTTCTGTTTTTATATATACAACTTTGTGTCCATTATGATTATTCTCTAGAGTATCATCATTGGGCGTTTTTGAATATTTACTTTTGTTTTTATTTTTATACTTATCATGTAATTTCATTGCTTGTGGGTGCATTAGATGGTTAAACATGTCACAATATATGGGAAATTTGTTAAAATCCTTTTCTGTATATTCTAAGGATTTTTCGCATTCACTCATTTCACTTTTTTCAGCATGCTCTTCTTGGCTATCATAATGTTCATCACTGCAATGGTCATCAGGGTCCTTATCATGATCACTATCATCTGACATGTTTTTTTTCAAATAATCGCTGGGTAACCTGTGCAAAAATAAGGAACACCTATCATCTCCATACTTCTCGGGGTTATATAAGAAGTAATTGTTGTAATGATAGGGTCTCCTCATCAACGATTCCTGCAATGCATGTATGTTATTGTAACTAGTGAGTAACGACGGGTCAGAGTTGGATGGTCTATGTCTATGTTTGACATATGGAGGTTCATTAATCTTATTTTCTTTCTTTAATTTTTTCCCTTCATTTTTATTGGATAAATTTTCTTTTGTTTTATCACAAGATTTATTACTTTCTGTGCTAATTGGCTGATTGTCCTTTGACATTTCTGGAATCAAATTGTTGCAACTGTCTTTCTCTTCAATGATCACTTTGTTTGTTACATGATTTTCTTCAACATTATTAGCATTATCACTTTGTATAAAATTATTTTTCTGATTAAGTGCTTCCTTTGATGAAGTATCATTGATGGAGTTATTGCTTTTCACGCTATTGATGGTAATATTTGTTTTTACAAAATTGTGATTATGTGCACTCTTGTTGTTTGTTTCTTCTCCTTTTGGTATATTTTCTGCATGAACCTGAGTTGGATTATTGAATTGTTCATTATCTTCCTTTTTATATTGACTGTTATCATTTTGTGCTACGTCGCTTAAAGTCAAAGTTGCAGATACATCAGCATTTATTTTACTGCCATTTATATTTTGATTGGAATCATTTGCAGTTGATTCATCATTATTTTGCTTCTTCTGTTCAAGTGCTTCCATTTTTAATCTTTCTCTTTTTAAGAAAGTTTTTTTTTTTTTTTTTAACTTTTTTTTTTCTTTTTTACTTAATTTATTGTAATCTACATTGTCCCATTCGTGTTTATCTTTCACTTCGCTTAGACATGATGATTGGTTATCTTCCAAATCTTCATCATTGTCACTATCATCAGCATTATCACAAACATTAGTCTCAAAATTCGTATCACCACCTACTACTTTTTCTTCTTTTTTAACAAGATCGTTTTTCCTTTCATCACTGATTTTTATATCCTCTTTGCTGTAGTCCCTTGGTCTGGGGATATTCATAAGTGGTGAAACTAAAACATTTTCCGGTTTTATATCGCTGTGTATTATTTTACAAACATCGTGTAAATACTGTAAACCTATCAATACATGAGTAGCAATTTTCCGAACTAAATTTAAAGGTATTCCTTTATAATCATAATGTTTAATTAGGGACAATAAATTCGGTCCCATGAATTCAAAAACCATGCAAACATGTGTACCATTTGGACCTTTATGTTCAAAACTATCAATAAATGAAACAACTCCCTTTGTCATGTTATAGTGATATAGTCTTTCTCTCTGATGTTCTTTTAATTCTACCCAGGAAGAATCAAAAGAGTTCGCTTTAACAGTTTTTAAATAATTGATTTCACATTTAGCTGATTCTCCAAATGACTCGGATCCTTTTTGAATTTTTATAGCAACAAATTTTAATGGTTTACTTTTTAAATCTGTTGCAACCCAAACAGTTGAAAAATGACCCCATCCTAATTTCCCTTCTATTCTATACCGATCGTTGTATATTTCATTTATTTTAACAGGATGATATCCACCTTTACAATATTCGTCACTCCCTTCATCATCACTTTCTGTGTATTGCAATTTTCCTGAGGTAGCATCTTGACTACTGCTATCGTTTGATGGGGACCTCGAATCACTATAACTCATTTCGGTAGTGTATAAAGGGCTGTATTCTGTTAAAATATCCCTTTTGTATATCTCTTCCTTTTCTTTCCCTTCAACACATGCATACGTGTACGTAATTACGCATGTGTATATTATGTATATAGCAATATATATGTGGATCAATATTTTTTACTAAATGTAGTTTTGGGCTTAAGGGATCTCGATTGATGTCTATCTAAAATTTTACAAATTAATTGCATATATGCTTTTTTAAGCAAAATTTACATAAACGAACTGTTATTCGTTAGTAGAAAAGACGAAAAAAAGAAAGAAACAAGTATAATTGTTTGCGTCTTTTTCTTAAATATCGCTTTGAAATTGTGTAGATATTTCAGAAGCATAAAATATGAAAATGGTAACGTACAAATATACGTGCTATATGCATGGATATATGAGCGTGAGTGAGCTCAAAATATGGGCACATATTTTAAATATACATTTTTATATGATATGGTATAGAGACATTTTCAAGAATAAAGTGAGCATTGAATTTTCAGGTGGCACAATAATTATACCATGGTGACATTAATGAATGAATATAAAAAAAAAATAAAAATAATAAATAAATGAATGATGTATCGTATATGCTGCATAAAAATATTTTGGATATGTTCTACAAAATAAATTAACATTGTAAAATGATGCTATCTTTTTTTCCCTTGTTTTGTTATCTCCTTATGGATTTATATACAAGGAATATATATTATAAAATATGTATATATACATGAATATAGTCCATGACTAAAATTTAAATGGGAAAATATATTATAGACTATTTATTATTCAAACGTGAAGACGATAACGAATTAATGTAGGCTAATGTATGTTCCTATGAAAATAATGGAATAACTAAAATTTGGGGTTAATATAAACATGGGATAAGGATAATATATTGTTTTAACAAATAAAAAAAAAAAAAAAAAAAAAAGTATAAAAAAATAAAGAGTTTTATGGAATTATTCTTTATTCGTCAAATAGTAAAATGTAAATTAAAATGTTATTATAAATAGAAAAAAGAAAAAAAAAAATGGGGAAAATAAAAAAAGTTGTATGTAAATTGGTCATGAAATTATGAATTTAAATGTTTTATTAACGCATTTTACATATATAACCATGTAAGTATGGTATTATACCATTTGGGTGGATTAAACAAATAAATCTTTTATCAAAGTGAAAAAGGTAAATGATGATATAAAATAAATATTCTTGCATAAACTTGTAAGTTACTGTAAAAATGTGTTTTTTTTTTTATTTTCCGATCTTTGAATGGTCAATAACACGGTTTACACGAAACTTTCATGTTCATTATAGTGATATGAAAAATATAAACAATTAAAAATAACGAAAAATATAAAATGTTTTCCTTCTTTCCAATGTAGAATTGTAACAATTAAAATTCAGCATGAATCCATTAATTCATGGTTTTTTTTATAATTCTGAAATTTAACAAATGGCACCTTTTTTTTTTTTTTTTTTTTTTTTTTTTCTTATATTGCCCATGGTGAGATTTTATCTATTTTTGTTTATTATTTTTATTCACAAAAATGCCATTTCTTCAATTTTATACAAAATAAATATTATATAAGTTTTGGGAAATTGGATTTGCCTTATTTGTATGTATTTGTATATCCTGTGAAAAAGGTTTTGCGTTAATTTACGTTTGGAACAAGAGTTCAAAATAGTATTTTACAAAAAAAGTTATACTTTACGCTTAGTTGTACAATAATATTACTGAGCTCATAAATATGTTTTATATTATTTGTGGGTTCTTAAAAGTTTTTTATTCTTGTAAGTTTTTTTTTTATATGTTTGCTGAAAAAAGGTAAATAAAAATATTGGCTCATATTCCTGATCAGCTTTAAGATATATTATAAAAAAAGTTGAGGGGGAAAGTTAAACCTCAAATTAGGCCTTTATTTTTTCTTCAAGTGCCAAAGCATTTTAAAATAAGATGTCATAATTTACATGTATAACAAAAGTTAATAAGCAATTATTTTTTGTGTTCTGAGTAATTAATAAATATATGTTTTAATCGAAAAGTTACATTCATTCATGTACACATAATAAAAAATAATGGGGGGGGGGGAAAAAAAAAATGCATATTTGTGAAAAAGTAAAAAAGGGTGAATGAGGAACTGGGAAGAAGCAAAAAGTGTGAAAAACTGAAAAGATATATTACATACATTATAAAAATTTACATAAATGAAATAGGTACAATGAAGTAAATTCAAGATAATTTTTTTTTTTTTCTTAATTGTTCCAAAAAAAAAATTAAAGATAGCGAGCAGGAAAGCTGTGTATATGTATATGCATATGTAATAACAAAAAAGGGCCATAAAAATTATTGCGAGTGCTTTGCACATAAAAGTTTGATATCTATGTCACAAATATATTTCTTAAAACGTATGGTTATTTATGATTATTTATGTCCTAGCGTTCTTTAGCTTTAATTATCAACCATAAGGCTTGTGCTGAGTAGTATACATGTAGGATTACATTTTTTATTGAACTGAAAAAATTTGCCCCCTTTTATGCTATAACATAAGTGCCAGCTGATACATGTGCACATATTCAGCATGCGCAAATGCACAAAATTTTTTCCTTTTTTTTTTTTTTAAAATATCGCACCCGATTGTGTATGTTTTAACAGTTAGCTATTTTGTTATTATTTGTTTATTTGCCAAAGAGGAGGGAGTAATACATTAAGGAGGTTTACAGAAAAGTAGTAAAAGAGACTATTTCTTCTATGAAATGGTCAAACGTGCCATTAATTTCCTGCGTTTATACATGAATTCATTTACATTACAATTTCCTACATGCAAGTATACCCTTGGAACATTTATGGGTGTGAAAAATTGTAAAGCTTTTTTTACAGGTAAAATGTGCGAAAAATTACGTGTGTGTATGTCTACGTATAAATATATAAATTCTTGTGTGCCCCTTTAAGGTACGATTTTGGAGAATTTAACATTACAAAATTAGTGATGTATTAATACTCTCCCTTACTTTTTAAGTTGAAAACTTTCCACAAAAACACAAAAGCCAAAGTTATAATTAATTAATATGAATAAAGAGGATAATGAGAGATCAAGATAAAGGGAGGTGTAAGGGGGTAAACGTTTAAAGTTTCCCATATATTAATTTTAACGATGTATTGTGGTGTTCTCTACACATATATATATTTTGACAAATTTTAGTGTTAAATTGTAAAAAATTATTGAAGATTTGTTCCTTGAAAATTTCTATGGTTGTGCATAGCTTTATCAATTTAAAAATGATAAGCTGACTTGTTCCATTTTTTCTTAAGGACATAAATTCAACATTTTCAGTGTTGCCGTTTTTCTTTTCTTTTTTTCAAAAATGAACCATTAATTGCACTACTATCCACCCGTGGAAAAATGGAACAAAATTTCTATTTTAAATTATAATGACATATTTTTTTTTCACGTATTCATTCAGTATATATTTTGGCTATATCATGATAATACTGCCTCGTTTATTTTAAATTTGTAGAGGAAATCTGTACAAAACCTTGTCAAAACGTTAGCAAATTGTGTTCTTTCTATTTTTTTTTTATGTACACTGTAAACGAATTTACACCTTATTTGAATCTCTCTTTTCTATAAGTTTTCACCTTAAGTGGAATGACTTTCAAAATTATGCTAAAAGTAGCAGTGTATATGTTTAAGAAATGTTTCGCAAAAAAACAAAAAAGGGACATATTTTTCTATAATTTCCTCTTATCCTTTAGTGAAATTTACTAAACACTGTTATTTCATATCATATAATGTACACATATAAATCTTATAAACTTCTTGTGGGAAAAATTGGTATATAGCAATATAATTATATGATTGAACATGGTAACAAAACGAAGAATATTTGCCTTTACATTCATTTGTATGATATTCTGTTTTTATTATCTTGGAATATTTATAAATGATTATATTGAAATTTATATTAATTTTTTAAAATAGTAAAACAGTTGGGTAATACTAAAGATTAATTTTTTTACAAGGAAAATGATTTTGTTCATGTGAATGTTTTTCTGTTTTTTTTTATTTTTAATTTTTTTATATTTATTATTTTTCTACCTTTTACATACACCGTTACCTTACTTGTTTTGGAATTTTCGCCTCTTCCCCTCCACTTAAAAAGGTAGTAAAGTTGTAGGTAAAATAAATACCATGTAGAGGAGTTCTATTTTTCATTTTTATATGATGATATGCATACATATATATACATTTGAAGTGCCAAATATTTTTGGAAAAAAAATAAAATAAAGGTTATTATCTCATTCCACGTACTCTTCTGTTTTATATTTACTCTCTTTTTGTTTGATTACATGTCGTAACATACACTAGAATTTATCCGTTTGTTAAAATTATATTACATATTTTGAATGGCTACAATAAGGAAGTATTGCCCGAAATGTGAAGTTTCACAATTGGCAGGATTCGCCTTGCAATATTGAATGACAACGCATTATAGATCCATCAGCTTTACTTTTACCAATAGAAAAAGAAACCATTCATTAATTAATCGTATTTCCATTGTACTTGAGAAAAACATATCAAACATTTGTTAATGGTAGGACGTCGTCTTTTAATTTTAAGAAAATATATATTATTTTTATTTTAAGGGGGAAAAGAAAAAAAAATTTTAAAAGAATGAAAATGAAAAATGTTATGTTAGACGCCGAACATGGCAGAGATGATGACAATAGTAAAATTAATGAAAATGAAAAAGAAGCAAACATTTTGAGAAAAAGCTTGTGCTTAACGAAAAACATGTTCATAGGAAATGACATATTAACACCGTTCAATTATAACCTTCTTGCTTATGATACGAACATAAATGATAGAATAACTAAAACAGAAGAGGATGATAATAAGGAGCTAAAAGATTTAAAAGAAATATCCACATTATGTATTACAAGCGAAAAGACTACAAAGAGTTACGAAGAAATGTATAAGGAAAATGAGCTAAATGCAAGAAGACAGAATTTGAGAGAAAATGTTATAAAAAAATTAACCGCCATAAAAATGAATATTAATATTAGGGAATTGGATGAGTACTCATCTGTTAAAAAACTATACATAAAAAAAATCGAAAAAGATGATATACAAAAGGGAAGGGAAAAAAACAAAAAGAAAAAAAAAAAGAAATCATCTATTATAAGCAGTATTATAAATGACGACACAATTAATAATGATGAAATTGGACAGGATTTAAATCATTTAAATGAAAGCATGATAACTAACCAAATGAGCGAAATTGAAACAAAGAATACGGAAAAGAAAAGCATTTTACCATATGTAAATCAGCAGAGAAATGAAATACATAGTGGGCCTATTCTTAAAAAGTCAGATGATAGTATACTAAGTAGTGACGCGCTAAAGAACATAAAAACGTTAGATATTTACAAAAAAATTAAAAAACCGAAATGGCACTTTCCTTATAAATTATATAGAGTTATACTAGGCCACTCAGGGTGGGTAAATTGTGTAGATGTAGATGTAAGTAATGAATGGTTTGCAACTGGGGCAAATGACAGATTAATTAAAATTTGGGATTTAGCTACATGTAAATTAAAATTAACTTTAACCGGTCATATAAATAGTATAAGGGATATAAAAATTTCGAAAAAAAACCCATACTTATTCAGTTGTGGTGAAGATAATAGAGTGAAATGCTGGGATTTAGAATATAATAAAGTAATAAGAGATTATCATGGGCATTTATCTGGTGTGTACTGCTTATCTTTACACCCATCATTAGATATACTCATGAGTGGAGGACGTGATTCCGTTGTAAGAGTTTGGGATATTAGAACAAAGAGTTCCATTTTTGTATTGTCAGGTCACACAGGTACTATTATGTCATTATGTTCTCAATCTGTTGAACCACAAGTTGTGTCTGGATCTCAGGATAAAATGATAAGATTATGGGATCTAAATAATGGAAAATGTAGAATTGCATTAACACACCACAAAAAAAGTATTAGGTCACTATCGATTCATCCTTTTGAATATAGTTTTTGTAGCTGTGGCACAGATAATGTTAAAGTGTGGTGTGGAGCAGATGCTGAATTCGATAGGAATATTACAGGATTTAATTCTATTATTAATTGTAGTTTAATTAAACAAGATTCGTATTTTAGTGATTCGTCTATTTTAATATTGGGAAGTAATAATGGGCAGTTACATTTTTATGATTGGTCGAGCGGTTATAAATATGATACCTTATCAAACAAAATAGTTCCAGGGACGGTTGAATGTGAGAATTCCACATTATCTATGGCTTTCGATAAAAGTGAAAGTCGGCTAATAACAACCCATGGGGATAAATCCATTAAGGTAGTGCAAAAATATAGGGACTACAACCCTAACACAGATGTACAAAACTTATCCATATGTATATGTATTTATTTATGCTTTCTCTTTGGGTACATTTTACGTGTTCCATATGTTATTTTTGCATATTTACTTTTCCAAAAAAGTGCTAATTTTAATGCTTGTAATTCTTTTGCTTTCCGTAGATTTGGAAGGAAAATGAAGACGCGACGCCGGAGAATTTCCCCATAAAATGGAATCCCTACGAAAGCTTCAAATTTTGATTTGATCCCTTTTGAACTATTTCTTTTTGAATTAGTTCGAAGCGTTGCATGGATTTGCGCATATATATCTGTATATGTACCTGTGGGTGTGTATATACAGATCTTACAATTGCGATAAGAAATATGTTTTTTCTTTTTCTTTTTTTTTTTTTCACTTTCTTTTTTTTCTTCCTTTTTTTTTGTTGTTGTTGTTGTTGTCCCCCATATTTTCCTCATTAGAGAAAAAAGCGCTTGAACATGTTTATTTAATTACAACAATAGTTGCGTTTGTGTCATTTACGTTACATTCTTGCAGTTCGGCACATGTTACGTTAATTCGTATGGGTAACAATGTGGAAATGCTTTTTTTTTTTTTTTTTTTAAATTACGTTCTCACATAGGAGTAGTAGTTTGGACGACAAAATATAATTTAAAAAAAAAATGTTTCTATATAAAAATGGTGAAATCCTTATTCGCATCATTTTTATATGCTACAATTAATATTTATGAATAGTGTTTTGTCCAAAGATTACATATCCTTTTTTTTTTTTTTTTTTGGTGTGCAAAATTTATGTTTTTTGAAGTTTATAGGAACTGTGTTAGAAACATTTTTTTTTTTTTTTTTTTTTTTTTTTTGTATAGAACATTCCATTCAATATATAGCACATAATTGGCATACTAAAAACTTTCCAATGAAACAAGCTTAGTTCTTTCGTAAGCATTAAATAAAGTGGGAATGAAATATATTCACATGTGCTTATGAAAGTGTACACGATGAATTCCTTGTATTGGCTTACCATTTCCTTTTAAAGTTCCCTTTTATTTTAATTTGGATTATTTTTGCCTTCCCCCTATTTATAAGTTTTATAAGTTAAAAGTTAATTTTCCGTATTGTAGGAAACAAGTAGAACAAGCACTATAATGAAAAAAAGAAACATTCAAAAAAGGATGTTATGATAAAGGTGAAGAAAACTAAATGGTAAAAAGGCGACAACAAGAGAGAATGAGAACGAATAAAATCGTTTCAAAATAAAAGGAAGAATGAAGGGAAAAGAAAAAAAAAGTGCTATTATTTCTGAGTCATTTTTGTGAACTGGAACATCAGCTAAGCAATTTTAAAATCCCAACATTTAACGAAATACTTTAAGAAAAAAAATATTATTCACTCAAACATTTTTCCTTTCCACCATTTTTTTTTTATAAATATGATGATAGGGTTATAAATAAATCTCTTGATATTAACAGAAAAAAAAAAAAAAGGAAACGTTTTATGAGACACGCTGATAGGAACTGTTTTAAAAAATGATAAAAATTGTGAAAAGGCAAATATACTACTCATGTGAAAAAAAAAAATACTACACAAACAGGTTGTATAAAAAAGTTTGCAACAATTGTTCAAACTTAAACATAAATAATATAAGCAGGTGTGTATATTGTGATAACATATTAAGCGACAGTGATATTAGATTAATAAAAAATACGATTTTTACAGATATAATAAATGTGAGAAAAGAGTGGAAATATTTTGGTGGAAAAGGTGTAAATAACAGTTATTCTGCACCATTATTAAGTAATGTTGAAATTGATGATAAACATGTTCATCTTAAGAATGGGTCAGTAAATAACTGTAATAGATTGTATGTATATTACAATTGCTATGATTATATTATGTTAAATAATCCATATAGCAATTCCTGTCTTAATCTCATTGTTTTGTTTAAAGGAATTATGTATGATGTTAAGAATTTAAAGAGGAAGGATATAAACTGTTTACTGCATATGTATAATTATATATACTTTGTGATTGATATATTCCTATACTTTCTTTTAATTAGCAAAGGGAAATTCGTTCATTACAAATATATGTATAATAATTCGTTTGCTGTGAATGTGGATTATAACGACGAACTTGTAGATATTTTGTTCGAATTAAATAAAATTATTAAAGAGAAAAAGAAAAGTGTGGTTGCAGATAATGTTAATAGTGAGAAAAAAAGACACTTAGAAAATGTAAGCGAAACTAATATTATTGAAAAACTAAATGAAAATTATGAAAATATATACAAAGAAGTGTTAATGAATATTAGGGAAAAATCGGAATTATGCAAGTTTTTTAAAAAATTAGAAGACGTAAATATTAAAAATAAAATAATGGCTTTGAAAAAACACTTGTATATAGGATGTTCCTACCCTTCACCCATAAATCATTTTTCTCTTCAAATAATATTCCCTCCATTTTCGAATTATAATTTTTTTGCATTTCCCTTTTATTTTCCCATACAAAAAATACTTCACGATTTGTATATATATGGCCATGTTAAAAATTATAAGCACTCAGAAATAATTAGGAATATATATAATAACAAATTAATTAAAGAAGTAAAAGAAAGCGATTTCGTGTGCAGGAAAATTCTGCAGTTTTGAATGAATTTTGTATTAAATAACCTTAAAAGAAAAAAAATAACATACATATATAATCACCCCTTATTATGGGAAATTAAAAAGCAGTAATTTTTTCTTCAGATAAATTTAATTTGTTAGAGGAAGTTATATAGGGATTTTTAGGGATCAGCTGATAGGCATGTTAAATTCCACATATGAGTCAATTTATTAGATTAGTTTAAAATCAATATTAGAAATGACTCCGATTAGCAAACATAAGAAGGATAAGAACATTTAAGTCAAATCGTTAAAGTGATAATCACATTTTAAACACCATAGTGAAAGTTGTACCAATCGTATTATGTATATATATAATAATTATAAATCCTGTATTTTGTGGGCAAACAAAATTTGAAGTAGTGTGATCTTAGTTTTTTTTTTTTTTACGTTCTTATTTATGATAGCGCCTATTGTAATAGTAGAGAACGTGTTCCATTTTTTGTATTTTTTCTATTAAAGCATAATAAAGCTCATTGTCTGAATTTTTTTTTTTTTATCCTTGTCACAAGTAATATTATGTCTATACTTCTTTTATCATAAGGTCAATTTTGAACAATAGACTGCTAAAGTGAATTAGACAAAATCTTTTTAATAGATATAGAACATATTACTGTGGTGATTTTATTTACTAACTACAGAACTTATTTGCAGAAAGTTGGCCTTTACATAAACCTAGACATGCATGTCTCTTAAGACCCGAAGAAAAAACAAGTACATGGAACAAATATTGTCGCAAGTGTATGTACACAAACATACGAATTAATCCTATTTTTTAGTGGAATGCATGTTTTAATGTAAAAATTTCTATTTGTACATTTTGTAATGTTCTCATTTCTTCCATTATTAATTTTTTTTTTTTTTTTTTTTTTTTGTGTGTAAACGAAACGTATGTATAACTTACTGAAGTAACATTTGATTTAAGAAATTTCCACTTTTTTGTTTAATACCTTGTATATACAAAAGAATTAAAAAAATTGAAACTGTCCCATATGCACAAAAAAAAAGAAAAAATGTGTGGACATAAGAAACTTCAAAGAATTGAAAATTTTGGGGGGTATCATCACTTCAAATATTTGAAGTTATTTTTGTTACACATGCTGTATACATATTTATGAATAAACTAATGAATCAAAAAAAAAAAAAAAAAAAAAAAAAAAAAAAAATAGTACTGAAAATTAAATTAAATGTAATCATATGAAGATAGCATGTGCTATAAAATCTTTGTTGTGAAAAATATTTTTGGGGAATTTTATAATTATTCGAATGTTACTTTTAATAAAGACAAGAATTGTGAAGAATTAATGTGAGTAAAAATATAAACATTCATCAACATGGATTTCCCCTAACATATATTGGGGTTATACATAGATTAACATTTATCAATCAATCTACATTATATGATTAAAAAGAAATGATCAGGAAGCACCTTTTTAAAGATTCTATTTTAACATCATTGACGGAGTTTTAAGTAATTATTGCCTAGGGGAAAAGAAAAATTTATGTGCTCTCTTCAAATGAAAAATATAAGAGTAGGGTGAAAGTAGCAGAAAATGTTTCAATTTTGAGAAAAATATCATTTTTATTTATTTATTCTTTAATAGATATTGTGGACACTTAAAAATGTAAGGGAAAATAAGTTTTTTTTTTTTTTTTTTTCTTAAAACATAGTATTATATTCAAAAATAATACAAATATTTTGTAATAATTCAGATACAATGTTAGGAAATAAAAAAAATAAAGAAAAGAAAAAAAGAAGGTATTTTTAAAACGGACAAACTAAATTCTAAATTTAATTACAAAAAATACGTTCGGTTGGAAATTCTATTATGCTTCGTACATTTTAGGATTTCTTAAGAATAAGTGAAATAAAAAATAATGAAATAATATATCCACCATGTCTGCAATTAAAAAACATTAGAATTGCAAACACATACACGTATTATACTTAATACAATTCCATTACGAGGTGGTTCATCAAATATTTCATCAATGTTGTATATGACCAAGTCAAATTGTTTATTTGTGTAATATAAGGTAATGTTTACAAAGAAAGATGTTCATTGAACTATTAACTACTTGACATTTTCGTTATGAAAATTTCTTAGGAGTGTTGAGTTTTGGGTCTATAAATTTTTTCCTACTTATTTGTTAAATATAATTAGGTTTTATGCATATTTACATTTGATCGAAGAGGGCTTATGAATACTGGAATATATATATAGGTATATATTGGTAAGTTTACAAATATATGAACCCTTCTATGGATTTCCATTTCTTTGACTTCAGTTTATAAGTGGGAGTGATGCTTAACGTCGGAAGGATTAAAAATAGCTTACGCCATTCAATGCACTTAATAAAAATTATAATTTATCCAAGAATTACATTGTTCTCTAACAAAATTACACCATTCCAAATTTTTTTCTAACTTCATTTTCATTATGCTTACCCACATTCTTTCGATGTCTGTATCCCAGTTTTTAATTAATTGGTTCAATGCTTTATATTTCAATTTGTTTAAGAGTTTCTCTAAAATTTTGTCATCTTCCTCATTTTTACTTATGCGTTCTCTACTCAACTTTTGACTCATATCTAACCAACTCTGAAATAATTGCGTTGCATCGGATGTGTTATTATTCATCAATACAGATGCTGTTAACCATGTTCCCAGTAAGAGTTCGCTCCATGCAGCAATTTCTTGGTATTCCAAATATATCCATTGTTTTTTTACCCTTTCTTCAAAGCTTGCCCAGGCTTCTATTATCAATTGAAATTCTCTTTCTTCTGATACATCCACAGTGTTATTAGGACATGGATTACTCTCAGTTCTCCTCATTGCCAAAATTCGTGCATTGCTATTAAGTTCCCCTTTGAAAAATGCGTTGTCCTGTTTCTTGCATAATCTGCACGTAGATGAATATGTATAAACAGAATCTATAAATTTTTTTATTTATAATACATACTTTTATGGAAAAAATGATGAGCGAAAAAGAGGTCCTGGTTCTATACAAAAATGGGAGTCTTAATTTTTTAAAAATTTCCTTTTTTCTCTTTCAACTTACGGTAATATACATAAAAAGACCAGGGCGCATGATACTAAAAGTTTATAAAATGAACCAGTTGTTCTACTTCTACCTTTGGATGGTTTACATGAGGATTTATTTTTAATATCATAACTATTTATTGATGATTTACTTCCAAAGATGTCATATAAAATAAAATTACTATTCATGTTTAATTAGTTATAAAATGCAATAATGCTTTATATTTTAATAATTTAAATTTTTGTGAATTTGGTTTTTAATATTAGGAAGGCATGTAAAACTTGACAAATTAATAACTTTTTATATTTTTGATTTCATTTATGGTGTTTATTAATTTCTACGGACTTTTTTAAACTTATATATTAATTTTTTTTTTCTTGAAATAGTGGTATATTTTCAGGATAACAGAAGAATAATTCGTATGCTAACAATATATTTCATAAAAATGGGTCTTATATTGAATTCTTATTGAACTTTTATCTATTATGCATGGAACTATGGTTCATTCTTTTCTTTTTTTTTTTTTTTTTTTTTTGGGGGTATTTCTTTTACATATAGCATAAAAATTTACATTATTTCTATATGTCAAATATGTTTGAACGACATTACTACCGCCATTTACAACGCTACTACTATGTCTTTAAATTTTAGTAATAGTACAAATTAATTCTGAGAAAAAACATTTATATATGTATACTAGTTACGATCAAAAAAAAAAAAAAAATAAAATAAATAAAGACATAAATAAATACATGAAATTTATTAATATAATTTAATACTATATTACATTAAATATTTCAATTTTACATAATTAAATATATAAAGAATGAAAAAAAATAAAATAAAAATATAAATAAAATGAATACAAATGAACTATCGCAAAGATAGAAATGTTCGATTACATGATTTGTTGTTGCTGCTGTTACTACGCAAATGGTTGCAGTAAAAAAAAAAATATATATATATACCTAATTTGAAATTGGTTCAAGAAAAAAGGAAAAAGTCTTTAAGAAAGATTTATATACTAGAAAAAAAATAATACAGTTTTTTACTATTTAAATTTTTGTAATATATACCTGCAGTTATAACTAAATGCATGCATAAATATATTCATAAATTTACATTAAAATGTACAAGTAGTTCCTTTTTGAGTCTACTATGCATACATATAAAAAATAATGTAAAAGGGATTCATTAAAAGATTTATATTTTTTTTAAAAAAAGTAATATTCTATAACATGAAAAAATAAATGGGCATATGCTTTACTGCAATGTAAAAAATTAATAAAAAGAATAATAGACTGTCATAACATTTTTTCCTTCACAACATGGTGAATGGATGGCAGGACACATAGTTGAAGCATGTATTAAAATTATAGTCCTAATAAATTAAGTAGCATGCTTGTACTTATATTTTATATTTTTTTTTTTTCTTGTAATTTACACTATTAATTTTCGTGCCATATGATATTTAAATTATACGCATAATCCAATTTTGACATGATCTATTGTACCAGTTGCACAAAAAAAGAAAAAGTAGTTTAGACTTTTATTAATACAATTTCGAAAGTTTGAATATTGGACATGCATAATTTATAATTTTGTGTTATATATATTTAGAAAAAAAGGTAATGACTGTCGTACTATTTTATTAGCCTAATTATTAATATTTTTTATTCACCTCGTTTTTACAGTAAAAATTATAGAAAAGGTCGATCTCATTGAATCATTTTATAATTTCCTCAGAAGAGGAAAAAAATAAAACTAGGTTGTTCCATTTAAATGGTTTATTAATTAATTGTTTTGGGCTTGTATATTTCCAAAAATGGGTATATATGTAAGTTCTCGTAATAGTTCTACTGTTATGTAAGTATTTTTTTTTTTTTTTGATATATTAACAGTTTTTCCTCAACTGTTATTGTTTTACATATGCATAAAGTTATGAATAACGTGTATATATATCGTGTAAATTGACTCTTCTTGCTTTCTTCGACAGCATAACTATAAGCAGAAAAGGTTAAGTAGAAATAAAGTTCAAATAAAAATTAGCCATAAGGGTGTGTGTCGTAGCAGTAAAGTGCAGTATTTTTATTAAGACGCATCAATTTTAAGTTGTTCTAATACACATGTTCATTTTGTTATGCCTGAATTGATTTCGTTTACATTAATTTAAAATGGTGTGTTTGCATACACGTGTAACAATTATTTATACCCATTTCGAGTGTAATAAAGTTCAAGTATTTATAAATTAGAAGACATTATTTTCTTGCAAAAATTATGATATTAATTACTAGTAAAGAAGGATTAACAACAAATTTATAGATAATGCAAATTCATATATGTTCTCATTCTATTCTTTACTATGTTGAATTGGAAGAAGGGCATTTTGTCTCAAGCCCATGTAATGACTTGTAGATGTTACACATATAACATGTGTAAGCAAATGCATTTATTATGAACTCAAAAGTTGAACACTCAATTTTATCTTTCGTCAATTTATGTGATTCATGATTTAAATGTAGTGATAACCTAGTAAATAGGAATTGAGAAATGAATTAATAATTTAACTATATCTAAAAAAGTAGTATAACTACCGTTCCAGAAAAAAAAAAAAAAAAAAAAATACTCCTTTAATGTATATATAATCATTACACACATATATATAAACATGTATCCTATTTTGAAAAAGAATTGCTTTCTTGTAAAGTGTAAGTGTTGTATAAAAACGTGTGAATAATTTTTCCCTTAAACAATTTGAAAGAACTGTTGTTAATTTGTTTTCTTTTTTTACATTGCACAAAAGAATGACACAAAAAAAGACCAGGCTATCTGTACATATATGTATTAGGTAAAAAATACATATTGAATTTCTTTCACAGAATTATTAAAGTTAATTTGAAACAAAAAAAATATTTTCTTTTCATATATACTTTTATTCAAATGAGTGCAAAGAAAAAAAGGGAATTTGAAATGAAGAGAAAATCAACATCATTGGGGTTTTTCACTTTCCCACCTCATGTTACTACATCTTCCGCCGACATGTAAAAATTCTTTTTCTTAAATTAATGCTAAATTGGTCCCTTGTACCAAAAAAAATACTGAAATACAAGATAAATGAGAATACTAATCGAGATGTACGAGCCTTATATATAAAAAAATAAAAACAAAACAAAATTCATAAAGAATAATCATTTGTAAAAAAAAAAAAAAATTTAAATATACAAGTATATATATTTCACAAATTTTATAATTTAGCCACATACCTGATGAAAGATTTTAGACATTCACTACACTTTTTTTGTAATAAAAAATGGTATTAAGCAATGTAAGTTAATTGACTCTTGTAAAAAAGTGAAAAATTGAAACATTTTTATAATTATTATAATAAAAATATTTTTTATAACGTTTGTCATAATATTTACCCCTTCTAATTTTAATTTACACTTCTACGCTAACTTTTAACTTTTTACGTTTTCGATTTTTTCTTTTTTTCTTTTTCCAAGAGCATGCCCCAATTGTGATATACTTATGTGAATATTAATTTATTATATGTCTTTTAATGCATTTTACATTTTTTAAAAAAAACAAATAGACTAGTTAACCATAACTTCGAAAAAAAAATAGTTTTTCCTATAACAGAATTTGCATGTTTTGCAACGTACAACCAATTAAATTTAGTACTACGGTTTCATATCTATTTATATATATGATATATAAGAAAAAGTGTTAAAAATGCTTCTTCTATAAATTACCGCATAACATTGCTGCATTATTTTTTATTCATTGTATAAGTGAAGAATGTGATTTTTTTAGTAATTGACAGAAAAGTAATAAAATTTATGATTACGTTTTTAGATTTGTACCTTAAAAAAAAAAAAAAAATCTTCGTAGAAACAGAAAATCATGCATGACACATCATAAATAATTTTATTATTTTTTATTATATCATAAAATGTTACCTTCATCTTTGAGTTATTGTATTTTTAGGTACCGAAATTTAAAGTTGCAAAAAAAAAAAAAAAAAAAAAAAAAAAAATATTTATATACATATGGGATAAGTATATTATATTTGATATTTCGGTTCTACTAAGTTTTTACCGCTTTAGATATTATTATTTTTATTTTTGAGAGCTGTGCATATTTGAAGAAATTGCCAAGTGACGTGTTATCATTTTAACGGAATAAAAACTGAATGACGGCAAAGACTTGATGGATTGATTAAAAGTCATTTATATTATTGGATGAACTAGCAAGTATTTTAGTAAGAGGAAAAAATAGGTATATATATTAATATTATGATTTTACAAAATTTATACCCCCCTTTTTTTTCTTCATCGCTTATATTTATTAGGGTATAAATAACATATATTGCATTTTTTTTTGTTTTCTTTTTCTTCATTTAAAATGAAAAAAAAATATACACGTACTTTACAAATTTTATAAATATTTTGTTTAATAAAACTAATTAATAATTAACAATTTTGTGAATTATAGCACTTACTTTACTATTGCTTTTATTTAGTTTTTGGAAAGAAAATGACAATGAAATGACAATTAAGTGTTATATATATATATATACATATATTGAACATATTAAAATAATTAGAATTCTTCATAGATTTACAGTTAATTAAGTTCATTCTGATAATATATATAAGATACATAATATTTATTGCATATGTATATATTTCAATGATTATCACAGTTTGTATAAAAATAATCCATAGCACAATTAATGCAATATTTTTAAGCTATTTTTTTATGGTAGTACAATATATATGATGTTTCCTCCCTTTAATAAGTATTCTATTAGTTGTTAGAAATATTAAAAAAGAGTTAGTTTTTACTATAATTCAAATGAATAAATATATAAAAACATACGCCAAGTTATAAAAGAACAAGTCATCTGTTTCAAATGTTAGCAATTTAATGTGATAAAATAAAAATACGAGATACAAGATATCTAAAAGGAAAGAAAAAAAAAGAAAAAAGAAAAAAAAAAAAAGTTAAAACATTATTTCAAACATGGAAACTATAAAGAAATGTCGTACTAAAGGAAAAAGAAATAAATTCTACATTTCCGTGAATATTTTTGTAGTTACTCTTTTGATTTGGACATTACAATGTTTTAATAATAACGTACGTATTAATAAAAATAATGAAAAAATATTGAAAATTTTTTTAGATATTTATAATTTTTTTTTACATTTTCAATAAACAATATTTGTATTCACACATTCATAATAATGCATATTAAAGAAGAAAGAAAAAAAAAAAAAAACTCTTTAAAATATATTTTTTATCTAACTTTTTTACTTCTTCCAACTTTAGGATACTTTGAATAACCCAAGTGATAATGATAATGGTTATTACAATGGAGAGAAAACATCACATAAAAGAACGAAGAACAGGTGTTTATCTCAGGGGGGAGGTCTTTTTGGACCAGAAATAAATGTGTTAAAAAATACGGTTGTAAATTACTTGTTAGGTAGTAATAATAATAAGGATAATAGAGGAGATATGAAACCAGAGGTCGTAGAACCAAGATATGATCAACACCCTCCAAGAAATTATCGTGATCATCATTATTACAATGGTCCTGATGATATTAGAGGACATGATAGTTATGTTATAAGAGATGGAAATAGTCATGGCATGCCCAATCGTCAAGGTCCAGAAGTAATGTCATATTATGTTCCAGGTGATGGGTCTGAAAAAGATAGAAGATTGCAACCTGTATATTACCCAGTGCAACCAGCAGCACAAAGAATTCATTATAATAATAATACATCCATGCTAGGGTATTTAAAACATTTTCTATTAGAGCAACAGTTGTTTTCCTCTCCTGTTTTAAATAAAATGGCCCCCATATTTTTTTTAATGTTTCTTTATTATGTAATATCAGCTGTAATTAGTAATTTCCGTCATATTATAGCTCTTTATTTTCTAGCTAAAATAGTAAAATTGCATTACAATAGCAATAATTAATTTGGATTGAAGAGAGGGGGGGAGGTGGAGAAAAAGAGGATGATAATATTCTTTTAATGGAATTCTCTCCTTATAAGGAGTAAATATAAATCAAGAAACGGGTTTACAGCATAATGGATTAATGCTATTCATCCGAATGCGTTAGCATAAAAACAAAAGTATTAACCCTTATAGAAAATTGTGAATTTGGTATATAATAGTTATAACTACGCTAAAATTTTTTTGTGCTTGCAAAATGTGTATAGCATTGCTACATATTTATTGTGGTATGCATTGATACTTTTAAGATGTAAACTTTCACACATTAAAGCATGGATTCCTCAGGAAAAGCAAAATGGATCTTTTCATGATATGAATGTGTATATATTTATATATATGCATAAATATACATATACATGTATAGGTCTATTTTATAATAGTTTTTTTTTTTTTTTTTTATGTCATGTTTTTCCATATTTAAAAGGCGCATTGCCTATAAATATTATAAAACAAATAATTTTTTTTTAAGGATGTTACTTTTAATTTATGTATATTGTATTTGTATGAAAAGTAATACTACTGTTACATATGTTATGTATATACAAAATAACTTTTTCCATTGTGTATATATAGTTTTCAAAAAATTAATTTTTCTAGTAATCATCGTATTCATGTACATAGTTACATTGAATTTAATGGTCCAATTTACATATTCATTATTCATTATTCAATATTTATTTCAGTTTTTATATTTTTATAATTAACTCTATATGTTAGCGTAATGTTTCATATGCCATTATTATTTTTATTTTATTTTTTTTTTCTAAATTAAGTATTAACATTTATAAAAAGCAAATATATTAAGACATAAAATTAATAATGTAATTTTTTTCAATTACTACTCAATTAATTTAAAAGAGATTACTAAAGAAAAATTATGCTTATGGAGCATGCTGTTCATGTAATTTTTTCTGAAAATTATTATTGATGTTTTTTTTTCACATTATAATAAAAAAAAAAAAAAAAATCCTAAATCCTAAAAACTTTATGGTTATTTATTAGGAGTAATTTTGTTTTTTTTTCAATTAATTAATAGATGTTCCAAATTTTGTGAAATTCTTCACAAAATAATGCTTTTTAATTTTTATAGAACGTTGAATGGTAAATTTTGACCATTGTCCTTAGAAAAATATGGGGAAATAGGGTGGTGCTTAAAATGAAAAGCTGAGGGGGTAGTAACCCCTAGAAAAAATTGTTTAAAGAATAGCTTTTTCTTAAAAAAGAAGAAAAATATAAATAAAAACATTATTCAAAAATAAACTAAAAAGTTAAAAGAACTTTTGCTTTATTATATTTTTTTTTTCTTAGTTAAGAGGAATTTAATTTACCGACATGAATTATTAATATCTATCTATGTAATATAATAAAGAACAACCAGATATAGTTTAGAAAAAATTGTTTTAAAAGCGTGTCTTCCTTTTTTCCGCGGAACCGCTCTATATTTTTTTTTAGTAAAATAAGCAAGAAATTTTTTATAGATGCATGTTTTTTTTTCTTTTTTTATATAACAATATAAAGTATATTAATTTTATTAATGGTAAAAATAGTATAAATTAATAAATATATTATAAAAATTACTTGTAACCTCATTATTTATGTTAATGCGTCTGGATCAATGTTAATAATTCTAAAACGAAACCTTTGTGGTTTTATTTGAATTAGATTTTACACATAAATAATTTGTGATTCACAGTATCATATAATTTATTATTTTTTTTATTATTTTATTTTTATTTTTTTTTTGATTTGATCTGTTTAGTTTTCTTTAGTTTATGATTAATGTAGAACATAAAAGGTATGTCAGTTTTTTATAATTTTGACCTAGCATGTAATTTAGTACCTTTTTTTTTTTTTTTTTTTTTGTTAAAACATAATAATTAAATATGAATATTGAGAATGAAAAAAAAAAATTTTTATTATCTAGGAAGAAAATTTCAGTTCCAAATACAATAATTGCTAGAGAAAACGTATATAATTTATGGCACAATAAGGAAAATATGAATGTTACTTGCAATTTTCTAATCCATTTGCTTTCCAAACGTTTCGTTATGACCTTGGGTGTCATTATTTGCGTTTTCTTAATAGTAAGACATTAAATATCGTACATATATACATGTTAGAAAAGAATACAATTTTTTTTATTATTTTAGACCCCTCTCCTTTTTTGTAAAATGGGGATTTTAAACATTTTTCTGTAAATGATTTCCGCATTTCTCACGTAGAATATTTGCACTTGGGGAAATAAGTTATGTTCACAATTAGAGTTCATGGAAAAATATTCAAGGAACTTAAGTAATCTAAACAAACCTGGAAATAAATGTATGTCTCTTTTTTGTAGAGGTCTTTGTGATCTGTGTATTGGAAAACCTGTTCTTACATCTATTACAGCTATAACAGTAAAAGATTTTAATGAAAAGACTGATACTATAAATGGGAGAGTAGTTGATATTGGTAACTTGCTTGAAAAATGCCAAGATAATGTAGAACTATTACGAGAAGATGAATTAGATATAATGTTGTATTATTTAGAATATAGTGAAGACGTTTGTAAAATAGATTTTCTTTCTACATGGTGGCAAATTTGTAGGATGGAAAAAAATGAATGTGATGTTTTTAAAATGCAATTATCAAGGCTTAATAAAGAAATAGCAAAAAAAAATGGTTTAAACACAGAATTCGGGAATAATCTTTTGAAAAACGCATACGATGAATATGAAAATAAAGTAAAAAAACTGCAGAGTACTTACAGTAGTACACTTTATGATTATCTTAATAGAAAAGAAAAATCACCCGTTGTTTGTATAGAAATGCTTAAAAAATATAGAACTGATATTTGTAATTTAAGAGATGAATTTTGGAAGAATTCGGAAAAACATTTTAATGAAAAAATGAAGGCAGAGAAACCTGAAAGTGAAACATATGAAGAATAGAAAGTATGGAGTAAATAGTGATAATTAAGATGTATGTCTTTCTAAAAATAATGGCTTAATAAAATTCTGCACATATACCATTATTACAATTTTGAGAATATTTGTGAATTTTCTATGATGATTTTTCACATAAAATAATAAAATATATTTAACTTGTATAAATTAATCCTTTATTTTAATTCGTATTTCACTTATTATAACAATGAGTTATTTTATTTTATTATTTTGTAATTGCAAAATTTACATTAATTTTTTTTGGCTTTTATATAAAATTTCCCTTTTTGCTGGGTGCAAAAGATTAATTCTATTTTTTTATCGTAACATTACTAAAATTAAGTGTTACATTCTTGCAAATAAAATTGATAATTTTAAATTGGCTATATAATACACTCACACATATTTAACATGTGATTTTTAGCATTTGTATTTGTTTTCATGTATATAATTTTTCTACATGTTAACATAGTTATAATTTTTTTTCCATTTTGTATTTTGGTGAATATTTATATTAAAAAGGTTTGACTCATATTTCGTATTTATATTTATAAGCATCTGTATATTTTTTTTTGTGCGATAAGAGTTAAACTTAGGTTTAAAAATTACATATTAATCTAAGACAAATTAAACATTTAACAACATAATGATTTTATTTAATTTAGCATAATTATTTATTATTATATATATTTTTTCTTTTTAATACTGTTCAATAAAGCTTTATTCATTTTAATATGTAAATAGTTTTATTTTATACAAACTTATATAACTGGGCGTTTTCGATTGCAGGAAATTTCGTTAAATACTTTTTACTGCTAACATTTCATGGAAATTTTAAAAACTATTATAAGATAATAAAAGAGATCATATGATTTATTACAAGCAAAATTTATGTGTTTCTTAATAAACAATAAATTGCTTTGGGCAAAAAAATTAACTGTTCTTTATAAGATAATTTTTTGTTTTCGGAAGGTTTGGTCTATTAGAATTTCAAATTGATATTAAAAAAGGGGGGAAAAGCAAAATTGCAATATTTGAAGTTAAGTTAGTTTCAAATAAGCTTTTACATCTACAATTAATTTTAGTACTCGTAACATTTTGTTTTTCTTATATATGTCTTATTCCACTACGTATTTTCTATTTCCTATGATTGTTGCAAGTAATAAAAAAAAGGGTGCAATTTTTTGGTATCCTTATGAAGCAATATGGTATAATGCATTATTTGATGGAAAAAAAAAAAAAACAAAATTCATGTAAATGAAGGAGGAATTACTTTTACATCAGTTATACGTATAATAAGAAGGATGTATTAAGGGTATTAAAAAGGTACTGGGTGGCTTTTAATAAGGTGTACAGTAATGTCCCATGTATATTTCTAAAAAACATAAAATATTTGTTAATTTGGATTAAAGATATAACTGTTATCTGGTGAATACACTAAATGTTTCAATTACAATTTTATATTTTTTTTTATTTTCAAGAAATGAGCGTTCACGTCTTTTGAAGACCTATATATGTGAGTCCAGCATTTCCAAATCAATATCTGTTTTAGTTGTATACATATTAAATTTCCATTTAAAAATTCACACACCATGGCGAAGAGTTGTGTTTGTCTTCATTTAATTTATGATTATTTTGCGCAGTAATCATTTTATTTTTATTTTAGGCGAAATCATTTATTACACATTAAATGAATCATTAAATCATTATTTAACTTGTGCTTTGTGAAAATATTTTTTTTTTGTACTCTATTATTTGCATAGAAAACTTTTAAATATAAACGTTTTTTTGTATTTCATAAAATGGTAATAATGAATTGTCCTAATGATATAGAAGTTATATTTCATTCACATATCGGTGGCATGAATACTAAAATGAATATATAGAATACATTATTAATGAGTAAATTAATAAAATTATTAATATGTTTGTGTGACTATTCCGTTTTTACCTGGATTTATTTAACATATAGTATCACACATATATTTGTATAGTGCAACATTATAAATTTTATGAACAAAGAGAATATCAAATGTAAGCAAAATTTATTGGTAAAGTAAAAACATAAATATTCTGCTTTCATTACTTAGCACAGTTTGGAAGTGATGGAAGGGTTGTCTAATAAAATGGCATGTTATACTTTTTAGCATAACAATGGATTACATATTGTTTTATTTAGAATTGTAAAAAACATTTACGCATTAGCATACAGGATGTTATCAGCACTCATTGCTTTCCCTACAAACTTTTAGTAAACTCAGAATATTTAATTATTTATGAGAATGAAAACCTAAAAAAATGCTAATATATCAAATATACAGGAACTATAGCAATTCATGAGTTTCAATGTTTATCCACTATTGTAAAAGAAAATAGAAAGCGAATTTTTTTTTTCAAAAATGTAATTATCTAAATTGTATTATTCAAATAGTACAAGAATAGAAAACATGTCTGTAATGATATGTATTACATAAAAAATTGAAATGACCAAATAATTACATTAAAAGAATCAATTTTACACATATCATCAGCCTGTATTAAACTACCATAAGTGCAGAATGAGCCCACAAATGAATTGGATGAAATCACAGAACACAAGTATACCATACATATTAAACAAAAAAAACAAAAAAAATGAAATAAAATAAAAGTAAAAATAATAAAATAATCAATATTAATGGAATAAGTACGAAGAATACATTATTTCATAGATAACATTTTTAACAATGTACACATAGGCGATATCTGCTTGTAATTGAGATTAACTTGAAAAAAAGTTGGGGAAAATATGTGATGGAAATGAGGTTGTGTAAAAATTTTAATTCATAGATTAGTAAACAATTTTCAATAATTCGTGGTATCACATATAATTCTAATATGGGCTTATAGATAATTTGTGACACATCTTTAATGTTCGAATTTAAGTGCACACTAAAAAAAATAAGGCTTGGGCGCAAAATTCGAATTATTATTTCTCACAAGAAGATGTCTACAAAATATTTAGATACAGAGATGTTATAGGAATTAATTTATTTATATTATAGTACACGCAATGAATGTGTCATTTGGTAGATAAGATGACCTGAATGATTAATGATATGGTTCCATGACTCACAATTAAATAAAAAATTTTCTAAATTTCACAATAGATATATCATTTTTTCTAGCACCTATACTATTATCTTTCATTAAATTTTTGTTGCTACGATGCTTTAATATATTTTTAATATTTTTCTTATTCGTTTATTCTCCCAACAATCCTTATACCTTTGATTGAGTAATCCCAAATGGAGAGAGAAAAGCCAGATAAATTTTTTGATAGTGAAAAAAAGAGCGATGATTATTAGAATTTTGATTATAAGATTTACTGAGACAACTAAATATAAACATTAGAAAAGATGAATTCTTAATAAATTCTTGAGAAATGATGAGCTTTTATTATACTATTGTAGTTGATAACGATCATTAATACAGAAGCGTAGAAGAAAGGATATGTGTGCGTCTAATATTACGTGAGAGATGTAGGATGTCTAGGATCTTATTAAGAAATATTAGATTCCGCTGTAAAAGGAAGAATATAGGAAATCAATATGATTTATAAAGCAGTATATGTTAGAAAGAATCTGTGTAGTCTGTAAAAGGTAAAGGAATTAGATGTGTTATATATAGTGAGTAATGAAATATTACTAGTACGGGAAAAAAGGTGCGCGTGTGGGAGATTACGTAGAAGCTTCAAATGAAGATCATATATATATATATATATATATATTACAAACGCTATAAGTACTTCTAAAAGAAAAAAGAAACAAAAAATAAAGGACAAATTTTAATTTATTTTTGAAACATTGATAAATATTAATTAACAGCTTGAATAAGTTTTTAAAACATAAAAACAAAAATGGTTACATTTTTTCATTCAACTGAAAAATGTGTTTTACTTCATATTATTACAACATATTATATCACAGTCATATATCATCATTAAAACAAGAAAAATATCGTAGCAATTTTTACATGATTAAATGAAAAAAGATAAAAAAAAAAAAAAAAAAAAAAAAACTCCGTTACAACAAAAATATGTAAGGGATGGATGTTTTTTTTTTTTTTTTTTTTTTTTTTCTTTCTTTTTTTCAAGGTATAATATTTATGCATATTCCAAACAAATTTTGGAAAATTCAAATGATTACGTAAATATGAATATTTTGATGCTAAATATCGATAAAGGTATTGGAATCTTTATTTAATTTGTTTAATATGTTTTATCATTTGTATTTTTCGGAAAATTAAACATACAATAAATAAAGGATTGTAATAATGCCTATGGAAACAGTATATCAAAGATTTCCTGAGATGTATAGTACAATATGTATAAAATCAGTTTTAACAATTTGACAGAATATATTGTAAGAATTGCTTTAAAATTATCCATACAGTACTTAAATTTTCTATATTTAATACTACGTCTAAACACATGTTTATTATTATTATATGGAGTTATATACGGACGTGGCATTTTTGCCTTAATGCTTGAAATGTATCTGTTTAAATATGTAAATATCCTTGGCTCATTTTTTTTTACTCTATACTCTTTTCTTAACACTTGCGAATATCTTGGCCTTCTTGCTTTCTGTCTTACTTTAAAATCATTCACATAATAGAATGCACGATTTCTTCCTTCATAATCATCATTGTAATATTTAAATTCATCATATCGACCATTAAGATGATGGTTATTGTTTAAATTCTTACGAGATTTTTTAAACCTTTTATTATTCTTGAAGGGGTTTACTCGTTTTTCAAAATCTTCATAACGTTTTAGTGCAGTAGATAGCTTTTCAAGATTACATTCACTCATCAACACATTATATTCTTTTCTAAAAACGCCATCATGCATCAGGGCATTAAATCTTTCTCTAAAGTTGTCATCATCTTCCCCTAATAAATTTATTATTCTTTCCTTTAGAGCTTGATATTTTTGTTGAGTTTCTTCTTCCGTGTCACTATTTAACGTTCTACCAAATATTGTGTGTAATGTGCTTTTTGGAACGAAGACATTTGTGTTCCATGTATGATCAGCGTTAGTTGACTAAAAAGGACAAATGAGGGGAGTTTAAACAGATGTATATATATATATATTTCCAAAATGAAAGAAATTTCCTTCTACATATTAAAATGTAAAGGATCCATATAAGGCTAAGAAATAATTCAAATTAAAGTTTATATCTTACATCAATTAAATGCTTCCAAGTCGATATGAAAAAGGTAATGGTAAGAGTAATAATAAAAAAGTATAATTTAATGTTTGTCCTTTCTTTCATTGATAATTTAACGTTTTTAAATCATTATAGCAATTAAACAATTATTTATTTACTATATAATGCTTTTTGCCTTGCGTAAAACTTAATGGTATAACTGTGCTATATATGTTTTAATTGTTGCTCTGTAGCTTTTTAAAAGTTTTTTTTAAAAACATTTTACTTAGCTGAAAAAAGAATTATAAAATTACATTGTTTACTTTTTAATTTTCTAAAATTTCTAAAAAAATATATTTTATTTTATTAATTTACCTTATAAACATTTAATTATAGATAAAAAAATTTCCATATAAATATCACAAATGAAAATTAAAATATTCTTCTTACAAATTATGTTTTATAAAAATAAAAAATATTACATTATATTTCTATTATTATACAATATGTGATTGATAAAGTATAATTTGATAAAGTTGTAAAATAATTCATTTAAAAAATAATAAAAAAATGCTAGATGCATGTATATTATATTCAAACATGTACACTACACTAAAATACATTTACAATGTTTTTTTCTCAAACTTGGTGAAATATATGGCTTAAAAAAAAAAAAAAATTATTTTAAATTAATATAATGCACTATTTATATATTTTATGTATATAATAAAAAATATTAGGAGATTTTTTATTTTTTTAATTTTTTTTTAATTTGAAATGGGGAAAATTTTATCTGCATTATGTTTTGCTAATTTTTTTTTTGTTTTTTTTATAAGTTAGCGTAAAACAAAATATCCCTCAAAGACAAAAAAAAAAAAAAAAAATAAAAATAAAAAAATAAATAAAGAAAAATAAAAAAAAATAAAAGAATAATAATTTTAGAATGTTATTAATTTTATGGATATTTTTTTGTAGTGTTAACTCTACAAATTTAAATTAGAAAGAAATAATGGTAATTAATTACATTTAAAGGAAATAAAACTTGAAAAATATCTTTGGTATTATTTACATTTAGTTTTATATATGATAAAATAGTGTCTTTTTGTCGAACCAGTTGACAAAATGAAATTTTAAATTGCTAATAAAGGATTCTATGCTTATGCATGATTCCCAAAACTTCAGTGTGTAATGAAAGAATTACCCTAAAATTCACGTAATGAATGCACATAAAACTTCGTATAACTTACTCAGCAATTGTGAGATAAAAAATATGAGAAATGAAGAAAAAAAAAGGGTGGAAAAATAACAGTGAAGATGTGTTCGTGTGCTTACAACCATGAAATATGTCACATCTTAATTATTGCATTTGAGGCTTCCGAATGTGTACTGCGTGCATGCGTCAAATTGTACAACATGTAACAGAATAACAAATATAAGAAGATGAAAATTACTTCATTAGAATGCTTAAATATGGACGAAGATTAATATATATATATAAGCTATGTATTATATAATACCTAAACAGCTATTAATTAATGGCTGTCATTCACATAGCAATAATGTATTGCACAAAAGGCTGAAAAATTTATTCTTTTCTTTTTACCCTGAAGATTTCCCCCTTTTTTGTAAAAAATATTAAAATAATTACCATTTTATATTATGCTTGATGTATATAGAAATAGTGACGAATCAATTGAACACATTATGCACATGCTGAAATAGGCCCATGCAATGATTGAATGCATGTGCTTGTTATTTTTCATTTATATATTGATTAGCGGATAGGATTGTGGTTATGCGTGTTAAAAATAATCATGTTTAAATGAATATTCCGTATAACATTTCTCTCCTATTTATTTATTCTTACCATTTAATAAATATATAACATTATTTTGACTATTAACACTGTATTAAATTGTCAGATCACAAGACTTATATAAATTTACAATCCCAATGCTTTAATATGGAGAAGGGAATGATGCATACCTTGTTAATGTCGTTATTGTAAATTTTATAAAATAGTATAAAAAATTATGGTTTACAAGAAATATATTCACATTTAAGTTTATATTTGAGATCATTCGGAATATATTTTTATTCGTGCATAAAACATTTTGGACTTTTATTTATGCAACTGTAGGTTGGATGAATAAAAGAAGTGAAGTATTTCTTTACACTTTCACTGCACAGATCAACAGTGTTGTTAAAACATTCGGATCAGCTTTTGCAATTATAACTAGAAAAATCCTCGTTAAATTTACTAATTTTATCATAATTTTTAAGATAATCCCGAAAATTTTCTTCTTTATATTATTTTTCAAAATTATGATCAATGTAGTATATACAAGGATTATGGTTATTTGCAAATTAGTTATTAACCTAATATTATAATTTGTTAAGGCCAATAAGAATATAATAGAAATGAACATAACCGATTTTGTTATTAAACAAATTCATTATTTTACAATATGTCCATTAGGTAAACAATGAATGACCTTCTGAATGTTTTACATTTTTTAGATTTTGAGATAAAATTGTTAAACTCTATACAGGTTATGTGTAGAATATTACAAGTCCATTTTGTGTTTCAGAAACGGGAATAATATATACATAGCATTTTTAGCATACAGATATATCAATATTACAACTATTCAGTACTTCATGCTGTTCATGGGGAGTTACCCCCGTAATTATACCATCCTAAAAGATAGAAATAGTTAATTTTACCAGTATATAAGAACATGCTTTCAAAATTTGTCCTTTTTTTATATTATAATTTACCAGACGCACGAATAAATAAATATATACATAAATAAATAAATATATATATATATATATATATAGCAAAAATAATATTTATGATTTCAAAAATATCTTTTTATATTCGGAAGAACCCCTCTTTTTTTATAATGTATTAATAAACTTCTTTAGTAATTATGTCCGTTATAACAGGAATACAATAAACATTTGTAGTTGTATTTACATCATTTTGCTCATATCGTGCTTACTATATGGATAGAAAATTGTATTTTTTTGTGATATTTTTGGTAGACATATGGATAAAGCTAATAATTTATCCTTTTAATGCATGGTTATATTATTGTTAATAAGAAAAAATAGGAACTACGATTTCTTTGCAGAAAAATAGAATATCTTCTTTAATATTCGTTATTACACAACATAGGATATAATGAGAAAATTTTATTTACAGACTAAAGAATTTTTGATTAACCCGAAATGTTACAATTTTTTTTTTCTTAGAATGGATTAACATCAATTTAATTATTTTTTGAGAGAGTAGTTGTTTATATAATAATTGTACGATGGATGTTCAATTGTATGTTCTGTCTATAAAATGACAAATAAATAATTCTTACATCACGAAAGTAGATGTTTTACATTTTTTTCATTAATATCAAATATATATGTATAACACTTTCATACTTAAATAATATTATTAGGTATCGTAAACACAATACAATCAAAATAAAAACTTCATGAATACATATAGATCGAATTCCCTTTTATCATAATAATAAATGTTTATTAAATAATAAATAATAAATATTTCACTTAAATGATACTAATTTATAGATGGAATGTATTTTTTAATTTACATTATATTCTTCCTAATGAAAAAAGTATTCATTTAAATATAGATAGAAATATTTACTAGCAATAATAAGACACAAAATCGGAAATATCTAAAATAAGCATAACATATAAAAAATGTACAGTTGCAAATTTAAATCACGATCATACAATATTTATATATAATGTAAATTTACTTACACAGCCTCTTGATTAAATCAAGTAATTAATTAAAAAAATGCATATAGAATGTGAATAAACAGCTCGGCGCTTAACGGACAAAAACAAAAACTGGTTATTGAAAGGAAAATTCTCAATATATCAAATATATAGTATATATTAAATTTTGTTCATATATATATATGTAATGTATTACACAATGAAAGCTCAAAATGTAAATGCATCCCTTTGGAAAAAGTTTAATGTAAACCTTAGTACTTGCGCAAAAGTATAAACAATATATATTTACGCATACTAACTGATATTAATATATTATCTTAAAGTATACATTAAAACACAAAAGGAACACTTTATTGTGCTAGAAAAAAAGAATAAAATTAGGATGGAAAATCGTTTCGGTAGTTCATAAGTCCATTTACATTTCTCTAGCGAATTTGTTATAAATTAAAAATATACGAAACTATTTTGTAATTACTTGATAGCCTCAATATATATATTACCGACTCTGAAGGTATACATTAATATTAAATTAAAAAAGACAATTATGTATTTATTTCATTTAAATAGCTTGATATATCTGTCCATGCATATTTAAAAGCTTTTGCAAGAACGTAAAAACATCCAACTAAACTGATTATCATCAGTATGACACCCGACTTTTCAAATGTTGTTGGAAGTGAACTTGAAAACAATATTAAAATGGTTGAAAGTAATAGAAGTATTAATTGTGGTTTGAGCACTTTAAGAACAGTCTTTATTATCTTTTTTTTTATCTTAGCAGGATCAGGTTTTGTTTCAGCTTCTAAATTAGTCATTTCATTAAAAGCAGAAAAAATTTTTTTTTCAAAATGTTGGTCTATTCTTTTAAAAATATTAGGTTTACGACTTCTTCTATTACATTTTATTCCGCATTCTTTTTCACATTTTAAACCTTCATGGTTCATATTAGACATTATACTATCATTTGATTCTGTTAAATTTTCTTCATCATATGTATATATTGATAATAGCCTTTTATTCCTTAAATCAACTCTATCTTGTTGTTTGTTTATTCTATTCATTGCTTTTCTATAGCAAGGCTAAAAATCATTTGTAATTATTTTTAAAAAAAATATAATATAGAAGATTTAAATTTTTTTTTTTTTCCTGTATTTTATTTGGAAAAAAAATAGAAAAATATGAATTTATTTAATATAATTTTTTATACCTCGTTGTGAAAGTAACACATCCATACTATAATTGTAAGTGACAAAATTTTAATTAAAAATAAGAAGTTAATGTTTAGCCTATGGTGATACTCCATTATGTCAAATATAAATTTACTCCAAGAAATGTTAAATATATATATGTAGAAATTTAATTATATTAGGTACCTTTAATACTGTATTATATAATATGCTACGTTTTAGTTACTTAAAATTTTTCAATCATAAAGTTTTAGTTTGAATGTATTTATTTATGTAAAAATAATTTTATATATTAAATGTAAAAAATAACACACTTATTAAAACTGATTTAATAAAAAGTTGATAAAAAAATTATCATGAAAAACAACTAAGTACAAAATTGATTTAAAAGGGTACTTAACAATTAATTATATAATAAATATATAAAATATCAATTTTAACCAACGGAAATTAAAATAATTTTTTTTGGAAAAAATATTAAAAATAATTACATTAATAGTTATCGAAATTAATTATTCTGTTTGGACATAAAATGCATTAATTTCTGTGCATTTTTATATTAAAGTGATGTTAACTTAATGCGATACATTTTCATTTATATGTATATTAGTATATATAGTTTGTTATCGTATTTTTTATGATTTCAATGTTTTGCAAATTCTCTATTTTTAGTAAGAAATAATATAAGGTCATTGCATTAAATTGACGTAATTAACAATATTTACATATAAATTCTCGTTAGAGTATGCAGCAATTGAAGTTATATAATATAGCTATTAAACAGTGCTTTAGATGTAATTTTATATTATAAATATATTATATATATTTTTTTTTTTTCCTTCACAAACGTGTGTTTAACCATAGATTTATTTTTTGTTAAAAGTCTACTTTAAGAGAGTCGATAATACAATATGGTTTTAACACTTACGCAGAACTAATATAAAAACTGGAATTATCAATTATATATTAATTCCCTCGCAACATTTTATACCTAAAACGTTTAATCATTTATTTTTTTCTAATGAAATGATTAATAAAACAACAACATAAATGTGACATCATAAATTTATGAACACATTGAACTCATTTATTTTTATCTCAAGCATTATTTATAGAGAAAATTGTTTTTAACGTTTGACACATGTACATATATATGTATATGCATATATTTTAAATTTTTCTTTTCTGTTTAAAGCACATAAGATACCAAACGAATTATATTTAAATCACGAAAAATAAATTCTTTATTAGTAAAAATGTCGTTATAGTAAGGGCATACTGAAATTGTGAATATCATAAATTCTTGTGAATAATGAATTAAAGGAAAAAACGTATTGACAGAAATTTATAATAAATTTGTTTCGCGCACAACAAACTGTTAAATATTAAATAATATAAAACACAAAAAGGGAAAAAAAAAATTATGAATTAAAGAATATCATAAACATAGAAATAATTAAAGTGAGTCATAAAATATTATTACTAATGTACATAAAGCAAAATTACAAAATGCATAAGAAATAACTATCATAATATTTTTAAAATTTTTTAACACATTTCATAATGCTTCTGAAAATTATGTAAAAGGAACAATGTTTTTTATTTTTCGTAAATTAAGAGTTAATTTTATATGATCAATCTGCAATTATATTATTTTAAATTTGTATACATATAATTTTTACATTTGTCAACATTTCAATCATAAAATTTTTTTTACAACTTCGAATATGTAATCTTCATTTTATTTATCATAAAATAAGATAAAACGTTCTATTATATTTACACATTTTTAATATATACGCGTTTTGGTCTTTCCTTTCGTGTGAAAGTTTTATTCATTCTTATTAGACGTACAAGAGGAAGCATTCTACATTTACAACTTTACACAGTAAATTTTGCAAGAGTTCCATGTTATGAAATATTCCATTGCAATATTATGTATAATTACTTTTTTTTATGTCACACATGCCATATTGTTATAACTGTGCATGGGTAATCAAAAAATTGACAGTTGTGTAATATTTACTTGCATTTTTTATATTACCTGAGTTTCACATATATGTTGTGTTTCGTTGTATGAAATAGGGCTATAGATAGAATTAAGTTTACATGTATTATAATAACCTTATTCCAAATAAGCAAATGATCTCAGAAATTTGTGATATAAAAAAAAACAATTTAGTTGATAAAAGATAGATATATATTCGTTTATTCGTATAAAATACATTAGTATATTCCAAATCACGAACCTGCATTTTTTCTGTGTCTTGTTCACAGTATTGACATATAATCTCATTTTGAAGCCAAATTTTTGTGTGTAATGAGAATTTAGTTATAATAAACTAGTATACATGAAAAAAATGAAATGTTACGTAATTATTTTGTGATTCAATATTTGTAAATATTGTATACCACCAATAATAATATAAAAAGTTCATATTGTTTATAAGTCTAATTTTTATGCGCTTTCAAAAAAAAATGTGCCAGTAACAGATTTTCCCGTATTAAGAAAATAGATCGGGCAATATTGGGAGATGAGAACCCATAAAATATGATTATATAGAAAAAATCCCTTCCTTTTCTACCAATCAGATTTATATGAGATCAAGGTTAATCTTCCAAATTTGATTTTTGCTGAGTATTATTATTTTGCCGTTCATTATTTTTTCTTTCTAAAATATGTAGAGAGGGCATCTAGGTTGATGGGTCAACTTTACATTTTAATTTAGACAAGAAATATATGAGATTTTCATTCAATGTAATTTTTGAAATGAATTATGAAATTCTTCTGTCTATCCTTTCTTACAGAGTTCTAAAAAACTACTCTTTGCTAAAATTGTTTTATAGAATAGTAACAATATTTCACAGAATTAGTTTCATTTGATTTAGTTTGTATAGCAACTGTTGAATATCCTTAATGGAAAGCATAATTTTTCATTTTTTTTTCTTTTTTATCTCCATTTAGGGTATTACATATTTTACAAAGTTAAAAATATTATCATGTGAGATGAATATGCTTTAAAAAAAACACTCTCTATACGCGTTAATTTGGTCAAAACAGCAATTACACAATTACACTTTTCAGAATCCCAAATAATACACAAACTACTAATATTTATGAAGTTCTTTAAATATTTACCATTATTACGAGTCCTATTTTTATTATATATTTGTGCATTGTGAATTAAATTTATTACACGTTTATATGAATGATTATCATTTGGGGTTTCTTTGTAAAGACAATTTAGAAAAGCACAATATCTGCAGTGTTTTACTAATAAGGAGAAATCCTTTTTAAAATTGTCATAAAATTCATTTGAAGATAATTTTTTAGAAGAATAATTGTAAAAATTAAAAATAAAAAGTGAGTGAAAATTATAGAATAAATTATGGTTTTAATTGGCACATTTTAAGGGGTACAAAACCATACGAAAATATTTATGAGTAAAATAATAAAGTACGCACAATAAAAAGGAGAATTGTGGTATTATTTAAAAGTAATAATGCAGTGAAAATATGCATCAACTCAAATATTTTGGTGGATAAAGAACATATATTAATTTCAATACGGAACTTGTTATTTTATAATAGAACAAATAATTAGTTATATTATAGGAAATATATTTTTTATAAATTACATGATCATACAGGAAAAAAATAGAACATTTTATAATTTATATAACATAACGAAATTTGTAATTCTTATCATATATAACACAATGTACTACTACTAATAAGCCTAAAAATATCATAGCATAAAAGAGCTATTTTGAACCCTTGAATATGTAAAAAGAATGGAATTAGATTTTCTCTCCGTAAGTATTAAGGGTCTATAAGTATTATTAAATATTGCATTTATGATACATGTTATCATTAGTTTAATATAAAAATTTATGAAATAATATTAGGTATTGCACAATGTAATAACTAAATATGTAATAATTACATCACTTAGTATTTTTTAGTTTGTGTAATTAATTATAACTAATAAAAATCTTCACTACGCTGCTTTGGGGTTGTTATATTATCATTTCAAAATTGTATTGTTTCTCGTTTTAATTATTATATAAAGCACAACCAAAGAAAGTGTTTAATTAGAACACTTTGAAATATTAATTAGGGAATAGCAAATTTTAAGGAAATAGTTTAGAACTATCGAAGAGATTAACAACTTTAATTGAAGAATTATTATAAATATGTTAATTGGTAATTTATTTCAAGGGTTTTATCATACACGAGCTCACTATATTTATTGACATTAACTGTGATTAATCAATTTTTATAGTAATGCAAATGAAACGTTACAACCTTTTGATTGTCAATAATAGTGACACATGTAAAACGTTAATATGATGGTTTAAACATTTTCTATATTGAAATACATATATTTGTTTTATTGTTCATTGAGTCTTACACAGTTCATAGCTAAGTGATTAACTTATCATACTGAAAAATAAGCGATTTTTGTTACAATAAATTAAAAGATAGAATAGGTCTTAATATCAAACTTAAGACATAAAATGCTTTATTTTAGGAGTTTTAAAAAAAATTACATATTTTAATAATGTTTTTATTCGTTTCAAATGCAGTAATTTTTCATTATTATAATATTGTTCTTGAAGTTATGAATATGATGATAGTTATTTATGCTTCACATGTATATATCTGAAAATGCACTTTTTGGGATGTCAAATTGTTAAGTATTAATGTTAAATTTAAAATTTATAGGGTTAATATAAAATATTAATGACATGATAACTGTAATTTATTTCAATAAAATATCATATATTATAAGACTTAAAACATTGTGTAGATCACTGTTTGTTAATGGGAATTTAATATATTTTAAGAGGGTGCTGCTACTACAATTATGTAGTAAGAAAATATAAAATTTGGTGAATTATCTAAAATTTAGTGTGTTGAGTAATTTCAATTTTAGCAACAATTTATAATTTAAACTGAATAGTTTTGCTACAAATTCATAACTGTTTTTTATGTTAAATGAATTTTGACAAGGTACACGATTTTCTGCTTCTCATGTTAAGCGGTATGTCCGAAATTGAAAAATAGATAATTAAAAATTCAATTATTCGCTGTCTTAATTATATTCTAAGTT